GGAGCGGAGGGGAAGATGGGGGGAAGATTGAGGGCGAAGCGTGATCAGAAAAAGAGGTGGTAAGGTGAGTATCGCTCTTCGTATTCTTTCTTCCCCTCCTCCCCCCTTCGCTTACCCCCTCTCCCTTCGTCTATCTCTCCCCTTCCCCCTCCCTCCTTCGCTTTCACCTTCGCCCTTCGTCTACTATACCTCGCCTTATCCCTCCCCTCCCATTCCCCCTTCCCTCCTCCTTCGTTTTTTCTATGCCCTCTCGCTCCTCCTTCCCTTCGCTTGCCCCCTTACCCTCGCATTCCCCTCTTCGAAGTGCGAGAGCGAGTGCTTATCAGACAGCAGCTGCCATCCCCCACCTTTCTCACCCACGCTGGTGCGCCTGTACCCGACGGCAGGCTGGCGCGACGACGTCAGACGGAGCACTACACAGGATTCTCCGAGTGGAGGCGCTGCGGACCTTGCGAGCAGCGAAGGGGAGGTGTTGGGGAAGGTCGAAGGACATGAAGGGGGCGAGTGCGAGAATGGGAGAAGGGAGGGGGAGGAGGTATGTCGGTGGGGGGAAGGGTGCGCAGCACGAGAGGTGCGCATCTCGACGGGGGGCTCAGCCTCCTCGCTCGAAGGAGGGGTTGGAGGGAGATGGGAGGGGGTTATGTAGAAAAGTGAGTACGAGCTATAGACGAGGTGTGAGTAGGGTAGCTGTCCAATAAATAAATAACCTGCATGTCCCTCCTCCCCTCGCGCGGAGACGACGAGTGCCCGTCCGTCAGACGCCTCGCTTCTGCCCACCCTCCCTGCTTCGACTAGCGCGGACACGGGAAAACTCAACGCGACGCACGCAACGACAGACATTCAAGGATCTGCATTGGCTTCTACGATAGTACATGCGGTGGTACACGTACAATTCGTGGTCCCCCCTCCAAACCTTCGCCAGTCCCTCCGACACCGCCGTCTGCACGGCCTCAATCACCTTCCCAAAATTCTCCCCCAGCATCCGCCCAAGCCCAAAATCGAGCGGCTTCCCCCTCGAATCGCTGATCGTGCCGCCAGCCTCCTCGACAAGCACCGAGCCCGGCGCGTGGTCCCAGATCTTCTCCCGGTAGCCCGTGCCGACGGGCATGCGCAGGTACGCGCCGCCTTCGCCGCGCGCGAGGCAGCAGTACTTGGCCTGGCTGTCCATGCGCACGGGCGGGAGGGTCACGCCGAGCACCTCGGAGACGCGCGCGTTGAAGCCGTGGTCGGCGTGCGCGGCCTCGACGGACTCGAGGAAGCTGATCTGCGAGGTGGGGAGCACGGGGAGGCGGAGGGGTTGCGGGTCCGCGCCGGCGAGGGTGTACTGGGGGAGGGGTGAGTGGGGGAGGGAAGGGGAAGGGGGGTGGGGGAACGCACCTGCTGAGCACCGCGCCCGCGGACGGTGACGAAGATGCAGCCCTTCTCGCCGTCGGGCTTGGCGGCGTCTACGTGCAGGTTGGGGCAGCCGATCGCGCCGACCTTGACCTCGCCGTCGACGATGAGCGCGAGGCAGACCGCGTACTGCCCGCCGCGGAGGAAGCCCTTCGTCCCGTCGATCGGATCGAGCGTCCACATGCCTGCGCGTTCGGTCAGTCTGAGTCCACGTAGAGAAGGTCGCCACGCACGTCCTGTCCTGCCGCCATCGTAGTTCCCCCTGTCGATCGCGTCCAGCAGCTGATCGGGCGTGCGCGCCTTGCCGGGACCGATCCCCCACTGCTCCTTGTCGCCGAGGGCGAGGTCGGCGGTGAGTGCTTCGTTCGCCAGCTCAACGATCCTGTCCTTGAGCGCGCGCGACGCGTCCGTGTCCTGGCGCAGGTCGGCCGAGTCTTCCTCTCCCACGATCAGGTCATCGGGGAAGGCGTTTGCCAGCATCGTGCAGACCAGCGCCTGCGCGGAAAAGTCGCCAACTGCGTTCGATCATCAGCATTCGGAGGGGGGAGTATGGTTCGACCACGCACCTGTGACCGGGGACTTGTCGCCCTTCACTAGCGTCTCGTTCTTGATCAGCTTGTTGAATACGGACGCGGTGAGGTTGCATGCGCGTCGTACGGCGCACACCGCAAACTCAGCCTCTTTCTCGTAAGGTTGGGACATGCCGATCGTTGTGATGATGGTGGTGGAAGCAAAAGGGCGATATTGGGGAGCGGGAAACGAGCGGACGCGGGTACAAATACTTCGGGACTGCCAGCGGGCCCAATTCCAGATCATCTCCACCGCCAGGGCGCTGTCGACTCACGATGGCGTGTGAGGCGCGGTCAGGTGATGCATTAGCAATGTGGGAGTCGCGAGCGGCGAGCTGGACGATGGGCGACGAGCCAGCGAGCGCCAGCGGGCGCTATGGTTTATGGAATGTTTTATGGAATACGGACTGGAGGATGGCGCCAACACTGCCAATTAGTCAGTAACATGGACTCTGGCGTGAATCAACCACGCGTACCTTTCGACCTTCTCCGACGAGGTTGGTGTTGAGTACAGCTGTAGACTATGGCTCCCAAAGGGCGGTTCGGTCTATCGCTTGCAGAGATTCCGTGGACAAGAAGACAGAAGAGGACAGCATAAGGCGGGTTGGTCTCCCGAGGCGGCGATGGCCACGTGACGGACGCCGGCCAGCACCCACAACCACAAGTTATGCTGAAAGAGATAGCTTAAGGGCCGTATGTAGAAGCAGAGACATAAAAGTTGCGTGTGGCACACGTCTGCGTTACGGGATTTCAATGGCCAGGCCAGCCATTGGGCGCTGCGTGGCAGGTACAAGACCTAGTCTGTAAGGACGGAGTATCAGAAGAGGGCATGGTCAATTTTCCGATGGGTTATAGAGAGGCTTCAGAGGATACAGGGCGCATACGCGCATGAGGAGTGGAGTGTACGGAAAGGGAGACTAACAGAAGGAGACGAAAATGATCATCTCAGGTACGAGACAGAGGATAGGTGAATGACCAAGATAGACCCTTGTAAACTTGCGAGATAGAACGATCGAAGAGGAGAGGGAGAAAATTGAGAAAGCTCACGTTGAGCTCATCGAGATGCCGTGCTAGGATAGACCTCTCGTCTGCAAGCTGGGTATATGCGCGCTTAGTGAACGGTAGAGGACTCGGATGTGGGTAATGAAAGTCGGTCTTGGAGTTTGCGGGGCATCCCGAGCAACGTTGGCGCTCGGCGTCCGAGGTGACCACCAGTCGTACCGTTGGACGACATGATGGCGAGAAGCAAGTCCTGAAGCATCGACGCGACATGAGCCCGCATGACCGCATCTGCTCGGACCGGACCGGGATACCGGACAGGTCTCCACGTCTGAGAGGGACTACAGACTGCTCATCCCCAGTCTTTGTGCTCAAGCACCTACAATAATTTCGACGTCCCGAAGCATTTCCACGCCCCTACCAGACTGCTCCCTAGACGCCACCATCTCCTTCAACGCGTCCTCAACCCTATCATGCGCGCCTTGGTCCTGGAAGCGAAAGACCACGGTGGTCAATTTCGGCAGTAGCGGTCGCTGGTCCTTCGTCACGGTGAGCTGGCGCAGCACGGGTAGCAACGCCGAGCTATACAACTCAATCACATGCAGCTCCTCTAGGCCATCGAGACGCTCGAAGCACCGTATGAGCATCTCCTCCTCCCCCGCCGCGAGATCTTCCAGTATCAACCCCTTCACGCGCAGCGACTGGCGTGACAAAAAGTCGAGCAGCGCCGGAAGCTGAGTATAGTCCGCATTTGGTAGCTTGGCAAGTACGAGGCGGTGCAGAACAGGACTCTCAATCGCCGGCAAGAAAACCTCGGCTGCTCGGGACATGAGGCAGAGATCTCCCAATATCTCCAAGCGTAGTAAGGAGCCATCTGACTGCCTGATCCGCGAGCCCTCGTGAAAGTCTCCGATGATGTCTAGGGTCAGGGTCGTTAGGGTCTGCATGCAGCTTTGCATGGCGGCGAGGATTGCCGTATATGGGGGATGGTCCCAGGAGGCAATTTCGATGAGTATATCGAGGGTCGTCAGGTGCGGAAAGGGTGGGATGGCAACCAACGACCAAATTGACATCGCCTTCCCCCCGAGGAGGCGTACAGTCAGGTCTATGAGTGTGGGTGCATTGGTCAAAAAGTGAAGTGGCGTGTGAACCTTTGGTCCCATAGCCGGACCCTCGATACAGATGCACGCCGTGCGAAGCAAGGGAAGCTCAACCATCGGCTGCGCCTTCAATGTAGCACACGAGGACGTAATTTCGATAGACGCCCAGCGCGCGGCATGTAAGCGCAGAAGTTTGAGGAGCTCTGCTCGAGGCCCATTCTCAGTCCATTGCCAGTGACGCAGATGAAGAGGGAGGTCTCCGGACCGCCGAATCTGCGCCGCGTAGCTATCCAAGGGCGACATCCGCTCCGAGGAGATATAGCTCCAGAGCAGCGGCATACCCAGTACAACGGTTCGCCACGTAAAGCATACGCAGGCGACGGTACGCGCGAGAAGCGGACCTCTATCGAAGGGGCTACCGGGAGCTACTTCGAAGAATATGCTCGTCAAAAGCTCAGGGGGTAGACGCCGCACGGGAGATACAATGGAGAGATTGACTGCTGATACGCCCTGCGGCTGAAAAACGCGGAAAAACATACATAAACAAGCGATATATAGTCGACTTGGTCTAGATTGTATGGGCGGATCCGTATATACTGCACCGACGTCGCGACTGTACAACGGGCGCGTCGGGGGTATTTTATGACACAGAAAACCAGGAGCGCCACGCTTCCTAACCTTCAATACAACTAGTCCGCAGCATTATCCGTCTGCAATGACTGACCAAGGATAGTAGCGAGCTCTTCGGCGCCTGATCACGAGTCTGCGCGTCGTCGATGACATCCTGCGAGTCCTTTGGCGGGCCCTACTTAATCAAGTAGCCGCGCTATACGCGCCTCAAGCCTTCAGTCCTCTTGCCCTGCTGTGTCAAGAGAATCTAGATTATTGTTGGGGCTCGGACAAGCCTTCCTGCTGTTCGCCGTCATGCGGAGACACGCAGAGCACCGCGCAAGCGGAACTCGAACCATCAACGTGACTACACGTGACTTCGGGTCCGAGACCGGTGGGATAGCCTAGCTAGCCCAGCGAGGGGATCCTCGGGGCGACGGCCTGGTGGTGGCTCGGGATAGGATAGCAGATGGTCTACACGTGTGTCTACGCAGTGGTATAGGCGTGTGGCTCGGGCCTACGGCCCGGGATCCCTACTCCATCTTCCCCCCTCTCGCGTGGCGACGTCCTCGTCGCCAGAGAACCTGACCAGAATGAACCCTACGACAAGCTCCTCCTGACCCAGCCCAATGCATGAAGCGCTCGCGACAAGTCCTGCAACCTGGGATCCAACCTCCAATCCAATGTCGAGCTATCATCCTCTCGTGGCAAACGCGACTCGGACCAGTGATGACGACGGTGTGGCGACCTAGCGCGACGTGGGCGCGGACGAGGACGGGACTGACCCCCGCGACGACGACGACGGTTCAGGGACGCAAACGGGGTGGTGTTGCCACTCGACAACGAAGATAGGTCACGGGGCGGCGGTGGAGATGTGTGTGACGGTGGTATGGGACTGATGACGGGGAGGTGCATATCTACCTCAGCAGCCCAATCGAGAGATTCCGTGAGAGGCGTGGCAGAGGCAGCAGTTGTGGGCAGAGAGACTTGAGTCGCAACCTCCACGTGGACAGGATGAATGAGGAGTGGTGACTCTAAGAGTTGAGAGTCGGTGGTAGGGGGCTGCGTCTGGATGGCGGCATCGGTGGTGAGTGTCGGACTGCAGTCGACAGCAGCATCGACTCGGGGTGCAGGCGCGGATTCGTCGACATCGCCACGGTCGTGTATGCGCACCACATTGAACAGAGCAGCACATGTTTCCATGCCCGCTTCCTTTCCGCGACTCCAACCGTCTTCGAAGCCCTGCTGAAATCCGCTCTCGAAGTCCGCATAGTCCGCGCAGGACCGTCCGTGCACGTGTCCCGCATTCTCCCACCGTTCGCGCTCGCGCGTGCGACCAAGGACGCTGCCGGCGAGGAATTCGGACTCGAGAACCTTGTTGGGCGGAGTACCCTCGGCCGTGACATAAGATCTGGCGACCTCGAGGAGGTTGGTCCACAGCGCGATGCCAGCAGTGGTAGGATTGATCGTATACAGATTGCGGTAGACATCGAGGGCCTTCGTGAATTTTTGGGGAATTTGTATGGCAGTAGCACGTTGGCGCTCGTTCGGCGCGGTGGACATAGGAGGCATGGCGGGGATAATACTCGTGGAGAAACGTGTGAGTCGTTACACGTATGAATCGCACCGACAAGGCGCGGAAGAGGCAGCGTCAGATGCGCGAGATGACGCGACAACAACGACAGAAAAGAACACAAACGCAGACGCAGACGCAAACGACAGACGCAACGCAACGCAACGCAACGCAACGCAACGCAGAGACGACAACGACAAAAAACGCAACGCAGGGAGACGACAACGACGACGACGACAGGGTATGTGACCAAGACAATGACGGAGAAGCGCACGAAAGGACACCGCGAGGACGGGGTTTTGGTGCTCTCAACGTCTCGGTGCCCGGGCGATCACGGAAAGCACAAAAACCGGTTGGCGCTGGCGCTGGGACACGACCGACAGGCGTGCAAACCTCGTGTGCTGGAAAACTCGAACGTGGAGAACAAGCTCGACACGGAGATGGCGCTAGCTGGTCTGCAGGGGCTTGGAAAACCGTATCGCACTCTCGTCACCAGATGGGATAGCCTAGCTAGCCCAGCGAGGGGATCCTCGGGGCGACGGCCTGGTGGTGGCTCGGGATAGGATAGCAGATGGTCTACACGTGTGTCTACGCAGTGGTATAGGCGTGTGGCTCGGGCCTACGGCCCGGGATCCCTACTCCACCGGAACTTCGGGTCCGAGCTCGTGATCTCGGACATCGCCGAGTTGAACTCCGAACCGAGCGTCGGCGCCGCCAAGCGCTGTCCGCCCCGGCAAGGGCTTCACTCCCCGCGTATCGACAGTCTAGGCTGTACGCTCCCCGCCGCGCAGGCCTCTGAGCCGCGTCGCGCACAAGGGAACCGGTGGAAACCAGGCTGGCCTTGCCTTGGTAAACATCAACAAGTGTGGAATCGCGCCCGGCATCGCGGCGCAGGAGGATACCCGACCAGTCAACCGCTCTACCGCCAGGAACCGCAGTCATTGCGCGATTATTCGGACAGGGGAACGCGCGGATAGGCGTTATAGTTGGATTTTGACTCAGAGATAGGCATTGTGTGTTGCCGCGCGGTCTGGACGGCCGAGGCGGCGCGTTCGAGTTATATACCGAGACCTACATACGATTCGGGGACTTTTCCCGCCCCGCGCAGAGAAGCCCTAGTACCTACACACCACACCAAATAAACATAACCGCGTTAACCCGCACTTTACACATCATAAAAGCCTGAACTTCCGAGCGCATTAAACCGCCTTGTGAACTTCAATCAAACCCGAAAGCGCTCGTAAGAACGCCGAGACGTCCGATTGCCCCACTCGACTTCTCGCTTCAGTCCAGCTCGTCTGGAACTGGCATAAACAACACAATATATCCCCTAGTAATATAAATACTCGGACTCGCCCGCTCTCGTAGCGCCTCCAGTCTAGCGTGTTCATTGCTATCGTGGTTGTTGGTGTTTGGTTGTGTGGATCGTCTAGCTAGACTGTACTTCGCGTCTTTCGTGAGCGTACGATCCCATCACTGCGAGTTGCTTTGAGGCCTGCGCGTACAGGGCGGGCAAATCCCCGGCTTCTGATGTTGACCTCATCAGCAATTCGGATATTCGATTCGAGATGTCGATGATTTCGCCTCTTTGTAGTGCAGAAGGAACGAAGCCATCGCGTTGCAAGTCGAGCGAGGCTAGGCTCGCAGCGCGCTCGAGGAGGGCAGCAAGTGGCATATAGGCTAACCAGTATGTTAGCAGTATACATAACCTTGAGCTTCGAAGGTCTTACTGGTAAACTTTGGTCGAGATGATGGAGGCGTGAGGCAAAGCGCGAGCCACGATGAAAGCACGTGAACAGGCTAGAGCCGCAATTGCCACGATCACATGGTGAGTTCAACTTTCGAGCACGCGTCAGCGAACGCCTTATCAGGACCCGTCACGAAGGTAGGCCAGTCCATCGATAGCATGATATCAAGGAGAACACGATGACATAGGCATATATCTATGTACTAAGGTGCAGGCCCTTGCACTGGGTGACAACAAACGGTAACTGTAATATGTAAAGAAGTCAGCGCTTGTAGCGCCTGTACATAAGAAGTGTCCGGATCCATCCAACCTAATGCAGCAATGACATCTGCAACTTCCCTCGCTCTGCTACCTGCTGAATGCGACTATCCTTTGAATCCAAGATATAAGCGAGATTTGTTTGCGTGGTGTTGCCTTCGGGAATCCTATCTACAACGAGGAGGAGCGGGCGATACACTGGGACGCTGTCCAGCGCCGAGTTAGCGTGAAGGAATTTGAGGTCCTCGGGAGTGAGCGGGCAATGTATGTCTGCACACCTAACCCCGAAGCGCGAGAGCTCGCGAAGAGAAAACCATGGCGCGGGCACTTCATTTGCGTGGCCTTTGAATCGAATGCTCCTTCCCTGGAATGCCGCGACCAGCTGCTGTGTTCCTCCAATGCGTTCCCGGAACTCCTCCGGGGTGTATCGCTTTCCGTGCAGGATCTGGGCGCGGTATGCTCCCTCAGGAAACTCCACCGCAAAGAGGTTCCAGCCCTGGATCGGGCAAAGCTTCTCGACAAGGTAGTCGACGGCAGATAGCTCCACAGGCGCATTTGGCGAAACTCTGATTGTCAGATAGATCCTCGCGGCGGGGTCTATTTGTTGGATGCCACGCCGGAAGATGTCGACGGCTGCGTCCACGTTGGGCAGAGTGGCCATCCTCAGGCGTTCGTCCCCGCAGTAAATGAAATTCCTCTCGTTCCATATAACGCAGAAGAACTCATGGGTTTTGACAGGTTCCTCTGTGACCCTGCGCCAGGCGAATGTAATGCGATAGTGTTCCTCTTGTACCATAACGGATTACGGCGCGAGGTGTGCGGTAGGTGGTGAACAAGAATCGGTAGAAGGCGGCGAAGGTCTGCAGCGAGACAGGACACGTTGTGAGGATGGTGAGAGTCCTGACGCAGGGCTAGAGGGATCACAGTAGACAGTGCGGAAGATACCAAGTCGCCTTCGCCTTATGTAGTAGGCGAGGGAGTAACGTAAGGGGAAGACATACCCGTCCATGCATGTGCAACAACAAAGTCGGTCATGAGCAGTGGCTTGGCGGCGCGCCGCAGATCAGCGTGAGCAAAGTGGAGATCCTAACAAGAACAAAGCAATGAATTGGAATGCGACAAAAGGTGAACGAGTGAGGAGTCGGGATGCGTACCTGCGTCGGTGCCGGTCATGAATGCGAGGCGACGCGAAGACGTGTTTGTCAGCTCGAGCGCCGCCAGCGACAAAAGAGCTCAGTCAAGACTAGCGCTTCACCGCTAGACTAAGCGAATTGTTAGCAAGAGCAGCGCTGATGCACGCTAAGGACATAGGCCTTCGATGCATAATTACGTTTCAAGGTTTTGACCTGCCTATACCGTGGTAAGACTGAGCTCTCCATGCCCCGACTGCGATGGAGAGGCCTTGAATATCGCCTCATAGTCGATGGGGTAGCGAATCAGAGACAAGGGATATTGACGGCAAGACCCGGGGACCGACATAGGGTTCAGAAACGCACAAGAAGAGAAAAACTTGAAGCACTCCGTGAGCCAGGAAGGTCTGATCTTGTTCATTTCTAGAGGGCGCGAAGGCGCCATACATCCGGTCAAGATGGTGGAATGAAGAGAAGCCGTGGATTGCACGTGCCGGTAATTGTCACGTCGTGACCCACTGAAGCTTAGCTTCTCGCCCGTACGTTGGGCGGTATGACGACCCTACTTACTAGTAGCACTGCTATCTATAGCCTTATGTTTCTGTTCCTACGTCTCAAAGCGTATACATTAATTATAGGGAAAGCGTTCCGAGGATACACACGACAAGGAAAAATCGTGTCACCACCAATCTCCATCGAAGACGTCCTTTCCACTGGTTACCTCGACCGTTTCCAACCTACATACTGCCTGAGATGCGCAAGTACGAGGTACGTCTCTAGACTGCAGCATCGTGTCCAAATCCGCCTTGATGGACAGCATCGCCTTGTCATGATAAATCCCCAGCCGGATCATCGAGAGTCGAGGCAGAAGTGGTTGCCGATCCTCCGAAACAGCAAGATCCCGAAGAAGGTCTGGTGTCAAGAGCTTCAATTGAATTTCCGTTTCTCGTACCCGAAATTCTTCGAGGTGGCTGAGGAGCTGAAGGCAGGAAACGAACTCCTCGTAATCGGGAGACTCGAGGTTGTCCAAAGACAACCTCTTGATGCGCAAGGATTGGCGCGACAGGAAGGCGTATACGAACGGAAATGGGCTACGCTCTGGGAGTTCCGTCATCCCTTGAAGAATGATCTCTTCAAGGCCGGGCGCCGTAATGTGTTCGAGGACCTCGCATGAAAGGGCATCGCCGAGAGAAATATCGCGGAGGGCATCCATCTCGATTAGCGTAGGCGCGACTGAGCGCTGCGGCGGTGGGAGCCCTCCGTACATTACGAGGACTAGTTCTGTGAGTGACGCCCTGTGATCGCGCAAGGTCGCGAGGGCCACATGCAAAGCAGGATTGTCCTCCAAGATCCCGCATGCCACGACGAGCGTGAGCTTCTTCAGGTTTGGAAATGCAGGCAAGGTAATCCTCGACCAATCGATATCTTCCGCGTCGTTCTGACCAAGCAAGAGCTGCAGGCGCCTCAGCGTCGTTGCGCCGGAGATGAAGCGGAGCGGCTGACTTGTCGCGCTTTGGGAAACAGATGCGGACGCTTCCTCCAGAATGGGGACGTCGAGCGGCTCGTGCATCTCGATCTTCGCGCATACGTCATGGCACGATAAAACCCTCCAGCGCGGGGAGGCGAGAAAGATCTGGTCCAAGGTGTCCTCAGCGCCTGCCAGATTCTCCACGTCTGAAAGGTCGATGAGAAGGGGGAGGCCACCAGACAGTCGAAGGAGCTTCACGCAGTCGGGGTTGCCAGACCATTTTGGCAAGCCGGAAAGGGAGATATACGTCCAGAGTTGCGGTGTGGCGTGGGCGATGGCGCGCCAGCCCTTGCATACGAGAGCCACCGTCGTGGAAATAGCCTTCACACGATCGGGGTATTTCTCCATGTCTGCGAGAACTACAAATATCTCGGAAAAGATCTCGCGCGGGACACGCCGCAGCGGCGAGATGATCGACTTATTGACGGCGAGCTGGGTTTGCAGACGCTCGCGCAGCACGCGAGGGGCCGTCGATTCGTAGGCGGATAGTTTGGAGGACATCTCAAGGATTGCCGACTTTTCCTCCGGCGAGGGGACGTAATCATCGCGCAGGAGGTCGATGTTGGCGAGGCACGAGGCCTGTTGAAGAAGGGCGGAGAGTTCGGTGAACCGCCTGTTCATGAGACTGACAATCGACGTTAGACCCGCTTTGGAACGTAGAAGCAATTAAACCACGCACTCAAGTTATCTCCAGAGGACTTCGATCGACGTCAAGGTGAGCGTAGAAAGCGAGGAGGATTACCAACACGAGGATGTCAGTCCTCTTCGAGATCACATGACTCCGTGTCGATATGGGCGACCTTCATATTCGAAGCCAGACCCTCGCATCGCTCAGCACTGCATGGATTTCCCGGGAAAGTCCGTCAAGAAAGGCAGATAGTTGGAGCGCTCCATACTCATACAACATCCATCTAGCTGTTCATATCGCTCACGCACTCCCAGCCGCCCTTCAACGTCTCCTTCCACAGCGTCACCTTCCCATCGCCACAGCTCACCGCCAACAGGTTCCCCGCCAGACTCCAGCTCACGCGCCACACCACATCCGGGAACCGGTGCCCCTCCCCGCCGATCACCGTCTTCGCCCACGGCGCGCCCGCGCGGTCGCGCGTCCACACGACCGCCGTCTTGTCCTGGCTGCACGTCGCGATGTACGAGCGCGGGAGCCCGATGCTCGGCGCCCACGCGACGTCGCGCACCCAGTCCGCGTGCCCGTCGAGGACCTCCTCCTCGACGTAGGACGCGGTGTCCGGGTGGTACGCCCAGATGCGCACGAGGTTGTCGCAGCCGGCGGAGGCGAAGCGCTGCACGGAGGGGGCGTTGGGCGTCCCTGGGGCGGGGACGACCAGCGAGCCGGGGATGACGGCGGGCGCCCAGGAGACGGCGTTGCAGCCGATGGCGTGCCCGTTGAAGATGTCGGCGCCCCATTGGCCGTCGTCTTGGGGAGGGATGAGAGAGTGAAGGGAAGAAGTCGTATATGGACGTACCTTTGAAGGTGAGGACGGAGAGCTTGCCATCGGACGAGGCGCATGCGAGGATTGCGCCGAGTTCGTGGGGTGCCCAGGCGACGGAGTTGACTGAACGAACAAGACGATGAGTACGCGCATCCGAAGCAGAGTCAATATCACACACCCGACGCCGTATGCAATGTATGCTCCTTCACTTTCGCCCACTGTCCGCCGGTCTCCTTCCAGATCAACACCTTCCCGTCATACGAGCAGGATGCAAGGATGTGTCCGAACTTTGGGTGGGCCCAGGCTACTTGCCAGACGGGGCCGGTGTGGCTGAAGAGATTGGATCAGTACGCAGTAGCAACGTTGAAGTAGAAAGCGATCAAGGCTTTGGAGCGTTGGGGTTGATCGAGACAAAGCCGGGAAGAATGGTATTGGAATGCAAAGACGAGGGCGATCGTGAGGCGTGCATTTAGCGCGGAAGGAAGATGCATGTGTGGACAGCGCGGGTAGCTGCATACGGGAAAGCCATGCACACTCACCCCTTGAGCGTGCTCCCAGGTCCAGTCGCGCCGTTCTCGGTCACGTCGAAGACCTTAACTGTGCGGTCTGACGAGCATGTGGCGAGGCGCTTGCCATAGTAGTCGAGTTGGGCGTCATGCTGGGTTAATTGTCAGTCCCCTGGTCAATCAGCGACTTACAGAGCACGGCCTAGGATGGGCGTGTCGAAGGGGAAGGTGTGAAGATGGGTATCGGTCGGGAAACTGGGAGTGTGTAATTGCTTGCCCGGCTCGAAGGTGCTCGGAGTACGCGCCAAGTGTTCCGCTTCCGTTCGTCCACCAAGAGATAATCCAAAGTCAATGTACGCACAATCATATCTTCGTGGGCGGTCTCGATAGGGACCGCATCTGTGGTCGTGGCGGTCGGCTACATCGCGCATCGTTAGCATGCCTCTCATCTTCTAATGACATTGCCGCGCACCATTTTGTAGTTGAAGTTGAGCTCGACGTGTCAATCAGCTGAGAGAGAACAAGGGGGTTTGCAAGGGGACCCAACGCGCCGCGCGGGGGAGGAGGACAAGACGTGTCTGATGCGCCTGTCACGTTCGCGTGACGAATTGTTCGCACGGTTTCAAGGTCGACTTCCGGCCGAGAGTTCAAAGAAAAATAAGAAGGGACATGTAAGGTTGGCATAGAGAGAGAAATACAGAGATTTTGGAAGAGCTTTAAGTCTAATCGATAAAGGGAATTGCAGCTGAGTACAGGTGTACGGGATCTGCAAATCAGGGGACAATGATACCTATCTAATACTGCTCTCTACTAAGGCGTGATAGCTCAGTTGGGAGAGCAGCAGACTGAAGTTCTGAAGGTCCCGCGTTCAATTCGCGGTCATGCCATGCGGTGGCGGCATTGTTTTTGCTGGAATTTCCACCCGACCAAATATTTGTCCGCTGATTTGATCCGGCATTCAATCACTGCCGAATGCGATGACGTTTTCAGGGGCGCGTTACGGCCATTCACCTCAGATCGGGCACCGCACAGAACTCCCCTTGCTCCGCTCCCCCATCTCTGTCTTCGTGTTTGTTTTTTCTGTGGTCCTTTGTCTTTGTTCCCCCCTTGTTCGATTCTAAACGATGGCTGGCTGGTGCGTGCTGTGTTGGACAGGCAAGGAGAGCAAGAGCTGACGATTTCCCTGCGGCGCGCAGGACGGACATCCTAGTATTGATAGTTGTGCGTTGGCTGGCCGGCTGGTGAAGGTGGAACGTTGGCTGACCTGCCCCCCTTAGGTCGTGGCTATCCTGAGCGGCGTCACATACGGTGTCATAGTCGCATCACAGCAAGTGTCGACTAGCGTCGAGAACACGAAGGCCAAGTGAGCGATCGCGCGCCACGTCTTGCTCGCGAGACGCTAACATTGCCCAAACTTCCCCTCCTTCCCCTCGTACTCCCATTCTCCTCGTCCCGTCCACCTTCCTTTCACATGAACCCCACAATCCCTCGTTTACTCTCACCTTTCACACACCTTCACTCCCCCGCTACCGACCCACCCCTCCCCCAGACTAAAAGACCGCGGCTTCGACGTCTCCCGCGGCGGCGTCTCCGTCAAAACCTCCGGCCGCATCGACCGCGACGACTACATCGACGCCACCCAGCGCGGTTTCATCAAGGCCATGGGCGCGGCGTCTTTCAGGAAGGACGCGCACCCGTCGCCGAGCGCGCACGGTGCGTCAGGCAGCGTGTCAGGGGCGTCAGGCAGCGTGTCAGGGGCCGGCTCGTCCATGGAGCGCCGGGACTCGGGCGCGAGTCTGAACTCGGAGGAGAAGAAGAAGAGGAAGTCGTTGTTCGGGCGGAAGTAGGCGAGCGCTCGCGAAAGGGAGGGTTGGGCGTCGCGGGGAGGGCATCCTGTGGACGTGGAGGGCTCGGGCATCGGGGGGCGCGCTGGAGGCTGTAACGCGACGCCGGGGCGTTGAGGCTTTCGGGAAGTATGTGGGCAGCCCGGCAATTCGGGCTGCAGGGACGCGCCGACGATGCCAGGAAACTCTCGCGAACTCACCGCCAAGAGTACCTTTGCCGCAGGTTTGGAAGCGCCGGTACGGCTGTTCATCATGCGGGTGGCAGTTACTTGGGTCAAGAACTTCGACCGCTGTATTGAGCACACGCAGTACACACATCGTATTCAGAAGCCTAGTACCGTGCTTCCCAGCACGTCCATACGCTCACCGCCGTCTTCCTCCTTCTATATCATCTACGCCACCTCCCTACTGCACCGCCCATGCCACCCCCATACTGCATCTTCCCAGTCACCCTCCTACTTCATCTCCTACGCCTCCCTCCTGCAGCTCTGCACCACACATATACGTCCGTCTCTCCATCCACAAAATCGCTATCTATCCGCAATATTTATCATCGGTGTATATTACTCAGAGAGATGGGTGTGCATACTCAAAGAGATAGGTGTGCATACTCACAGAGATGGGCGTGTATATAGCATGAAGCTGCATTGGCGCTGTGATCTTCGTTGGGTGAGGTTCTAGTGCTGATATCGGGGCTGATGATCTTTAATAGTGCTGATATTGGCGCTGGCACCGTGAGCTCCAGCCGTCCTGTGGCTTTGTTTGGTTCAGCTTGGTTAGGCGCGTCGGCATTTGCCGTTCGTTGCTGTGGCGTCGATGAGGCTGGCTTCCGTCTTGTTCTCCTAAATTATGCAGTCCGAGCTTTTCGACTCGCGCGCTCACGCCGCACCGGGTATGTCTTCTACTTAGACTGTCTCAATGCAGGTCTATGCCGCTCATAGCTCTCATTGGCGATAGCATGACTATCACGACGGACCTCTCGCTCATGATTCATGATTGTTGTCTCCTCGCCAAAGTTGCTGTCTCTGGAGTTCGTACATTTATGAGGTCCAAGCTCATATCAGGGCCGATTGTACCGACTCCTTTGGCATCTACGCTTCTCCGTCGTCACTTCGGAACATGCGCCTCTCTGCCTCTCTGCGCATCCATACTCATCTTGTTGGCAAGAAACGGCCAGAGGAAGGAAGGGCGCTATGACGCGGACAGGAGCGTGCATTCCTTTGCCAGGTGTATGCTCTGCATGACCCCTGTACGCTCTTTGATGCGGCGTTGAGCCGTTGGTACGCGAGCTCAACAACATTCCTTCCGAAGCTGATAGTAGGTGACGTTTCGCTCCGCGCCGCGTAGGGCGTATGTACTCGTTCCCCTTCCGATGACAGTGCCAGATGCATCTACGCTATGTTGGAAACCCAGCCCCATGTTGACCTGTCAGCGCCACCGTTTTTCTGCTTCCCCATGCGGCGCGTATGGCTCTTTGTTCTGTCACCTAACTCTCTTTCGATTCCGCTGGTGTTCATTCTTCATCTCCACTGCCGTCCATTCATGAATTCTGGCGACCTCCTATGCACCGCAGGTCTACCTCTTTGGGGCTGAATGTTGTTTTATGTACGTGCATACGCGAGGTATGACAATTTTGTGTTGCTGACCGTCATTTTCAAGAGCAGACGACGGCGAGTCGCTATACCTATCGTCGCTTTCGCCCCGCCGTCCGACTTGGCTTTGATTGCTCGCCCACTCGCTCGCCACCTAGCCGCCAAGGCCGCTTTCGATTATTCCGCTGCGCGCTCACATCTGCTCTCGCCCTCTTGGCCGCCTTTTGCGTACCGTCACACCACCGCCATGGCCCACATCCCCATACAAATGGCGCCCCTGGTGCCCATAGAGCATGAATACCTAATCGTGTGCGGGCTTCTCGATTTCTTCGAGCGCACCAAGCTGGGCTTTCGGCTCGAGAGGTACAACGGCTCGAGGTTGTCGCGCGACAACTACCTCATGAGCGAGCTCGACGAGGTCATTTCCTGGGCCCAGGACACCCTCCGTAAATACCCGGCCCCGACCGTCGAGTTCCAGGTGATCATCAAGGAGGGGCACCCCATGGAACTCGCCGCCATCGACCACCTCGTCGAGACGCTCTGCTTCATCCCCGGGTGGACCCAGCTCGTCATGTCGTTCGAGCTCTTTCCCATCACTATCTCGTCCCGCAAGCGCGGCACCTTCGAGGGGCTCTTCGCGCGGCGCGGGATCGGGCAGCTCATGTTCGCGCTCGACGGCAAGAGCGTCACCTACAATGGCCCGTGGGATCTTGTGCCAGCGCCGTGGATGGCGCTCGAGCGCCTCTCGCGCTTTTTCGTGGGCAAGGTCGACGTGTGGAGCAATGTCAATCCCGATGAGGCGGAGGACCGGCTCAAGGTCAATGCAAAAGTGGATTGGAGGGTCGCCCATGAAGAGGACGAGGAAGCGAAGATTAACACGGAGTTCTGGGAGCCGGGGACGCAGAGACATTGGTTTTTGAGGCCTTGGCGCTCATCTGAGGCGAGGTCTTCGGCAGGACAGTTTGTAGGCTCGGAGTCGCACTGAACTTGAATGCATAGGGATTACGGCCACTATATACTTCATTTGAAAAAGTTGCATATATGCTTTCTGAGTTGATACTGTACTTCACGATAATGCTGATTTATCTCAAGTTCCTGACCTTTAAATAGGCTGCATCAGCCGATTGTTTGGTCTTGCTTGGTACTGTAGCACGGCTTGTCGGCAGGACGGCCGTTTCGAGCCTTGTCCTCAACCGCCATTCTGAGGCTTCCATCGAGAGTCCTATACTTCTGGATCCGTCTTCAAAAGCGATTCTCAGCGTCACCTTCGCTCTCGGACGATGCACCGCTGCTGGGAAGTCGCAGAAATCCGACACGAAATTTGCGATCATGTCCGACGCCGCGATCTAGCGTCTCTTGCCCGCGTCTGCAGCATTCTACAACTCTCAGCGTCTCAGATTCTGTAGCGTACAATTAGAAATCTCGCTGCACTGCCTTCCTTTAGATGCTTTGAAGAAGGACAAGCGCGTAAGCGCCATCATCGAACTTCGCTCTTTTCACTAAGCTTGATTTCAGCGCTTGAGGCGACCACTCTTTCCTGACGATTACACTCGCTTGAGGCGCTATGTTTCAGCGCTTGAGGCGACCACTATTCCTGACAATTACACTCGCTCTGACAATCACACTCGCTTGAGGCGCTATGCACCTTTGGTCAATAATATCCAGATCAGATGCATACCGCGCGTCGATGCCAGCGCTCTCGACGCGCTCATCGCCGGCTGGGGTCCTACGCTTCTATTTCCCAATCTACGATCAATACTCTGGCGGTCCTGGGATGAAATTTCACCCTTCCTACGCTCATGCCTTTGTCCCAGCGTCGTCGAGATCGACTTCCGCCCGAATGTTCATGCATGTACAATCATGCTCTCTGTGCTTGGGAGCGTGCACCGGACCTGCCCTGCCTTGCGCAGCGTTCGAGTGCAGCCGCATCACAACCGAGAGCTGTTCGGGGTGTCAGCGGTGTTGAATTTTGCGCAGACGTGCGCGCCGCTGGAGTCGCTGCGGCTACCCTCCGCGCATTTGGCGGCAGGCGCACTAGCTCACATAGGCGCCCTGTCAGCTCTGCGGTCTTTCGAGATGTCAGTCGGTTCGTTGGATTCCGATCTACCGGAGAAGGGCTCCTTCCGCGACCTTGAGTCGCTCTCCTTTCGCGCCTGTGTCAGCCCCAAATACTGCGTCGACTTCATCCGGCGAATGGCCAGCGGAATGATACACACCTTGGTTGTCAAGCAGAGCCGTCCAGCCGCGCATGGCATGCTGTTCTCCAAGTCATGTGCGCCCGCATCCCGCGTGCGACGCTCACTGTCTTCACATTGACGGAGGAGATGGGGGGTATGCAGGATGATATTAGCGACGAAGACGTAGATCGCCTCGACATCCGCTCCCTGCTTGGTTTTTGCAACCTCGTGGAGCTGCGCGTCAATGTCGTATCCCCTCCGGACCTCACCGACGCCGAGTTCCGCTCGCTCGCGCAGGCCTGGCCCCGTCTGCGCGTCCTCAGCGTCCTCTCTCGTCGCCGGTGGGATTCCCGAGGGCGCACCCCAAGCGCAACTCTCCTGACCTTTGTGTCGTTCGCAGAGCTCTGTCCGCACCTAAAGCGCATAGAGATAGTTGTCGATGCGCGCCTCCCAAAACGCTTCTCCGGCAAGCCAGGACGCGGCGCGGCGTGCCACGCGCTCAGGCAGCTGCACGTTGGAGCCTCGCCCATCGACAATGCAACGTTAGTCGCGGCGTTCTTGTCTGATATATTTCCGCCGCTGGGCTGCGTTGAGATGGAGACCAAGCCGTTGGTGGGAGGAAAGCTGGTCGAGGAGACAAGACAGAGGCGTTGGAGCGAGGTGAAGAAGTTGTTGCCGACGTTCAACGCAATACGGCTGGCTGAGCGGACGTATGTGGCGGCTAACGAGTGGCAAATGGGAATGCGGCACTTGGAGGTATTGGGAAGTGCGCCTGAAGATGGGGACTCTTCATCGGAAGGCTCATCTGAAGGGGATACCTCTGACTCGTCGATCGCCGAGAGCGATTCGGATTGGTGAATGGCAAGCTCAACTACATCGGCTGGAGGGACCGAGGCTGAGTTACTCAGACTACAAAGTATTGGATATGGGGCCTGTCTACTGAGGCGCGAACTCTATGGTCGACGAGGACGAATGGATAAAATGAGTGCAATAAGGTGAACAGACCATGTGATCGTGTATTTCTGCCTGATTCGCGAGTTGCCGAGCGGACTACCTGGTGGTGCTGATCACATCTTGTCCTCCGTCATGTCACTACCATTCCGACTCGTCTCCCCTCGAGCCGTACCCATCTCAGATCCAGGGTACCCTGTGCAGCTATACCCAGCGACACTTCATAAGCAGACATAGTCGAGCTTCTCTGTGAACTTCGCCAAATTCGGATATGCCGATCGGCAGCAGAAAGGTATATTCATCAGTCGGGGGCGGTATACAGATGACCACTAACATGGCGAAACTTTTCAGCTTAGCATATCGTCTCTCTTCCAGTACTCGCGGCGACAGAAGGAATCGAACGCCACCGTCGTTTCTTTCCCTTTGCTTGATCTACCGCAGGAAATCCTCGAGCGCGTGATTGTGCTGGCGCGCCCGCTGGATATCGTATCCCTCAGCAGAGTAAGTCTTTCACTACTGGTTCCATAAATCGCGTCTCATAACCTTGCAGACATGCAGAGTCCTACATGCGCTCACGACTCAACGCAGACTGTGGCTTGAGGTCGCCGAAATCGTGACTGAGCTCAACAACATGGTCATCCAGCGCTCTCTTCTCGATGCTATGTCACTTCGCGACCTAATTCACTTCTCGGCTTCGTCCACCCTCTTCCTTCGTCGTCTAGAGTCCCTCGGGCAAGTGAAGAAGCCGACTCGCTCTGCCTTTCGCCTCCGACCACGCACGCAGCGGGCACTTCCCGTACTCTTCCCTCCAAAACGAATTGAAGACGATGGAATACATGCGACATACCTGACGCTGGTCTCTGGCGGGCGGTTCCTTTTGGCACAGCATACGACTCCAACAGGAGCTACCGCCCGTTTACTGCGCTTGTCTGACGCCGGGGATGGGACGCTCGAGGTGTACGAGGTGGCGGTCAAATCCTTCGAGGGGTACTGCCGAATACACAACCATTGGGCAACGTCGCACAGACGGACTGTCTTGCGGTTTGCCGTGCTAGAGAAATTGTGAGATGGTTAACTAGTAAACCGATGTTCGAGCTGATCAAGTCCAGTGAATCCTCGCCTTCTACCCTTGCGATTTACGACGTAGACACTGCTACTATCCAGCCGGAATTTACCCTGGTAGCTCGTAGCAGTGACCCGCTCCCTGCACTTCACCCGCGCAGTCTGGTCTCGCACTGCGATGAGCGACGCGTCGCCCTGTGCGGAGAGTGCGCCGTAGCAATCTGGGACTTCATTCACGACAGGATGGTTTCGTTTAAATGTCCGAGGGCGGAGGATCCCCGATATCCCTACGTGCGTGAAACCCTTCCTCCCCTGGCCAAACTGCTGATGACCGAACGCGCCGAACAGCATGTCAAAGTCGTTGATAACCGTGTCCTCTACTTCCAGCAGAGCCTTATATTGATCTACCAACTACCTGAAGATGCGGACGGCCACCTCTGTACGCTGGAACCCAGCTTCAGACTCGCTGTCGGCGATGACGGCCTCACGGTCAACAACGTATACTTCTCCCGCGCGCCAGCCATCCCCAATCAACCTTTCCGCTTCCACGTCCACTCCTGGTCCTCCGATACCCTGCGAACGTACGAGCTCCCTCCGGGTTCCGGCGTCCCATTTTCCCACCCATTGCGCGCCGTGCACTGCCCGCGCATTGAAGCCCGCGACGGGTGCGAGGCGCCGCGGAATCCATGGGCGGTCCAAGCTTCTGCATCGTACACGACGTGTGACGGGACGTGCTTTATACCTCGACCCTCGTCAGGTTTGCGCTCGACGGTGCTCTGGTTCGATCTGGAGAGGGAGAACGAGAGTGGCGAGGGCAGTGACGACGTGCGCGCTGGTCACGCGGAGCTGGTCCATCGGGATGACTTTAGCAGGGCGCAGGGGATCGCTTTCGACCCGGCGACTGGGAGGTTGTGCGTGGCGAGCGAATCTGGCGGGTTGCTGGTGGCGGACTATGTGTAAGAGTTCAGCGCGTAGTTAGTGAGAAAAGATAACCTATATTCCCTATATGCTTTGAGAGCGGTTTGTCGCTGCTGTCAGAGACAGACACCTCCGAGGGCAACTGATGGCATGCATAGTCGACAAGGGCGAGTATATATAAGGGACGAGTGAGCCAATACACAAGTAACACGAGTACGCAGAGTTACAGTGAACGACACGGAGAAAGCAAAAAGGGAGGCTACGAGCGCTGCGCGAGGCGCACTTGAGGAGAATGAGCATCAGCGCGCAATGTCCGTGACATGGATTATCTCTTCTTGTACTATACAAGGCCCGAGCGCCTCAAACCTCAATAAGTGCTATCGAGATACCGACGTCTGGTCGGCGTAGTCCGCGACATGGAGATGACCGAAGATGTCCGTAGCGCATGCTCGCCCCGTCGCCGTATCAAAGGTCATGGCTTGGATGCCCATGTTAGGGAAGCTCTCCCAAAGGCTCAGATTGGCATAGCCAATGCTGACAGAGCTCCTCCTCCTTTCCAGGGGCCCATTGGTGCTGGATGCATTTCCCATGTCCAACCAAACGATACCCGGGCTCGTGCTGATTTCCAAGCGCGCGACGACGTGCGTATTGCCGATCGTCGTGTATGGTGCAGGATGGATGCCCCATGGGTCGTGCGACGAGCGGTTCTCCTCGCTAGCGTAGCGAACGGCGCGCGGGGAGTGAGATATGGGAGCGCTAGCGCCGAGTGGAAGTTCGTAGGTTCGGATGGTCTTGCTCTTGCGGGCGTAGGTGTGGTAGAAGAGGGGTTCATTCGACGTCGGAGGCGCACTAGAGAAGAAGACGTAAGTGATGTTTCCCCACTGGTGATGGGGGAGCTTGTAGGTAGGTGTGAGGAGGCCGAGGTGCCCGGAGGCGTTGTCGGGAAGGAGGTAGACGGCCACAAAGAGGCAATGGAAGTAGACCACCCGGTTTTGGAGGACTTTGATTGTCTGAGAGGGGCATTGAATATAAGCATCATGCATAAGTAGCCGAGGCGTATGGAGCTCGAGTGACTCACATACGGAGGTGACGGGTTCTCCAAATCCAGTGTCAGCACGCTGTCGCGCGTGAAGTCCCAGATAGCAATAGCGCGCGCGCCGCAGAAGACGACTCGATCCTCATCGCAGTGGCTGACTGCGCTGCGCTCGAATGGTACGGGAAGTTGCTCGCTAGTGCGGGCGACCAAGGCGAACTCTGGCTGCGCCGCGGTAGTGTCGACATCGAATATGGCAATGCGAGACTCCGACGTAGCGCCAAACTCCGAGTTTGTCTCCCACAGAACGGGAATGTCAACCGCCGAGCGAAGGATTCTCTCCAGCACGACTATGCGCAGGACACCGCGACGCTGCCGCAAAGTCCAATGGTCGCTTAATCGGTGGTTTCCCTGCAATGATAAGACAGCCAATTCCGGGGTCTGGATCGCTCCTTCGGTGCTGTTGAATAGACGGAGCAGACGGATGGTGCTGTTGGTGAGAGCTTCGCTGTTCGCCAGGAGGTATTGACCACCGGAAACCAGAGTCAGGTTTGTGACGGGATTATGTCCTGCATGCAAGAAGAGCTTTGGAAGTGAATGCAGTCTTCGAGGTCGTAGTTGGAACTTCAAGGCCGCGGTGATAGGTGCTTCCCCTCGCCCGGCAAGTTGCAGTCGGTGAACGTATATGAAAGGAGCACAGGCAAAGTTTTCTAGGTCGCGGATAGACATAGAGTTGAAGAAAGATTGTGGGAGTAGCATATCTCGTTCCTCTGCAATCGTTGTAGCAACTTCGAGCCAGATCCATTGTTTGGCCGAGAGCGAAGAGAGGGCCTTGCAGGTCTTTTGAGAACCATCAGTATGAAATTGATTGATAAGCTGACTCATACGCACTTTCCGCAGAGACACAATGTCCAAAGGCAGAGCCAGTCCAATGACCCGCTCGACGATGTCCTGCGGCAGGTCGAGGAGACGGAAGGGCCCTTGGTCGTTCTCCGCTCCGAGCCAGCGAAGAGGCAGGACAGACGATATGAGCTTCGAGTAGTGTTCCTCTCATTAGAATCCACTGAGTAATATCGGGGACAGGGTGATTTTCTTCACCTTTCCAAACACCATTGGCAATCCTACCACGCTAGTGGCGAGTAGGCCTGGACAGGAGTACGGACGAGCTACTATATACCCACTAGAGGAGCCGCTGGTATAAGTAAAGCGGCGGATTTTGACTGATAAAATCACTGGGCTTGACGCCTACGTGATGGTCAAGAACAAGGTGTTTTGGCTGTGTGTGTGACGCTTGTGCCCGTCACAGTCATGTGATGTCCACGACTCGAACTGTGACATCGTGACTATAATCAGCACCCACAAGACCTTCCGCGTGAGAATAGTCACGGCGCTTGGTTTGACATGCCATATATAAGGCGCTTAGTCTCTATTCTTACTCTCAGCTCCGCCTCTGACCTTCAGCTTCGCGCCACCAAACTTTCCAAACAAGTCCCTCTTGCCAGTGGCTGAATCTAGTTCAGGGTATCATGGATCGGCCACGAATAATCAAGCTCCAGCCTGCACACACAGCGCACAGCTCAGACGAGGACTGGTCCGATGAGGAGAAGGAGTTTGCGTTCTTGGAGCGCACTTTCGAAAGGCCCATGGCCGCTTCCTACACTCTCTCCAGTCTGCGTAGTGCGTGCTACCGCCCGCTTGATGACGGGGAACTTATGTATTCACAGACCAGTTGGATCCTGTCTATGGTGATCTCAACCTGGACCCATCGTACCGTCGCCGTGCGTCTTCTTTGTCCGTCCTTGCCACGATATCGAGCTCACCGCGATGCGACCTCATTTCAGACACTCCGCCGTGGGATGACGAGAAGCAGATGAGGTTCATTGACACCCTCTTTCGTGGCATCTACGCGCCGTCGATCATCTTCGGTGCGTCTCATCTATGCTTCGACGACGCTGCTCTCTGATTAGCCCCAGCCAACGTCCGGAACTCCCGTCGTTATAAGCGGGTCTGCATCGATGGGAAGCAGCGCTTGACGGCGATATACAGGTTCATGGAAGGAGAGATACCCTGTGCGTGCCAAAATGAAGTACTTCCACCGTTTTTTTCACTCGCTGAATGCCACTATAGGCAAGGACCCGTGCGTGCTAACCGTCTTGAGTTATCGGACGTTGACGATGATCCATCACCAGTGCGACCGGAAACCGGTACTGGTATAAGGTAAAACGTGGCGAAGAAGCAAGCGAAAAGAAAGTCATTTCGGAGCAGTATCGTCGGCGATTTGACACTACCATGGTCATTGCCATCGAATACAAGAAACTTCTCAATGAAGCACAGCAGCGTGAGATCCACGAGGTGCGTCCTAGTCGAAGGGATAAGGAGTACCATTGATAAGGTCCCAGCGCGTGAACTCGTAAGGTGGATAGCGATTACGGTTGGGTAAGTCGTGTTTTGGTCGGAGGCAGAGAAGGCTTCGCTACGTTTTGTGTTGTTTGTGGCCACCCGTGTATGTAGACCAGATAGTTCAAATGACCGAGATGAATGTGTATCAAGTTATGCAGAGGATAGAGGTTTGAGCGACGCGACGCTGAGCAGTGTTGTAGAGGTCGAACGCCAGAAGAATTTGACCAGTAAGTATCATGAGGGCCGGGGATGCATCAAGCCGCACGCAGCTCGGCTATCTCCGAGCCTGCTTGGGCTTCGACTTGACGAAATCGCACACGCCGCTGGCACGTTTCTTTCTTGTCGTCGCATTCGACGGCGAACGTGCATATCCACCTCTTCTGCACTTGGTAATGAGTATCCAAGGCAACATCTCCATGTCCAGCACGTACGCATCTCCCGGTTCGGTGGCAAGCCACGAACCACTCGCCTCTGCTACCAGTCGATCCTACCATCCCGACTTTAGCTCCCCCGACGCCGATGCTGTCCTCTGCTCTCAGTCCGGCACCCTCTTCCGCGTCCCCTCTATCGTTCTGAAGATGACCTCCGGCTTCTTCCGCTCCGTCCTCGCGCTCCCGCCGCCCAAGCCCAGCGCCGAGCACCCCCTCCCAATCGCCGAGCCCGACGAGACGATGCTCCCGCTCCTCAAGCTCATGTGCGGGCTCCCCATCCCGCCCTGGCCCTCATTCTCCTCCATCGAGGACGCGCTCGCGCTCGCGGAGGCCTGGGAGACGCCGGGGCCCATCTCCGTCATCCGCACCGCGGTCACGGCGCCCGCGTTCCTCGTCGAGCCTCTGCGCGTGTATGCGGTTGCGCAACGCTTTGGGTGGGCCGCGGAGGCGCAGGTAGCGGCGAGGGCGACGCTGGCGCTCGATTTATACGACGACGTGCACCAGGCGTCGCTGCAGAAGCTGTCTGCGGGGGCCCTGATGGCGCTGCTGGGGCTGCATCGGCGAAGGCGAGATGAGCTGAAGCAGCTGCTGGACCATTCGGACATGTTCAGCGCGGGGAATGACGAGGAGGCGCCGTGCGCAAACTGTCATGCGAGGAAGAATAACTCGACGTGGCGCGAGTTGAAGGCGAGGATATTCATCGAGATGGATAGGCGGCCTTTGGGAGATACGTTGTACGGGCTGGAGATGGAGGAGTGGCCGGAGTCGGTGGCGTGCTGGAACGCGAAGTGCTCGCAGTGCGGGAAGGTGAACTACGACAAGGCGACGACGAAGAGGAACATACAAGGATGCGTTCTGCTGCTGCCAGACGCTATCTCATAGAGGTCCAGACCGACGTCAGGCAAGACATATGCATGCATAGGGTGTAGATATCAGGTACTACATGATGGGATGTTATAGGATTATACGTGAGTCAGGAGGATCTGGACCCGACGTCAATGCAATAGTGAACATAAGATAGGAAGAAGGTAACACTCAAGCGGTGGTTGGAGCCATATATGCGAGAAAGTCACAACGGAGGAACAAGAGGCCATCTCCGTCGCCGATGGGTCAAAAAAGGCTCGTCGAGGACTTCTCACCTCCTGCGGAAGTCTCGGGGGTCTCTGTCGCGAGGGACACTTGCACTTTGCGAGGCACCATACATCCCGCCGTACCCGCCACCGTACATGGGCGGCATACCCCCGTTGTAGCCCTGCGCCATCATCATCGCCTCCAGAGAGATACCACCAATGACGGGCGTCGGCGTCTCCGAGCCCGCCATGGCTGACAGCGGAGGAGAGGGTAGACCACTGGAAGGTTGCGGCGGCTGGGGTGTCGGCACAGAGATGGGCTGCTTGAGGCCCTCTCTCGCCTCGCGCAGGCGCGCCATCACATCGTCCGCCTTCTTCGGCGCGGGCTTAGTCTTCTTCGCAGTCGGCTTGGGTTCCGGTGGCGCCATCTCCTGGTCCTCGTCCTCCGACTCGACGACCCTGCTCTTGCTCTTCGACGACGACGCCACGGGCTTCCTCGCGCTCGCCGTCTTCGGACGCTTCGATCCCCCGGGGACGTACTCCGGATCGCCGTCGTCCTGCTCCTGCTTCACCTGCCGCCCACGCTTGCGCTGTCCGTTCGCCGCCTTCCCGCCGCGACTGACGTGGATGAAGTCGAGGATCGTACGCGTCACCTTCCCATTGCTGCGCACATCGTCGTGGTGCGCGCGCACGTCCGCGCGCAGCGCCTCCATCAGCTTCACGATCTCGCTGCGCGGCTTCCCCGCGTGCGCCGCAATGAGCACGGCGAACATGGCGACCTCGATCGGCGCCATCTTGGCGGGCGCGCGGAAGATGTGCTTGTACGCGGGCGTGCGCACGATCGCCTCGAACTCGTCGAACGCGCGTATGACCGTCGTCTGCACGGAAGAGGGCACGTGCTCAGTCGCGCTGAGCCAGCGCGACAGCTGGTCGACACCGGGAAGCTGCCGGTACGTCGCGGGCTCATCGAGGAAGCGATCGGTCACGTAGACCGCGAGCGCGAGCGTACGAAAATCACCCCCGCGAGACCGATCCCAGTCGAGGGGCGGACCGGAAAGCGCTCCGGCCTCGGTAAGGTACTTGTCGAGGAGCGTGCGGATGAAGCGCGAGCGGTGGGTGTCGATGACGGCGAGTTTCTCGGACGGCGTCAAGGCCATGCCCATTTGGACACGCTGCGAGGATCAGGACGGTGTACAAGGAGGAGGCCAATGCGCGCACCTGAAAGATCTCGCGCTCCTCCGTCTCGTTGATGCCGTCGTACTCGACGCACACGATTTGCTTCTTGGCGAACGACTTGCGGTACTTTTCGGGGAGCAGCTTCCTCTTCGCCTGATTTTTCGAGGTTCCACCAATATCCTTGTACCAGTACTTTTCTCCTGTCCTCCTGGAGGGGGCTCAGTCATAATCAGTGCGGCGCGAACACAGTACGAACGAGTCTTTATCTGTGATGCGGTCAGCTGGGGGCTCGGAAGTGGCGAGGGGTCACGTACGGTATATCTGGCCGTCCATGAACCTGTGCAGCGACGTCAAACGCTGCTTCCCGTCGATGCACGTCCGCTTTTCCTCGCCATCTTCGACAGTAAGGGCTGGGGGCTGGTGAGCGGCGTGAAGGTGTCGACAGGGCCTCTACGCACTGAAGATAATCGGCGGGATGTAGAAGTTGCGGAAGATGGAGTCGATGAGCTGGATTTGCTTCGCGTCGCCCCATACCACGTCTGTAGGTGTCAGTCGAGCAGTCGATCGACACAGCGCCGCTCTAACGCACTTCGCTGGTATTCCGGGTCAAGGTCAATGTCCCCTTGAGTTATTTGCTCTGTTGTTCGGTCAGTGGTTAAGGTCTGGTGGCGAATGTGGCCACACACCATACAACGAAGACGCGGTGTAGTTGCACGCGCGGGGTTTGGGGAGAGTGCGATGGAAGCTGGTCTTTGACTTCTTCTTTGAGTGCTTGTTTGAGGTATCCTCTTCATCTCCGCTTTCGTCGATAGACGTGAGGTCCGAGTACAGTTCGTCGTCCGACATGGGTGGATGGAAGATGGAAATGAAAGGTCAGAATTCTTGGGGAGGGTAGAGATCTGGCTGGCGTTGCAAGGAGATGAGTGGGGTGTATGACACGAGTATACGGCGGCGTTTCCTTGGGGTCCGCAACGTATATCTTCGTCGACGCCGTCAACGTTGACGACAGGATGGAATTTCGGGGGAAATTCGAATTCGCGTGCGCGTAGCGCGCTGTGACATTCTTGTCACGTCACGGTGGCGCGCACGCCGAGACGCGCGAATTGCGCGCGAAGTACGTTCGAGTCTCACGGTGGCCAATGTGCCTCAAGAGTGGTCCACAACCTATGTTCTAAAGGAGGGGGGTTTTCAGATGAAATGTTGACCTCAGGCGAAACTACAACGGGACTTGAGAGGAAATCATAATCATAGGCATCTGCCCAACTGGTGCAATCCCACCCTTGAAAACGTCGCATACGTCATACAAAGACGGCGCGTGCGACTGGTTTCGGCGATTTCCGATGGACTCATAGGCGTCAAGTCGCGCACCCACAACGCCACTGAAATGCACTGCGGCCAAGTTCAATGCACTTAGACTGATTAGACTGACAAGCGGTTTTTATCGCCCTATTTCCTGTTGCTCTTCGATGCTGTCCTTTACGCCTTCGCCCCGACAGAGTGGCTTTCTAGTAGATGATATATTATGCCACCGAGCTACCATAGAACTCTAGTCTGTTCGGTGGCTACCCTGCACCTCCCTCGTCGCGCTCTGTCCTTGAGGACCGCCAAGGATGCGGCGCTGCGCGGTCGGGTAGGGGATTGGTATGGGTAGGGAGGGGACATGTCATGTGTAGGACAGGGCAAGAGGCGAAGCGGCGGTCTCCTACGCCAGTAACTGTGGGATTCGGCCGCCTAGGACGCGATCTGCACCCTGCGCCCGCACCCTCGGACGACGGCTGAGAGTGGTAGGAGAGAGCATGTCAAGGTCAGCGAAGGAGAGTGGTGGTGGGGTCAGGGGCGGTGACAAGGATAGGTGGCAGCGCGAGAGTTGGAGGCGCGCGCATTGTCGCATGCACGTGCTCGAAGCGTTTGCTCACTGACGTATGCGACGTTTTCAAGGGTGATATTGCTCTAGACCATCTGCCCCGTCCTTTGGCTGTGTAAGGAGCCAGACAAAGACCAGCAGGTTCGCAAAGCTCCGCGGTATGCGCATAGCAAGCGTGCATGACAATAACGGCAGACTGAAGGTCTGAGGCCTGACACAGACTTTCATTTTGCGGTCAACATGATATCGACTTCGCTGCCTACACCCTTGGTAATAAACAGCCACCGAATGTAGTCTCCCACTACTTGCAGTAACTCGCCAGACGTATTGGCTCTGGACATCATTCCCTTCGCCAGGTCGGATGCCGATATCTGCGCACTGCAACATCCCCAGCCGATGCACCAACTCAGCCTGACCTGCGCGCACGACGTCCTCCTCTACCCCCTTACCCCCTCACGCGAGTCAAGCTATCGCAGGGTAGAGCGTATACCAGGCATGTCACCATACCTCATCAACGCTCCGGGGGCTTGACAGCCCTCGAAATGCGTGGCGCTTGGTCCGCTTCTTCGATGTGCGGGCGGTGTGCAGTGCGTAGCGGGTAAGCCATTAGTACACCAGGGCCGGTAACAAGTTCTGCGTATGGTTGAAATCAGATATTCATAAGTGGGCGTGAAAAGGGTGGTTGATGGTGGATGGCTAGCACGACAACGAAGACGTCGTAAACGATGGTAGGACCATCACCGTTGGTTTCCAGCTCGAAACTGGGTTCCAGCGGCTGCATCCCGAGGTGGCCACAAGCCTTCTTGAGTAGAAGACAACCCAATACGACTCGCTTTTAGAAGAGAAGGACACGGACATCGATGTTTCGGACGTGCTGCTCGGTGCGCTTGGTTTAACGTAAGTGCCATGAGACTAGGGGAAAGGCGATACGCACATCGGGATACAGCAATGCTGCGGGCAGAGGTAGTCTAGTTCTTTCAGTGATAGAATTCCAGAGCATTCTCACCACAGAAGACGACGCGCCGCTCGTCGCAGCGCTTCATCGAAATATACGCGTACAATGCAGGGGTCGAGTCGCTGCTGCGCGCGACCGGTATGAGTTTAGGGTAGAATATAGATGTATCGACGTCGTAGATGGTAATGGTAGAACGTGATGCATCGGAAGTCCTGTCTCTGGAGCTTTCGGCTTCCAGCGAAATCTCGAGGGTAACTCACCACTTAGCCTGAACCTATAGTAACTGAGCCAAACAAGATTGAGATTGAGAGTCCGAGTCAGTTCTCTTCCATGAACTCAGGAGGTACAGAGGAGCTTGTTGCAGCTCGACTCCCTCCACTGCCGTCGTGGACAAGAGCAAGAGGCGCAGAAGGGCGCGTGCTCGGCCCGTTCGGCCATCCACGTGGACACGTGGCCGGCCCTGCCAAGCCAGCCGCCGAAACGACTTCAAACTTGCCTTTCAAACCGGGGCAGCAATGGCAGATGCGCATGGGGTCCTCCTCGATAACCATCTCATTGCTCGGTCATCATGGACTAAAGCCGACCTGTATAAAGGGACCTGAACAACTAATGTAGACCGAGCACCGGTTCCTCCTCCTTTTCCCCATCATTTCCTGCCAACGCTAGCGGGTCTCGTTTCACAATGGGATTCGGCGATAAGAAGGTATACTTCCCGCTGAAAAGCGTACGTACAGAAGTGAACTTTTGCTCATGACCATGAAAAAGACACGCAAGTTAGGGCTCTCGTCCATCTTCCGTTCGAAGAGGAAAGCGAAGCCCCTCTCGCTTTTCGATTTTCCAAACGAAATCATTGAGCGTATCGTGTCCTTGTCCCTTCCCTTGGACATCATAGTCAACCTGCGGAGGGTGAGTATCCTTCCTATCCACACTGTATATGTACCCTATCCTGCATACCTGCGTTCGCTTTACGGCCCTCGTCCTGACCTCCTATCTTCGCAGACATGCAAAGCAGTCTCTGAGATGACGCTCAACCGCCTACTTTGGGTCCACATCGTCGACGTCTTCCTCGACGAGAACCGTATCCTCCTCCCACCGGACCACCTCGAAGACCTGCCCGTCGACAAGCTAGAGCGCCTCGTCTTTCTGCCCGTATTCGCACTCCGCCACTACCAAGCCGCGACGCCACAGACCGTGTTCAAGAATCTTGATTTTGATGAGCTTTACCCGCAGTCCGATATCCCAATACGAAAGGCGTTCCCCGACAGAGATGCGGAGGCAACGCACCTGACGCTCATCGCGGGCGGGCGGTACCTCCTCGCGCAGCACGAGAACTTCAGGCGAAATGAAGTGCACTTGATGCTTCTTTCTGGCGTGGATGAGGGGGATGTGGTGATGACGGAGGTGGCGAAGTTCAATATCCCGCTGAATACGCACTCGGGCCGGATACACGACTACTGGCTGGTCAAGCGGAGCCGGAGCGTGCTGCGCTTCTGTGCGCGGGAGTCTCTGAAAGAGTAGGTCGTGCGTGTTGGCAGAATATATCGATGTTTCATACCTTTTGACAGGGAAAGAGTATACCAGATCTCGGTTTACGAGATCGACACCGCCGCGGAGGTGCCGCAATTCACCACCCTGGCGCGCACGACCGACTTCGGGTCGATATTCGCCCCTCAGAGCACGCTTCAGCACTGCGGCGAGGATCGCATCGCGTTTTGCGACGAAAACGTCGCCGTGCTGTGGGACTTCGTGCGCGACCAGCGCGTCGAACTTTCGATCCCCGGTCCCGATTCGCATATCACTTACGTATTGCCGGTGAGCATCTCTTATCCTCCCCTCCTCGCCATCGCGCTCATCACCGCCTCCCAGACCATCAAAGTCGTCGACGACCGCGTCATGTACATCCAGCGCCACCTCTTCGCCATCTTCGTCCTCCCGCGCGACGCCTCCGGCGTCCTCGGGCCCCTCAAACCCGCCTTCCTCCAGAAATTCTCCGGCCAGTGCAATCTCTACTTCCCACACCCCGCCACCCCGCGCCCCTTCGTCTTCCACGTCCTCCACCGCACGTTTACGAAGTTGCGCACGTACGAGCTCCCCGCGGGGTCGGGCGTGCCGAAGGAAATCGCGAGTCGCTCGATCCCCAAGTCGCCTTTGTGGTGGCAGATATACGGGCCGGCGTCCGTGGTGTCGGTTGGGGGGGCGCACGTCGCGGTGCGCATTCTGCCGAAGAGCTGTCGGGATGTGCTGTGGATTGATCTGGAGCGCGGGGGGAGGGAGGGGAAGCCGCTGGCGGGGTCGGTGAGGTTGATGTTTGAGGATTCGGGGGGCCTGGGGGATAATTGCTCGTTTGACCCGCTGTCGGGGAGGTTGGTAGTGGCGAAGTACAATGGGACCCTGAGGGTTATTGATTATGTATAGGTGCGCATCTCTGTTTCGACCGGGATGATCTCGCTGACCTTCAAGCTATCGCAGTGCGCGAATATGACTAACGACTTTTTCTTCGCCTTTTTGAGCCTTCAACTCCTCGACGTCATGGGCTGTCGACCATCCGGCAGATGCCGACTCGCTCTTTTAGGCCTAATTTTGGGCCTACTGCCACTGAGTACTGCGATCAGAGAGGCCAGCGAGTGCGAGGTGGAGTTTTCAAACTAACCTTTTATGCACTTCATGTGTGTCTCGCCCGCCAGAAGTAGCTGACATCGCCACACGGTTCGTCAGGTGGCGTCTCCCGCTGAGGTCGGCCAGATTGGTGGAAGTTATTAAGCCGGAGAGACTGGCGAGCTCGAAGGCAATGCTTCACAGCTTTTCTTTGTAAAAGGCAGAGAAATCTGCTGGGAATGCGATATTCGCCAGAACCCCTCGGATGGTCACCGCGGGGACTGTCCGCCACCCTCTTCAAAAGCTGTCTTGCCGTGAGTATCGTGTCCCCACAACATATCTCCTTTACTGTACTCACCAACTAGGATTTCCGACCGCGCACCATGACCAACACAACTCAAGTCCTGGTTGTGCGTCCTGGTCTCACTTCTCTCAGTGCCACCTCAATTTACCTTTCTTCATAGGTTGGCGCTGGCCCCTCAGGCCTCATCACCGCCCTCTGTCTTGCGCAAAACGGCGTCAACGTGCGCATTATCGAGAAGCTCGCCCAGCCTCGCGTCGGGCAGAAGGGCTCAGGCATCCAGGTACGCCTCTCGCATGTTCATTCGTCCGGCCATTGCACCGTGAACTGATAATTTCCATTCTCAGCCTCGCACCCTTGAGCTATACAAGTTCCTCGGTCTATATGACGATATTCAGAAGCGCGCGCGATTGCTACAGCCCGTCGCGCATTATAAGCAGCCGGGAGGTACAGAGATCGCGCGCGAGTTCAATATGATCCCGACGGGCGAGGCGACGCCGGATAAGCCTTTCGTAAGTTTTAGTTTCCGATTCGCTACTTCGAGGCTAAACTTATACCCCACTTTCAGCCCAACGCCCTCCAACTCGGTCAGAGTCGACACGAAGAGCTCATCCGCACGCACCTCGAGCACTACGGCGTCAAGGTCGAGTTCGGTACCGATCTGCTCGACTTCACGCAAGACGAAGACAAGGTCCACGTTCGGGTGTCCAAGGGCGGCGAACCGAACACAGCCACCGAGGAATTTGATGTCCCCTTCGTCGTCGGCGCAGATGGCGGGGGCAGCAAGGTGCGCAAGACGCTCGGACTCAGGTTCGAGGGCGAGACGCGAGAGCTGGACAAGATTGTCGTCGGCGATATTGTGGTGAAGCCGCCGGGGGTATCGCTGGATGTGAGTGTTGTGTTGTGTTGTGTTGTGGGCGAGGTTACTTTTTTGAATCGATGACTGACTTGCGTTGATGTAGAAATGGCACAGCTGGGGCGACCCCAAGAGCAAGTTGTGAGTACCCATTCTCGGTTCGCCAACGTCACTGACAACCTCTCGATCGCTAGGGTCATGCTCCGCCCCTGCGAAGCGCCTGACGAAGACAAGGTGGCGCTCTACGTCGGCGGCCCAGACATTGACTTCGATAAGGTAGCCTCCAGCGGCGAGGAGTTCGTCAAGGTGTTCTACGAGATCAGCGGCAGGACGGATATTCAGTTTGGGGAGACGTTGGCATTGTCGACGTTTAGGTAAGTATTGAGCCGAAGGTCACTTCAATCCAACGGATTTCTGAAATCTTCTCACAGGCCCAACATCCGTATGGTTGATAAGTTCGGCGAAGGACGAGTGTTCATAGTGGGAGGTTAGTTGCTCTGATGCGTGACAACGATTCTCTGGACTGACATACAGAGTAGACGCAGCCCATACACATAGTCCTACTGGCGGTCAAGGACTCAACTCTTCGGTTCAGGATGCGGTAAGCTTTTCGACATTCCTTCGCCGCCGCACATACCCTTCCCCTACACTGCTTCTCGCTTGCTCACGCTCGGCTTGTAGGCCAACCTTGCATGGAAACTTGCTCTTGTTGTCAAGAACCTCGCTCCCCTGAGCCTCCTGCAAAGCTACAGCTCCGAGCGCGTGCCTGTCATTCGGGACATGCTTCGCCGCACAACTAAGCTTCTCAACACCACCATGCGCCCTGGGGACAAGGACCCAAACGAAGGCTGGCAACGCGGAGGTGTGCTGTTCCAGCTAGGGATCAATTACCGGTGGAGCGAGATTGTGCTCGATGAACGACGTGACCGCGACGACGAAGACGACGAGAGGGAACATGCATACGTCGGTGGCAAAGGCATCTGCGCGGGCGATCGGGCGCCTGATGCACCGGTGGAGGGGCCTGTGAGCCGCCTTTTCGAGCTCTTCAAGCTGACGAGGCATGTGGCGCTGGTCTTCTCGGACGCCGGGGAGGCTATCGCGGAGGTGGAGGCTGTGGCGAGCGAGCTTCCTCAAGGCTTGTGTGCGGTCGCTGCCGTCCTCCCTGCGTCTTCGAACGGATCGGCCTCCACATCGTCATTGGCGGCGTTGCGCCTTCTTGACGTTGAAGGACTGGCGCGAAGGGCGTACGAAGTGGCCGGTGATCCAATCATCGTGGTCGTGAGGCCGGATGGGGTGATTGGGGCGATTGCAAAGGGCGCCCAAGGAGTGTATTCGTACTTTCAGCGTATTCTTGCTTGAAAAAATAGTCTATCTTCGTGCTTATTTTTCTCGGAAAGGAGTATTTCTTGGCCATGGCCAACATTGGTAGATTGGCGAAAAAGAAAGAGCGTACGAGATGGACTTGCTGGGAATTGAACCCAGGACCTTTCGCAAACACCCTTCCTGTCCAGGACAACGTGCTAAGCGAACGTGCTACCACTGTACCACAAGCCCGATGATAAGGGCCTTTCTTTTCTTACCATAAAATCGAGGAATCATCGCGGAGCCTGCCGAGAACATGAACTAATCAAGTTTCCACATGATCATTGGCTTGGATGCTTCTTCGAGCGACGGTCAAGGTATGCAATAGGGACCGGATAACACTTCGGGAGCTGACCTGTACTGTAGCCTTGGCTCTGACGTCTAGACTTCAGGCGCACGACCAACGATGTCCGACTCAGAAGAGGACTCAGTCTCCGACTCAGTCTCGGACATAAACGAGGATATCATCAGCCTTATCAAGGATTTCAGGCGACCTGAAAGCGACGCCGCTCGGCACCGGGCTCGCGAAGACATAGGAGTGTATCTCTTCCTGAGGCGCCCATTCCTTTGTCTGGTTGCTCATCCAGATGATGTATTCCGCTCCCATAAAGACCGAAACGCCGCTATAACAGCCAGCGAATTCGCAGAATCCTCAGGTGCTCTGGCGGCGCTGACCATCTTCGAAGGCTGTCTTGGGCCCGCGCGCGAGTCTGATATGATCCTTGACTGTCTATTACCCGCTTGGAAGAACGTCTTGCCCTGGACGGCTTATCTCTATGATGCGACTACCAGCAACCCGTGGGCTGTAGAAGACAGCCCCGTCATCCCCTTTATTATCAGCATACTCGCGCAAATGTGCCGCATCCCTCGGGCGCTGGATAGGATTGTGTCCGAACCATTGGCCCTGTACCTCCTTTGGGATGTATGGCTGAACCTCACTCAGCGGTACCGCAAGCCTCGCGCCGAACGCGTCCACTTCGCCATGCAGTTCGTGGATCTCTCAGACGCGGTAAGCTTGCTCCTGCAAGGCGAACCGAATAACGAGCGCCTGGACCGGAGCATGGAAGAGATCATCATGCTCTGCGACAACAAAGCCCGTAACGTATACCGCCGACTCATCGACAACATCCTCTGTGGCTTCCTCGCCCGTTGCCCACTTCCCGCTGCGCGCCTGAGCGCTACAGCCGACTGTATCTTCGCAATTATCATGCACCTCCTCGTGCACTCTCATGCCCAGATCCCGCGCGATGTCATGCGCACGGTCGTCGGGCTCTGGAAGGCCGCCGCCGCCTCGAATACCTACAACGCGATCATCCCATCCGAATGCGCATCTCTGGTCCTGCTGTACCACGAGAGATCAATCGAGTCCAAGTACCTCTCCTGGGCCGTGCGCGACGGGCTCATACCGATTCTAATCGACCTCATGCGGACTAAGCAGCAGCAGGATGTACTCGAGGCCGCCTGGGACCTCCTTCATCACATCCGCGTGCTCATGAACACTCGGCCTTTCGCGCGCGTCGTCCGCCGATACGCTGGCCCGCAGGTACAGCCGCGCGAGGGCGATCCTTTTCGGCTCGCCGAGTTCATATGGGATTTCGGTACGCGCGCGGCTGCTCTTGACCACGTCTCGTCCACGACCGAGTTGAACTGCTCGTATGAATCAGTAAGCTCCAGATAATTTGCTTCCCTGCATGCCTACTCAACCGTCTTCAGTGCCTGCACAAAGGATCGGAAAAACATCTCAAGAAATGTAAGGGATGCATGACGCATTACTACTGCTTGCGCGAGTGCCAGAGGGCCGACTGGAAGGCCGGACATAATAGTCTCTGCGCTTCCCGTAACTCATCGATTAACGGTGAGCATGGACGCGATAGACAGGTCGACTTGGGTGCTCATAGCATTGTAATTCTCGCAGAGATCATCACCGCCTCTGTACTCGACCGCGCCTACGCCCTCTACTTCGCCCGCCTCGCACTCAGCTCTGAAGGCCGAGCGCGCGAGATCACCCAGTCCATCGCTCGGGGAGCGAATAAATGGGGCATGGCGGACAAGTCGCACGGCGTCGACATCTGGATCGTTTACGCGGAGCCCGAGGACCAGGATGGCGTGCTGGAGAAGCCAGACGTGCCGCGTATCATCCTCGGGGAGGGCGTGCTGGAAGAGTGCAGGGAGGCGGTGGCGATGGTCCCGCCGCACGGCGTGGTCGTGGTGGATCTGCCTGCGGGAGGGATGAATGAGCAGGCGATGGTCGTTGGGACGTTCGATCTGGGGGCTACGCTGGCGACTGGAGAGATTCGCATCAAGGAGCAACTTACGAAGTACAGCCGAGTGTATGTGGCGATTGCGCCAGAGGTGGGGTCGGACCCATGAGATCGTCGGACGATGCGTATCGGGCGACATTTCAACACACTCGCGACGGGGATGTGTCCGATGGTGCGTGCGATGATTGTATCTAAGAAGGAAGAGGGAGTCGCTGGTCGATCCACAATAGACTCACGATTTCGGTAGTAATAGCGAGCGGGGGATACGTGATCGTCGCGGAACAGAAAGCCACATACATGGTGAATTCATATAAAGTACATTTGATTTCTGTCCGTCATACATCATTACAGAAAGCATGAGCGACATATAGAGCAAGGATGCGAGCATTAAATCAGGCGCTGCGGGAGGTCATACAAAAGCTGACATGCCCGTCGGGCTTGAGCGTCTTTAGAGGTCTTGGGCTTTCTCGAGGAGGGTCTCTCCAACAGAGCGGAAAACGACGTTGATTTCACGACCTGCCTTTACAACGGCCTTGGGCACCTCACCAGTGATCTCGACGACGAGGCGGTTCCTCAGGCCACGATCAAAACGGGTCTGAAGCGTGTCGAGCAGCAGCGCGGGCGTAAGCCCTTGGATGTGGACTAGGCTCAACCGACGTAGCTTGGGAAAGCGGTGACCGCGCCCAAGGGCGTCAGTAATCCGAGTCCGCACGTCCGCGTTGGTCTGCAGGCGCAGGGTGACAAGGTTGGCTGTTGCGGAGGATTCGAGGTACCTCGTGAGCCCGGCGCCATAGGTGCAGTTCCACTGTAATGAAACGTGCTTGAGAACGCCCTTCTTCCCAGCCTTGAAGAGCAGAAGGTAGACTGCCTCCTCAAAGTATCTGCACGAAAACCCAGGACGAAGGATCTTGATAGCTTTGAGGTGGGGCAGCTCGAGCGCACGCAGCACATCCGCGAGCTCTGTTCGGACGATGGGGTCGGTGTTGTTGCCTCGGATGATGAGCAGGCGCAGGCGATGGGCAGTGATAGGATGATGGAACGCTTTATCGACGATGCGCTTGAGCACAGCGTCCTCACCAATGGGGAGGACATCCGTCATGTCGATTCCGTAAATCTTCGTAAGATCGTCGCGCAAGAGCGCGACGCGCACCAAGGTCAGAAGGTGGGCAGCAGAAGCACAACCGGAGGTGAATATGTCGTACTCGGATCTGTCGTCGCTTCGAGTGAACTGCGCATCCCCGTCGGATGTAGAAGCCTTGCCACTTCAGGAGACATCAGCGACTGCGGTAAAAGCTAGGGTGCATGAACTCACGATCGCATTTGGCTGCCTGAAGCAACCGCTACCTTGGACGTGCTAGCCTTAGGCATGAAGGTTTTGCGGATGGGTGGGAGCTGGAGATTTGCTGGACGCTGAAAGATGCCGCATACCTCTGCCTACGCCAGCGTATTTATACGAGACGGGCTGTGGCGTTCCCTGGCAACGCCTGGCGTGTACATGCTGCAGAAAGAAGCCCGAACTTGTGCTTTACAGATCTGTTTGGGCCAGCGCACGGGCCTGCGAAGCGCCACATCTCTTGTGAAGACCATATCGGGTAACACGGAGGGTCGTAGATCCGCAGTTGCCGCAGGGTGGCGAAGCATTCTATCGTGACAATAGAGGGGGAGGATTTGATATGCGTAATATGCCAGGCGCTAGCGAGGCGCGCCCATGCCCCGTGACCGCATAGCTGTGCTCAGACTATCGACGAAGACCTTGCAAGCAAGGTAACCCACAACAAATCGGTTGCCGTGTGGCGATGGCCTTCCGCAATGGCTTCATCTTCTGGAGATGGACCGTGGTAAGCTAGAAGACGGGCCAAACAATAAGGGTAGCGACGGACGGTCAACGCGTTGACCTCGCGGCATCAACATGGTACAGGACAAGGCGCGATCCAGATTGGGAACAATAAACTGCGGATCATTGTGATCCGGAGCACGTGAGAAAAGATTTATAAGACACCGCGGTGGCAGCGAGGGTCTTCCCATACCCCCATCGTCGGATACGAATCCAACTGGCGGCCATTCGATTGTGTGCGTCTCTGGGCGAGGGCGCGCAGCTTGCTGTGCGCTCTCGCTGACAATTGCACTGGCAGTGGTGTGCAGGCGCGTTGTACCCAATCGATGGTAGTGGGTTGTCGTTGCGGTCACAGCCAAAGACATCGAGTAGATGTCATTTGCCTGTGGCTGCCAAACCTACAGCGTCGGGCTCATCAATGTACGATAGCTGGGTCGCGGGTGCCGATGACAAGCCGGCTGGTATTCGCTTTCGATCCACGGCTTCGAGGTTCCCCGCGTCATGCCGGCTACGGACGAAGATGGGTGGACTTCGTCCACTGCGTGTGCGTGCTCGGTGTCAATGAGGCGCCCACCGTCTTGTCTCTGAGGCGATGGCTCGCTGAGATGCCATGGTGCGTACTCGCCACGAAGCTGTGTGGTCGATGCCACTTAACCATGATGGATATGTGGCGGAGGCTACGCACCTTCACGGGGGTCGGCTGCCGCTGGTATAGGCGTTGCGGGAGTGTACTAGTTGTTTGTCGCCTTTGACGCTCAGCGAACCATTACAACCCGCCTCGTCTACCTTGCTGTCAGCCGAAAGACGGCAAATGTTTGGAACCCATCGCAGCCCTGACGGGGCTTGCGAATGCTGACTTACCCCGTCGTCAGACAGGTTGTCCAACCGACCACCGATGCCTCGTCTGGCGAGCGGCCCTCCAGTCGAAGATACGCAGCTGTCTGCCCATCTTCGCCGCTGACTGTGCTATAAAGCAACGCTGTGCGGGTGCAAGTGTGTTCAGACGGACGGTGGCAGGTCATTGTCGTGGTCACTACCGAATGCCATCTCTGAGGTGGCTTCGGTCAAGTGGCAGCGAGACCTGTATTGTCGGGCTCGCCGTGTGCGATAGCTGGGTCTCGAGGGCCGAGGACGAGACGTAGTGCACGGAAACGGCCTGCGGCTTCGAGGTTCCCCGCGTCGTCCCCGAAAGGGACTATGCCGGCGACGTATTGCGGTGAGTGAACTCCTGTCCATCGCGAGTGTGCGCTCGATGTCGAGGAGGTGCCCATCGCTCTCTCCTCGAGGCGCGATGGTGCGCTGAGATGTCCGCGTGCACTCGCTATGCGAAGCTGCGACGTCGATGCGACATGTCCGAATGGATAAGTGGCGGAGGCGACGCACCTTCGTGGGGGTCGGCTGCCACACGTGCAGACGTTGCGGGAGTGTACCAGTAGCTGTCCGTCGCCTTTGACGCTCAGCGAACCGTTACAATCCACCCCGTCTGCCTCGTGGTCACCCGAAAGACGGCTAAATGTTTGGAACCTTTTACAGCCCTTAACGGGGCAGTCGTCAGACACAGAACCCAACTGACTGCCACCTCGGCTGGCGTCCACCTCCTGGCGAGGGCGTGCGGCTTGCTGCACTACCTCGCTGACGATTGTGCTAGCATGGTGTGGGGCGATAATACGCACAGCCGGATGGTAGCCGGGTCGTATCGCGCTCTATGCTCGCGCTATCATCGCAAGGCGATAGTGCACCATGGACAGCGAGACCTCCAACGTTGGGCTCATCGCATGCGACGGTCGGGTCGCGGGTGCCGATGACGGTGCACTGGAATGGGACCGCACCGACCACGCACGCGGTGGGTGGGCTCGTGTCGCGGCGGGCTGGCGTCCGGCGCCGACGACGCTCGTGCTCATCCTCGCATGGAGCGAGCTGAGGCGCCGGGCGCGCAGAGGTGTGGGTCGTTACTGATGTCGTTCACCCACCTTGTTGTGGCTGGACGAAGGAGACGGCCGGTGCCTTTCCCGCCATATTGACGGCCAATCTTTGGAACCTTTTTCGGTCCCATTGAGGACTTTGAACTTGGAAGATGTATGCCAGACGCCTCCCGGTGTAAAGTATGTAGAACGCACCGTTAATGAAGTGTATTTTCCTCGGCGAACTAGTACTCGCCCACACGCCCACTCCCCCGCCACGGCTCATCGATTCATCCCGCCTTTGCCGGTTCTCGCTGTAAGCCCTCGACAAGCTGAGATCTGCTCGATTCATCTGCGTTTTTCGCCGCAGCTACGTCGCGTAAGCCGGCTTGCTTTTTTGTTCCGAGGACTTCCCTACGGTGGTATGTATTTGCTTGCTAGACACACTGTAAACAGTTAGTTGACGACGGGCACCTCCCGTCGAGCTCTTGGAAAGGACCTGCGAGTGCATCGTGCATCATAGCCAGCGAACGTCCACACGACCGCAGCGCGGGTCGCGCTTCAAGGATGCAAACATATGTCGCGAAGGAGTGGTGGAGTGTCATTAGACGGCCGCTCTAGTGGTAGACCCGGTAAGTAGAGTAAGTAGGCTCCAGTGTAAGTTACATGTGTACTTTTGTCCCCAGGGCGCGCCTCCGGTCCGCTTGCCAGCCGACAGCAGACCGCACGCCTCAGGAAGGTACTGCTCGGCCTCGCGCCACACCGAGGCGCAGCGGCAGGGCCCAACCCGGACATCCAACGTCCCCCGATATCCAAAAGCCACCGCGCGCCTACTTCTTCGCCTGCGGCCTGCTCTTCCTGTACGCCTCCTCCAGCTCCTTCTGCAGCTGCGGCAGCGTCGGCTGGTGGTTCTTGTACTCCATGCTGAACTCGCCCTTGCCCTGCGTCGCGCCGCGCAGCTGGCTCGAGTACCCGAACATGTCGTTCAGCGCGACCTCCGCCGTGCACACGAACTCGTCGTCCCGGACCTCGCTGTCGATGATCGTCCCGCGGCGCGTGTTCAGTCCGCCGATGACCGCGCTCTGGAACTCGGTCGGCGCGGTGACCTCGACGGTCATGATGGGCTCGAGCACGACGGGGCGCGTGTTGGCGTAGGCCTCGCGGAAGGCGTTGATCGCGCAGATGCGGAAGGCGAGCTCGCTGGAGTCGACCATGTGGTAGGCGCCATCGGTGAGGACCATGCGTACGCCGCCGACTTTGTTGCCAGTGAGGTTGCCCTTCTCAAGCGCCTCGCGGAAGCCCTGGTGGATAACAATGAGTACTGGCCTAAGGCAAGCGTCGGATTAAGGCTCACCTTCTCAATAGCCGGGATATAGTTGCTCGGAATGGCACCACCCATGATCTGGCTCTCGAATTCGACGTCCGTGCCCTTTTCAGGGTCGTACTCGCAAGGCTCGATGCGGCCCTCCATCTTGGCGTACTGACCCTGTCCACCGGTCTGCTTCTTGTGCGTGTAGACGAAGTCCGCGGGCTAAGAAACTGAAGTCAGCGCAAAGTTACACCAGATGGCGACCACCGACCTGAGTGATGGTCTCCCTGAACGCCACACGCGGCTTGCCCGTCGTGCAGTCGATGTTGTACTCGCGACGCATGCGCTCAACGTAGATCTCCAAGTGCAACTCGCCCATACCGGAGATGATCGTCTCCTTGCTGTCCTGGTCGATATGCACCCTGAACGTTGGGTCCTCCTTCTGGAACCGATTCAGCGCGCGAGAGAAGTTCGGCGTCTCTTGCCCGTTCATCTTGATCGCCAGGCTGATGACGGGTTCCGGGACGAACATGGAGGTCATGCTCAGACGCGTCGTGCCGTCCGTGAAGGTATCGCCTGAGGCACACTCAACGCCAAACATTGCGCAGATCTCGCCGGGCCCGATAGAGTCGACGTCCTCCATCTCCTCGGAGTGCATGCGTACGAGGCGGGGGACCTTGACCTTCTTGCCGGTTCGCGCATTGTAGATGATGGCGGCGCGCTTGAGGGTGCCCTGGTACACGCGCATGTACGTCAACTGGCCGAAGCGACCTTCCTCGAGCTTGAACGCGAGACCGAGCAGCGGAGCCTTAGCAGCCGGGGTGAGCGGGACCGCCGGAGCACTTCGAAAGCTGATGAGCAAAATAACAATTTAGGAAAGCTCGTTCAATGACTCACCCTGACGGCCAATCCGTGTTGTGCGCCTCGTTCTTCACCTCAGCCGGACTCGGGAGATAATCCGCGACACCGTCGAGCAGGGGCTGCACCGCCGTGTTCTTGACCGCCGAGCCCATGAACACCGGACTGAACTTCAAGCTGATGGTCGCGCGCCGGATAGCCGCAGCCAGCTGCTCGTTGGTGGGGAGTTCGTCCGCAAGCACAAGGTCACCAATCTCCTCGTCGACGTCGGCGAGGGTCTCGACAAGTTCCTGACGCTTCTTCTTGGCAAGCTCGAGGATGGGCGCGGGGAGTTCAGGAACGGCTGTAAAGTATGATCAGCAAAGGGGCTGACGATGAAGCACACATAGGGCAAGGGGAAGACATGGATGGAGAGGTATATAGACATGTTTGAGAAAGGAGTAGCTCACGTTCGCCAGGGACAGCCGAGCAAGGCAGAGAGACCATGTCGCCGGTGTACTTCTCGCCGGTAGGGGACTCGGGGAGGGGTGCCATAGTCAAGTCAATGCCCTTGTAACCACCGTTGTAGATTGCGCGCCAGTGGACCAGATCAACGACACCGCGGAAATCGTCCTCAGCACCAATGGGAACCTGCGCGCAGGGTATGAGAGCGGGTCCAAGACACATAACATGTTACGCACCTGGACAGCCGCAGCGTTGATCTTAAGCTTGTTCTTGATCTGCTCGACGATGCGCCATGGGTTCGCACCCGGACGATCCATCTTATTCACGAAGCTGACCCGAGGAACCTTGTACCTGTAGACGCCGAGTGAGCAGTCGCGTGCGGAGGAATAATTGCACCACGCACCTGCGCATTTGCCTGTCGACCGTCGTCGTCTGACTCTGCACACCAGAGACCGCACATAAGACCAGAATAGCACCGTCCAGCACACGCAGCGCGCGCTCGACCTCGATCGTGAAGTCGACGTGTCCGGGCGTGTCGATGATGTTGACCGCGTACTTCGTCTGCTCGCCCGTGACCGGGTGCTTCGTCTGCCAGTCGCAGAACGTCGCCGCGGACTGGATGGTGATGCCCTTCTCGCGCTCGAGGTCCATGTGGTCCATCTTCGCGCCGACGTTGTCGCGCCCGCGGACTTCGTGGATGTCCTTGATCCTGCCGGTGTAGAAGAGGATGCGCTCGGTGAGCGTCGTCTTGCCGGAGTCAATGTGCGCGGAGACACCAATGTTGCGCTGGTATGTGAGGCGCTGCTTGTCCGCGTCCGTGAGCTCGTAGACTGGTGGAGGCGGGTACTCCGGGGCTGCTGCTCCTTCCTCAGGACCCGTCGTCGAGGCAAAGCGAGCGGGTAGGTAGGCGCATCTGCGCGTCGCTGGCGCTACTAGGCGCGTCGCCTGACTCAACAGGCGTAGCGACACCATGCCTCCGACTTCAACCTGGTACGGGACAACCTGCAACTTCAAGCGCCCAAATTTTGAATTCCTGCGGTCCGCCGCCAACCGGAAGCCACGTGCGCCACATTTGCTTCCGCGGCAAATGCCGGCCGTCCAGGCTCCCAGAAATCCTCACACGGTGCAGGTTCACTTTCAAGACCGGTCACCAGGTGGACACTCAAAGATGGTAGTGGCAGAGCAGCAATTCACTCTGGAATATCGAGCGCGAAGCAAGCAGAGACTTCCTCCACGATGCTCGCGACCCGTCGGCGCTCGCTCACTAGCGCAAGATATGCTCATCAACACGACGCAGTAAAGACCGCTTCACCAGCTTCAGCTCTACATACTTACATACAATGACTAGATACCAGGTAAGTACGATTCAACCACGCCCCTTAGCCCTAGACTGGACTGAAAAAGTTTCCAAAGATTGGCCGTCAATATGGCGGGAAAGGCACCGGCCGTCTCCTTCGTCCAGCCACACAAAAGGTGGGTGAACGACATCAGTAACAACCCACGCCTCTGCACGCCCGGCGCCTCAGCTCGCTCCATGCGAGGATGAGCACGAGCGTCGTCGGCGCCGGACGCCAGCCCGCCGCGACACATACCCACTCACCGCGTACGTGGCCGGCACGGTCCCGTGCAAACAACGGCGACGACGCGGGGAACCTCGAGGCCGTGGACCGTAGCCGAATACCAACCGGCCCGTCATTGGCCCCCCGCGACCCGACCAGCGCACGCGATGAGCCCAACGCTGGAGGTCTCGCTGCCACTGGTGCGCTATCGCCCTACGACGATAGCGCGAGCGGCGAGCGCGCAACGACCCAGCTACCATCCGGCTGAACGCATTAGCCCCGCACAGCAGTCGGCGAGGGCGTGCGGTTACCCGCACCCCCTCTCCAGGAAGAGCACGTCAGCCGAGGCATTGGCAGTCAGTTGGGCTCTGTGTCTGACGACTGCCCAGTTAAGGACTGTAAAAGTTTCCAAACATTTGCCGTCTTTTCGCTAGCCACAAGGCAGACGAGGCGGATTGTAGCGGTTCGCTGAGCGTCAAAGGCGACGGACAGCTACTAGTACACTCCCGCAACGCCTGCCCGTGTGGCAGCCGACCCCCGCGAAGGTGCGTCGATTCCGCCAGGTATCCCTAACAGATGTTTGGCATCACCGACGCAGCTCCGCTAGCGGGTGCGCACAGACATCTCAGCCGGCCACCGCCTCAAGAAGAGAACGGTGGGTGGCATCCCTGACATCCGGCGCGGTGGACAGGATTCCACTCACGTCCGTAGGTAGCCAGCGGGGTCCCCTTTCGGCGACATCGCGGTCATGCCTCGTCGTCGCGAACCGGAGAGAACACGACTCGTCATCGGCACACCGCAACCCGGCTAGTGTACGTTATGAGCCCAAACGCTGCAAGGTCTCGCCGCCACTGGCAAATGCATGCCAGTGGCCGCGGGGGCGACCCACTACCAAGCGGCTGAACGCTTTAGCTCCTATTAAATCGATAGCGATGTCGGCGAGGGTTGCGCACCCTCGCCAGAGGAGTGCGCCGATCCCAGGCATTGGCAGTTGGTTGGATCCATATCCGACGGCGGGGGTATGGGAGAACATCCATTGACGCCGGCGTCCTTATACACCTGGGCACACGTGATCACCGCGTGCCGCCTCCATTGTTCCGTTTTTAGATGGGTGGCATCTGGGGTCGGGCCATGAACATGAGGTGTGCGCATTGGCCTTCCATTGCGTGGCGCTCGCTTACTCTGAGCTCTAGCCTACCCCACATCGCTGGTAAAGGTCAATGGACTGCGGAGAGTCCGCGCTGCATTGTTCTCTATCCACTACAGCGCTCAAACATGGCCTTGGCCACCTAGCCGAGCTACGCACGCTCTTCGCTGTCCTGGCCTTGTAAAGTGCGTCGTTTCATATTCCAAGCCATGGGCTTCTCTACCATGCGCCAACTGCGGACTTCAGGTTTCCGACACAGCCAAACTTGGCGACAGCAATGGAAGGGGCACATTTGGGGCCTTTCGCTGGTGGCTGGCCTCATTCCAATCTTCAATCTGGATGATTATTGATTACTGTGGCGGTAGGGCGGCCTCAAAGGCATGCTTCGCGCCACTGACTGCATAAAAGACGGCTGGAGCACGGGCGTACAAATCTTCGCAAGCTCCAATTATCCACCCACAAGTCTTCGCGCATCGACTATGCCTAACGTGACTACCAGAAGCCAACCTTCTGCTTCTGGCAGCCAATCTCGATCGTTAGCTGACATGACTCACCCTCGAAACAGCTCTTGACGCTCAACAAAGGCAAGCCAACTTCGCGCTCGCTTTCTTTGTGTGCGTCAAAGGTCTCGACTATACCCCACACATTCTGGTCTTGGTACACGTTGAGCATAACATAGGCGTGCGGCAGGACCGCGGGGTGCTCGCTAGGAAACCTACTCCGTAGGTCGAGCAATGTGCAGCGGCAAATGCCGAAAGAACGTGCGAAGGCCAGGCGTAACCTAGCGCGAAGGTGCACGAGCGATGTTGCATGAGAGCTATTCAGCCTATGTCGCTCAAATTCGAGAAGAGGGTGGTGATGGGTGGGAAGAAGGTGCTCGGCTTTCAAGCGAAGCGAAAGACCGAGATTCGAACGCGAAACGGCGGTTTTGGGGGTCGAATATAAAATGTCGAGTGCTCGGGACGAAACTTCGCAGGATGGCAGCCAGCGTAGAGCAGACCCAAATTCATATTTTGACCATAGCGAATTTCGAAGAAATGCGCGGGCAGCGGAGCGAAAACAGCGATGACGAGGCGAAACTACCGTTTGGCCCGTGGACGGGCCCCCCCTTGACTCACGTGATAGCACATTGCTCGCTCCGCCTCTCCCCTCCCTCGCAAGCTCGGGGGGTCCCCTAAGGCGTTCGCGAGCAATAATTATGCTGATGTTACATGTTGAACTCGAAGTTGCGCAATGTGAGTCACGGACGCGTGACATGTCGCGTCAGTCACGCGCCTAATGAGAGTCACGCCGGCACCGGTCACGCGACAAATTGTTTTGTTGTTGCATTCCTTTGTTCTTGACTCCCATCTCGAACAGCAACCATGGCCTCGTCGACGAGGCGCTCAACTAGACTGTCGGCCGCCTCGAGGGCGACGACGAACTCCCCCTTCACTCCAGTTAGCAACGACGGCATCTTCTCACCATCTGTACAAGAAACCCCGCCGACGAGCGACGAGGGGGAGGACGGGGAGGACGAAGATGAGCTAGCTCCCCTGAAGGGGAAACAAGCAGCCAAGTCGACGCCAGCGAAAGCACCCTCGAAGCGGACGGCGAGGACCAGCACTAGTCGAAGCGCCAAGCGCGCCGCCCCAGACAGCTCAGAGAGCGAGGAGGACGAGCTGCCGACGGTCTCAAGCAAGAGCTCAAGGAGGACGAAGCCAGCTACGAAGCGCCGGGCTACAGAGAGCAACGTCTATGTAGAGATCGTACTGCCGAAGAAGCGTACGGCGGCGACGGCGAACACGGCTGACAAAGCCAGAGGTCAAGGCGCAAGGAAGGACAAGGTGCGTGCTGCATATATGCGCTCAGAATGCGATCCTGACTCGGCTACAGGCGCCTACGAGGGGACGTGCGTTCGCGCGCGCAAGTAGGCGCATCAGCGACGGGGAAGATGAAGATGACGACGAGTCTCCCCCCTCTGAATCCGACTCTGGCAGCTCGGTGTCTGAGTTCGTCGCCTCGGACGACGACGATAGCGCAGCCTCCGATGAAGAAGACCGCAGCCAGTACGGCTCGGATACCCCTGCACCCCCTCGCCGCGCTACCAAGAAGCAGACACCCTCGCGCGGGCGACAGGCCCAAGTCTACGACTCCGACGACATTGATGATGCCGAGGAGAGCGAAGCTGAAGAGGCTATGGTGCAGGAGGCCGTACGGCGTTCTCGTGCTGACGTCGGAGGCTCGAGCGCTGGTCCTTCCACCTCTCGGCGTACAACTGACGGGCTGGCTTCTCGCGCTGCGGCGGCCGCAGAGGCTCGGCTCACGCGTTCGCGCACCGGCGGCGACATACCCGACGTCGACGACAGCATCATGATGGACATCGACGACGCGTCCGCGTCCGAGTCCGACAGCGAGCCCATCGCGCGAAAGGGCAAAGGGAAGGCGAAGAGCAAGCCCGCCGGTAAGAAGCCCACCACGTCTGGCAAGAAAACCACCAAGTCAGACAAGATATATACGTACGAGGACATCAAACGCGCCGCGGCGGAGGACAAACTCGAGAAGGCCGCCATCCGGAAGGAGCAGCGGCTGGAGCGCAAGCGGCTCGGGCGCAAGCTCACGCACGCGGAGAAGACGACGCTGCTCCTGCGGAGGTACCACCCCGAGCTGAGGGATGTGTGGGGCGACTTGGAGGCACGCGTCGAGGTGGCGGGCAAGGTGCCCGAGGCCGAGCAACCGAGCCGCCTGAAGCTCACGCTGCTGCCGTTCCAGCGCGAGAGCGTGGCGTGGATGCGGAAGCAGGAGAAGGGCGAGTGGGCGGGCGGGATGCTTGCGGACGAGATGGGGATGGGGAAGACGATCCAGATTATCGGGTTGTTTGTGAGCGAGCTCGCGGATGCGAAGGGGAAGGGGAAGGAGCGCGCGGTGGAGAAGCCGGGGCCGAATCTGGTGGTGGCGCCGACGGTGGCGGTGATGCAGTGGAAGAACGAGATTGAGGCACATACGGAGCCGCCTCTGAAGGTGCTGGTGTGGCATGGGGCGGCGCGCGAGGCGGATGCGTCTAAGCTGGCTGCGTACGACGTGGTGCTCACAACGTATGCGGTCTTGGAGAGCGCGTTTAGGAAGCAGGTGAAGGGCTTCACGCGCGGGAACAAGATCATCAAGGAGCGGTCGCCGGTTCATGCTGTCGAGTGGGGGCGGGTCGTTGTACGTATGACTGTTACTTCGCGTGTTGGTAACTCTGACGTAGACCGTAGCTCGACGAGGCGCACAATATCAAGGAGCGCAGCACGAATACCGCGAAGGCGGCGTTCGAGCTCAAGGTGAGTTCCTGCATTCATATGGCTATAAATCCGGCTAACTCTTGTCGCAGGCGAAGCACCGATGGTGTCTGTCGGGTACCCCTCTGCAGAACCGCGTCGGCGAACTGTACTCCCTCGTCCGCTTCCTCGGCGGTGACCCCTTCTCCTACTACTTTTGCAAGCGGTGCGACTGCAAAAGCCTACACTGGCGCTTCACGGACCACAAGACGTGCGATGGTAAGCTCGTTGCCTCGCCGTGATGCCACATAGCGCTGACGGTGTACACCACGTCTAGACTGCGGCCACAGCCCGATGCAGCACACCTGCTTCTGGAACAACGAGATCTTGACGCCGATCCAGAAGCATGGGATGGAGGGTCCGGGCAAGCCGGCGTTCAAGAAATTGCGTATCTTGCTCGATCGGATGATGTTGCGGAGGACAAAGGTATGCAGTTCCTCGACTGTCGGTCGATGGATCAATGTGCTCACGATACCTTCAGCTCCAACGCGCGGACGACCTCGGACTGCCACCGCGGACAGTGATCGTGCGCCGCGACTACTTCTCGCCCGAGGAGCGCGAGCTGTACCTCAGTCTTTTCTCCGATGCGAAGCGGGAGTTCAACACGTTCGTAGACCGGGGCACTGTGCTCAACAGTACGTTTGGTCGACTTCCATGATCGACGCTCGTACTAATCTCTTCTACAGACTACAGCAACATCTTCTCCCTCCTCACGCGCATGCGCCAGATGGCCTGCCACCCCGACCTCGTCCTGCGCAGCAAGACCAACGCGAATGCCTTCGTCGCCGAGGAGGAGGAGGCCACGATTTGCCGGCTCTGCCAAGACGTGGCCGAGGACGCCATCCAGGCCAAGTGCCGGCACATCTTCGACCGTGCGTGCATCGCGCAGTACCTTGAGGCCGCGGCCGGCGTCGAGCAGCCCACGTGCCCCGTGTGTCACGTACCGTTGACCATCGACCTTGCGGCGCCGGCGCTGGAGGTGAATCAGGCAGTGGAGGGTGAGGCGGGTGCGGATGGGGTCGTGGGCGCTCGGTCGCTGAGGCAGGGTATCCTGGGGCGCTTGGATCTGTCGAAGTGGAGATCGTCGACGAAGATTGAGGCCCTTGTTGAGGAATTGAGCGCTTTGCGGCAGCAGGATGCAACGACGAAGGTGGGTTATGATTATTCACTGTGGGGGCGTTCATGCTCATGAATCCGTAGAGCATTGTGTTCAGCCAGTTCGTGAACTTCTTGGACCTTGTTGCGTTCCGGTTGCAGCGCGCGGGTTTCGCGGTGTGCAGGTTGGAGGGCACGATGAGCCCTCAGGCTCGTGATGCCACGATCAAGCACTTCAGTACGTTCAGTTGATGTCCTCGTCCAGGGCTTCTGACTGATACTATTTAACTAGTGACCAATGTCGACGTCCCCGTCTTCCTCGTCTCGCTCAAGGCCGGTGGTGTAGCGCTGAACCTCACGGAGGCTTCGCGCGTGTATTTGATGGACAGCTGGTGGAACCCAGCTGTCGAATACCGTACGTCAAACATATGTTGTGCTGGATGCGGTCATGCTCACGGCCCGCGCAGAAGCGATGGACCGTATCCATCGACTGGGGCAGCGTCGCCCCGTTCAGGCCATCAAGCTTGTCGTAGAGGACAGTATCGAGGTACGAACGCATCACTCACCCATTCTCGGAGTCAGTGTCCTGATCACCCTTCCAGTCCCGCATCGTCCAGCTGCAGGAGAAGAAGGCGGCGATGGTCGACGCGACGCTGAGTCCAGACGACTCTGCGATGGGCCGGCTGACGCCGGAGGATCTTGGGTTCTTGTTTAGAGTACGTGGTTGCTTGATATCTGTTTGTGAAGAAGTGCTGACGGTTCTCGTAGTTGTGAGATCTTGTCATGTTCTGTAATATCGTCTGTATATGCATCTTATTCTTGGTTCGTGGGCCAGGACCGTGGCATAATTGTTCATTCATTCATTCCGACGTCGTTGGAGGTTGGCGTGCTGCGAAAGTTGACGATCTACCTTGAGGCAAGCGAGCTGAGACTGTGGCAACGATCACGCCGAACGGCGTGATCGTCGTGGACATATCTGCGGGAGAATGAATGAGCAAGTGACATTCATTGGGACGTTTGAACTGGGGCTACTCTGGTAATTAGAGAGGACACACGAAGGAGTTTCCTAAGTACTACCAAATGTGTGTGAAGACTGCGCCAGACATAGACTCAAGCATTCGCGCTTGTCGGGAAATAGAAAGCATTGTTACACGAGTGGCAAGGCGAATTTTTGGGGGCAAAAACATGCTCAAAAAGACGCTCAAAAAGGTGCTCAAAAAGACGCTCTTTCTGCGTCGAAAAAGAGCATGTTTCTGGGGCCATAAAGACGTCCTTTTGAGACATTTTTTGCCACTGAAAAGGCGCCCCAAAAGCAAGCAAGTCTGCCGCCAAAAAGAGAATCCTTTTGTGTCACTTTTGCGGCCTAAAAATACTATCTACGCCCAAAAACATGTTATGCGCATTTTTAGATGTCAAAAGACCGTCTTTTTGGTCACAGCGCTTTCTTACCCGTGGAATGTCCATCTTCTTTGTGTCAAAAAGGCATACAAAAAATGAATCTTTATGGCAACAAAAGCCCTCTTTGTTTCAGCTCTTTTTCAGTGGCAAAAAGATGTCTCAAAAGACCGTCTTCTTCGACGTCTTTTTGGCCCCAGAAACATGCTCTTTTTCGACGCAGAAAGAGCGTCTTTTTGAGCACCTTTTTGAGCGTCTTTTTGAGCATGTTTTTGCCCCCAAAAAATCGCCTTGCCACTCGTGTTAGTTTATTCATAAGTAGTGCACTCAATCATATGTCGTGTTCGGAAGATTTGAGCTACATAGAGGGTACGTGCGTCAATCAGGCGCTGCGGGAGGCCATACAAAAGCTGGCATATTGCTAGTCTTGAGCTTCTTTAGTGGTCCTTGGCGTTCTCCAGGAGCGTCTCGTCAACAGAGTGAAAGTAGACGTGAATCTTATGTCCTGCAATCTTGACTTCCTTAGATACCTCGGCAGTGATATCAACGTCAAGGCGGCGTCGCTTGTCCATGCGCGCGTCGCGCGTCTGAAGAGTATCAAGGAGCCGCTGGGGCGTAAGCCCGCGAATATTGACCAGGCTCAGCCGACGAAGCTGGGGGAAACGGTGGCCGCGCACGAGCGCGTCGGTGATCCTGGTTCGCACGTCCGCGTTAGTCTGAAGGCGCAGGGTGATCAGCTTCGCCGTTGCGTCTGATTCCAGCCACTTCGTAAAGCCTGCGCCGTAAGTACAGTGCCACTGCAGAGAGACGTGCTTCAGTTTGCCAGACTCTCCACACTCCGTAAGCAGGTCGAAGCCAGCCTCCTCGAAGTATCGGCACGAGTATCCTTTGCGGAGGATCTTGATAGCCTCAAGGTCGGGCATCTTGACTCCGCGCAGCGCGTTCGCAAGATCGATACGAGAGTCCGGAGCGCTGTTGTTGCCACGGAGAATGAGCTCGCGAAGACGATAAGCAGTAATAGGGCGAGCGAGGGCTTTTCGAATGATGTTGGCGAGCGCAGCGTCCTCTCCGATGGGGAGAACATCCGACAGGTCGATGCCGTATATTTTCGTGAGGTCGGAGCGCCGAGGCGCTTCCCGCACCAGCACCAATAGATGCGCGGCGGTGGCACAGTTCGAGAAAAAGGTGTCGTAGTAGTACCGGCCGTGATGGAATGTGAAGTCCGCGTCTTGGTAGGATACTGTACGTGCGGCAGCTGAGTATCATGCTCTTAAGCAGGTAAGTCAAGCACGATATATGTCTAAGCGCACCTTTCGTAGAGCGAAAGTCCTTGTCACCGTACGGCGAAAGAGAAAGCGGCTTGCCACTGTCGAATACATCAGTGGCCGCTCACGTGTCAACTTGGGCGAGCTTACGACCGAGATTGGCTGCCGGAAGCAGCAGTCTGCTTGCTCGTAGTCGCCTTGGGCATACTCAAGGTGCGAAAGCCTGAGGGTGGGTAACTGGGGTTCGGTGAGAGATGAAGGTTGCTGTAATCCTCTGCTTGGGCCTTCTCGTTTATATGCGGTTGTGAGGCGGGCTATAAGCATTCCACTTGACTCATCCCCGTGCCACTGCCACCACCGATTGTCCAGATCATTATGAAGATCGATATCAGGCCAACGAGAGACCTCCAATGTGCCGCTTCCATTGTTGCCACCGCGTCAGGCATCGTAGAAGGCCATAGATCCGCAGCTAGCACATGTAGAAGAAGCTCAAAATTTTGATACAGAATGGCCCGCAGCTCAATGCCAAGGCCTACAGAGCGAAGCGCCTGCGCGCCTCGTGATGTCAAGCTGGCTTATGGCCGGGGTTGAACGCCGCAGTGCATGAGCAACAATCCGGCATGGACTCCCCTAGTGGCATGGACCCTGAGCGATGGAGCGGGGCAGGTCAGAGGAGCAGAGTAGCCGATGGCCACGCGATGGAGGGCCACCGCGCGCGCCTCATGTTCATGGCCCGGTGTAAGAACATGAGATCCAAAAACAGAACAATGGACGCCGGACTGCGGTGATCCGGCGGGCCGGGTCACGTGCATTCCGGTATATAAGGCGCCACCGTGTCGACGAATGTTCTCTCGTACCCTCGTCGTCGGACATGGATCCAACTGACTACCAATGCCTCGGCTGGCGTGCTCTTCCTGGCGAGGATGTGCAGCTTGCTGCATGTCTTCGCTGACATTTGCGTAGGCTGTGTTGTGCGGGGCTAATGCGTACAGCCGGATGGTAGTAGGTCGCCACCGCGGCCACTGGTAATCCCAGTGGCTGCGAGACCTGCAGCGTTGGACTCACCACGTATGATAGCCGGGTTGCGGTGGGCTGAGGACGAGTCGTGGTTCTCGGTTTACGGTTCGCGGCTTCGAGGCCCCCTGCATCGTCACCGGAATGGGACCATGCCGGCTACATACGGAGGTGAGTGGAATCCTGTCCATCGCGAGTGTGCGCTCGATGTCGAGAAGGTGCCCATCGCTCTCTAATCGGAGCGATGGCGCGCTGAGATGTCTGCGTCTGCTCGCTATGCGGAGCTGCGTCGGTGACGCCACGGGTCTGTAACGGACATGTGGCGGAGGCGACGCACCTTCGCGGGGGTCGGCTGCCACTCGTGCAGGTGTTGCGGGAGTGTACTAGTAGCTGTCCGCCGCCTTTGACGCTCAGCGAACCGCTACAACCCGCCTCGTCTGCCTTGTGGTCAGCGGAAAGGCGGCCAATGTTTGGAACCTTTTACAGCCCTTAACGGGGCAGTCGTCAGACACAGAACCCAACTGACTGCCACCTCGACCGGCGTACACCTCCTGGCGAGGGCGTGCGGCTTGCTGCACTTCCTCGCTGACGATTGTGCTAGCATGGTGTGGGGAACAATGCGCACAGTTGGATGGTAGCCGGGTCGTATCGCGCTCTATGCTCACGCTATCATCGCAAGGCGATAGCGCACCATAGACGGCGAGACCTCCAGCGTTGGGCTCATCGCGTGCGATGGTCGGGTCGCGGGGGGCCAATGACGGGCTGGTTGGTATTCGGTTACGGTCCACGGCCTCGAGGTTCCCCGCGTCGTCTTCGTTGTTTGCACGAGACCGCGCCGGCCACGTACGCGGTGAGTGGGTATGTGTCGCGGCGGGCTGGCGTCCGGTGCCGACGACGCTCGTGCTCATCCTCGCATGGAGCGAGCTGAGGCGCCGGGCGTGCAGAGGTGTGGGTCGTTACTGATGTCGTTCACCCACCTTGGTGTGGCTGGACGAAGGAGACGGCCGGTGCCTTTCCCGCCACACTGACGGCCAATATTTGGAACCTTTTCCAGACCCATTGCGGACTGGAGGAATAGTATGTCAGTTACCGCGTAGAAAATTGTATGTAGAACACACCGTCTTCGAATCTTCATGACATAGTTAGTCGTTACTTGCTATACAGTGGGCGCCAGCGGCGTGTTCTCCTCGAGTCCTGGAAGAGTTCGAAAGCGTAGCTAACCCGCACTGGTACGAGCGACACTCGACATTGATGGATGTCGGCTGGGGGATGCAATGGCGGGAGCGAGATCATTGAGAGAAGGAAGGTGCGAAGGGTCTACTTCCATCTATACTGCTCTAAACGATTTACTACACTGTATATTCTATCTATCCTTCTGAGCGCTTCATATATCCTTTTGCACCCGAGCAGGCCGGCGCGCCGCACGGCCCTGGCGGTCACGGTAGAAAAGAATCGAGCCTGAACAAGCATGAGTACTCTGACGACATGGAAGGGCATGCACAGAGATAAAAGGACTTGCGACGAGGTAGGACATGCGACGAGGAGGTAGGACACGCGGAGAGGCAGGAAATGCGACGAGGAGGAAGGACATGCAAAAATGACCGACGGACACGGCAAGTAAAAGCTCACCTTCATCCTCCACGAACTGGCACTGATTATAGCTCTCCCAGAGCGCTTCGAAGATCGGCTTTTCCGAGTACGCGTAATGCTCCCCGATGAAGGCCCGTAGATACTTCGTCGCCTCCTCACCGTGGTCTGCAAATTATATGTCAGCTATTTGTCCTTACCTGCAAGGAAAAGCGGTAGACGTACAGAAGGGCATCTTCGGGAAGAACTAGAGGATAGGGTATGGTCAGTATGTTTACACGGAGTGGTGTGCAGTGAACATAGGGAAGCGCACGCACATGATGCACCACATGATAATGCGCGACGTCGTGCAGGAAAAAGCGGCCCTGCCAGCCGAGGAAAGGGCGATCGACGGTGGCGGCGGCGCCGCGCTGGAAGTTCCACTCCTTGCCGCGGTAGTGCGGCAGGTCGGGCGTGGTGTGGTGGAGGTAGGTGATCATGATGACTGGGTGGGGCGTCAGCGAGCGTATGAACAGAGGATAAGCGTCAGAGAGAGATCATGGAGGATGGGCGTCGAAGGGCTAGAAAAGTATGACAGGGAGTGTAGGGCGGCAAGCTCGAGATCATATGAAGGGAAAAGCGATGATGGATCGACGATGATGAATGAAGGAAGGCGTATGAAAGAGGGAAGGAAGAAGCCCAAAGCCAATGCACTCACACCAATGCGTCACCAGCAGCCATGGGATGCCGTAAAACTTCACCACTGCCGCGAACGAGAATGCGTGGCTGGCGGCGATGACCGCGACAATCATTGCCCCGATCCCGGCGTTACTGAGGAGGACGGCGGTGCGCTGCTCGGGGGTGAAGAGGATGGAGTTTGCTGTATGAGTAACAACAACGCATGAGGATAGGGTGGAGTGAGCGCCAAGAACGATGAACATCGAGAGACGGACTGACGATCGAAGTGGTGGGTGCCTTTCGCTATTTGGGAGTTAGCTGCTTGTAAGAGGAAGAACGAGGGTACATACGATATGTCCTTTGTCCAGAAACGTTGAAGACTATACAAAGGAAATCAGTCACAGGATAGAAGATGAGTGAACAGTAACGTACGCAAGTACGCCGGAAACGCTACCAACTGTTGTCGAACGAGCATGAACAGCGTATACAAGGGCGTGTCACCCAAGATCTCATCGTAGTCGATGGCGCGCGCTTCATGCGCGGGCGGCAGGCCCAGCTCCGCGCGCGTCTTGGGTACGTACACCTCATCCCGCTCCATGGATGCGTGATTGCTGTGATGCCGATGGTGCGAGATCTTCCACGAGAAGTACGGCGTCCATAGTAGTGTGTGGGTGATCTGCAGGAGCGAGGCTACCGTCAGAACGCGTACCATAATGTAGCCAATGGATCAGAAGCCAGAGACTCACGTATCCCACCACGTCATTCAGCATCTTGTAGTCCGAGAACGCACCGTGGCCGCACTGGTGAGATTGAGAGGCGCTCGTCAGCTTCGCGAAGGGGATGGAAGGCATGACGGTAGAGGAAATTCGACAACGAAGTTAGGACGCACCTCGTGCCCGATAACCCAGATCCCAGTAAAGATGAGGCCCTGAAACCACCAGCTGTCAGGATAGGTGAGCAGGCATTCCGACGATCAAGACGAGCGAAAGGCCTACTAGATGCCCCAGCAGGCCCAGCGCGCACACATGGCGCCGAAGGGCGTCAGCGCGTCTATCGTGACGGCATGTTGGAAGAGAGGATCGATGAAGGCGGCCGCCTTCCAGGCGCAGGCGGCCATGAGGAGGTCGCGGGTAAGGAAGTAGAGGCTGAGGAGCGTGCTGCGGAGGAAGAGCCGGGAGGGAATGCTGGCGCGTATCTCTTGCAGTGACCTGCGATAATATGGTTAGACACGATACAGATTGACGTGGGGCATCCTGCCTACCAGGGCATCGGAGTGAACGTCGGAAGCGCGTCCTCGCTATAAGTGGAGGCTTTGGGCGACGCCATCATGAGCGGAGGACAGCAGTCGAGATGGGCAGACTTGTTGGCGCTCTGGGTACGTAGGAAGACCTTATATACTTGTGCGCACCGAAAGACTGCATCATCTCGACGGCGTTTTTCCAAGCACTCATGGACAGCCTGGCTGCCAATTTGAAACGGAGATGCATGGATCGCCCAAGACTCCCCAAGCCTGCGCCGCGAGGGGAAGATTAAACAGAATGGCTTAGATGAATACCATACCACGCCGCCAATGTGATGCCCTCCGGAGCGGCGGCTAGGAGAGGAATGCGCGCAACGGAGGCGGCGTTTTTCGCGCTTGACCATGTATGGAGTAACCAAGAAAAAACAGACGGTATAGGGCATCGAGACTTCCGCTGCATCGAAGCGACCTGAGAGAAGATTCGTCGAGCATCGATATGTTACCAGGGGGTAGACTTTACGGACAGTCCTTGTCTGATCCAAGATTCGCGCATTCGGTGATATAACAATTGCCGTATATAGCAGCAAGCACGCCTAAGACGCAAAGTTTATGTCGGTCGTCAGGTCCATCGTCCGAGGATCATGACCGAGCTTGAGTACATCGTATGATTAGCCAAGGACGACGCGGCGTTGCACGAGTGTCGCGCGGGCGGCGGCGGCGGCGTATAGGACTGGTGCTGGACGAGGAGGCGAGGCAGTGCCGGCCTAGTGGTGTTAGGAGGCAAGCGGCGATCCCTACACGTGGCTGATATGGCCATGGATCCACTTGAATTTGGACCTTTCTTCTTACCAGGTACGTCCCGAAGGATCCCTCTCAATCCTTGAGACCCCAAACGTACATGCTTATATTAGTCAGACCCTAGAAAAGGCGACGTCGGTCACTTGGCAATGCCAGCAGGGCTTTCTTCACCGATCGGAGGCCGCATTGAACGCCGATCTCCTGCTTCATGGCCGCCAGCTGAGGTAGTCGTACCTTCCAATAGCTATGCAGGGATCTTGCAGGGACCGATACTTGCCCACCATCGGTCAATCTTGTATCCACGGCGCACCCTGACCAGGCGAAAGACGTACAGCCACCCAAGCGAGTGCTCATTACTAGACGCCGCCATGACATCTATGGCACCCCGGGCCATTGCGGCGTCCTCCGTCAGTATCCTGTAACGCTGGAGCCGACTGCTCATAATAATTCTGTGCATTGTTGACGTTGACAAACCATTCGGAGAGACGATGGTCGAGAACGAGCACGCCGCCGCCGCTGATCATTGTACTCACTAGGTTCTGAATGTCATGTTTAGGCTGAGCAAGTAAACCCAAAACCCAACACGGTTCTTTCTCTACTGCTACCTGGAACAAAGCCTTCCTCTTTCGGTTGTTCCTTTAGCGCACTTCAATATTGCTGTTCGTCAGGTTTGCACTATCCTCCAGGCACACATCGGGCAGGACATAGTTCAAGTCAAGGACTTCACGGTAGACATTTTGACACTACACAGGACCCTAGACTGTACACAGCTTCTCGTACAACCCAGTACACTGCATGGTGGTACTACAACCCAAGGAATAAATAGCGATAAAAAGGATAATTTACTGCGCCTTGTAGACGTTGATGGCGGCGATGTCGAAGTACGCGTCCTTGAACGCGTCCGGCTGGCTGTTGGCGACGTCGACGCAGACGCCAGAGCAACCGTCGGTGTTAAAGGTAGCGCCGGCCCAGTCACCGCAGAGCGTCAGGTTGATGATGATGCTGGAAGGAGGTCAGCGGAGGTTTGAGGGAAAAATAAGGAGAGCAAACGCACTTGTGCGCATCGAAGTGCTCCGCGATGTTGCACGTGTCGCTCGGGAAGAACGCCTGCGGGGTGCCCCAGTTCGCCGTGTCGACGTCGTCGTGGCCCTCGGAGACGCCGATGGGCACGTCCGCGGCGCCGCGCGGCCAGAACCAGACCTTGATGAAGGAGTCGGTGCGCTCCATCGCGTACCAGCCGCCGCCCTGCGCGTTGAGCGCGGGGCCGAAGCTCGTCGCGTCCGAGAACTTGACGCCGCAGCCGGCGTTGCCGTTCACGGCGGTGTCGCAATCGGGCTGCGTCGGCGTGCCGAGCTCGTCGCGCGTCGCGGGCATGGTGCAGCCGGGGGAGGTGTGCAGGGTGGCCGCGTTGGGGACGACGTCGTTCACGCCCTCGAGGATGTCGACCTCGCCGCCCGCGGGCCAGGTGGCCTCGTTCGTCTCCCAGATCGCGGGCCAGGTACCGCAGCCTTGCGGCATGTGGCGGACGTCGGCGCTGGGAGAAGGGTCAGCTTGGACAGCGGGACCGACTTGGAGATGGGACATACACAAGGACATGAGTGGTGTAGGTGTTCTTCGAGCGGATGCGAACAGAGTCACGGCCGGCGCCGGCGGGGTCGAGCACGGTGGTGCTGTCCACCCGGAGGACGAACGAGTCCGCCGACGCGTAGGTCAAGTTCTTGTCCTTCGCAGTCTGCGCGTCCACGTAGTTGACGCGGCCGTGCGTCGGGTCCGCGATCGCCTGAAAGTCGAACCCATCGTAGAAGCTCTGGCCCACAAAGCTCTCCGACTTGACATACGCCGCGAGCGCGGGGCCCGCAGACGCAAGCAGGGCAGAGAATGCAACGGCGGTCTTCATGGTGTCGATAATAAGGATAGGCGTCGAAACGAAAGACAAATAATAAAGAAAGGGGTGGGTGGGTAAGTGAAGGGCGGACGAAGCGAGAAAGCTGGATGGCGCCCAGCGGACCCGGGCGGGCCCTTATAAGCCGCTTCCCAGCCCATAGCTCCGACGCCTCAGGAGGCGGGGAGAGGCGCCCACATGGAAGCGCTGCGGACGGGGTGTATGGAAGAAGAAGGGTGCGGGGGGCCCGCGCTACTCAATTCGGCGCCCCCCTGCACCAGGCGCTGTCAATAGCATAGCGACGGGCGCGCTCCCGCTGTAGCTGGCGGACGAGGGTGCGGGCCGTTTCAGGCGGTGGCGGGCCTGACGGTGGGTAGCCCAAGCGCCTTGCGGGCGCGCCCCCGGTTGCAGTATGGGTAATACCTTCGAGATCTAGGTCGCTTTGTTCAATTCGGGCTGCTGAGCGAGGTATGCCGAGAAATGCTCGGTCCTTCTGGGTTCCTGTTCTAGTTCGAAGACGAGGGGATCTGCGCAGAAGAGACGCATGAGAGAGGGAAGCATGGGCGTCGGGAGAAGGCAGGCACCGTATATTGATCAGTGTGACAAGTCGAACAACGTGCGCTGTCACGCCGCAGCTCCGGAAACTCGAACTTCAACTTGGACTCCAACCAGCCCTCGCCTCCAGCCGAGCTCTAATCTTGGCTGCACGGACTTCAAGGAGTCCCAGAATGGAGAGCTGCAGGGTAGACTCTGTAGGGGAAGTCTGTGAAGACGGCAAGGACTCCGTAGAGCCTATACATCGGAAAGAGGCTTTGCATTGAGAAGCACCAAGCACGATCTTCTCGATAGGCAGTAACATACGCAGAACCGGGGCAAGCATGGGGACCAAGACAGAACGAAGAGCTCACCTCTCGTGATCCAGCTGAACGGTGTGCCGTTTCTCCGCTCTCTGAACGCGAAACACCCCTCGAGATAGGCTGCGACTGATCGTCCGAGGGAGGTTGCGACCGGTCACTCGAACAAGATTGCGACTGATTTGGTACTTGAGGCAGCCTGTAATTGAGCAGTGACCGTGCTGGGCGATCTATAACATCAGTGGCGTAGCCGCAGACACCTCATCAGTACTCTGCGTACGCACATGCGGACGGTGCAAGAGAGCATTCGACAGGGAAATCTTCGGGCAGACGCAGGTCCTCCTCAAGGCGTTGGTGGCAGATGATACGGACAGGTGACGCTTGGCGAGCGAAAGCACAAGTGTCGAGATACATGCCGATGCGGGTGCTCAAGGACAAGGTAAGACGCACATTTGGACACGCAATTTCGTGTGTTGCGGATAAATGAGGACCATGGTATACAAATGCACGAGAGAGAAAAGAATACAATGCGAGGAAATGATGCGGGGCTACAAAAGATCGTAATCGTCCAACTGCGGGCGAAGTCAGCACGCGACACGGGCAGAGCGTAGCACGGCTCACCTCGTCGTTGTACTCCATGACCGTCCTCTTCAGCTTGGACGTGTCTACCCAGGTGACGAAGTCTTCCATATGCCTGCAGCTCACCCAATCAGTCGTACATCCATCAACGAAAGCATACCACGCACCTCGACACCAAGAATGCTGGGTCCGTGATCGTATCCGGCCCCACGCGTACATGCCCCTGCTCGACGAACTTCACCGCCGCGCTGACCGTCTCGACCATCCCGCGCATGCACATCCACACACCCAGTCGTCTCCTGCAGAACGCGCTGACCGTGACCTTGTTCTCGACCTCTGAGAGCTTCTGCCCCGAGTTGATGATCCCCATGTCGTAGAGCTTGTTCAACAGTTGACCCTCTAGCTGCCTTCGCTTGGGGTCTTGGGCGGGAAGTAGGGAGACGCGGTGCGCGAACTGGCGAAGGCTGCCGCATAGTGCATTGTATTTTGAGTAGTCAGAGCGGTCTGTAAGGTGGTATCGGCGGATGACTTTGGCTTCGCGGAGAGTGGTGTCTTGTTTCCACTGAGGCTGCTTCAGGACTGGGGAAGAAGCAGACGCTACAAGGAGGGACGTACGTTGAGAAAGTCGACCTTCTTCAGCAGCTTCTGTTCATGATGCTTGAGTTTCCGGACCATGTTGGCGGTGGCGTGATACTAGACTTTTGAGGGCCGGCAAGAGAGAGCTTGAGGTGGATCAACGCGAATGCGGACGAGAGCAATGAACGCAGGCGCGATCGCCGATCACTGATGCGCCTCCTCACTCCTAAAACGGGAAGACGTGGCGTCAGCGCCATTGTACTCGTCTGTTTGTTTGTTTGTTCTCATCGGATTCGCTGCTTGCTCCTGACGCTCATGTTCTCCAGATCCTGCTCTCGACTGTTCAACATCGTCTGAACGAAAGGAAACCGTACAAATATATATGCTCACCGGTAACGACAAGATGCCGAAGCACGCTCTTTGTCGAACGCGTGGATCCTAGTATCGGAGACAGCCGCGCGGCAGGCGGATATGAGCTATCATGAAAACCACCCTCGCCAGCTCTAAGTCCCCGTAAAGATATACACCATCGATTGCAGCATGCCTGCTATGAACGTCCGACCATGTCTCTTCCTCTCATCTGGCCTGGGACTTACTTCTTCTATCCCATCGGGAACACCTCCGCTGTCTCTCTAACGCGCGACCTCGCGCCAGAGACGCCGGCGATCATTCTGCATCTCGGATGTGGGGACCCTAGAAATGTGCTGTACACTGTCTTCTCCGAGGCGCGCACAGGTTCGTGTCTTCGACCCAACCAATCGCCTTCGAATGCTGACCGTCGACAGCTCGTCGCACCTTGGACTTCACATGCAATGACAGCGATCCTGCCATCCTCGGTACGCATCGCTGCTCGGCTCATGACCTTGCGCTGACGTTCATCAAGCGCGTAATATCGTACTCCTGACCATGATCGCGGATGGCCAACCAATCCAAACGATATGGAATGTCTTCTACCACATGAAGCTGGATGAGCTGTCCTGGAGGTCACTCATCGTGCACTGCGACAAACTGCTGGCGATTGGCTCCACCCTTAACGACTGGCGCGCAAGCATATACGGCGCATATATCCGCTTCTCCACGCCGTTCACATATGCGGAAGTCCGGCGGCACTGGTCCCTCTATAGTACCATGCACGCCCTTCCTCGGCATGAACTCGAGACTCTCGTCCGCGAGCACGTTACCAGAGTCATGCATGTCTCGGGCGCGACATCGAATGATGCGCCTTTGGAGGGCACATCTGCTCGCTCTGCTGGACCATTCGCCCACGCCGCATCCAAAGTCATGGCGAAAAAGTACAAGTCCTATTGGGAGAATGGCACGGTCTTTGACGAACGCTCGCAAATTCAGGGAGCGGATATGGTCAACCCGATGTTCGTCTACTCCCTTGGTGGCGTACGCAATTCGGTGCAAATGGGCCTGGATCCCCTCACGGGCTTTCATTATGCGGACCTGTACGGCAATGCCGTCAGAGAGGTCACCAGCGCGGATGTGACGGCGCATGCCTTGCGCGAGTTCGGCGATTGGGCGAGCGCGTTCGCGGATGCCGTACGGCCAGATTCTGGCAGGCCAGCACCAGTTGTGCGCTTCCTCCTGGGCGAGGCTACGGCCGTCTGTCGAGCGCTGCGCATCGTTGCTGCAACGGGCCAGACGAAGACTGATATCCCCGTTGCACACTTTCAGAGTGCCGTCCTCGAACTCGCGGAGGAGTACGCGGCTGGCGCCAGCGAGAGCGCACCCATGGAATTCCACATCATCGACACTTCCAATCTCGACGACCACATGGGTCTTCTGAACTGCCTGGTCACGTCTCTGCCTCTGCTGTCGACCATCCCGGAAGCTACGATTTACACCGAGTCCCTGCTGTTCCGCACCGCCGACGCGTCGACTGAGCTCAAGCGCCGTTTGCATGCCGACATCGCTACGATGGCGCTTCTTATCGGTATCGCACCCATCGACTTCCTGTCCAGCTTTAGCTCGCGATCCAACGTGCACGAGCTGCGCGCCCAGCAGGACACCAAGAAGGCGCAGTCCCAATACCATCAGGTCACGACCTGGAAGCGGCCAACGAGCTGCGACCCCCGAAGCACTGCGCAGCGCGCGTGGCGCCAGCCCATCCACTTCGACCCCCACACCCTCGGCGAACTCTTGCTGAAGATCTACAACACGATGTTCGAGCAGGAGAGCCCCGCGATCTACATGGAGCGCAACCGCGACGCGCCAGAGCACATCGCGTCCATGCAGTGCATGCTCATCTACTACAATCGCGAGTCCTTCGTCTTCTTCCTCGACCTCGTGCGCAACGCCCTCGGCACGCCGCCGGACAAGTGGGGCGCGGCCATGGACTGGTTCACGTACTGCCTCATGCAGCAGCGCGCGAGCCCGCACGACATGGCGCGCCGGCACGAGCTGCAGACGCTCATGTACCACTTCGGCGTGTACTCCCTGGGCGGGTACTACGATGTGCAGCGGTCGCCGCCGACGGGGCTGCTGGCCGCGCGCCTGCGCGCCTGGCGCGCCATCCCGCCCGTTCTCCGTCTCGTCTTCACCATACCGCGGGCCTTCTTGACCCTCGCCCTGGGCAACCCGGTGACGGAGCGCGAGTCCGAGCGGGGCAAGGGGGCGCTGCAGCGCCAGACCTTCGGCCTGCAGTGTCACGTCGGCGCGCGCAAGGGCCACATCTTCACCGCGGTGCAGATGGTCTTCGGCGCCTTCCAGTCCACCGGCACCCCCGCCGACCCGGTCTTCACCCTTAGGCCAGATCCCGAGGGGTGGCGCGGGTCCTCGCCGCTGATCGCTTCGTTCTTGGTCCCCGTGCGGCTGCTGGAGACGATGGATGCGAACGAGGCGCAGGTCCGGCTGACGACGCGGGTCGACGAGGTGGGCGGGATGCAGATGCCCCCGGTCTACTTGGGCGATATCTGGAAAGCGAACTCGCCTGTCAAGGTCTTTCCTGCGAGTTCGCAACCTCTGCCTGCCATGCCCCAGTATGCTGGGAAGCGCTCGGCTGCTGCTACCATCGACGTTGGTGACGGATTGGGGCCCGTAATGCTGTCTCGAAAGATACGCTTGAGGAATACTGACGCTCCCAGCAATGCGACGGTCGTCACGCAGTCCTCACCGTGCATCTTGGCGGCCACAGTGTCTGCGACGTTGGACCCGCACGACCTAGCCTTCCCCTTTCCGATCATGGGCGAGGTACACGCAGTGACTCATGAGCCCGATGACATAGTGAAGGTGCATTCTGTCGACCTACTTGCGATCCATGAGACTGACCGTATATACCCAGATCACCGCGCCCGTCGCTGGCCCGTTCACCTCAGGGGGACTTCAACTGGACCCGTTCCCTCTGATCGGCACGGACGGGCGACTTACTCCTTGGAACTTACACCGTCTGGAGCTGGATCGACTGCCCCTAGTACGCAAGACAAGCTGTCATGATTGGCTGAAGACGCACTTACGGTTCAGCCTCTCCTCCCGCGAACGCGCTTCTCGGGCGGAGCAAACTGCCGACCCCTTTACTCGTCTCAAAATCTCCCTGAACGACATTCTCCTCGCGTTCGCGAATGCGGACGACGTGCACTCTGTATTCGCCATCCATCAGTCGGACGAGGACATGCCCCACTGGGTGCTTTTCGCGAAGGATATCCACTTTGATCTTCAGTGTCATACCGTCGTCCTTGGCGCGTACGCTCTCTCGGTGCAGGGCTCGGAGCATCCTGTACAGGAGCTGCAAGATTTCATGGGCGAGAAAACAACGGTGCATCTCCCCTGCGACGCGGAGACCACAAAGATGTGGCAGCACGCCCTTCCCGCCTTCGCCGAGCGATGCAGGATCTGGTCGCACACGCCAAACTGCGAGCGGAGCAATGGTCAGTCCTCTGCGACGTTCTGCGGATGTGGTCGCGGACAGGCAACGGCACTCCCGGAGGCGTACGCCCCGTTCGCACCTTTCGTGACGCAGGTCGCGTTGTCCCCTCTGTTCGGGGTGTCGTACGTAGAGCCCATCCTGCGCGGGCGCCAGTGCAGCTCATGTGGGAAGAAGGGGAACTTAAGGCTATGCGCACGATGCAAGAAGGTCAAGTACTGTGGCGGGAGTGCCAGAAGCGCGATTGGAAGGTGCACAAAGCGCACTGCCAAAAGGCCGTGCGCTAAACAATCAACTCGAGCCCACCCTAGTACTTGTTGTGCAAGTGCTCAACATGGCTCTTTCGTGCCCACATACGAGTCAACAACAAGTCTGATTTCTCTAGCATAGCAGTACAAGGGGTAACCAAGCAGTCGTTCTGTTCGAGTTCGTTACAGATTTGAGGTATACATATTCGTCTTCCAGATTCTGTTCGTCGTGAAATTCATGTGAGCTTTGGTCCTTAGATGTAGATCGGCAGCGTAGGGTTGAGACCAGCCCAAGCTGGGCCTTCAGCAAAGTCCTTCTCGTCGATGAGGAAGTCCTGATATCGCGATAAGCATGCAAGGTAGGGCCGAAGAGCAGATGTTGCTTACGATCGGGCTCTCAACCAGAGCACCCCGGACCTGTGACAGACGCTCCTTGACGCGCTGGAGCGGGATATCCGGCATGACATGACCCGTCTTGACCTTCGGCAGGTAGTGCTAAGCGCGAATGGTCAGCAAACGTCCCCCTATTCCCTCTCCAACCAAACGCAAACGCACATCATACGCATCCCACGTCCGCACCAAGTTCGTCGGCACGGGGCGGAAGATCTCGGTGAAGATCTCCCTGTTCTTGCGCGCGGTGTCGTTCCACAGGTACTGCGTCTCCTCGCAGAGCGGGTCCGCGACCATCTCGTCCTCGCGCGAGCCGGTCTCGTCCGGGTTGGGCGTCGGCGCGGGGCGCATGTAGTCCGTGACCTCCTCGTCCTTCTTGTCCATCATCTGCGGCGGGATGAGGCCGAGGTGCTCGCGGAAGAGCATGCGGCGGAGCGTCGCGGCGAAGCGGGTCGCGCGGTACGGCTGGCCGTCCATGCGCGAGTCGATCTCGTCCGTGTCCTCGACGACGAGCGCGATCTCGGAGTCGCCGTCGCCCTGGCGGTGGTATTTTGTTAGTGTGCGTCCCGCGATAGCGGCGCAGAACGAACCTTCTGGCTGCGGTCGTTGATGTTGGCGCTACCCATGATGACGCGGCGGTCGTCGACGACCATGAGCTTCGTGTGGATGTAGAGCAGCTCCGAGACGTAGCTGGCAGACCGTCAGCACCGACCCTCCTCACCCTCCCAAGATGACACTGGACCTACTTATTCAGCTCCTCCTCCTCGCTCCCCAGCCACTTCTCGTCAAACAGCGACGTCTTGTCCTGCAGCATGTGCTGCGACACCGTATCCGCCACCTCCTCGTCCCCGCGGATCTCGCGCGAGCCCTCCTCGAACTTCTCGATGATCGCCGTCGCCTCCTCGACCGTGTCCGGGAACTTCACGGTCAGGATATCCGACTCGGTGTTCTCCGAGAGCGACTGGCCCTCCTGCGTCTTCTTGGGCACCTTGATCTTGACCTCCTTCTGCTCGGTGTGCTGGTTGCCGATCCACTGGCGCGCGAGCGCGACCTGGGCCTCGCTGAACTGCACGCCCGAGTTGAGCTCCATCTTCTTGATGAGGGTCTCTGCGGTGGGTGATCAGCGACCTGTTCTATGCTCGCAATACAGCTACTACTTACCCATCGGCGCGTTGATACGGTCGTAAGCACGAAGGTGGTAGAAGCGGATGTAATCCATGCTGCAGGGAACGTCAGCCGGCGACGGATGAGAGATCGCTACACTCACGGCTCATATCCCGCCTTCCTGATCTCCTCGTAGATGCTGCTCCCGCCGCGGTTGATCGTGCGGTACTGGCCCGCCATGATGAAGCGCAGCGAGCTCTCCTCCTTGATGTTGCCGGAGAACCCGGGCACCTCGGGGATGCAGATGATGACCTTGAACTTGCTGCCCTCCTTCGCCGCGCGCACGATGCGCTCGACGAGCGCCTTCGCGATGAGGTTGACGATCTGCTCGCCCTCGCGGGTGGCGGAGATGCTGATAGGGAAGTTAGGATGGGTGAATGTTGGGTCGGAGGGGAGAACGGAAAGACGCACAAGAACTGGTTCTCGATGTAGATGAAGTGCTCGGCCTCGTTGATGAGCTGGATGTCTGCAGAGAAGTCAGCGGGCGACGTACTGTTGACATAGAAACAACGCACAAGCATTCTGGATACTGTGCTCCGTCAGGACGCCGTGCGACCAGTCCGAGACGCTGCGGACGACCTGCACATTGCACGTGCTCGGGTTAGGCGGCTGGTACGGCGGCTCCGGCTCCTCGTCCTCGGGGGCGCGGTGCCAGTATTGCCTGTACCGCTTGCCCATGCCCTGCCACCGCTCGCGATGCGGATGGCGCGCGACGGCCTCGTTCGGCGCCACGTCGACCTTGTGCGGCAGCGCGAGCCAGTCGTAATGGCTATAGCGCACCCCCTCGTCAGCATCTCTTCCCCTCGAAAGCCCATCCCACTCACTCCTTCTCCCGATACTTCCGCTTCTTCACCTCATTCCACCGCTCCACGTAGTGCTGCACGATATCCAGCACGCACGGGCCCGTGAGCGTCATGTGCACATCGTGCCACGGCATGCGCGGGGACTCGAGGATGGAGATGCCGATGTTGGACACGTAGTCGGGCACGTTCTGGAAGTCCATGATGCGCGCGTTGTTGTAGTCCTGCCCGGGGAAGACGGTCATGGAGAAGTCCGTGGGGTGCGCGTCGGCGAGCGCGTGCGTGTGCGTGTCCCAGCGGCCGTAGCAGAGATCGAGGCCGCCGATGCAGGCGAAGTGGTTGTCGACGACGACGACCTTCTCGTGGTGGGACCAGAATTCGACGACGTCTAGGTAGGGTGGGTTAGTGGGGACGTAAGTCATGGAGAGGAGAGATGGAGGAATGACGAGGGAACGCACCCTTGCTTCCAATATGGTCGGGGTGGCGCATGCAGGCGATGTTGGGGTGGAGGGACTCGAGCTGGGCCTTGGTGTGCTTCGAGCTCATGGTCATCGTCTGCGTGACCTCCTTGTACACGATAACGTAGATCTTCACGCCCTGCTCGGCCTTGCGCTTCAGGACTCGGTCGAGCCGCCATTCCGGATGGTGCGCGGGCGGGCGGCGGAGGAAGAGCTCGGGCGAGAGCCACCAGTCCTGGATAAGGGTGTTAGCATGATGTCGTGCAAGCCGTCGGAAGGCGATAGATAGAGGATGCGAGGCGGTGGAGGATGAGGGGCGGTGGGGGATGAGGGAGCCGTGAACCAAGCAAGCTCAAGCGCACGCATATATGCCCTGCGGTGCGCATATACCGACTCTTGGCTTCAATTCCGCAGTCGCCACACCCTTTCTTGTGCAGCCCGCTGAAGGTTCCGAGTGCAGGCGAGATGTCTGCCCTTTACAGCCTCTGCAGCGTAGACACACATGGGGAAGGGGAGAGGGCGAAAGGCTCGATATGGGCCATGCGACACGGTGAGGCCCTAGCTCGGCTCGGTGTGGCGCACGTAGCGAGACCCTCTGAGCGCTAGCCGAGCAGTAGTCACACAAGAGGGGTAGGGAGGTGAAGGGGGGAGCCTCTATCGTCTTGTAGCCAGCTCAAAACACTTGAAAGGACATACCAGGATGTAGATGACCTCCTTCGCATTCTCGAGCATCTCGGAGAGCGCGTACATGTAGTCGTGGCCGTCGATGTGCCTGCAGGAGCGTCAGAACTACGCCCACCCATCGATGGGCAGGAGGACGCACCATTTCACGAAGTTATTGAAGCGCTCGCCCGCGAAGCTCTCGAAGCGGTGGCTCTCCCTGATCTCCTGGCGAATCTTGTCGTGCTCGATTTCCTCGGGGTCATCGTGGCGGCCTGTACCAATCCTCAGCTGGGGGGCGACGCAAGTATGGCAGAAAACAACACACGATTCGGGTTTATCACGCCTGGCGGGGCGAGTGCGCTCAGCGAAGGCGCGAATGATGATGATGATGATGGCTCGCACCGATTGCATGATCCCGCGCGTGCTTCACGCCCTCCGGGATCTTCTCCGCGACCTCGGCGAGCTTCTTGAAGAAAGACATGAAGGGGGGGAGGAAAGGACAGCGGCGGAGGAAAAGATGGGCGAGGGAAGAGAGGTGCGGTCGCCCGTCGCAAGGGTAACGGCGTTCGCGTAACCGATGCAGGGGATTTGATCTCGCCGGGCTCAACGGCGCAGCCGAGACGTCACACGACGTACATAAGTTCAACCTTGGCGGGACCCACAATGCAAGCCTGAGGGGATCGAAAGAGACCTCGGCCTGAGATGGAGGACGAGGAATGAATCGACCTCCGAGTATACGGACGCAGATAATCCAGAAAACTTGACCTGATGGCGGGGTGTACACGAAAGCCCAGAGTTACGGAGAAAGTACAGCCTACGTCTTCCTCAACGTGATGGTCCCGTACAAGGGGTATTACGTGCAAATTGATGACAGTTGGGAGCCGAACGAGTTCGACAAACCCTTTCCCTGACCGGGGTTGTAAGATGCACGAACAATGACTTCCGCATTTGGAAGTTAGCGGCTATACGGCAAGTTCCGAGCAAGCGTCCACGTTCGAGGGCTCAGAGCCAGTTCAACGTGAGCAGGAGGACATAAAAAAAACGTGAAGGTATCGTGCGATGATCAGCGAAGGAGCCCTGCCCGCGCCACCATAAACATCTACTACGCCGTCATAAACGTCGCCGCCAGCCCCTCATCCACCACCATGCTCTCCCCCGCCGCCTTCGCCACGAGCCGCTGCACCTTCCGCGCCCGCTTCGCCTCCTTCTTGAGGAAGCGCCGGTTGAGGGGATTATTTCTGCCCAGTTGGTTGTGCGGATTATTGGGTGGGTTGTGGCCGGAGCCCTGCGCCTGCTCGTATTCAGGCAGATCGTGATTCTTGCGCAGGCGCTTGGGCTGCCGGGTAGGGAGGTCGTCGGGGTCGTGCATTTCTACCTCGGCGTTTGGTGGGAGGGGCTCGGGGGACGGAGAGCGCGGACGTTTGAGGGAGGTGGTGCTGAGGTCGGGGTCGATCATGTCGCTGGGAGGGAATGTTAGAATACGTACATCGGCGGGTGTATCAGGAAGCGTTAGGTGCAGGGGGGAAGAATGCGAGAAGGAGGAAGGGAGAGAAGGCGGAAGGACGAGAAGGAGGAAGGGAGAGAAAGAGGAATTGAGAGCATGAGGAAGGCACTCACTCGTCTTGCACAACAGGTATCTCCTCAGCCACGGGCAGTTCCTCCGCGTCGTAGAACACCTCCTGGTCCTCGTCCATCTTGGCATCACCGTCGAATGCGCCGTTGTCATCTCCGTCAAATGCGCCGTTGTCGGCGGCGTTGAAGAGCCCCTCGAGCGCGAAGGGCTTCGCGAACTCGGTGACGATCGCCGCGTTGCCGACGTTCTCTGCGCCAGGAGCGATCTCGTTGGTACCGGGGACTGCGAGGGCATGTCAGTAACGGCCCATCCGCCAAAGGAAAGGGCCATCCGCCAAAGAAGAGGGCCACCTACCGAGCGATGGTATCTGCGACGTGTGCACCTCCGGCGGCGTCGAAAAGTACGGGATCTTCTGGTGGTTCCAGTCGTTCAAAATTTGCCGCGCCGCGTTGTTGATGTCCGGCGTCCCGCCCTTCAGCAGCTTCCCCGCGCTGAGCGCGACCATCGTCAGGAACTCCAGCGTCGACCCGAACGCGGGCAGGTTGTATATCCGCTGCAGCGCCTCCGGCGCCGTGCGCGCCACGATCTCCTCCACCACCGCGATCGGGTCCTCGACGTCGTCCACGCGCACGACATTGCGCAGCAGCACGCTCCCCTTGCGCGCGCTCTTCGCGTCCGCGGCCGCCCCGTCGTCGTCGAACACGACCCCGGGCGAGTCGACGATGCGGATGCCGCGCTCGAGCTGCACGGACTGGAGCTCCTTGGTGTGGCCCGGCTGCGAGGCGACGGCGCACGCCTTCGAGCGCTTGAGCGTGTTGATGAGGGAGGACTTGCCGACGTTCGGGTAGCCGACGACGCCGATGGTGACGGAGCCGGATTTGGGCTTGTACGCTTTGAGGAGCTTCAGGAGCGCGGGGGAGGTGGTGGAGGAGAGGTTGTTGCGCTGGTTCTGCGTCGAGGAGAGGAAAGGGAGGGTTGGCGTGCTGTGGCGGAGGTACTTTAGCCACGCCTGCGCGTTGACTTTGGGGACGAGGTCTGGAAAAGGGAGGGTGGGATTAGACAGGAGAGAAGATGGGGAAGTTGCGATCGGGCTCACCGACTTTGTTGAGCACGAAGACGAGCTTCTTGCCCTCGGACTCGCGCCGGCGTACTTCCTCCTCGACAAGCCGGCTCCTACACCCCTCCGGATCGCGCGCGTCAAGAACAAGGATGATGATGTCGCTCTCGTCAATGACCTTGTGCAGCGTGCGCACATAATGGCGCCGCATCTGCTCCTTCGTGCGCGCCTGCGCCGACATGGACGATTCCTCTTGCGTGTCGGGCGCTGTCTCTGCCGCCATCTGCGCGAGGGTAGACAGGGTGGGCTCCGCTGCCATCAGCGTGTCCGGATCCTTGGGATGCGGACGCTGTAGATGAAGGATAAGTACACTCGGACCGCGCGCGATGCACTGCACACGCACCGAGTTCGCGTGCAGCCTCTGCTTCTCCGCATTCTTCAACTTCAGATCCGGCAGCTTGGGGATCCCAGGATCCTTCCTAAGCTCTTCATATCCGTTCAATGTACATCTCCAAACTTCCAGCCGATCACTCACTCGTCTTGTGCGGCACAGGCGCAGTTTTTCTGCTCTCTAGAAATCGCCGTGAGCTGGGATTTTTTCGTGGCGTGAAGGAAGGGGTCTCACTTGTTCTTCCCATGGTCATGGTTAATTCTAAGCGAGGGCTGGGTTTTATACCCCGCCACCGGACCCTGATCTAGATGCGCGCGTGATGGCCGTCGGGAACAAAGAATGTCTGGATGATCGGATTACTCGGTTTGGGCATAAATCGACAGGTGTTGTTCTTGGGTGAGAATCCCGCACGGTATGGGCTGCTATTTGAAGAGCATAAGCGAGTAACCATACTCAGTATACCCAAGGGACTTAACATGAGATTTATTCGTAAGACACATTGTATCGTAGCTGTAGCTCTTCATTTTGCCCAATTGTTGTCCGTTACTATATACCCCAAAGTTCATCACAGTCGCATCTAAGTATCGTGCGCAGTAGCTCTAGGTAACAGTCGCGAGCGTTCATGTCCGTTACTCGAGGATCTTTGTCCAAGGGAAATCGTGCCAAGGAATCAAGGCCCTCAGTATGAGAATATCATCAGCCAAGGGTTCAGGACGATGGGGTAGAGGATGTGACACCCGCTGACGATGCTGGAGGAGGATGTTGATTAGATGAGACGACTGGGAGGGGGGTTGTGGCGGGACTCACGCCATCGGAACAATCAGCGCCCATGCGTAGCCAGGGATCTGCCACTCGGGAGGTACGATTGGCAAGGTGAGGACGATCATCAGGACGACCATGATCCCGGAGATGACGAAGGCCAGCCAAAAGCGCTTCCAGATGCGGGGGACCTACAACGCATGCTTAGCAGACCGTCTTTCGTACAATCGCAGTACGCACCTCAATCCAGAAATTAGACCGCTCGACCTCCTGCGATGGATGATCAGCAAGCGTAACTCGCCCTCTGCGATTGGACAGTCTTACTTTCTTCGTCGCTCCCCATGTCATGTTGTACGAGAACATGTGCGACAGCAGCGCTGTGGACAGATGGATGCTCAAACCCCCGAAGAAGAAGAAGCTACGAGGCAACGTCAATATTTCATTAACCTCGCGTTAGCCGACGTAGTAGCGACTCACAAGAATGGGATCCAAGTAACATTCTCCGTGAACGAGGAGAGCAGCGAGCGCTGTCCGAGACGGTACTCGAGGAGGGTGAAACCAACGTTGCCGGCCAAGGGGAACACAACAGTGCAGGCAAGCCAGATCTCAAATCTGTGAGGGTGGGTCAGCGAGCGCGTTGGAAGGGATGCCGAGGCGGACGTACGAGTGCAGGTAGAACCCATCGACCTCCAGGGCAAAGCCGAGGAGGAGGTAGTTGAGGATGGACAAGAGGGCAGAGGCTGCGATGCCGTAGTACGAGAACCTGTGAGGAAGGTGAGTGAGAGACTGGGCACGTAGGGAAATACTGGAACTCACATGTAAGCCATCATGGATATCTTGTAGTGTACGGGCGCCGCAGACCACAGGAAGACGCGCAGCTGCTTGTTGATGGGACCGAGGCGCCACCATTGGATGAGCGGGTTGAAGATGAGCTCATTGCATCCTTGAGTAGATCATCAGACGTAAATGGTAAGGCCACGGAGGAAGGGCGTACCGTAAGAATACTTCTGCCACCGGTTCAGCTCGTCATCGGCTGTCAATGAGACACCCTCCTTGAACCCGCCCGCCGAGTACGTTGCCCAGCGGATGATGTATCCCTTCAACTGTGATCATGACGAGGTCAGCATCCACATAGGCTCCCCTTGCTCACGGCACTTACCTGCAACCTCAACGCCATATCGAAGTCCTCGCTCACGTTCGTCTCGCTCCAAATCTTCTTCACCCCGTCCGCCGTGTCCACGAAGGCCGCGTCCTGCAGTGCAGACCAGCGCAGGAAGGCATTGTGTCCGACGAAGGGCGCGACCTCGCCATTAGCGCAGGCCATGGAGATGCACTTGTTGATGCGGCGGGTGAAGTGGGCGATGCCGTTCTCGAAGTAGTGGTGCGCGACTTGCATGACGTCTGGGAGGATAGGGGAGGTAAGTACAGAGGAGTACGAAATCCAAGGAGCTACGCACCAGACTCATGCTGAATGATAGCGACCTCAGGGCACTCGGTCATCTCGCGGGCGGCGTCGCGGAGACAGTCCTGCCAGCAAATGAGAAAAGATTATCAGCCTACATTCCGGAAAGCGCTTACCTCTGGAACAATCGTATCCGAGTCCACGATGAGGATGTATTCTCCGATGCGGATGGACTTCGCATTCGTGGCCCACGGCTTCCAGAGCTTGCCGGTCTCTTCGTACTTCTCTTCAATCGCGGCCTCGAGGGCTTGTTCCTCGAAGGACTTGTCGTTCGGGTCCTCGCGTACCCCCGCGGCCTCGAGTGCTAGGAGATGCTTCTGTGGATTTTTGGTGAGCGCGCCGTCCACGATGAAAGTGCAAGGGATTTTCGCACCTCCATACACTGCGCCAACGCCAGTCCGTAGTTCATGTTCGACGCCTTTTTGAACCTTCCCGCGCGCTTGAAGCCATCCGGCTCGTTAGAGTGCGGAGGCCGCGCAACCCAGCCGATGTTGTGATTCGCGTAGAACGCCGTGCGCTTTTCGCGCTCCTCCGGACTGAGGAGCTGCATGCCGTCGTCATTGATGAAGATGGCGGAGGTGCCGCCCTGGCGCGCGTACGTCTGCATCGCCTTCTTGAGGGAGAAGACCGAAGGTGCGCTAACGGAAGATATGGATGAGCGTGTGAGTGGCAGGTAGGAGGGAGTGGCGTACATGGTCTCCTCCAGGCTCTCCTTGTAGACGGGCATCTGAATCGTGATGTGCGGCAGGCTGTGGTCGAGCTCGGAATTGGGCTTCGGTGCGATGGCAGAGTAGTAGCGTGAGTTTTCGTGGAATTGGGCGACGGGACCGACGCTGATAACGATATCAGCGCAGGGCGACAGGTCAACAATGAGGCATGGCTTACAGGTAAGATATGACGGCGATGACCTGGAGCGAGAAGAACTGGATAGAAGAGAGAGGCACGTCAGGCAGTGTCCTCATAAGAGAAGTAGCAGACTTACGATAGACACGCAGAACAAGAAGGGGGTGGTGGCCATCAGCGCAAATCGTGTGTAATCGTTATCGAGGCGGAACTCCTGATTTCATGTGTTAGTAAACCTCGAGTGCGTCGCATGGAAATAACGGACCTGCAGTAGGACGGACAATCCGCTCGCGATGAAGACTGCCCATCGTCAGTAATTTACAAAACAAGCAATGAAGAGACGTCACTCACAAATCGATAAGCCCACGCCAGTCCCATTGTAAATTGGCGCAAAAAGTCGAATAGGCCGGGCTTCCTTCGACGCCTCGCCCTTCTCAACGTCCCCAGGCGCAGCATCGGGCGCCTTCGCCGACAGCTTCCACCCAAAGCTCCACTTGAACCTCTTGGACGGCTTGCTCTTCTCCGCGAGCATCGCCGCCGCGGCGTCGTCCGCCGACCCGGCGGCCTTCTCGTCGAGACCCTCGGACGACGAGGGCTCGGAGGGACGAGCCAGAGAGGTCGCGGTCGTTGCGGGCGTGAGCTTGGGCCGCGACCGCCAGACGAGCTTCATGAGCTTCTCGTCGAAGTCGTTGCAGGTGGTGACGATGCTGTCGAGGTCGTCGGACCAGACGATGAGGACCTTCTCGTCGCGCTGGAAATTCGGCGAGGTCATGATAAATTCATCGGCAAAGGCGATGTAAATGACTCACGATAAACGCGCCGCATTGCTCCTTGTCAGCACGCGGGAGATGCGACATCGTGTCGAGGATCTGGATCCGCGTGTTGTGATCGACGTAGATGGCGCTGACGTCGTCCGCGCTAGATCAAAGATTTAGCATTGAGAGGACATTGAACGATGTAAATAAGAGACGTACACGGTGGCCAGCGCTGCATGAACGGCTGCGCTCCGAACCTTGATGGCTACGAGGGGGTTGAGGACACGGACGGCGGCTTCGAAGGGGACGAGGTAGCGATTCTCGTAGGGGAAGATGCGAAATTGTCCAGGCTGAACGCGAAGGCAAACGCCGGCCGAGACGTTCTCTTCGGAGGGCTTGAACCATGCGTCCCCTTGCGCTGTAAGGCAAGTCTCAGACTCGAGCTCGATCTTGACAAGGAAGCGACTTACTTGCGCGGAACAGCCAGTGCAAGACGGCGTCGTAGCTATCGTAGTCCATGACGGCCTTGAGGTGGCAGGTGGCGGAGGGAAGGGAAGATGAAACCCTGGAGGAGGGAGTCCGCCCACCGCACCCTGGTATTTATCGAGCGTAAAATTGCGCAGCATGAGAGCCTCGATTGTACTGGACTTGATCCCAGCAGATGCAAGAGCAGCGGCCTGCCTTTCAAGTTCGCCGATGTATGAGTGTTCAACTGAAGACGAGCCTCGTTCTGTTCAGGACAGATAGCATGGAAGGCTCGCGTGGAAGACCGAGCGCGCGGATACGCGTACCTTTGCATGGGAGTCGACGTAAAAGACGAAGGCCCTCCCGCTCTTCCGCGCTCAACCCGCCACATTGGCCGTGTACCTTGCTGAACCCTGGACGGAAATACAAGGTGGCGTGTGAACGAGCTAGTGGGATTTTCGCTGAGGCAATGCGGCCATAAAGACCCACGCTTCGAGGTATTTCTGGAGCCTTTTGAGGTAGAAGCTCAGTGTACGAGGTCATAATGCGTATCACGCTGGTTGCGATTGGCCGAGGTGAGGAGGGTTTGAAAGCAAGGGGTAGTTGAGCGCCCCATCTTTGGAGGCACCTATGGGAAGTGATCTAGAAGAGAAAGGCATGTGAGGACCGTATGAGCTCAATGTGATGATGACTGATACCTGCGAGGAACAGGCTGATGGCCAATAGAAACGCCTTGAAGCTTAAGGCCTGAATGTTGAAATCATCATCCGCCAGCACTCCGGGATCGCACGCTACGTATGAAGGGCCAGGAGCAGGGTCATGGCTGTGGCCCTTCCGGCTGTACACCACGCGAGACTTTCATAGACGGTCAGGGCGTCCAACTTATCCGCACAGTTGATCTATCAAGGTGTTTAGTCCATGAAAGGCATGCGTATGTGAACGACGGCCCGCGAAGTCCACTACAGTATACAAGCACTTTGAGAGTGTGAACATGATCAGTAAGAATAGAGGCCAACCGGAATGAAGGGCGTACACTGTGCGGTGTCCAGACTGATGACCATACAGACGGACGCCTGCGAATCATGGGGATTGCGGACGAAGCGGGACGAAGGAATTGTACCCAATTCGGAGTGCGAGGCACGGGAATCGACGGTAAAGTCCGAGGTCTATTGTCTATTTGCTGACTTGTAGAGCATATTCCACATTGTACAGATTATTCTACGCCCGTGTGGCTGTGAGAAGCGCTACAATTCTGGCCCTTGGGACAGTGCACTGGGATCGCTGGCGGCGGCGAATCGAGTATGAATGCAGCCTCGTTGTGATTTGAGTGTTGTGTGAGTGGTGTCGCGGAGGAATACCGATTGCCTAGAGCCTGCCAGGAGGGGGATGAGAGTTGTGAGCAAGCCGCAAATGTCGAGGCTCCCATCAACCGCTCGCGCGGCGTCCACGTGGAAGGATCCCCAAGGAGACTTCGATTATGGTCATTCGCTCTTGCGACCAACCGTCATGTCGAGTACCAAAGCTGCTACTTTCTCCTTGAATCCCGCCACACCCTGGTTAGCGTCTAACAGATAATCGCGCAAAGCTCGTATGCTTCGAAAATCACATTTTGAAAATGAGGTATAGGACGTTGCCCCATGCGTTTGCATAGGTGAACTTTCCGAGGCCGCGGCCACTCCCATCACATGTGGCTTCTGGCCTATACTCTACGGTGATGGATCGTCCGAACTCTGGAACACCAAAGTCCGCGAAATTGTCGATACTCACGCCCTCGACGGAACGAACGCTCTCGAGTGGAACCCAACTTACACTATCTTGACGTGTAGGATGGTTCTTCCTCTATGGCTATCCAGGCAAGAATATTCCCAGCACTCAAGCCTCAGGAACCCTGCGCTGCACAGCATGAACTCGGGCTATCACCGCCGGGATACACGCAGCGCTTCGGGTGGGAGCCCTGACCAGGAACTTCTCATGGACCAGAACAATGAAGTTGAACTCTGCCTCACCAGAGGCAAAAGATACTGGCGGCTTTCCACGGCCATTCGCATTTCTCTGGCTTAAGTACCTAGGGGTGGCACGGTCTCTGCATCCTCCCCAGGATTTTCCCCTTCGTAGCCATGGACACGCCTACCGACCCCGTATACGCCTCCTCGCCACCCAGCACGACTGGCAGCGACTCGCCACGGCCTGACTCCCTCGTCCATCCCCGTCACGACTCGTCCATCTCTGCTGTCAATCCGTTCTCCCCGCCGCCCAGCGTCCATACCTTCAGCTCGCCCGGCCATACGCCGCTGCACTCTCCTGTGCCAGCGACCGCGACCGGCGCCGATGCAAGCTACTTCGGCGACGCCAGGACCCCCATCCACCGCTTCAGCTCCGGCTCGATACGGCCGGCCAGCAGCCCGCGCGAGACGTTCACGAGCCCGCCCAGCCGGCCGCTGACAATGCTCAGCACGTCCGTGCCACCGCTGACGCGCGCGGCGGCGCCGCGGACGAAATCGACGCTCCTGACGGACGATGCGGTTATTGAGAAGCCGTGGCTGGAGAAGCGGGACCCGCTGGCGCTCGTCGCATACTGCATCACCTATGGCATCTTCTTCCTGGGCGTCATCATCGGTGGCGTGCGCTGCTACTTGGACTGGACGCACGTCGCGGTTCTGAAGGGCAGCCTCTGTCCCGTCGTCGACCAGTCGTTCGACGGCGGTGACTCTGGGATCTTCGGCAACGACGGTCTTTTCTTCAGGGAGGTCGACATGAGCGGGTTCGGGTACGTTCATTGTTTATTTTCCTGATTTTTGCGAGACTGACGCCCGTCCCAGAAATGGCCAATTTGAGATGACGACCTCGTCCTCGAAGAACTCCTTCGTCCGCGACGGCCACCTCTATATCATGCCCACCCTGACTTCCGACGACATCGGAGAGGGCGCCGTCATGGACAACTACGTCTACAACCTCACCGACTGCACCTACAACATGACGCATGGCGACTCCTACACCTCCTCGACTGGCCCAGACGATGGATCCTCCTCTTCCCACCAATCGGACTCCGACTTCGACGTCGACGCCTATCTGAAGGCGTGCTCCGGGGTGAGTAACGCGACGGCCGGGACGGTCATCTCGCCGGTGCAGAGCGCGAGGCTCTCGACGCGGTCGAGCGCGAAGATCAAGTACGGGAAGGTCGATGTGAAGGCGAAGCTGCCGACTGGGTGAGTCTCCTCTTCGACTTCGCGTGTCCATTCCGACTATGCTCCGTCAATCTGCTGACCGCGCCTATAGGGACTGGGTAAGCTGCGGTCTCACTGACTCGAACTCTATCGTCGTGACTGACACCTCTCTTGTAGCTCTGGCCAGCTATCTGGATGGTACGTAGGTTGCGCTTAATGAAGACATACATTCGTCTGACGGATCACACAGCTTCCTGTCAACGGTGCATACGGACCGTGGCCCTTGAGCGGTAAATCGATGACGACGCTCTGAAGATGCTCACCTCGCTCATCTCATTTGCAGGTGAGATCGACATCATGGAATCTCGCGGGAATGGGCCTCGCTACAAGCACCAGTAAGCGTCCAATCATTGCATCGCCTCGATCCTGCAATCTAACACCGCGTCCAGGGGCACGAACTACGTCCGCGGCTCCCTCAACTGGGGCCCACTCACCTGGCTTAGCTCGGTGTACAAGACGTATGGTTGGTGGACGCGCCGAATCGGCACATACGACCAAGACTTCCACACCTACTCGCTGGAGTGGACCGAAGACTTCATGTGCGCTCTTCTAGTCGCCTTCTTGCCGCGCAGCTGACCGTCGGTCTATAGTCGCATCTACGTCGACACCCGCCTGCATCACATGCTCGAGCTCAAACTCAACGAGCCCTTCTGGGACCGCGGCGACTACCCGGCCGTCGTGCAGAACGGGACGGACTCGGTCGCGCTGGAAAATCCGTGGGTAAACGGCACTATGGCAGCACCATTTGACCAAGGTGAGTGGCTCGGGCTGCGTAACTCAATTGCCGATATCGACTTTGATCTTGCGCAGAGTTCTACCTCATCCTCAACTTGGCCGTTGGTGGCACAAATGGCTGGTTCCCTGACGAGGATGGCAAGCCATGGTTAGACGGGTCAGAAAGTACGCATCATCTTTTCCCTCAGGGAGCGACTGACTGACCAACATAGCTGCCATGCGGGACTTCATCAAGCATAAGGACAAGTGGTACTCCACTTGGCCCGAGAGCGTCGAGGACCGGGCCTTCATAATGTAAGTGCCCTGCTGTCTACAGCCTACCGCAAATGCTGATGAACCCCTAGTGACTCTGTCAAGATGTGGCAGCAATGCTAGAAGCTCTGACCTTATCACTAGTAACATACGGACACTGATTTCTCTTTATACATATTTTTTGCTGAGTTTTGTGTATATAGACGGGTCTAGAATGAATGAACTTTGCCTTGCTGAAGCTGTCATCTGGCTGGCGATAGAAAGCGCCATTGTAGGTCCACCTTTGACGGCGCTATTGAGCCACATAAGGCAAGTCCGAATGCTGAAGAACGCCGACAACCGCATATGGTAGGCCTTGTTCGCCCGTTTTGTCCAGTGGATTCTGCAGGTCCTGGGCCTCGTCATAAGGCGGCCCTACTCAGAACAGTGTCGACGTCGAATATAGGTCAACTTCCCAGGGTCCGCGATGAGGTAGCGTTACAATCCTCAATTGAAGGGGGAAAGTACACAGTACATTGATCTGGGTCAGCACAGGTCAAGTATCAACGATAACGACGTAGAGCAGCACATGGCCAGATGCGATGCCTATCCTGGCTCACCCAGCGGGCCGCGACGTGCAGCGCCATCGCGAGCGCTTGCCACCCGAAGGCGTGAGGAACATTCGCCGAGTTCTCCACGTGCAAAGGGCCATGCAAGCAACCGCTGTACACCATATTCCAAGCCTCCAAAACCCTAACCCTCAAAGCCGACCTCATAAATACGACCACTTCCTCGACACCGACTGCCGCACGATCTGCATCCGGATACTCCCCACCTCCGTCGAGCCGACCGACGCCCTCGACTGCGCCGCCACCGTCGTCTCGTCGTCCGAGTCCGTGGCGGAGTCGTACTCCCGCATAGCGGCGCGCCGGATGCTGAAGATGAACCGCGACGTGGTTACGGTGGATGCGCACCATATGAAGCTGCGTGCAAGGTGTCAGAACGCAGAAATTTCGGCGCAAAGACAAACGAAGAAGCGCAACATAGGAGGTTGGTGGCGGCACTTACAAAACGCCGACGAATTTGAGGGAGACGGGGGCGACGAGGGCAAGGACGAGGTTCGTTACACGTAGGGCTGTGTAACAAGGTTAGTTCTGGGATAGGGACGAAGAAGGTAGGCGCGTACAGGTCAAGACGAGGAAGTAAACGAATCCGTCCCGGTATAGCGCCTTGACCATGGATGAGTTCGCGGACATGGGCCGTTGTAGCGCGTTCCAGACGGTAGCAAGGAAAATGGAGACGTCAAAGATGAGCTGCAGGATACATATTCAGTACAGGCTCGTGAATGCAACGGCGTTGCCACATACGCCTGGCATCCATAGCGAAGAGATATGCACATCCTTAGCAAAGATGCACATGCGCAGATCACTGTTATAAACGAGAGCAGCTGTGAAGTATACGGTGAGACTAAACGCAGGAGTGCGTACGAGAAGTGTACGTACGAGTCATGGTAACCACAGAGAAGGTACAGCAGGCGATATTGGCGAGCTGAGTTACGATGTACCCGACAAGGGAGCAGGCGACCAGACGCCGGTTCCGATCCCATAGTACCCATAGGCGCAAGAGGACGAGGACTGGGCGAGAGTTAGGATGGAAGGGTGCAGGATTGAAGGGAACGCACAGTCGCTGATGGCCATGGTAATTACTCCGAAGTACGTCTGGGAGCATGGAGGTCAAGGGATGTGGATGCGGAGAATGGCATGAAGCTCACAGCGACGTCCATATAGATCTTGCAGCTGCGACATGGTGAGAATGGGGGTGGTAGGGATAGAGGGCGACGCACAAGTTATCAGGGAGATATAAAGGGACTAAGCCGCTGAGTTCTGGGACGAGTCAGAGAGGTGGCGACGACGAGATGGCATTCTACTCACGAATATTCTCGATTATAACTCCGATGAGGGGAAGGTAGCGCAGGATCAAGAAAAGGACTTGGGCAACCGTCAACCTAGCCTTCCACACTAATTCCACTTCATCCTTGAGCGTTAGAAGGTGGTCATAGAGCAGAATCTGCGCGCGCAATGTAATCAGCTCATGCATCCTCAACGACCCCCATCGCTACTCACCACGACGCCGATCGCTGCAGAAGTCGAGGTCCGCGTCAGCCACCTCGCCACCGACGGCCTAGCCAGCATGCGCACGCACCAGTGACATAACGAGTGGCTCGGACGTCCTTGAGCGTCTCCACCAATGCCTCCAGCGCCTCGTCCTGGGCTGAGGACATGGCGTCCGAAGGGAAACCGTCACTGGATGCTGGGCATCGACCGTCAGGAGGTATCTAGGGCGCGCGATTACACCATTCAGGGACCCAGTCTGCGGGTGTGGAGGCAATTTGCAATGAGAGACTGTTCCCGGTCGCTCAGCGGGGTCAAAGTGCTATCTAGTCATTGGGGGAAGAGGCTGCGTAACGGCGCCTTGACTGGATCAGCTGAGGGAAGAGCATGCGAGGATGAAGAAGAGAGAAAGATGGAAGAATTCAGGGCGGCCGCGCGGGAGGGTGCAAGGCAACGCGCGATGATGGCTGATTCGTTGAGCCGGCGATCGTCTGGTGCTCTCTGGCAAGCCGCATCTTCCGGAGGGGTAACATCGTCATAGCATACTGGAAATCGACAGCGATAGAAAGCATTGGAGGGAGACAAGGTCATGGGAGCACAAGTACACAAAAGCATTCATTCTGGGTCGCCGATCATTAACTCTTCGAAGGACCAGGTGCTGCCTGAGCCTGTGCTTGTATCTTTGCCTGCATGACTTGAATGAGGTACTGCATGTTCTCCCGCTTCTTCGCGATCGTCTCGTCGAGCGTCTCTACGTTCTTCTGGATGAAGTCTACCTTGTCCGTGTAGTGTTTTCGTGCTTGTGCACGCGTCTGCAGGCCCGTCAGGATCTATACGCGCCTCTTGCACAGCGACGCACCTTCTGCACAAAGTAACCTGTTCCCACATCTACTAAGACGCGTTCCGTATCGCAAAGCTTTCCAGGAACGTATAATGAGTTGGTCAAGGGAACAAGGATCGTCTTGTCTTCAGTCGCGCATCAGTTCAAGTCCAGATCGAGCAGGCAGACCACGCACTCTGATTCTGTGGTTTCAGCTCCGCGACATTCTCGATGCACGACTTGAACTTTGATTGCGCTTGCTTGAGTTGCACAAGGGAGTTCGTCAAGTGCGAGAGTTCCTTCGCAGGGTAAGTCGCGTTTACGTACTTCTCGGCAGAAGCAATACCTCTTCGAGCTGTCTTTTGACCTCTGCAAGAGATGAGAGATCCAGGTCGCTGATGTTTACTTGTTGTGGCGCCCCGGACATGATCGTGCAGTGAGAGTTCTGATCAAGTGCAGTTAGGGCGCTAAAACCCGGCCCGGACATAGTTTTCCCGATTTGGTACAATAGAAAATCGCGGGCAAGCTCGTCAAGAGGCGCAAATGCTCCTTAGTTCGTTCAGGTCTCACAGTCAAACAGTGGATGTACGAAGCGCGCACAATGGTGCGGCGTCTTCCACCTTTTGCGTCTACAATACAAGTACAGCGAGAATAGTTGCGATATAAATTAGGTGCAAAACAAAGCAAGTAGTAAGTATGTATCAGTAGATCTCTCCTTGTTTGAAGCCTTGAATTATGTCCGTACGACCGAGTACCCTCTATTAACGAGTCAAGAACTTCTGCTTCACGTTTCTCGTCAGCTCGCGAAGCATAGCCGCGGTGACCTGGGGCGAGGAGGACGACGGCGTCTCAGGCGACGTGCTGCTCATGCTTGTCGACGGCGTGATCGCGTTTGTGCCGTCTACCACGCTGGACGCCAACCCGGAGGACATGCGACGGCGCTTGGGCATCGTGCTGGCGAAGATGTCAGTATTTGTGCGCCCGAAGGGGACACATAACGCACCTGATCTCCGTCCCCTCAGACGCCTCACGCCTCTTTGCTGGTGACCGCCTCGTCCGCAAAGTCAACGCATGCTCGAGCGTAGCCACCTGCTCGATTGTCGCATCACGGAACCTGTCCATGGCCTCCCGATGGTCCTCCACCATGACATGATACTGAGCGTCGGCATCCCCAAGCTGCTCCTCTGCGAAGCGTCGCGCAAGGTCGAGGATGTTGTCGAGGAAGTTCTCGGCGGGGAATTCGCGCTCCATGTCGCGCTGGCTGATGATCTCCGCGCCAATTTGGTCGGCAAGGTCCGCAGGGTGAACTTCAGCGAGCCAGTCGAGTGCAAGCTCGTAGGCAGAACTAGGAGACTTCGTCAGCAAGGGAGGAACAAGAGTACTTTGAGGTCCACGTACTCGTCGTTAGTGATTTCCTTGTCAAAGGCGGGCAGCGGCTCCACGTTCTGCACGCCAAGCAGGCCCAGGGATATCCGCATGGCGTCGTTCAGCATCTGGACTACCGACTTCACTAGCTGCCCGAAGACCACCCAGTCGACTGCAAGGCAGCTTAGGACTTTCAGACAGCGACATATAGCACCGGTTACTCACAACGACCATAGACTACACATCTTTCCAAGCGCTCCTTGAAGAAGTCGTTGATGCGCGGCTCGAGCGTCTCAAAGACGTCGAAGAACGACCATCGGCGGACATACTTGCCCTCCAGGTCAAAGGTGAGCCCGGATGCGACGTTGGAAAACTTCGCGTCCATGTCGCCGGACGCGGCGCAGACCGGGAGCACAGCGAACGCCCCTATGGTCTTATCAGACTTGGCTTTGGTCATCTGAAAGAACGATGAAAGATTAGCGACAGGTGATGATGTGATGCTTCGTTGTCCGTACCATCTCAGCCAGATCCGACGGCAGCGACGAGCGGTCCTTGCTTGTCCAATGAACGAACAAGATGGAGGGCAAGAAGTGCCGGTCATCGGCCATGCCCTTGAGGATATCCCTCAACCGCGCACAGTCGTCCAGGACGCGGTATTTCCTGCGACTCGATAAGCGCGACCTTCCATCACACAAGCATGCCAACACACCTCTCCAACTCGTCTTCAACGCCCTCCAATGGGGTGCACTCAAACAAGATCAAGCCCGGGAAGCCATCGGCATCGGGAGCAACTTCTGCAGCCAGCGGGACTGAGAAGACGGTCTCCGTCTCCCACTTGCCCGCGTCCGGTATGTTGAACTTCTTCTCCAGCCAGATAGCCGTCCCGTCGTGCACCTGGTTCAATGAGATCCAGACGCGGAACTCGGGCGGCACGTCACGGTCTCCTTGTAGGGTGCGCAACGCCTGCAAAAAGGTCCCCGGTGCCCAGGTGCGCTGATACTCGTCTCGATGCTGGGTACAGGTCAGCTACAATCCAAGGTGAGCGGTGATCAACAACTCACAGCTATAAATCGCGCCGCCATTTCTTCGTCCGTGACCGGGGGCTTGTACCCCGTCGAACGCCGCTTCGCACGCTTTCGCTTGATCTCCTCCGGAGATAGCTCCTGGAACGCGCGCTTGTTTCCCGGCTCTGACGACGTCGACGAGCCCATCGAGCGCCGCGCACCTGACTGCGTCCGAACCTTCTCATGGTACTCCTCCGCCTTCCGGACCGCTTCCTTGTACTCGCCGCTCGCCACCGCCTTCTTCTCCCACTTCTTGAATGTCTTCTTGACGAGATGGCTGCGCGCGAGGAAGGAACGGACCAGCTGGTCCGGATCCCTCTCGGGCTCGTTGTTTTCCTGAGGAGCGGGTGAGGCCGGAGGGGCTTGCTCAGGCTGCTTCCCCTTTGCCTTAGCAGACGGCGTCGGCGGGAAGGGGAAGCTGCCAAAACCCGTCGGCGAGTTGAGCTGCAGAGGGCTGAGCGCCCCCGAGGGCGTCTTCGGCGCCTCCATAGTCTGGGCGCGCGACAGCAGCCTGTTGGGACCAGGAGTACCGGGCCCTGCTCCCGTGGGTGTCGACGGCCCGGGGATACCAAAGGGCGACGCAGCAGACGTTGGCGTAGATGGGAGGGATATGGTGTGGACCTTCCCAAGCGGCGGCGGCTCGGTGGCGGTCGTCGGTCGGGTCTCTTCAACCTCAGGCTCGCGCGCATCCCCGCTGGGTAAGATCTCGACCTTCAGGGGAGAGGGGTTGCGGGCCTTAAAGGGGTTCGCGTCGCTCGCGGGAGGCTTGGGGGCACCGAACACCGACGTAGGCGTCTCTTTGGAGGGAGCTGCAGTCGATGCGTTGCCAAAGATGGATCCTGGCGCAGACGTCGCTGGTTGCGAGGTCTGCGCTTGACCGAAGAGCGACCCGGACGGGAAGCTGGTACTAGGTTGCGTGGATTGGGCCGGAGGGATCGGCGAGGTAGTCTGCGACGTCGAGGGCGCGGGCGGCGCCGAGAAGAGAGGTTGACTAAAGATTGACTTCGGTTTTGTGGGCTCCTCGACTGTTGTCGCTGGCGGGGCGCTCGCCGACGTCGGCAGCGTACTGGAGGCCGGAGGGAAGGCGCTGACCGGCGCCGTCGACCGCGCAGGGAAGGTGAAGGGCTTCGCATCCGGGTTCAACGACGATGGTCCCGGCTTGATACCAAGACCGAGTCCGTTGCTGGGGCTGCTGCTGAAGCCATTGCTCGAGCCGCTGCCAAAGCCATTGCTTGAGGTGCTGCCGAACCCACTACTTGAGCTGCCACTGCCAAAAATGCCAGTTTTTGTTTCCTCCTTCGCCGACGGTGCAGTCTGGAACGGATTTCGAGCCTGCGCATTGCCGAGCCCATTAGGAGCTGATGTCGACCCGAAGATACTGCCGTTCGAAGTCTTCGGTTGCTGTCCAAAGAAACCACTGAACGGTGCTGACGGTGCCGCGGTTGTCGTTTCCTGCTGCGCTTCCTGGTTTTTCTGTTCTTGGCTATATTCGCCTCCTTCGTATCCTTCTCCTTCTTGGTAGTCTCCACCCTCATCGTACTCTCCACCCTCCTCCCCATCTTCACCTCCATCCTCCGCATACTCCGATCCATCACCGTTCTCCGTCGCCCTCGCTGCCGGTGGCTGCGCACTCCCAAATATCCCTGCCCAAAAGTCAGAAAGGCCCCACAACGATAAAGAGATTACTCACGTTCTGCAAGCGACTTCGTGCTAGGCTCTGCCGGCGCCGACTCCTGAGCCTTGGGCGCCCCAAACGGCTGCGTCGCAGTACCGAACGGCTGCGCTGACGCCGCCTGCGCCGAGTTGACAGGCTGACCAAACGCAGGAATGTTGAACGCATTCGGAGTGACCTTCAGGTTGAAAGGGTTTGATGAACTCGTCTGCCCGAACGCCGACTGCGTCGAGGGCGCCGACTTGCCGAATACGGTGCCGTTCGCTCCGTTGGTCTGGGCTGCAGAAGTGGTGGCGGGCTGCGAGCCGAAGAATCCGGAGGTAGCCTGTCGTCCAAACGCGGTACCCGATGTCGATGGCTGCCCGAAAGTAGACGGTGAAGGTTGCCCAAAGGCGGTGCTGGTCTGACCAAACGGAGAAGGCGTGTTGGTCTGGCCAAAGGGCGAAGGCGCGTTTGACGTTCCAGACGAGCCAAAGAAGGAGGGCGCCGAGGTCGAACCGAAGATGGACTGTTGTGGCGCGGGTTGGGTCGACGCAGGCTGCGGTTCCTCTGCCTGCTCTTCCTCATAGTCGCCCTCTCCACCTTCCTCCTCGTCATACTGCCCCTGCTCCTCCATATCCTCGCTCGACACATACTGCGTCTCCGCGGGCTCCAGTCGGGACGACACCGGCGCCGGCAGCCCCCCAACGAGACCCTCGATCAAATCCGGCCAATCCAAATCCCCCCTCAACGCCTCGATATCCGTGATCCCCAAATGCTGCAACTCGCTCTCCTTGAACAGGTACTCCATCAAGCACACCACCATATACACAACAATCTGCCCGTTCGGCAGCTGCTGCAGCAACTGGACGAGGTGCATGAACTTGTCGCGACCGACGGTCTCGATCTTCTGGCTCTTCTTGTTCTCCTTGTCGACAAGAAGCTTGCTCGTCTTCGAGATCGGCGCGCTGAGCTTCTGCACGTGCTGCCGGAAGTCGTTGACGGCGATGAAGACAGGGTGCGAGGCGATTGACGGGGCGATGTAGTCCTTGCGGACGACCTGGTCGCGGATGTGGGATAGCCGCTGGTATACACGCATCTCAATCTCGTGAGGGGAGGTGTAGTTGGGATCCTTCTCAGGCTGGCGGTAGTCCTCGTAGGTTTCCTTGAGGGTTTGCAGCGCTGGGAGCGGTCAGAACAAGTCTTTCTGAGGAATCATAACTACTACTTACTGTTCATCAGGCGCTGCTCCTCCAGTGCGACATTATAGTTCGTTCCCCGCATAAGGTGCATGACGAGTATGTGGTGGCGGGCTATTCGGTGGTTGATTTCCATCGACGTGATGTTGGTCATGTGTTGAATCGTCATGTCCGAACGCACGGCGCGAGTACGATCGCTGATGTACCCAGCGGAGGCTTGGAACCCAATCTCAGGTAGTAATTGGTGGAAGAGATAGTTGAGCGTCATCTGAGGATAATTTTCAAGCAGAGCACTCTAGCAAAACACTGCGAACGCACCACGAGAACAGGGCCTGGTCTCAAATCCGAAGGGACGACCTTGTCACCCACTCCGCGTTCATACCGCGTCACCGCTCGATTGTGGTCGAGGCGGCGCTTGTCTCCAGGGACCTGGAGAGCTTTTCAGTGTAGATGCAGTTAGAGGGGGACGCGACGCACGTTCTCAATATCCGTGACAAGCAGCATCTCGTTCTCGCGTCGGTAGCGTTCCGCTCGGGAACACATGTCGCGGCATGTGCCCACGACCGTGATCGCGTCTTCCAGTCGTTTCGGCTTGAAGTCGTCCAGTTGCTTATTCTTGATTGCAACCCTTCGCTCAACTTCGCGTAGGCGTGCGAGCTGCAGGACATGAGCGGGGGGAACTGCGCCCATTCGCGCGCGCGCACCTCTCTGGTCATGGCGAGGCGCTCCGGCGGGCTGAGGTCCGGCTCGTCTCTTGCTCGGACATACAGCGGGCTGAGATCCTCTTCATCTTCCTCATCGGCATTGTCGCTGGAGGGGGCTTGGGAGCTGACAGGGGTGCTCTGGCTTGTTGTGGGGGTGGAGTGGGTTCGCGCATTGACGAGGGACATGTTCCGTGCACCACCACGACCGCGTGCAGGTTGCCGCGGACCACCTCCCCTCTCCCACCTGTCCGAGTCTGCGCCTCTCCCCCGTCCAACTGTGTCGTCCGAGACCCATTGCTTGTTCCTAGACGGACGAGGGGAGTGCCCGCGTCCGCCGCCTCTGCCGCGAGAATGGTGGGCCAACTGGGCCATATTCACGTGTAGAGTGGTCGTGCCGTGTCGTGTGTTGGTGTGTGGGGGTCTGTAGAGGGCACCGGTGCCCTTGTTCGTGAAGGAGCCGCCGACGCGATGGTGGTCGCGGACAAAAGACCAGGTATTTCAAATCGCATGCTCGTCCTCCAAAAGGAGAAACCCTTGTGTTCACCATCAAAACGCAACACGTGGCGTCCTCAAGTTCAACTTTGAAGTTGACTGGAACCCTCCAGCTATTCACCGTCCACGATGTCGCGGTCAGTACCTTGCAACAGTGAACTTGTACTTGAAGTCTTGGGGGATCTGGAAAATGGGTACGTATCCAGTAATAATGGCTTTATACTGCCCATGACGCTCGTGACCGCATTCATCGGTACCACAAACTTGACACCGTACTACCACCTTGATATTCTGCTGCCTGAGATATCGCTCCAAGCATGTCTGAAGGCGCGGCTGGAATATGCATAGATATCCTGTGCGGCGTCTTCGGCGGAATCTGCCTTGACTTCGCCTCCGTCCGTGCGTCATTCGCGCAGAGGCGCACCCATCCCCCTCACCAGACCTACATTCGCAGGACACGCCTTCACCGAGAACTGTTGCAGATGCCTCGCTTGCGAATCCTGCGGTCGCCGAACGAAGTACGCAGATGAGCGAGAACGTCTAATCGCGCCCGACATCCAACCGCCACCGCTCGCCGTATCTCAGCCTGCGTTGCAGCCGGCGATGAACATCCCGCCGCAAGCTGCGATATCATAGCAGAGGGAGCATGGTAAGCTGGAACTGTCAACGTTTTCGATGAAGTTCTCTCAGACGCCTGCCTTCAGTAGGTGGCACATATCTCCAAGCCCTTGATGTCCATCGTGACCTTGCGCTGCGAAGGACTTGGTATCAGAGGATTATCAGAGGACATGCCATCGTCACGATCCACCGCGGCAGTGTTGGAAGATGCAACCTCCTCGGTCGACAGAGTCAGAACGGTCGTGGCGAAGGAGAGGAAAGAAATTGGCATATATAAACCTCGAGACGATACATGGCACAGTCGGATACTTACACTGAGTCGCGATAGGAAAGGGAAGCATAGGTACGAATCATCATAATTGGGATGAGAGTTCAGCGCCCGAAGACGCCAGAAGAGAGATACGTGGTCTTTGCCACAGCGACGGGATGCACAAACAGGAAGGTTCGTTCGTGGGCGAGCAGATGCCGCTGCCACCCTATAGCCCTACACCACGCGATCTTGCACGGTTTTAGCAGTAGTCCATCCTTCCCGCAAGTGTCGAACGGAATGCCCGCTGGCACCCGTGTCCGCCGGATCATAGTTTCCCGAAATAGTGACTCCCGCCGTGTCAAGGCGAGACGAGCGAAGACGCTGCCACTGCAGGGCAGACGGCGGTGCAGCAGATACGGCTCTACGCTCCATGCGTGCGCGTGTCCTCCGTTGACGTAGTGGTTCCTTGCCCGCCCTAGTCGCTTACGAGTCGGGCTCGAGCTTCTCGCCGCGCGCGAGCACGCGCACGACGCGGCTCGGCTGCGCGACCATCTCCATCATCGTCTTCACCGCCGCGGGCCGCTCGACGAGCGCGCCGGGGCCGGACGGCGGCGTGTTGCGGCGGGGGCGGTGCGGGTTCGGGTGCGTGTGCGGGCGCTGCTTGACGACGCGCGGGCCGTCGCTGGCCTCGTCGTCCTCGAAGCTGCTGCGCGCGCCGCTCGGGGGCGTGGTCTTAGCGTGCAGGACCTCGAGTCCGGCCTTCGCGGCCCACTGCGCCACAAGTCCCCCGCTGGCGCGGATCTCGTGCTTGCTGCCCTGGACGGGAGCCGGGAGCGGCACCGGAGCCATGGGGGTGGCCTGAACGGCGGGGGCGACATCGGCGGGGGGAGCTTGGGCCGGGGGGACGGCAACGGCAAGGATGATCTTAGCCGCGGAGTCATCGGCCTTGGGGGGCGGGTGCTCGACCTCGTAGCGCGCGCAGCAGATGATGCGGCGGACCCATTCAGGGGAAGCGGTGGGGCCGTCGACCAGGCCGAGCTTGCCCCAGAGCACGTAGGCGTCGTCCTGCTGGACTCGGATGCGTGGGTTCGTGCCGACCTGCGCCTCGAGCACGCGCGACGCAGCGCGGGCCCGCACGGCGAGAGCACTGCTCCCCTTCTTGAGGAGATCGAGGGTGTTGAGCGCTATCCATCGCCACAAACGTCAGCACCGGAGCATGATGCGTGAGCCGTACAGCACGCACCTTCGAGGGGGATGATCACAATCTCCTCACGTCCCTCCCTGCACCACTTCTTGATCTGGCCGAGGGCATGGACGAGCACGCTGGCATCGACGATGACGACGTCGGCGTCCTTCTCCCGGGTGTGGTCTCCTGACCGTCGGTTGCCCTTCGCCTCGCCCCTGGGGCGCTCCACATCGCCTCCCCTGCGGCGCGGGACGTTGGGAGGCGGTTTCCTCGGGCCTACTTTGCGATCCCGCCAGTTGGGGTTCCTCTCCGAGACGGCGCTCTCGAGCTGCTGTACCTGATGGCTCAAGAAGGCCGCCCCGAGCGCGCGGGACATCGCCAACTTGTCCACCGTTGCTGTCTGCTGTGGCAACTGTGAGTCCATGTCGTGGGACGGTCCAGGGCGAGCTCACAGTCTTCTGCATATGTGGCACTGGAGATGAAGGGGAAATAGGCGCTGGTGCAAGCGCTGTCGATGGGCCTTTGTGAAGTACAACGCCAAGTATTTAAATGACGGCAGCGTGCTTATGTAACTCTTTGAGGTGGTCCACTCACACTTATCCCCTTTCGGCCACAATAATGGCCGTCTTCGGTCCCTTATTGTCCTACGATGCCGTCGTCAGGAAGAACCAGGGTCATGATTAGAAGCTTCGCTCAAGAACCCGACTCGCAAGGCTAGAAATGAAGGAGAGAAATTGGGCTTATCATAACAACACGAGTAATACAACAGCTCCGCTGTACATACAGACAATCAGAGGCTACATGGGTGGTACATAACGCGCCCTCAGCGCTTGGCATAAATAACATGTCATACAGCCCTTCAGGCATTAGAATCCAGCATAGAATGTTATCGTCCGTATTCACTTCCCTGACACATCGCCGCTCAGCAGTACGCCAGCGCCGTCCATGTCAACGCCGCGCCAACTGTCGCCGTCACTGCGGTGCGCGCCAGCGTACGCCCGACCTGCCGCGCGCGCTTCGTCTTCGGGCGCCCTTTACGGTCGAGCGTGCGGCTCTCGGTGAGCGGCGGAAGGTCCATGTCCGACGCGTCCGACATCAGCGACAGGTTCTCCTGGCTGTCGAGGAGCAGCTCTCCCTCCCCGTCGATCCCCTCGTCCTCGTCATGACGCTTGCGCTTCGACGACAACGGGCCGGGACCCTGGAGGGCGGCGCGTAGGCCTTCGCCGCGCGGGTAGGTAGATGGCGAAGCGCTTACCTTGTATTGGAACTCTGACGCGCGTGCGAGCTCTGCGAGCGCTTGCGCATGGAGCTGCTTGAACTCGGCGATGGCGGCGCGCACGGCCACGGCTTCAAGAGAGGTACGATGAGCTTCAGCGCGAGCTTGCTGATCTTCCTCGTCGGCATGTTGCTTAGCGGCAGCTCGAATCGACTTCACTTCTGGGACGGAGGTGAGCACAGTCACAAAAAGAGCAAGGGTCAACTTACCATCGATTAGCTCCTGGAGGGTCGCACGCTGCTCATCGTCTCTCGCCGCACCGTCATCGCGTGCACTCAAGGCAGCCAACCTCTCATCCAGGTCCTGAACACTGATCCGCAAATCCTTGTGCAACTCATCCCTCAACACATCCACCGCACAATCCAGGGTTGCGTGCCGCTGCTGCAGGGTCTCGAGCCTCTGCTGCAGCGCCTCATGCTTCGCAAGCAGAGCCGCATGCGCCTCCTCCGCCAGCACCGCTCGGTGGCGCAGGTCCTTCACCTCATCCCTCAGCTCGCTATGCTCCTCCCGCATCTCGCCCTGACGCTCCTTGAGAGTGCCGTACTGGGTCTGAAGGTCCTCCTGCCGCCCGTCCACCTCCATGATCTCCTGGCGCAGCTCCGCGATGCGGTCGTGCGCGCCAGAGATGCGGTCCGAATCGTCCTCAAGACGATCCTCCAAGGTGGAGTGCTCGTCGCGGAGCTGCTCGAGCTGCTGGTCGATCTCATCCATGCGCTCGTCGACACCGTCGGCGCGCTCGTTCAGACGGTTGGTATGGCCCGAGGTCACGTCCATACGGTCGAGTATGTCCTTCGATTGGCCCTCGACCGAAGTCAGTCGCGCCCTGAACTGGTCGTACGAAGCGTCCGCAGCGGCCGTCTTTTCGTCCAGGGCCGCAAGTCTCCTGGAGATGGTCTGTGTGTTGGCATTGAACTTGATCTTGATCTTGCGCCGGTGAGCTTGCAGGCGGTCAATCTCGGCCTGCTTCTTCGTTAGCCCAAAGGAGTGCGTAGCATACTAAAACGCACCTGCAGCTTCTCAATCCGACTCTCGATGGACTCGCCTTCAGGAAATGGATGAGCGTCGTCGTGAGACTGCTCCATCGAGCTGTCCGGCGTCTGCTCATCCTCTTCCATATCCTCCGAGCTCATGTTGTCGAACGAAGGCTCGCGGATGAGCGAAATCTGCGGCCAAGACGCCTGCGTGTCGACTCTCTGGCGTTGCGCAATTTCCTCCGACTCATCAAACGGCGGCGCCGAGCGAGGGAAGTCAACGGACTCCGGCCGAGGGGATGGGCTGGACAAGCTCATGGGGGAGGAGCGCCCGGAGCCGCTAGCGCTGTCGTCTGCCCTATTGTACTTGGCCACGAAATCGGCCGCGGACTCGAAGTGCGAGAGCATTGAGCGAATGTCATCAGCGCGCCTGGCCACGGGCTGCTCGACCTCAATACCGTCCTGGTCATCATCGAGCAGGTCCAGCTCCTTCGCGCTGAAGCGCCCCGAGCCGTGGCGGGACACGATCCTGGAGCTAATGCGCTGTGGAGGGGTGCCCGTGTTGGAAGCGACGGGTGCAGGGGACCCGTCGAGGGCCGAGTCATCGATGGTGCCGTACAGTAACTCGATCCGAAATATGACGGGGGACACCATGTCTTGCGAGGAACGGCCGACGGTCTTGCCCAACGTGATCTGATCGCCATCCCGCAGCAGTACGGACTGCTCCGGCTCGAGGCGCTGAGGAAGGCCTGACTCCCCTCGCCTCCGCATGTAGGTGCCATGATGTGATCCTTTGTCCATGATGTACGCCTGTTATGAGTCAGTACATGTCGAGAATGGACACAGCCAGCAGACCCAACGCTATTCCATCTGACTGCGATGAGCGCGAATGAGGCGCGCGCCCTGCCAAGTACGAGATATGAGGCCGACTATGAGGGGACGGACGAACGCCAGCCAGCCAGCCGCTGCCTGACCGTCACCTCATGGCTTGACTCATAGATCGTACTGCGCGCTCATCGCTGTCAGATGCAGGCGCGCTGGGACTTGCCAGCTAAGCGCTGATGGGTACACGCACGTTGCCTGTATCCCCAGAAAAGACGAGGATAGCATGCTTGCGGCTGACGACGGGGCAGCCAAAGAGCGCCTTGTCATCGTCAGCGCTGTCCGTATCGTCCGAGTGACGACGGCCGATCTGAACCTCCTTCGTGTTCGTGCGCTTAAAAAGCATCCGGCTAGCAGGTTCCCTCTCGCTGCTCTCGACGTGGAGCGCGATTCCTGCAAAGATGTGAGCATCCTTCCCAGAGCATTGCACGCTCATCTGACCTGTTACTGGCCGATGGGGCGATGAGACGATGGGTAACGGATCCAGCAGAGATGCTGGCCGCATCCCCAAGAACTGGACTTCGTCGTCGGTCATTGAGGCTGAAGATAAGTGATGTTTCTGGATGATGGTCGCAGACGAGTTACCTCTGCGCGGCCTCGGGGCTGATGTGACACTATCACTGGCCGTGACGTGACCGCGCCTCTAGGCCTCTCGACGAATATCCCTTTTTTCCGTAACTCTGTATTTCTGCTACCCTGCAGCTACGAGCCAATGGCGAGCCAGCATGCGGCAGCATACCCTTGGTTACCATCTGCCTGAAGGTCTGACCATCGTTAATGCTTAATAAGCACAATTTTCTCCTTTGTTGTGCGGTCTTTTGGTTCCGGAGAACCCACCATTTGCAAGCTTTCTGTTCTTTCTCCTCTACTCCCACGACCTTTTCCGAGCACTCCGTCTATCAAGACCTCGGCGCACTCGATACCCCAACCAGGGACGCTGCAGACATTGCCATAGGCGACGACGGCTCTGTATACACTGAGCACTACCTAGTTCTCCCACAGAAGGCGGGCGCATAATCATGGAGGCCATGTGAGTTACACTTACACCCTTCGTCTCTGTTGCTCACGCTACGCTCTACAGACGCAGGAAGATGATGCAACAGCCAGACTGGCAGATGGAGCACGAGATGGCCGCAGCTGTCGCTAAGGACAGGTTTGGACACCCGCGAGGAGGCTACGACGTTGGATACGTATTTCCTGACAGGTGCGTTCGCAACCTACTCTTCGCTCTACCCGGGCTCATAGCGTTGCGCTGTTCTATAGACGTACCTGCTGCAATGCGGGAGTCCACCGGCACAGCCAAGCCGGGATTGTGGGCACCCCGGAAAAGGGCGCCTTTTCTATTGTAGTATCCGACAAGTATGAAGACGACCAGGATCTTGGCTACACTATGTGGGTGCACCGCGCGCTCAACTCGCCTTGACCGCCACTGACCTCCAACAGCATATACACCGGCGCAGGCAAGTCCCCGAGCGCGCCGATCCCAGGTACCGCCCACCTAACCTCCCTCAATAGGTGGTCGCGATGAAGTAACAGGTCGCGTGAGCGAATCCATTCAACGTAGAATGACTCAAGTACTCAAGTCTTATCTGCCGCTATCTAGCAAGTCGAAGATCAAGACATGGCGCGACGTGAAAATGCGGCCCTCAAGGTCAGTGGGCTGTTGTTGTGGCGTGTCACTTGTCTATGAACACCGGTTTATTATGAAAAGACATCGCATGAGATAGGAAGGCCTATCAGAGTCATACGATCCCTAAAGTATGGCCGTGGGTAAGTGACTTTTGTATCTGCAATTGAACCTGATTTTCACAGTTTCCTTGACAGCTACAGGTACGACGGTTTATACCGCGTCATGGAGGTACGAACATGGGTTCCGCTCGTTCTGAGCACATAGAATCAATGGTGTCACTCAGGCAAAGGAGGTCAAGGGCAAGAGTGGTTACAAGATCTGCCAATTTGTCCTTGTTGTGAGTTCTTCATCCCTGTAAGCATGAACAAAGCTGATCAATCATGACAGCGTGAAGGAAACCAACCCCCTCTCCCGACATAGGATGTCGATGAACCCTCCGCCGTCAAGCCACGCAGTGGCCGGCCCAATGGATACCAAGTTGAAGTACAGCATGTTTCGTCATTAGGGAAATGTTTTCGCACGCTACAAGTCACGTGACCGGCCCGGAAGTTCAACTTCGGCCCAACCTCTTCTTCTGCCCTCCCTGCGAAACGTTCTCTCGACCCAGCCATAGTTCCCTCCCGTGTTCCGTATTCTTTGATCTCCTTCTTTCTCTGGGGGCTCGTGAGACCAGTGACTTTGCCATCATGCTCTGGAGCGACGAGGAACACCCTCGAGAGGTTCTAAAGCACTTTGCGGGCGACCATCAGGTGGAGTTGGAGACCGAGGCCACGAAGGTAGACGAATGCCCGTCCCTTTGGTCAGAGTATGCCACTTTCGTCCTGTAAGGCGATGTGTAGGGCACGCCTACTTCTCTCGAATGAAGATCTTCGGCTAAAATTCCCAAAGAGAAGAGAGCCGCATCCAAAGAGTTTGTAACGTGCGTCTCCGCCTGTCTGGTCAGGAAGTCTGACCTTCGTTCAATACTCAAGCAAGTCGGTTGCTACTTTCCGTCAATAAGCGCCCATAACTACGGAAGCCGACTCGATTTCATCACCTTCTCCCACGTCATGAGCATCGGGGTAACTCCGGGCCCGCCGCCTGACAGCGATCTTGAATAAAAATGATGGAGAGCGGCCATGTCGTGGTTCTTCGGATGTTGGGATCTCTGGCGGAAACCTATGCGAGGGCGTGCTAGACGCGGTCAAGAAGACTAGCACATCCACGACGTTGTACGACTCACGATGGACCTCATCCGCCGCCGCTACTCGTCGACGACCGCGGCCCCTTCAGGGCGCGCAAATGGTGCCGCTCGCCCTCGATCGTCCGCCTCTGGAATCAGCTCGGCCGACTATGGAGGCGCAGGCAAGACCGAGCCCCTGAGGAAACGTGTCTCGAGCGTGTTCAGTCCGCTGAGGAAGCGCGCGTCCGTTGCCTCAGGGGCGTCGTACGCGTCGTCGAGCGAGGCGGCAGAGACGAGCGTCGTCGCGGGGAATGTCGCGGCGCTCGGCTACCTCATCCGCGAGCAAGACTCGGACACGGAGTCGACTGACTCGATCGACGACATCCGCAGACCGAGCGGACTGGGACGTACCGCGTCCTTCTCGTCCGACCGGTCTCCTCCCTCCTTCGCGTGGACGTTGGAGTCGACGGAGCAGCAGGACCAACCGCGACTGCACCACTCAATCAGCTCTCCATCCCTCCTCCATGGCCTCGCGGAACGCATACGCAGCGCCCGGGATCGTAGTCCAGGCGTAAACTCCCTCGTGCCGCGCTTCCCCCTCCCCCCACGACACCGCGTATTCGACGTCCCGATGGAGGTCCTCATATGCATCATGTCGCACCTTCCGCGCGAGAGCGTCGCCCGCGCGGCCGTCGTCGCGCGGGGTTTCTCAGAGGCGGCGCAGAACGTGCTATACGGGCGCATTGACTTGCGCACCGTCCGTCCTTCCAGACAGCCCCAGCTGCTCGCGCTGCTCGCCAGCCGTCCGCAGCTAACCGAGCTGGTACGGACCTTCATCTGCCACAACTGGCCTGAGACCGAGCCCCCAGACGAGGACAGCAGCGTCACCTCTCATCCCCCGGCACTCGCGCATCTCGCGATCGCGCTGCAAAATATGCCCAACCTGATCACCCTCGCCCTTCCCTCGTTCGACGTGGATGTGCTTCGGCGACATACCGCCTTCGGACTGCGGAATCTCACGTTCTTCGACACGGTCATGGCGAAGGAGCACCGGCAGGCGCTGTTCAATTGGCTGGATGGTCAGATCAACATTGTCACCTTCCGACTACCAGAGCTATTCGACGAGGCGCAGGAGGGAGAGAAGTCTGGCCCACCGCAGACGTCACTAAGCGCTCCGACACATGCCCTCCTCGCCAGCCCTCTGCTATCCCCCGTCTCCCCATCGACTCCCATCTCGCCAATGTCCCCCACCTTCTCTGTGCGTGGCCCCGAACCCTACTCCTACGAATCGCCAACGTTGCTGCCTGCGCTGAGAACGTTGCATGCTCCTCCTTCTCTCGCCGCTTCGCTGGCTCCATCAAGACGTCTGCGGCGCGCAACAGTCAATGTAGATGCCACGCTATACACTGGTCTGCGGCCAGCCGCTCTCGTTGCCCCTCTGAAGGGCGTCCAGCATCTCGGGTTGAGATTCGGGCGTCATGTAGATAGGAGGTCGATGGAGAAGGTGCTGAGTGCAGCAGGCGCGACGCTGGGTGGAATGAAGAGCGAAAGCCCGCTCGAAGACGCTGAACCAGTAGAGGGCCTTCAGTCCCTGACTGTGTACATCACATCCCCTGATCCTGGCGTTGACGAGGTGCGCGGCCCGCCATATAATTCTGCTTCCGTGCTCACGAGTCTATTCAGGTCCTTTACAAGATCATACACTCCGTCATCTCACGCTACTCCCACCTGACCTCCTTGGCGCTTAACTGCGTGCCAGTCACAGACGAAGACTTCGCCGACTTTCGATCCGGCATGTCGACACCAGACTCGGCGCGCCCTGGCTCCCCTGGCATGGCGTCTTCGCTCATGGAACGTCCTAGCAGCGTCATGTTCCCCTCCCACGACCTGGTGTCCACGCCGATCCTCAGCACGGCACCGATCATAACGTCGTCCCCGTCGCGCCTGTCTCACAAGGAGCGCCTCCACATCAACTCCTGGGTCAAGCTCTGCCCAACCATGCGCGTCGTCAAACTCCTTTCTGGTGCGGAATGGCGGGCATAGTCCACCATCGTCCGCGCCCAATGTACATAAAATCAGTGTGATGATAAGCCTGATCCCTCTCCTCGCACTATACCTTCACTTTCGCTATACCCGCTTTGGTTCCCAGCTTCTCACATTGTTGTCGGTCGCTCAAGGCGTTTTACATCGCCCGCACTCCCTGTCCTGCCCATCGCGCGCGCGCACAGCTCTCGAATTATCGTTCACATTGATAGCGTATCAGCAGTCTTTGTATTAATAGCAGCATGGCTTTCCCGGTCTAGGCTAGACTGAGACCATCATCGTCAGAGTGGGCCCCTGGGTGTCCGCGACGTAGCACAACGCATCGATGATTGTGATGGTGTGGTGAGTAGGCACCATCGCCCGACAGCTCCCACCCTCCCGCACCAGTGTCGCGCATCAGCATATCTTGGCTCTTACCGTCATGCCCTCCTGGATCCGGAACCCAGATTACTTCGTCTACCGCGACCACAGGCGCATCGTCGCCGTCTGTCCCTACCCCACGACCCGCGGTCAGGTCTCCATCACCGATGCCGGCGGCCTCCTCTACTGCGTCCTCCCCGAGGAGGAGCTCGTGCAGCTCTTCGTCGACGTGCGCTACTTCGCGAACAGGCTGGCGGAGGTGACACACGTGCGCCGCGTCGGGATGGCCTCCGACGGTCGCGTAATTCACCTGATCCCGATGCACGGGCTGGGCGAGGACTGGAAACCCATCCTGCACAAAGAGACGGTGTTCTACCCGACCTGGCCAGGGTACTTCGACTCGAAGAGCGGCCCGCGCATGAGGAACGAGGACCTGGACGCGACGCAAGCGAAGATCCTCGCCGCCTCTGGACTTAAACAACCATTCGACAACACCTTTCACGGCGACGCGAGCGATACGAACCTCTTTGCGCGCATCGTACGCGGGGAGGAAGAGCAGTGGCGCGTGTGGGAGGACGAGGGGCATGTGGCATTCCTCACGCCGTTTGGGAATACGGTGGGGTACACGGTTGTCGTGCCACGAAGGCACCTCCATTCGGACGTCTTCCAAATCGAGGAGAATGACTTCGAGGCACTCATCCGCGCAGTGCACTCGGTCATGGTGGTCCTGAAGAAGGCCTTCACTACGGAGACGGTCGGCGTGTTTTTTGAGGGGTTCGAGATAGATTATACGCACGCCAAGCTCATACCAGCGCACGGCACCGTGGTTGAGCGCGAGGTTGATACGATAGAACGCCACGACACATACCCAGGATTCTTGACGACTCAACTAGGGCCACCCGCGAACAAGGGCGAGCTTCTTGCGCTGAGGGATGCGTTGTGCCAGTGTAACACCCCGCCGTGGGTCGAGTAGTTATTGAGTGTTTATTCAGGATGGAAAGAAGTAATCAGCACACAGTTGTAATACACAGGAACTGGCCTCCGGATAGCATCGTTGTAACTGACTTGTAGCATAACACAATTCCTGCCGTTGCGTCTAAAATACAATGGAAAAAGATCTTAGAAAAAGTATCAGACCGCCATAGACACGCAAAGCACAAAGTACTCGCCTTCAGATTCGATCATACGTCGGCCGGCCACTCGGTGATTAGTTCAGTGTCGCCGCACAGCTCGAAGCTCAGAGACAGCGCGCCGTCGTAGTCGAACGTAAGCTCATAGTCCCCAGGGTAGAGGGACGCGTCCCCGCTCTCATCCGACCGAGCCAGCGCTCCCAGCGTAACCTCGAGATCTACATCCGTGGAGTCGCCAGGCTGCACATCGGACGCCCGCGCGTACGCGACCAGCTCCTTCATCGGCGCAGGCGCAGGCCCCGCCTGAGTGCTCACGAAGAGCAGCGCGACGAAGTCCGATGCGACGTCGCCGTCGTTGGTCACTGTCACCCGGAACGTATCCAGCGGCGCCAGGTCAACGAAGCCATCCGCCGAGCTCGTCAGGTCCTGAATGCTGTAGCACGCCTCAGGCGCGTCACTTGCCCACGCGACGCTGAAGTTCGTGTAGTGCAAGCCGTAGCCGTAGGGGTAGACGGGCGTGCCGGTGTACCACTTGTACGTGCGACCGGGGTTGCCGGTGGAGTTGTCGGGGCGGAGGGTCATGTCGGTCATGGCGACCGCGTCGACGTAGCTGGCGGGGTACTGGGTGATGGACAGTCGCCCCGCAGGCGCGACCTTACCCATAACGGTGTCCGCGATTGCCGTACCGCCGCTCTGGCCGGGATAGCCTGCCCAGAGGATGGCGTTGACCTGGTTGTATGGATAAGTGTCAGGTGAGAGGATTGTCAGAAGCCACATACCGCATCGCTCTCCTTCAACGGCGTATCATCCAGCTGCCCGCCGCCCATCTGGACGACGACGAGCGGCTTCCCGGCCTCCTCCAGTGCGCTCAGCAACGCGAGCTGATTATCCGGCCACGAGATCTCCGTTCTGTCCTTCGCTTCCTCCTCCACCGTGCTGTCGATGCCGCCGACGTAGATGACCACATCCGCCGCCTCTGCGGCAGCCACAGCCCCATCGATATCGTCCGCGTCGTTCCCGGTGACATTCGTGCCCAAGACGTATGTGACGTTGAAGCCAGCGTCGAGGAAGCCCTGCAGAGGTGCGATAGCGAAGGGCGGAATGCCGTTGTAGTTGCCCTGTAGTTGAACCGCGCTCGCGTTGGCCATGGGGCCTATAAGTGCGATGGATAAGGAGGAGTCGGTGAGGGGAAGAGTGCCGTCGTTCTTGAGGAGAACAAAGCTCTCGATGGCGGCCGTGTAGGCAAGGGCTTGTGCCGCAGGTGTGTTGACGTCCGCCCATGAGATCTGACGATAGGGCTGGTCTTCGGGAGCATCAAAGTAGCCCAGCCTGTGTCATGTTAGCAAGACGGAAAGCTAACTTTTTCGGAGTTCACGTACCACACAAGCGATGCGTATAGACGCGTTAATGCCGCCTTGAGGTCGTCTTCATCAATCAACCCACGGTCGTACGCCTCCGGGAGGTATTGCGAATACGTCGTCCCGCAGTCCAGATCCGACCCCGCCTTCAACGACACCGCCGACCCGTTCACAAAGTCCTCCGTATACCCATGCGGGTCATACACATTCCCCACCGCATCGCAGTCCGACGTCACCCACCGGTCCTCCGCCAGCCCCCACGCGTCCCTTAACACCGTCTTCAGCAAGTACGGGCTCGCGCACGCCGGGACCCCATTGACCGCGTTGTAGCTGCACATCACGCTCGCCGCGCGCGCGTCGCGCACGCAGCTCTTGAACGGCGGGGAGTAGTACTCCGCGAGGTCCTGCGGGGTGACGACCGCGTCGAATGCGTAGCGCGCGACGCCGCCCCAGTCCTCGAGGTCGTACGCGGCCCAGTGCTTGCAGTCGGCGGCGACCTTTAGGGAGGGCGGGTCGATGCCACCCTGGAGGCCCTCGACGAGGGTGCGGACGTAGCGCGCGGCGTGCAAGGGGTCCTCGCCGGGCGTCTCCGCGCCGCGGCCCCAGCGCGGGTCCTTGAAGGGGTTGATGTTGGGCGTCCAGTAGTCGAGGCCGGCGAGGCCGGCGTTGTTGAAGGCGCGCGCTTCGGTGCTGGTGACGTTGCCGACTGCGAGCATGAGAGCGTCGTCGAAGGCGGAGCCCATGTTGATGGGCATCGGGAAGGATGTGGCAGAGCTGAACTCTTCGCCGGGTGAGGTGAAGACGACACCAGGGCTGGCGGCGACACCGTGCTTGAACACTATGAGCACGGTAGTTTGCAGAGAGCCGGAAGTCACGTACCAATGCCTCATTCCACCAGTTGTACGGTGGCAAACCAAGTCGGGGTACACCAGGTGCAGTATGCACGGTATTGTTGATCATCTCAGCGACCGTGAGCTCTTCAACCAGCGCACGCGCCCGCTCGACATGCCCGAGACTAGTATCGCACACAGCATTCGACGCAAGCGGGCCATTAACGCAGTCCGGAAAGCCCTGCGCACGACTCCCCGCGGCGATCGACAGCGCAAAAGAGGTTATGAGGAGAGCCATCGTCGCACACAGGACGGCTTTGTCGTCGAAAGCCCGACCTTGCTCGCTTCCCTCTCCGCGCTCACCCCCGAGCTTTATACGGCGCGAGGACGGAGTCAGGCGGCCCTCCGCGCACACAGACCGCTTGCCTTCGCGCGCGCGGTGCGGCACATAGGATATGCCTGCAAGAGCTTCGAGGGCGGCTTTCTGCTGGTCTCCCATGGCTTTCTCCGTGGTATGGCCGGGGACAAGGCAGGTATGACCGTAGACTGGACGAGTACTAGGCAGGAACGGCCGCCATATCAGGGTTGTTTCTGTTCTCGTGAACAGTGACCGTCGAGGAGGACCACATGAGCGGGGCTGAATACGTCTAGCGATGCTTCGAAGTGGGAGGTCGGGCCGCTTGTGAGGGCATGTTCAGGTCGAAGTGCGGGCGATTCTCCTTCATGAATTCGTCCGAGGTTTCCCGGTGAGCGCATAGAGAGAGCTGCATGTTCGTTTCTCAAGTAAGGCTCAAGGGACTGTTTTCTGAGTTCAACAATTTGAACAAATGCATTGATTACGCCCACGTGCGCCACGTGGCCTGTCACAGTTCGAATCACACTCCTGCCGCGACTGCCCAACTCTCAAATTCGTGCGCTTTTATAGCCCAGAGAGGCGGGACATATGGTCTGTCAGCTCAATGTCGTCTGCCATCTATCCCGCAACCGTTCAGTGGTGGAGTCGAACGCGTACAATGCCGTCGGCCATGAAAAATGAAATTTCCTAGATGCTTTGACATCGACATGATGTGATGCGAGCAACTCCCGGCGCCAGCGCTTCCTTCGCATCCGCACGTCGCAGAAATATTCAGCAAGCGAGCCGTCAATAATATTCAGCAAACGAGGTGCTGCGATCCATCGCAGGACCCCGGCTTATTGGGGGCGGGGTTTATGTAGGGTGTCGGACAAAATTTTGAAATCCGACGAAGAAGGTCTCTGAAAACGACGGACAAACCAGGGGTCCGTCGGGAGCAGGTCGGTGGAGAATGTCGGACAAAAAGTCGCTGGGAGGGCCAACTCGCCACCTCCAGGGTCCCCGTGCATCACCGGGAAGAGCCGACGGTTACGCACCTACCCGTTTTGGAAGCCGGCCCTCCGGGCCGGTCCAAAATTCAGAAAGGTGTCTGAAAAAACGGACAAAAGAGGCCAAAATCGTCAACAAATGTCGGACAAAAAGCTGGGAGGTTCGGGGGGTCACGACACAAACCTCCCTGCCAATAAGCCGGGGTCCTTCCATCGCAAGCGATGGTATGGTGGTGGAGGTCGAGCGGCCCGCCATCGAGCACACCTGACCCGGCAAAGCCTCTCAGCCAAAAGGTGGAGGGTCCTTGATGTCGGAGGGTGCTTGACGTCGGACAAGGATGCTGACAGTCCGAGCGGAGTTTGCGCACTGGCATTGGAGATGGTGTTCACGTACAAGCCTTGATGCTGATAATTAGCGAGGAAGGTATGCAAGATGCTATCAGTCGGACGATGAGGGGTATCAATATTGCCAGCATGCGCGTCGTCGGTACTAGCGGAGTTCGCGCAATGGCGTGGCAGGTTGTATACGTACTCGCGTCGATAGTATGTAGGTTGACGGCGCTGAACAGAATAAGTGTGCTGTAAATCAAGCCAGAACTTCGAGTGGAGGGCGTCATGGGGAAGCAGATCGATGAGCGTAGAGGTTGTGCTCGAGAATATGGTGCGCGGCAGTTTAAAAGTGACTGGTTGATGCTGGACAATGGCAAGCAGGGCCAGGTCCGAGCAGGTGGTTGAGATGCAAGCCAAAGATGCGCTGAGACCGCAGGAAGGTCGAGGGTAGCTCTTCAACGGGCATTAGAATGACGAAGGCTGCACCAAAACCAAAAGGCTTTCACCTCGGCATATGGGCGAGTAGCTCGATGCGAGCCATTGTTCGACGGATGCTTCATGGAGGGAGCTAAGAGGGGAACGACAACCAGTCCGGGCAGAGTTCATAGCGGGGTCGGAGGGGGTACACGTACTCGCGTCGTCAGTGTCGAGAACGAGCTTGAAGGAAATGCGAAAGGCTCGAGGGGACAGCTTCATGACGCAGCAAGTCAAGGTTGACGAAGACGACGTTATCGGAGTGTCCTCCCCTTCTATCTTCGTGCCAATCGGTCCAACTGAGCAACTCGACGCAGCCCGTTAGCGCGCCAAGGTGAGCGCGCAGTCAGAAAGAGAGGGGCCGGTATAGTGGGTCGCTATCGGGCCCAGACAAAGTCGTGCAGCGATAGAGAATACTCGATATTTACGACCGGCGCCGTCCGTCCCGGCGTGGTAGAGACAGAATGAGCATTGAGCATGAAATGGAGCCGTGGCGTTCACCGCGAAGTAGTAGCACGAAGCGCGCAGGGTATTCGAGTCAGTCCGACGATGGGATGGTCCAGCTGCTTAGAAGGGCGCTGACGGTCAGGGCGGAGTTCAAGCAGGGGTTCGAAGCTCGTACACGTCTCATACTCGCGTCGAAGCTCGTACACGTCTTATACTCGTGTCGTCGGCGGCCATACTCGTGTCGTCGGCGATGAGGACCAAGTTAAAAACGCAGGGAAGGAAGCAGAAACCTCGAGGAAGCGGAAACCTCAAGGGAATCTCTTCTTCAGCCAGGCGCTTCTTTTTGGCAGTGGCGCTCAACGACATATCGAGGAAATTTCTCGCCGCGCTGTACGTAGGCTCCGGACCGTTGCTAAAAGCGGTCCGCTGGAACCTTTAATGTAAGGCAGACGTAAGGCGGTCGGAGAGGAAGCTGTAGGACGGTCGGAGGGGAAGTTGTAGGGCGGTAGGAGAGGAAGGGGCCAGTGGGGTTGCGGGCCGCTGTCTGGCGCAGAGAAAGCCCCGACGAGGTTGCTTGAGCGCGCTGGCAGTCCGATTTTGGCAGTCGAAGACATTGAAGGCGTACACGAGTCGGCTTGCATGTTGATACTCGCGCGGTCAGGAGAGTCGCTTGGCGCGGACAGGAGAGTCGCTTGACGCGGGCCGCTGGACGTAGGAACGCAGGTGGGAAGGGGGCGGGCCGCCATGCTGTGCGCTTGGTGCTCGAGATCAGCCTCAAGCCCACCCATCTGGCAGCGCAAAGCTCGAGCCCACCATCTGACCGCGCTAGCGATGAAGGTGACTAACCTACCAGTGCATGGCAGACTGAGAGGGGTGACTAACCTACCAGTTCATGGGAGACTGAGAGGCGTGACTAACGCGCCGGTCCAAAAGTATAGGCTGCCCGGGCACCGCGTTGTCAGTCCTGCTGGGTCAGGGTGGTCAGAGTGTTGTACGAGCGGTCCACTGTCCGCTGCTACGCGCGAGCCATTGTCCGTGCGTACAGGCGATCCATTGTCCGTGGCGGAAGATGGCCCACCATCCGCGGCTTGGGTTGGAGCGAGGGCATGGTCGTGCCTGAGTCCATAATGAATCGACCGACCGAGACGAGGAAAGCTGAGCTCGAGGTCCCACGGTGGGGTGGATGAGTAGGCGCGGCGTGTTGACCTTGACGAGACCATCTCGTCGACTGAATAAGACCAGGCAATCGACTGAATAAGACCAAGAAATCGACCGCGGTAAGACCAGGAAATCGACCGCGGTAAACAAGCCCGTCGACCGAGTGAGGCGCGTCGGGACTGGGATAGCCTGATGATTTTCGCGTGGTCGATGGGGAGCATTGGTCACCTCATTGCGGTCGATTGACAGGTTTTGCACGGAGGATGGGGAGAATCTGCGTGGTCGATGGGGCGCGCTTGTCACCTCGCCGCGGTCGACGAAGACCGTTTGCTACAGTAGTACCCGCTTCACCCCACGGCGGTCGATGCCCAGCGTTGGCGCGGTGCTTAGGCGCGGGGCCCATAACCGGCGTTGGCGCGGTCGATGGCGAGCGGCGCGGGGACAAGATACACCCCCGCCTAGACCAGGGGCAGCTCGCTCTTGACATTGGACAAATGCAGGACGTTTTGGTCATCCAATCCATGAATGGGCGTGCAAATTCGGTATGCAAATCACGACGGCCGTGCGCAAATCAGGTCCGTAGGTGTGTCCATGTTTGGTAGTGTTAGCCGCATCCGGCTTTCTCCGTTTCGGGGCCGGGGTGACAAACACACGGTCCGGAGCAAGCGAGACATACCGGACCAAACAGACGCAATCACCGCGTCGAGGATCTCGCCGTCGCTGACGAAGTCCGAAAGCCCTTGGCGACCAATGAGTGCCACCATCGTCTATCTACTGCCCGATGAGGACGTCCACTTGAATATTCTGCTTGTTTCTCAGCATCTCGAGCGAACGCACGCCCACGTGCGAAAATCAACCTACGGCCTGCCAATGGCTTGCCCTTCGCCTGCGGGCGGATCTCTCCGTTCAAGCGCGGGCCCCAGACGCACATGGGCTATCGAGGGCTTTCAGTTGAGCTGTTCCTGACCGGGAATTGACGTCGCGCGCAGCGATTGGTTTGTGCGCTGCGCATCGCTGAGGTGGCGCGCCCACCGTCGATTCTGGGGTACCGGGGCCCCGGTCTCACCACCGCCCCCGCTCGTCTGGGCATGCCCTCCTATTCTGGACGATTCTCGCCATCGATTTTCGAGCTGCAGAGGCACGCTGGTGGGTTTCACCCAGCGAGAAAGCGGCCGACAGGCTGACAGCGCGCGTTTACGTACTTCCATCAGTTGCCAAGGACGGAGATGTCGCGCGCGCCATGTCCGGGCGGCAACAATTCTCTGGCACGGCGATTGCGCTCGTAAAGTCCTGACTGGTGGGTCAGGTGAGCGTTTTGGCCGTCCTGGAGGGAACAATAGACGCTGATGGGTGTGTTGGAGGGCGAGATTGGGAGGTGCAGAGGGTGGAAGAGTCGGCCGCCAGCGTCGGCATCCCCGCCCCCGGAGCATTTGGCCTGGGGCCCCAGCACATGCGGAATGCGGGACGATCGTGTCAGCATTCGTCTTCCACATGACATCAGTTTTCTGCCGCGCTTAGCCCCCCGGCGGCTACAAAAGAACGCGCGGGGGCCCACGGGACGGTTGTGGAGCGTCCCATCCTTCCCCTCAGAGACACTCAAGAAGTCCACACAGGCGCTTGCCCCTAAAGTCGCCAAAGCCCACCATCATGCCTCTCTTCTACGCGTGCGTGGTCGAGCACGATGTCCATACCCCATGCTGACCCTCCCCCAGACAAGGCGTCCCCATCGGCGGCACCGCCATCATGCTTGCCCTCCTGGCAAGTATGGGAGGCTTCATCTTCGGTTACGACACCGGCCAGATCTCAGATGTCCTCGAGATGGACGACTTCCTCACGCGCTTCGCGCAATGCGATCCCAACGACCCTACCAACCCCGACGCGTGCCACTTCTCCAACGTCCGCGCCGGCCTCATCGTCGGTCTCCTCTCCATCGGCACCCTCGTTGGCGCGCTGCTCGGCGCCCCCACGGCTGACAAGCTCGGCCGTCGGTACGCGATGACCGCCGAGTGCATGCTCTTCATCGTCGGCGTCATCATCCAGATGGCCACCTTCTCCTCCTGGAAGCAGTTTGCGGTCGGCCGTCTCGTCAGCGGTTTCGCGGTCGGCGCGCTGTCAGCAGCGGTGCCCATGTACCAGGCCGAGTCTGCGCCACCGTACGTCAGACCTCATTTTTTGCCTCCGTTCAGTCCGGCTTACTCGGCTTAAAGACAGATCCGTGGTACGCTTACCGCGACGTACCAGCTCTTCATCACCTTCGGTATCCTGGTTGCCTGTGAGTACTTCCCTGTCATTCGGCGAGCGATCCCCTCATTCTGTCGCAGACTGCTTCTCCATCGGTGCCCGAGAAATTAGCGGGCCAGGATCATGGCGTTTGGTAGTCGGCCTCGGTATCATCTGGCCGTTTATCCTCGGTGTCGGTATCCTCTTCATGCCCGAATCCCCTCGGTACTTGTTCTCGCCCATCTCCTTCATTCCCCACTAATTTTCCACTTAGTTGGCTCGCCAAGGTCGGGAAGATCGCGGATGCGCGCGAGGCACTCGCCCGCACGCGCGGTGTCCGCCCCGAAGATGCCCATAGCCACCCTCTCATCGTGCGCGAGGCCGACGAGATGCAAAACATGGCCGAGTACGAGGCGAAGCAGCAGTCCGGATGGATCGACTGCTTCAAGCCCAAGGACAAGATTTTGTACCGTACCCTCCTTGGTAAGCGCGCTTCGTAAGCGGGATCTTCGATCGGCGGAAGCTAATCCTAAACAGGCATGGCCCTCCAATCGTTCCAGCAGCTCACTGGCGCGAACTACTTCTTCTACTACGGGACGACGGTGTTCAAGTCGGTCGGCCTCTCCGACTCGTTCGTCACCCAGATCATCCTCGGCGCGGTCAACTTTGTCTGCACGTTCCTCGGGTTGTACGTCATGGAGAGGGTGAGCTTGGCTTTCGAGACGGGCGTGGAATGAGGCTGACGAAGACTCTAGTACGGGCGTCGTATCCCGCTCATCATTGGCGGAATGTGGCAGTCGGCGTGGCTGTTCGTGTTCGCTGCGGCGGGCACGGCGGGTGATCCCGAGAACGACGAGGGCATTGGCAAGCTCATGATCGTCTCTGCCTGCCTCTTCATTCTCGGCTATGCGTCGACTTGGGCTCCGTAAGCAACTCTTCCTTTCCACAGCTTTTCCTGTCGGCTGACCATCCCATGCAGTGGTATCTGGATTCTCATCGGTGAGACCTTCCCGACCAGAACCCGTGCCAAGCAGGGTGCCCTCGCCACCGCCTCCAACTGGTACGTTTCCCCATCTCCCTTCCCTCCTCCCCACTAACCCCCCACCCCAGGCTCTGGAACTTCCTCCTCGCCTTCTTCACACCCTTCATCACCGGCGCGATCGACTTCCGCTACGGCTTCGTCTTCGCGGCGTGCAACCTCGCCGGCGCCGTCGTCGTCTTCCTCTTCCTCTACGAGTCCTCCGAGCTCTCGCTCGAGAGCGTCGACCAGATGTACAACGACCCGGCGTGCAAGCCGTGGACGTCGCGGACGTGGGCGCCGGCGGGGTATGCGGATAGGAAGGATTTGGTGGAGCAGACAAGGGCGGCGCAGGCGCATAAGCCGTTTGCGCCGCGGGATATTGAGGAGAAGCGGATTGAGGACGCGAAGGAGGGCGCGTAAAGGCTCGAAGGCTCGGACTTGTAGCCTATCTGCCATCCTCAAACTAATGGGGGCGCTCGTACTCCGCGCCCCTGGACCTACCCCCACTACGTGTTTCGTTCCATTTCTCATCATCTTTCCTCTACGCATTTCTTCCTCCTACCTCGCACTCTTCGCACTTTCCCCTTTCCTCTACGTCGCACTACCTCCCTACCCTTCCTCCTCCCTCTTACCTCGCACGCACTCCTCGCCTGCTGTGTCAACCTACGCTACGTCGTCGTTCAGTCGATGTCCTCGCAGTGCATCCTAGTACCTCTCCGCAGTGCATCCTATGACCTGCTATCTATCCCCTTTGTATACTACTAGTTGTGGCTATCGTGTACGTACATACGAGACGCCGGGTTTATTGCAATGACCATAATGCTTTTCATGAATTCCGTTTCATGTGAACCTGATAGTAAAGTTAGCAATCTGCACGTACCGCGTTGAATGCCGAGGACAGGGCCGAGCTAGCAGGACGACTGGACTGGAATGAAATTCAAACACTTGACGGACACACAGCATAGGCGTTCGTAGCGAGCGGGCAGTAGAGAAGCCGCTGACTAGTTGGTGAAGACGTCATCAAGAAGCGCTCAAAACCTTCCTAATGGGGACGCAGAAGTCAGGCACCCTCACGCGCCTGCTTCTCGCGCGAATTTCGCATTCTGTGACGCTCAAAGTCCGTCATTGCATGACCGTCAGCCTACCGCGAGACTTATGTTGAGTCCAATGCTCGAGCTGCCTCGCTCCCATCACAGCAACATATGCATGGATTACAGCATGTACAGAAAACTCTCTGGTATCGTCCTGGGATAAGCTACGCATCCTACTATTTGGTAGTATAGCGACTCCGTAAGGTAGCGCCACTACTGATAGCGTCTCCCAGGCAAAATATGCCAATAAATACAGGAGAGGAAAGTCTGGTATACAACGCAATAAAGATACCTGGGTTTTACCGTCCGCATAAGTGAAGTGTACATCGTCTTGTTCTTCCTTCTCCACCATCCGCCCGTCCGCGACTTGTAGCTCGTTCCAAAGTTCCTCCGCTCGTCCAAGAGTCCTCCGGCTGCCCACAAAATCCTCCAACCGCTCATCCACATCGAAAGCGAATGCTCACCCAGGCAAGGATAGGTGAAGCCTTAATAACCGAGGAAGATCCCGAAGATGTCTTTCCAGGTCTTCTTGACCACCACCCGCGTCTGCCCGCCGTACTCCTCGCCCAGCCAGGTCACATAGCGCGCGTCGCTCGAGCTCCAAGGGCCCAGCTCAAAAGCCGACAGGTCCCTCGGCGTGAGGTTCACGACCGCCGTACCGCTCCCGATGCCCGTGGGCAGGAAGGACTGCAGAACGGACAGCTGGAACAGCGTGTGCGCGTGGAAGGTCTGCAGCAAGGCGAGCGTCGTCCGCATTTGTGCGTCCCGGCGGTCGACCTCCTCTTCGAAGTCCGCAGGCCCGACGCCCGCCGACGCGCGCGCCTTTGCCTTCCCTGGTGAGCGCAGGAGACCCGACATGCGCTCGCGCCCCGAGCTGGAGGCGGCGCGCTCCTTGGGGAAGCCGGAGGAGGACGGCGATGGACTCGTGGGGGTGCCCTCGATGCCCATGCCGCGGTTGCGGACGTACGCGCCCGCAACGGTCCCGAGCGTGAGATCGTCATCACCCTCGAGGCGCACCGCACCCCATTGGCGCATGTCGCCCGTGTACGACGCCTGCGAGTTGTTGCGCCAGCCGCCCATCCAAAGCCCGGCGCACACGACGCATACGTCTTCGTACACGCGCCACACATCGGTGAAGGCGTTCACTATGCGGGGCTTGTCTGCTCCGGGCGCACCGCCTGGAGGGGAGGAGGGCGCGCAGTGGCAGCCCGAGTGGTGCGATGCCGAGTTGTCGAGTGCGAGAATACGGTTGAGCTCGTTCCATAGCTTAACGTCGCTCCATGCGAAGCGGATGACGGATAGCTTTGGAGGAGAGCGACTGCTGCCTTCTTGCGTGCGCGAGGAATAGAACGTTGGGCGCGAGGCCTTGTCGGGAGTGGAAGTTGTAAGGTCGATGAGGAGATCGTAGTAGGCAGGCTTCTCGAGGAAGAGCGCATCAGTAGTACACGCGATCCATCCCCGACCCGACTGGCTTTCCTTGTCCAGGCGATCCAAGTCGGACAAGGTGACCATGCCCAAGGCGGTGATAGCATCCTTCGACTTGCCCTTGAGTCTGCGGGACTGCGATGATGTACCGGGCGCATCAGGACCTTCCAGCTGCGCTTCTAAGCACAGATCACTGGCGACTTGACATAGAATACACGCCGCCTCGACGGGAGGCAGTGTGTAGACCATGATCCGCCTGCGGCCGAGGATGTGCTTGTACAGCGTGAGCGCAGTCGGCCCAAGGATGCGCAGCAAGTGGGGGAGGTGGAGGACTGGCGGCTGTGAGGAGGGGTCGGGGTTGACGAAGCCGTCGCTGGTCGGGGGATCCTCGAGGTCGGCGACCCAGCCGTTCCAGTCGCCTGCGCCGCCCAATGTGGGTTCCCGCACTCTGCGGGCTTCGAAGAAGGTACGCGCTGCCTCCCAATCACCGTCTGCGGGTTCGAGAACGCCGGATGCTTCCAAGCGCGCGTATATCATCGTGGTGAGGTCCTTGAGCGCGGACGTGTGCATCCATGGGCGTGGTCGTCTGGACTTTGCGAGGAGGATGCCGACGGAGGATAGGCGGAAACCACGGTGCCCGTGTTCCGTGGTTCGCCGACGTCGGAAAGCGCACACGCCGTGGTGGCCGTCCTTGGTGAAGTAACTAGATGGGCTTTTAGCAGGAATGAAGGCAAGGGGACAGGCAGTGCACGCACACGACGTCCTGCTCCACCAGGTGCAGCCCGCTGGGAAGGGCGCTGAACTCGAGGTTGTCCAGCTTGATGTCTGGGGAAAGGGTGAGCAGTGAAGCTTTGCAGAAACGGTCCTGATACGCACCATCGCTAGCCTTGAGGCTCCAATCTATCAAATTCCCTTTCGTTGGATGGAAAGACGCATGGAAAATAGCGACTATACTAGCTTGTCAAGGCGGGGTCCATCGTTTACAACGCATGCATACCCAGGTCCTGGGGGTATTCTGGCTTAGCCTGACTAGGACCGGCCTCAGACGAGCTGCTCATCGTCGGCGGCAACGAGAGAAGGATAATTCAGGTGGTGAAAAGCAAGGCACAGTATATTAGTTACTATCAAAATCGAGCAGGGTCATCATCACTGTCACGTCCACGTGAGCGGCAGATGCGGTCGGTCACGTCACGATCGCGTCCCTTAGATTTCATTACCCTGCTCGTCGCGCAACGCGACGACAAGATCACTTTGACATATACATTCGACGATGCCGGCACGCTCGTATAGTCAAAGGACTCAACCGGGGCCCAGTCAGACCCAAAATGGCCGGAGGGCATCGCGTCGCGCATCGCGAGATGAAGACGAGGATGAAGATGCTATGGAAGTCGACGGCATGGACGATGCGGAGGAGGCGGGGGGACTTGATGTACGACATCACACCCATTGTTGACTCCCCCTTTGCTGAAATCTCTCTACAGGACCTGACTCTGAAGGCCAACGCGCTCGTCCGACTCGCTCTGTTTTCAGAGAGTAAGAGGACGGCTCTCCGGAGGGAAGAAATCGCAAAGAAAGGTGCGTTCTGCCATCCATTCTCAACTCTCGAGGCCTGAAGTGAATCCCAGTGCTCGGCGGCAGCGCACGACAATTCGGAGCTGTGCTCGCGATCGCGCAGAAGACCCTAAGGGACACCTTCGGGATGGAACTCGTCGAACTTCCCTCACGCGCAGCACTCGATAAGGAAGCAAACGGAGACAAAGATGCTGAGCTCGAGGACGCGCAGAAAGCAACAGGAGTGAAGAAGAGGGGTACGCTTGTCCCCTCCTCCCCGTCCAATCACCATCACTGACATGTCGCAACAGCCACTGCCGCGGGTTCGAAGACCTACATCCTTCGGTCAACCCTCGACCCCCTCATTATTGAGTACGCCGCGCTGTCCGACTCACAGATCATCGAACAAGAGGCTGCTGAGATGCCTTCGGACGATGAGGAAGACGATGCTGCGGCGAAGCGGTATGGGAGCATCATCTCCTGGTCTCAGTGCGACCAACTCGGCGCCATTGGTATCGCCTACGTAATCCTTGCCCTCATCCTCGGCAGCGGGCGCGTCATGAACGACAGCAAGTCTTTCTCTTGTCATTCCTGACTTATCCTGACCGCCCTGCCCAGTCGACCTCCGCGCCTCCCTCCGGCGCCTCAACCTCGACGAAGACGTCCAGATGTCTGGCCTCGCTACGCACGAAAAAGTCCCCATCGACACCTTCCTTGGCCACCTCGCCCGCCAGGGCTACATTGAGCGCACCGCCGTCGGCGAGCCCAGCAAGAAGGGCAAGGGCGCGAAGCGCGGCCGCCCGACGCAGGGCGCGGACGACGAGGGCGCGCAGTACGAGTGGCGGTGGGGCGCGCGGGCGCTGTGTGAGGTGGGGGAAAGGAAGGTGGCGCAGTTTGTTGGCGAGTTCATGGCGGGTGGGGATGGCGAGGAGGAGGAGGAGAGCGAGGCGGCGCAGGCGGAGATGGAGGCGAGGAGGGATAGAATTATGAAGGGGATTGAGCGGGCGGCGGGTGGGGCGTTAATGGATGTGAAGTAGAGGTGCAGTGGGAGGAAAGAGAACGACGGGGGGTGACTTGGTTTCTTGATGCGCGGCTTTTTTGTATGCTGGACTTGCTGTTGTGCCGCTGCTGTACTGATGTATATTTCCGACTAGCTCGTACATACTTACTATACATCTTGTATATTCGATAACTTATCCAGAGATGTATATAGACTGTGCGCCCATGTGGCGTCTTGTAACCCTGCTTCGCCTTGTCCCGCCGCAGCGTAGGATGCGGAAGCTCATTCAGCGTCCGATATCACAAACCGCACCAGCAACGTCGCGCCAGAAAACTTCCCAGCCAAGTTCATCAGCCGAACAAGTCGCCAACCCGGCTGGATATATTCCAGCCGAGCGCAGAACACGACAAGCTTGTCGTCCCGGCCAAATTCGTCTTCCTGTATCCGTAGCCTGCGCAGCAAAGGTATCAGTGCTTCGCTGCGGGTCTCATAGAAGATTTTACACACCGAATGAATGCCAGCTCATCATCTTCGAATTCCCACTCGAACTTCTCGTTCCAGACGACGTCGGAGCCCTGGTCGGGCGTGTCGGTCACCTCGATGGACTTGCTCTTCCACGACTGATCCTTCTCCGAGTGGAACAGGTCCGCGCGGACGTAGGTGTGGAAGCTCTTGCCTTTCCTATCGTCCGGCGGGGGTACTGTAACCATAAAGTGTAAGTAAGCGCAAACAATTGGCCACGCATCACGCGCAAGCTTGACCAAACATGTCACAGCGCCAACAAGCCAAACAAACAAAGATGGAAGCACTCACGGGCACTGACGCCATAGATCTCTGCGCTCAACTTCTTCCTCCCGCCCCTACGCCTCCCATGATGATGCAGTAGATTCTTGAACTTATGCATCAGGCCCTCCTCCCCCTCCACCACCCGCAGCTTCTCCGGCTTCGCGACCCAGCCAGGTGTACCGACAAACATCGCCTCGTTCACCTGCATCGGCGTGTCGTAGGTCTGCCAGTTGAGGGAGACGACTTGGGATCCGGCGCGCCAGAAGGTGAGTGGATTGGGGTTGCTGGACCCGATGCGCGTGCCGCGGGGAAAGATGCGGCGGAGGTGGCGAAGGCCGTGGGCGATGAGGGGCGTGAGAGACGCGGGGAGGAGGGAAGACAGCCCGGACTCGGAGATGTTGATGAGGATGTGTTTAGGGGTGGTGAGTTCTGGGGTGATGGTGTCAGGCTCGTGCATGAAAGGGAAGAGATGTTTTTGATGCCCACCTTGCATGAGCCAGCCCTTCCTAGGCTTCATGCTGCGCGCATAGAAGCCGAGCTCGGCCAGAGGCTCAGAGATGCGCGCGTGCTGGAGGGCCTTGCGTTGCTGGGCCTCGGCACTGTCGTCTTCATCGGATGACGAGCTGGAGGACGACGAGCTGGAGTCGCTGTCGTCGTCTTGGGTTTTTGGTGGGTAGTATTCCACCATCAGGACGATCCTCCCCTTGAGGTCCTTCGGGCGAACCTCGTCGTCGTCGACGTGCTCTAGCTTGCGTTGGACTGGGTGATGGAGTTGTTGAGGGTGTTTATTGGCTCGGATGGGATTATCTTACCTAGCTTATCGCCCCAAATCCGCTTCATCGTCTCCACCAGCTCGTTCTGGTGGTCGAGCGGTACGTGGCACTCCAAGCTCACAAGCACGGGCCAGTCGTTCTCCCTGACATGGTCCCCGATAACCTCGCAGACGCTATGGAACGCGACGCCCTTGCTCAGCGTGTAGCCATGGTTTACGACCAGCCCCTTCTCGTTGCTCCACCAGACATCGATCTCGACGCAGCGGCCACCGCGCTCGAGGACGTGGGCGTAGCACGCCGCAGAGGACCGCCCGACGAGCTGGCGAGATAGGAGGTAGGTATTGTGCGAGGATCTGGGTTGGGATCAGTGATGGGTTAAAATCAGTAAGAAGCAGAAGCGGATGAGGGTAAAGCGGACCAGTACTGACGATATGAAGTAGTGGGTAAGAGGGAGATCGTCGGGCACGTCGGGTGCCGTGATTAAGGGGCGCGCTAGCACTTCGTCGATCGACTGCGGGTCACTTTATCAGGCGCGTTGAAGGGAGGTTGAAGAGAGCGACTGACCTCTCCGATGGATTCAAGGTAGACTCTGACAGCTTCGCTGAGGCGATGGAATTCGTCCGCGGGAGGCTGGAGATTGTAGCGCGTATCCACGCGGTAGAAGCCAGATATCTGGCCTTCCCAATCTCTATCTTGGGTTTCCATACCTTTGCAACTACTTCTGGTAGATGAACCAGCTGCTAGAAGACGACAGAAGTCTCCGACTGGGTCAAAAGTAGCGTGGCCAACGGTAGCGGATTAACCGGTATGAACCGCAACCGTACTGCACATTTGCGCGGTTTCAAATGAACGGTTATAGATCTCTCACGGTTTGCGGTTCCACCGCAGTTTACCGCGGTTGCCACATGCCCTCCACGTGCTCCCCATTTGGCAGCGCTTGTCGGCTGTTTCTTCTCTTTTAGGTGCGTGCATCAGTCTGAAAGGTACAAAAAAAATATCATGCTGCCTACAGTATTCAGGAGGCATGAGAACCGACCGAGTCTCCTATCAAGTTCCCCCTATCAAGTGCAACCACCATGTTCTCTGAGTCCAGGACAACTATTCCAAGTCAAGCTCTTCTGAGTGGTAGACTGATTTAGGCTATCTGAGTACTTTTGTGACGCTCTGCTGATACTTTGCGGCGTGATCCAAGCGTATAACGTTCTTCGCGCTCGAACCGCAAGTCACGTGAAGCTCGCGTGCCATTATCACACCATATAGTGGAGGACATTCCTTCGGGAGTTTTGAAGCCGCAAATATTACAGAAGAAAGAAAACGTGCTTTTGTGCACATAAGATGCGTCAGGGTTGTTGCGTAGTGACGATGCGAGTAGATCGTGGGCGCTTGTGGACGCGGCATTCGCGGTAGGCGAAGACCGAATTTACCGTGATTCTACCAGTTTCTTACCTACGCACCGTTGCATCCCTTAGTTGGGAGTCAAATCAAAGTCGAACTGGGAGCGTAGCAGTCACTGTCTGCGCGCCGTGCAGTCACGTGGATAATTGATTCTATCATACACGTTTCCGTGAAACTGTTTGTTCGTGATTGACAGGTCATTCAGCGAGAATTGCAAATGCTGTCGAGGACTTAGCTGCAAGCGCTTTCATCTCGGCCCGCTGTCTTCTGACTGCCGAGCGTCTGGAGCTCCCTGTATATCGGGCTGAAGTCCTTGTAAATTCTTGTAAGTCTTTGGTTTGAAAGGTAGACCCACTCACTGATACCGTGACCAGAAGCGACCAGAAGGGACGCCCACAAACTATGCGCTGACCTTGATAGTGTGCGAAGAGCTCGTGAGAATTGAAGATCCACATTCCCTTGACACTACCCTCGTTCCCTGTTATCGATCTCGGCTTGCTCGTTCTACTCACCGGACCTGGGCCATATAACTACGCCACGACTCGCAGGATCTACAGCAGGCAGCTGCAGCTGCATCTTGGCCATGTCTCTCGTCAGCGTCTTCCTCTCGCGCATGATACCTCTCGAGAAATGGATCTCTACTCTCTCACTAGGAAGACGACACGCTGCTTATTTACTATGCGCCGTCGTAGGCTGCCCCATCGTCTATCGTGTCCTCTTCTATCCTCGCTTCTTCTCCCCGTTGCGACACGTGCCCGGTCCGCCTCTGGGCGAACCTATCATCGGCGCCTGCGCCCCCATCTTTGCGAGGGACGCCAGGAGCCCTGCCGCGCGGGACTGGGTCAAGAAGTACGGGCCCGTCGTCCGCAACGTCGGCCCCATTGGCATCGAGCGCCTCTACCTCGTCAGCCCGGAACACCTGCACCAGGTCCTCGTCAGGGAATGGACCGACTACGAGCGTCCGGAATATCTGCAGCAAATCCTCGGGCTGGTGGCGGGGCACGGGCTCTTAACGACTACCGGGAAGGAGCACCGCGACATGCGGAAGGCCATGAATCCGGCGTTCTCTTTGGTGGGCTTGGCGGGCCGTAGGTTTTCTTTGTGCTATGAGTGTGCTCTGCTCGCTAAACGCGCCGATCTGGACAGAGCTGTGCCTGTACTACGAGCATATCGAGACGTGAGTCGGGTGTCAAGGTGAACGTGGCCCTACCCTGACGGTCTCCTGGCAGTCTGGTTCGCATCTTTGACGACTTCATCGGCGATGCCGAGGGTGGGACTGTTCTCCCGACTTACGAGTGGTGTACGTGTGTTGCTTCATATCTCGGTCTTCATGACTTGGGGTATGATTTATTGAACCAACCGACGCCTCGCAGTGAGCAAGGTCACCCTCGACATCATTGCCGAGACGGCCTTTGGGTACAAGACAGAGTCCCTGCGCAACCCGGACAACGAGCTCGCGACGGCCTTTGGGAACATGATGGATCTGCAGAATGGTGAGTGGCATGCTTCGAGTGCTTCAGTGGCACGCTTTCAGTTGCTTGATTTCCGTCCTGCCATCCTCCACTTGTTTGCTTGCCTGTTGATCACGCTTGCTTGTCAATCTTTGCACTTGCTTGCTCGTCAATCATGTCGCCTGCTCGTCAATCGTGTCACTTGCTTATTACCCATGGCGCCTGCTTGTATGTCACTTGCTTCCGCTTGCTTGTCATCGTCATGTACGCCGTTTGCCGACGCTGAGCCCGACCGCAACCACAGGGCCCAATCTATTCAGGGTTGTCACTTTCATGTCCATACCCGGCGCGGCGAGATTTGTGGCGTCCGACTGGGCGTACGAGCATCGGCGGTGGTTTTCAAGAATTCCTTTTCTGGGTGAGCGACGGTATACTCAGACTTCTGGTTTGAAGCTCAGGCCTTGCAGGACCTGCAGAGACGCTCATCGAGTCGACGTACAAGATACGCCGAATCGCGGAAGAGATTCTGCAGGAGCGCATGCGCGAGGCTGCTGCGGTCGTTGCGTCCGACTCGGAAAAGGCAGCGAGGCGGGATCTTATGAGCATTCTTGTGCGCGCGCGACAAGCAGATCTGGAGAAGGACGACACACTCTATGCGATGAGCGACCAGGCGATGGTGGATCAGGTTGTGAGCATCATGGTATTAATTGTGGATGCGTCGGGGCGACGTGGTTGACTTCTGGGTTTTAGCTCACCTTCCTCGGCGCTGGGCATGAGACGACGGCCTCTGGGCTGGCTTGGGTATAGTCATCGTTGATGTTAGAGCAGCTGAACCTCACCGATGTTTGCAGACCCTCTGGCTTCTCGCGACCGACCAGGAATCCCAGCAGAAGCTACGCGACGAGGTCACGCCTATTCTGACCGCGAACCCACGACCGGATTACAAGACGCTCAAAGACTTGCAATGGTTGGATTGCGTGGTGTAAGAGGCCTCTCCTATTTTGAATGCATTCCAATCGGCTGAGAGCGAATATGCTAGCATGGAAAGCCTTCGCGTGCTCCCTCCGGTCCCGCTCACCGTCCGCAAGGCGTACAAGACGGGTTTGATTGGTGATTTTTTGGTACCGAAGGGCACGTTTTTGCATATACCCGTGCGCTGCATTCCTTGCCTGTGTATGAATCAAAGGAAGATCTGACGAGGGCGATCATAGATTCGCGTCATCAACACCTGGACGGATATATGGGGGCCAGATGCGGAGGAGTAGGTCGAGTCTGACGAGCTTCATTATTTTCTCTGACACGCGATTATGCAGGTTCCGCCCCTCCCGCTGGCTCGACTCGCCGAAGTCGTATAACCCGACGTTCTCGTTGATGTCCTTCATCGCGGGGCCGCACGGCTGCATCGGGAAGACGATGGCGCTCCTGGAGATGAAGGCGGTGTTGGCGTGCGCTTTCTCTCCCCGCTGTCAAGCACGACCCTGACGCCCAATAGACACCTCATCGCCGCCTTCCATTTCGAGCCGGCGTACGAGGGGCAGAAGATCAGCCCTGCTGCAGCGATTACGATGAGTGGGTGGTTCGTGTACAGCGTCCTTGAACACTTGCTCATCGACCCCTCAGAGCCCACCGACGGTATGCCCCTTCGCATCAAGCGGGTGCGCCGGAATTGAGAAGATACCTGGTTTCTTTCCCTCGGTTGACGCGTTCCGACTGAGCTCGCTCTATCTGGATTCTTTACGCAACGGACACTTGGCCGTACATACTGACGGAATACTGGCAAGCTATATTTATTCACAGTACATACCTTTTACGACCTGGCCACGATCTTCCAAACGAGGCGCACAGTCAATCCACACTCATCTGCCACATTTAATGAATGACACGCCGCGAGGAGGGGACGCAGGTGCCAGCAGATAGCACGCAGCAATTGTGTCCATTGCGTCCATTGTGGCCATCGCCACGTCGTAAGGTGGAATCCAATGAGTAGAACTACAACAAACAATCCAGACAAGTAGATCAGTAAGTACGAATAAGATAGCACGTCATCAATTGTCGTTAGCGTAAGTAGTCGTCAAAAAGGGTCGTTTGAAAGATCGTGATAGGGTCATGACCGTGCTTGATCGCGCACGTCCTTCCAGAAGCCATCCCAGTGGTCCTTCTGGGGTGTTACGAGCCCCTGCTGTGGTGTTACGAGCCCCTGCTGTGGCGATACGAGCCCCTGCTGAGGCGTTACGAGCCCCTGCTGTGGCGTTACGAGTTCTCGCTGAGGTGCTCCTGGTCCCAGCGCCGCCGGCGAGAACTTCCCAGCGTCATCCGAAACTCTGGGCATCCCGTCGGGCGCGAAAGCGACCTTCTGCGCTTGTTGGATGCGGTCGATGGCTTTGATGAGGGATGGGGTTGCGGGCACGGCGCCTAGTGGCGACGTGAGCGTCGCGCTGGAATGACCGCCTGAACTCGATGTATGCCCCGCGGCGCTGGATGTACGCCCACCCCCGCTCGACGCACGTCTCCACTCCTCGCTGCCGCCGTGAGCTGTCATCGTCACATCTTCCTCATAGTCAGAGTAGACCGGCGAGTCCGTGCCGAGCTTGTTCCTGATCCTCACCCGCGCCGCCGCCGCGTCGAGCTCGCGGTCGTCGACGAGCGTCGCCGCGGTGTGCGCGGAGCTGAACGAGGGCCGCGACTGCAGCCACGGGCGCGCGGGCGGCGGCGGGGTATCCAGCACATCGCCCTCCTCGTCGGAGTCCGAGATGTCCTTCCCGAAGGGCCTGAACTTGACCGCCTCGCGCGGCTTGCGGCCGAAGCCGCGCAGCTTGGGCTGCGAACGGGGCTTCTTAAGGCATTCGGGGCTGAGGCGGAATTGCGACTGCTGGGGCTGGGGCGGGAGTGTATGGTGTTGAGAGAGAAGTGCGTGCTTCGACAGCTTCGTTGGCGACGTCGGTGTCGAGAGAGCGGAGTACTTCGTATCCTGGAAGCCCTCATCCGGGAAGATGACCTCTTTCTCGCCCGGAGTCCGCCTACCATGCAACATGCGGTCCCATGCCGACTGCAGAGGCTGGAACGTCCCCGCGCGACCGGCCTGGTTAGGCAGGTTTGCGGCGTAACTGGCGAGATAGCCGTCCCATTTCTCATCCGGGCATTCGCCGAACTTGCGCTTGAGCAGGAAGTCCGAGGCCCATGCCCAAGCAGAGGAGGATGCCGAAGGCGGCGCTGAGCCCCTGCTCCTTGCTCGTGCCCCAGTCGATGTTGTCGTGCTCCGCGAGGCGCTGCCATACGTTCGCCCACGCGGGGATGCCGGCTAGGATCGCGATGGACATGACGACGCCAAATGCGCCGGTCGAGGCGGTTGCAAAGCGCATGGCGGGGCGTTGTGAGCGCTCGAAGGGGAGGAGAGTGAGGATGGTGCTAAGGGGAACGAGGATGGCGGTGAGGACGACGCGGGTGAGGAGGTTGGGATGGATGATGACGGAGATGCCGAGAGCGAAGGTGGCGCTAGAGAGGGGGATTAGGCTACAGTGTGCGAGAGGAAAGGAACACATACCCGCCAGTGATGCCTGCGAATACGAGGGCACAGTATTTCCATCGTCCGCCCAAGAGTGTTGTTACGACGCTGGGCAAGAGCCATACGGCAATGAAGGACTTTGAAGAGAGTGGGGAGGCACTTGTAAGGGAAGGGATACAGACAGCAAGGAAAGTCGCGAATTGCACTGATAAGATGCCCGTCAGTTCCTCAGCCATCGCGTATGTCGGCGATCGTACCTCCGAACGAGTACCCGATTGCGAGCCCCCCAGCGCCCCCCTCTAGCGCAAACGTTATCCTCCTCTTCAGAGCATCCAGAGAACCGGGTATCGCCTTATAACTGGGATGGGGGAACGAGCGCGTGCGATCAAGCGTAAGGAAAGTGCCCGCGAAAGTGAGCAAGATAGATAGGAAGAGAAGGGGAAGGGCATAAGCCAGAGCGAACGCGGACGACGGAGACGACCCCAGAAGGGAGACAAGGGTGAGCGTCGTTGTCATCGTCGCCTGCGTCGACCGCCTATATGACGGGGGAGGACAAGTGCTGCTTCGCCGTGACGGTCACGGCGAATGGCGCCACCATCACCGTTTCGCCTCCTCGTCCAGCACAACTCCTGCACGCCGCCGCCGCCGCCGCCGCCCGCGCGGCGCTCTCTCAGCGCCGCGTTGCCATGGCTGATATCACGATGTACTCAAGACTCGAGCTAGCGCTCATGTTCCTCGGACAATGGACTGACGATCGACACAAGCTTTGCATCTTAGGCGCTATACGGCAATCGTTATATCACCGAATACGCGAATCTTGGATCAGCCAAGGGTTACCTGTAAAGCCTACTCCCTGGTAACATATTGCTGCCCGACAAATCTTCTTCAAGGTCGCTTCTCCATGGTGGAAATCTCACTGCGCTATCCCGTGTACTTCCACTGCTTATTCCAAACATGGTCAAGCGCGAAAAACGCCGCCCCGGAAGGCGTCGCATTGGCGGCGTGGTATGGTATTCATCTGTGCCATTCTGTTCTTCACCTCGCGGTGCAGGCTTGGACAGTCTTGGGCGATCCATGCATCCCTCGGTTTCATATTGGAAAGACGCCGTCGAGATAATGCGGTCTCTGGGTGCGCACAGGTATATAAGGTGACATGCTAACGTACCCAAAGCGCCAACGAGTCGCCCTGTATCGACTGCGACCATCTTGCTCATCATGTTGACGAATAAAATCTCCTGTTATGATGAGGACGCGCTCCCGTCCTTCACTCCGATGCCTTGGTAAGCGGAACCTTGCGCAACTCTTCATCTCATCTTACCTTATGAACCAGGTCTCTGCAAGAAATACGTGCCAGCATTCCTCCTCGCCTTTTCCACCGCAGCACGGCCCTCAGCCTCTACTTCCTCATTCGTGACCTTCTTATGGCCGCCTGCGCCTGGAAGGCCGCCGCCTTCATCGACCCTCTCCTCCGCCATACCGTCACGACAAACGCGCTGATGCCCCTCGGCGCCATGTGCGCACGATGGGCCTGCTGGGGCGTCTAGTAAGCCTCCCGCCCGCCCTGATCGTCGAAAAGCCTACTCACCTACCCTGACAGCTGGTGGTTTCAGGGCCTCATCTTCACTGGTATCTGGGTCATTGGGCACGAGGTACGTCTTAAGCCTATCTTCATCTTCCCGCTATCGGCATGCCTTCCCTTCGCGAAGCTGACAAGCGCCCCTCAAACCACCAGTGCGGCCACGGCGCGTTCTCGGACTACAAGCTGTTGAACGACGTGGTAGGCTTCGTGCGTGCCTCGGTTGTTGGTGCTCGTACGGGCGCGTTGGCTGACTATGCATTCGCTCGTGCAGATCACCCATACGCTGCTCTGGACGCCGTACTTCTCGTGGAAGATCTCGCACCATCGGCATCACAGCAATCACGCGTCGATGGAGCGCGACGAGGTGTACGTACCCAAGACGCGCGCTGATCTGGGTCTGCCGCCCGCGAATGAAGCACGCCTCATCGACTATGATGAGATCCTGGGAGATACACCTTTGTACACACTCTTCATGCTCGTTCGCCAGCAGCTGGTGGCTTTCCCGGCATATCTGCGTAGGTCATCCCGCATCCATGCGTACGGACGACGCTGATGTGCTCGTAGTCTTCAACGTATCAGGCCAAAAGACCTACCGTGCGTTGTCGCTCCCGGTTTTGTCGACTTCTAGCTGACATTGTTGCAGCTGAGGGGACGAACCACTTCGATCGTCAGTCAATCTCGGGGCTGATCATCGGGCGCGCTTCTGACCTCGTTCATCTAGCTAAATCCATCCTGTTTACGCCCGAACAGCGCCACGCCGTCCTCCTCAGCAATGCCGGAATCGGGGCAATGATCATCGCCGTCATCTCCGCCAGCCACGTCTACTCGCTCGCAGCAGTCGTGAAGTACTACGGCATCCCTTGGCTGTTGGTGACGCACTGGTGTTAGTCCCATTCATCCCGCTTTGTCTATGCCACCCACCTTCATGCTCGCCGCTCTACACTCCCGCCCATCATCTATTGAGTCTGACGCGCTTGCTGACGCCTCGCATAGTCATCATGATCACATACCTGCACCACACCACGCCGGAGCTGCCGCACTATCGCGGGAAGAAGTGGAACTTCCAGCGCGGCGCCGCCGCCACCGTCGATCGTCCGTTCTTGGGATGGCAGGGCCGCTTCTTCCTCCACGACGTCGCGCACTTCCACGTCGTCCATCATGTACGTTCGATTCCATGCGCCGCAGCCTGTCGCCCGCTGACGTGCTCTTTCGCCTGCGTCAGTTCTTCCCCAAGATGCCTTTCTGTAAGTCGCTGACTATCGGTGTTGGTGCGCCGACGCTGACCGAGATCATGTAGACCACGGCGAGGAGGCAACGAAGTATTTGCGAGGGTTCATCGGGGAGCACTACGCATACTCGGAGAAGCCGATCTTCGAAGCGCTTTGGGATAGCTATAACCGATGCCAGTTCGTGGAAGATGAAGGTGGATCCATTCCCTGCCGTCTATTGCAGTCGCTCATGCATAACCAGGGTCGGTTCTTTTCTACCGTGACCGTCAGGGCCGAGCAGCGCGCCGACCAGTCCGTGTACAGGGGAATACATAGTGGGATCGCGCGATAACACTAGATCAATAGAGTAGCAAAGCATTCGAAGAGCAGAAAGCGAATAAGAAATTTCACACCGTCTGGTGAAGTACGAAGGAAAGAATTTTGAAGCGGATACACTCGGTCGAGGGTATTCATCGCAGGAAGATTGAAGTATCCATGAGTTGCAAACGACAAGTGCGACAGGCAGATCAGCCAGAAACGCGAAGAAAGAACGCAAGAGTATGAGGTAGCCTGAACGCACGTATAGCGACGGGAGAAAAAGTCTTTTCGAATGTCGACAATGTGTGGGCCAGTCTTCAACGCCTTCGGTGAGGACTTCCAGGCGCCGATGCCCGCGTGCTCGGCAAGGGCAACGCTGGCGCTTGAGACGCGCTCCCTGTGTGAGTACGCCGATTCGTAGTCGCAGCTCGAGCCTGCGCTCGCGGCGCGGCTGCCTCCTCCATACCCCTGGTCATCGATCGCGTCCGCGGTCGCTTCGAGATGTCCGTCGGTACTGCCGCCGCCGCACGGGTCCTCTTCCGCGTGCGCGTCGCTGGCGCGGGTGGCGGCACGGTCATGACGTCCTGGAGGCGTCGCAGGAGGTCTTTCATATCGATTTTCTGCGCGTACTCGCGCAAGTATGTCGTGCGAATGGCGGCGATGGGCTGAGAAATGCCATCCCGCTTGATATCGTTGATGTCCATCTCGTGCGGGTAGGTCGCGACGACGCGAAGCAGTGGCGGGTCCCCTGCCTCCTCGACCTGGCGGGCCAGGGCGGGAAGCCGCAGACCGCTCGCCGAGCGCGTCCTGCCGAGCTGTGTACGTTGAGCCTCGCGATTTCTGGAGAGAAGAGAACAAGCGTACCTTGAAGAGTTTCTGAGGGGCCAATTGCGCCAACTTGGCCTGGATAGCCTTCGCAGGAGCATCGACGTGTTCGTTCTTGAACAGCGCCGCGAGAGCAACATGAAAGCACCGCCCGTCTTCGAGCCTCAGCACGAACAATAGGTCGGCGTTGCTGAAACCCGATGACAGGCAGAAGGGCGTGCTTGCTTCGCGGCTGAGCCATTGCGTCGAATCAGTCGCCCAGTACTCCCCGCGATGCATCGTCGACAAGGTGGATTGACACATAATCGCACGCGGATGCCTGGCCGGGCCAACGTTCACGAGGCGCACCAGGCGCACCTTCTGCGTTGCCCACGGCGGCTCGATTCCCGGAAAGTCGAATAGCTCGCTCAACCGATGCGCGCGCCCCGAGAGAGCATGCATCAGAATGACGACGCACTCGAGATGGAAGGTGCTATGTATGGGTGCCTCGCGGAGTAAGCCCAAAAGCTCGTCGGGCTGGAAACCTTGCTCATCGTCTGGGTCCGCGAACAAGAGGTCCATCAGGCGCAAGAGCACGCGTGGTTCGTGGACGAGTGCCTCTTTGCCCGCAGAGTCCACAAAACGCGCGACTCCGTGTTCGACTAGCGGAAGCGCGCAGGCGTCTGTAAACCGGACCTGATCTTCGCCGGTGAGGACGACTTTGAAAATGGCGGATCTTGCCGCCAGGCTGATTTGCCAGTCTATAATCGAATGAGTCAGTGTCCCACCCATGAGAAGATGCCGCGGACATTACCTCCGGGAAGTAGACCATGACTTGCATCTCTAAAAAAGCGGACTACATCACGACTTGTGCCTTTCAGAGTGCGCAGCTTCGCCTTGGATACGTGCGGAGGGTCTATACACATGACCGTCGTGATGAATGAATCGAGTAGTACAAGAGGTTTGTCGAAATTTGACATATACAGACAAATGATATAGGACGCCGTGAATCCGTAACTTGCAGCATAGTCAGCCGCAGCCGACGCCACAAGGAAAACCACGTACCGACCACGGAGCCACCGCCACAAGCGCTCTATGAGCTCCTTTCCGGTTTCGGATTGGGCCAAAGTCGGAGGTAGATATCGTTCAATGTAGTTGCGCTGAGCGTCTGGACTGCAGAGAGCTTTGGTGCGTGTGTAAACGGAGTAGCGAGGTTGACGCGAGTTTTTGAAAGGCTCAAGCGTAATGTTTGAGCCCGAGAGTATGAGTACCATTCCCTCGTATCTGTCTGAGGAACGCGCGAGCTCCCGCAACAGCGTCGAGTCTGGACCGAAGGCACCGCGGAACATATCGTCGGCACACTCGCACTTGTCCATAACGCAGAACAGTGGAGTGGCTGACCGGCCAAGACGGGCTTTGATGTCCAGGAGAAGATCGGCCGTCATATCGATGATATAGTTGGTTATGAAGTTGGATAGCACGGTCGTGACGCGGTCGAAGAGATCCTTAGGGTCCAAGCTGAGCATCCGGGCCTGCAGGAGCAGCCACCGGGAAGGGCCTTCCGTAGATGTTTTGTCCTCTAAGACATCCAAGAACGCTCTGAAAACAATCATCCGACTGAGGAGAACACGCGAGAAGAGACTCTGCACTATGCTGCGATTCTGGGCCACCTGGATTTCCGTCCACGGCCCGTAGCGTTGGAGCATGCTTGTAAACATTGTGTCCATTCTGAGGAATGCGGGTAAATCGTGAGAACCAACACGATCTCGGTCGAGCGCGCAAGGAATGTAAAAGCCCCATCGCTTGCAGAGACCTTCGAAGATGAGGCGAGTCTTCCCGGTACCAAATGCGTTGTGGAATAGACTGAAAAGTTCAAATTAGGGGAAGAAGTAAGCCCGCGAGCGCTGGGACGTACACGTTTTCTCCAGAGAATATATTGCGCAAGTTGTCGGCCGTGTCTGGATCAAGGTCTTTCCCTAAATCATGGAGCAGAAGGGAAGGTCTTTCGGACGTGGCAATCGGGAGTTTCAGTGAGCTGATGAAGTCAAAATGGCGAGAAGCACGGTGAGAGGGTGGCGGTTTCCACGGCTCAGACGGTTGGGGTGCATTCGCAAAGGCGGATAGAAAGGTACGATGGCGTTCAAGTAGTTCCTTCAGCACAATTTCGGCGCCTTCTTCCTGTTGGCCGAGGGGCCGACGTGTGCGTAATTCGACATCTCGGAAGGCCAGCACGTCTAGAGGGCGTCAGCATACGCGCAGCGTCACTATCACTATGTGGCACACACCACAATCCCATAAGATATGACCGTCTCCGTCAGTGACAGCCCTTTCAATGAGCGCGTATAGTCCGGACTGCCTTGTCAGTAACGCGGCGCAAGCAGCCTCCGACACGTAGTCGGGGTCTAGTGGTTGGGACCGCTCGCGGAAAAAGATGTGCAGAATCGAGGAGAGGAGCGCAGGGGCAGTCTTGGGATTGAACCTCTCCCTCGCACCCATCAAGATGTCTTCGATGTCTGAGGGAAACATTGTGGCGCTGAGGTACGAGGACAAAGAGTGGGTGGCGGGTCTGAGCGGCGTCGCCCAAACAACCTGCCCTCAAGTACTTTGTGGCCGGCCTGCCGAACCTATTGTTCAGTACTCCAACAGATGCGATCCGCCACTCGCCTTCTCTGCAGACTATATCATCGTCCCCGGCGCATCACGGATTTTGGGTACCGCTTGATGAGCTGCGGGAACGAGCGGACGGCAGGTCATACCCAAGGAAGAAAACGGTATAAGCAAGAGCGAGCACACACTCCGGGGGGTTTCAGCAGGCATCCAGTGGTGAGCGGTCCCGCATCGTTGTCAACATCAACGCCAGTTATGGCAAAAGGGGATAGGTGAGTACGGAGCCCCAACAGTCACAGCGTATAGTTGGATTGCGGCGTCAGGGCCCCCGAATTGACCAGTGCATCCAGCGCGTATGCATGCACCATCTGCTTCCGTAGGTTCCAGATAAACAAAGCAATGCAGCATTCGAAAAGCAGTAGAAAGCGAATAATCAGAGTTCGTCCACGAACACGAAGATGCCGGAGGTGATAGCCTGGGGTATACACAGTAATCAGGTCCATACGGCGGAAAGGTAAAAGCAATGGCTAGAAGGCGAAGACGAACGTGCGAAGGGAATAGATAGGAAAGCAGATATGCAAGAACAGGCGATTGAGCGCCGACGATACAACATGAACACACAACGATGACCTTTCGAGTAGAGAATCAATAGCGCTTGGAAGTCCTTCTCCGCTTCGGTGGCGCCGCCTGCGCTCGAGAAGGCACCGCTTGCCTTTTGGGCGGCTTCGGGGTCTTAGGCGCTGTAACTGGCACCAGTCGGACGCTCCTGCGGACGTCCTGCGCGCCCGACAGCCTCTTCGTCACGGAGCGAGTGTGGTAGCGCTGCGCCTCTGCGTCGTCGTCCGCGGCGGGCGTATCTGGCTGCTTGCGCTTAGCACTGTCGACTTTCCGAGGCGCGGTCATGACGCTCGTGAGCCGTCGCTCGATGTCCTCAACAGTGAACGAGCCGGCGTAGTCGCGGAGGACGGACGTGTTGACGGTGGCAATGGGCTGCTTGGCGCGACCGCGCTTCAGGTCGTTGATGTCTATATCGAATGGGAAGGTCGCGATGAGGCGCAGCACGGGTGGGTTGCCAGCTTCCTTGACTGGGTTGGGTAGGTCGCCGAAGCGCAAGCCATTCGACGCTTGGGACTGGGCGGTCTGAAAGGGCCGATCAATAAGGCGGTTGGATGGGACGATGCAAGGAACGTACCCGAAAGATCTGATTTGGTGTCATTCGCGAAAGCCGCGCCTGAATGCCGGCTAGTGGGGGATCGACACGCGCGCTCTTGAACACGGTGGTGAGTACGACGTAGAGCGACCGGCCATCGGAGAGACGCATGACGAAGATGAGCTCGGCGTTGCTGAAGTCAGATGAGAGACAGAACGGCGCGCTGGTCTCGTGCTGAAGCCACGCCGACGAGTCTGTAGCCCATGCGTCGTCGCGCTTCATCGCGGAGAACGAGTTGGAGAAGACGGCGGTGTACAGCTTCCCGTTCTTCTGTTTGACGCGCACGAGCTCCGCCGTCTGCGTTGCCCAATCGGGGCCTCCGCCTGGGAAGGTGAAAAGATCGCACAGCCGGTATTGGTTCTCCTTCAGCGCTTGCACGAACACGGGGATGAACGCAAGGTGATATGTGCTATATGATGGCGGGCTCTCGAAAATGGATGCAAGTTCGTCCGGATAAAAGCCGTTGACAATGCCGGGCTCGCGGAAAACCGGCTCTACCAACGGCAGCACCACACATGGCTCGCAGATAGCCGCCTCCGTCCCAAAAGGGTCGATGAATATAGACAGCTCTTGCGCGACCAAGTGGTAACAAAGCTCCGTCAATCTGATAGTGTCTTCGCCTTGGAGCATAATCTTGAAGAGCGTGTACTGGGCTGCGAAGAATAACTGTCTATCTGAGTAAGAGTTAGTAAGAAGGCTTGAAAAGATCTTTGCGTACTCGCCTTCCATCACTATCAGGGAGCGAAAAGGCTCCTGTAGAAACACCGCGTCGGAAGCGAACTCGGGAAGTTGCTCGTCAAGCTCCGACATCGTGGCGCGTGGAAGGGTGACGGTTGCAAAGTACGAGATATATCTTTTAAGAAGAACAAGGGGCTGCTCGAAGCGCGAGATCAGAAGAGCGGCAACAAAGCCTTCCGTGAAGTGGTAACTGGCGATTCAGTTCGATGAGTAACAACCAGTGTCGTGACGTTCATGCTCACCGTCCGCGCAGCCATTGCCACATTTGATGCAAGAGGCCTCGTACTGCAGTCGAGTTTGCGAGATGCGCGAGATGTGGAGGTAGATAGCGCGTCACGTAGGCGCGCTGACTCTCGGGTGTATCGAAAGCACCAGTGTCTGTACAGATACGATATTCTCGATCCCCCTCGCGACGGAATGGGTCCACCCAGATGTTCGTGCCCGCCAGAATTAGTGTAATTCCTTCGCAGTCTTCCCATGCGCGCGCTATCTCGCGTAGCGCGGAACTCTCCGGACCGAAGGCGCCCGGAAAAGCCTTGTTTGCGCGCTCTGCATCGTCGAGCACACAGAAAAGGTTCGTGCGTGGACCATCGCATCTGGCCTTGACGTCGAGGAGGATGTCATCGAGCATGCGCTTGACATAGGTTTCGGGAACTTCGTCGACCATTGTAGTGACCTGTTCGAATAGATCTACAGGGCCGTGTTTGCTGGTCAGCGCCTGGAAGAGTAGCCACCGACGGCGAGATTCGAGAGCCGAGGTGTCCTCAAGCTCGTCCAAAAAGGCCTTAAAGAGGATAAGGCGAGATAGTAGGAGGCGTAAGACGGTGCTTCGCGTGACCCATGAGTTCTTATCGAACGTCGACTTCGTCCAGGGTGGATAGGGTTGGAATTTACGCTTTGGAGACATGTTGTTGGTGAGGCACTCGTGCATGTCCTGCGACCCTATGTAGGTCGATATGTTATACACGGAGGGAATGTAGAAGCCCCAATGCTGCGTAAGACCTTCGAAGATCAGCCGAGTTTTCCCTGAGCCGGACGCATTGATGAACAAGCTACGATCTAGTCAAATTACAAGAACAGCGTTTCATGGTCGACTTACGTATGGTGTTGTGGACAGAATATGTTGTTGATACGCTGACGCAAGCTTTCCGAGCGTTCCGAGAGGCCAAGATCGTGTAACAGTAGACAAGGGCGCTCAGCGCTCGTATCAGGGATGTTAAGTGCTGATATAAAGTCGTCCTCTGAAGATGAAGAGCCAGGAGGGGTGGGTGGCGAGGGGTTCCACGGCTTGGTTGGACAAGGCGATCTTGCAAATGTTGCTATGGTCCCGCGATGTCGGTGAAGGAAGTCGGCCAATTCTCTTTCGAGTTTCTGCTCCGACGGGTAATAAGGGCGGCGAGTTCGTAGGTCATTGTCACGAAACGCAAGTGCGTCTGCGGAGGGACTTTCAGTCAAAGACCTCTCGGGGATCTCTGAGTTACGCACCACACTCCCATAAATCAGAGTACTGCTGTGTGGCCACCGCATTCTCAAGCAGGTCGTACAGCTCAGGCCGCTCAGACAGCAGGGCAGCGCACGCTGCGTTCGAAATGTAGTCGGGATCCGCCGGTCGTGATCGTTCACGAAGAAAGACGTGGAGAATAGCTGATAGAATGGACGGCGCAGTGTCGGGTTGTAGGGTCTCGGTTGCGTCGTGTAATATCTGCTGAACGTCGGATAGTGGCATTCAGTGCTATGCGCAGGAACAACCCGCTGATGCTTGGGATCAGGATTGTGAAGTCCCTGAGCCTGCCCTCAAGTACGGCCGGACCGTTCATCGGACCGCTGCAATTGTACCTGGGCCTGTATAAACTGGGAACAATGCCAGACAGATAGCTCTGTTCTCGTACTTCCACCTTCCCATCCAACACACATTTGCCATGGCGCCGCTCACAGATCAAGAGATATACAAGAAAGTGACGAAGAATCCGCAAGGGGACAGGCCCGACGCAGACTATTATGGCGATGTGCTATACCATGTCTATGTCTCTCAGGTGCTGAATGCTAAAGACGAGAAACTCGTGAAGGGGCCACAACATTTTCGCGAGTTGCTGTTTCAGGATCCCACCCAACTGGATGTGGTCGTGGCGGCTCATGCACGACAAGATTACACTGATATACGGGATGACGGTGCGCACTTGGTCACCGATCCACCTCTTGATCCATCAGATACTAACAATCGTCTTGTAGTGCTACATCTGTCGAGGAGGATCATCGCGCCCAACGTATCCGATACGCCGATTCACATCACACCTTCGCAGCCGCCGTTACCTTCCAAAGCAGAAGCCTTCAACAATGCGATCAAAGCCTTCCTTGACACCATACGAGAGTCGATCGAGAAGCTTGCAAGGGGGGAAGTTGGTTCACCTGACTGGCACCCTCCCGAGTGCACACCCTCGACGTACGTGCCATTTCTGGAGGACCTGCACCTCCCCTGCACGACCGAGCATCCCCACTCGCCCAGTCTGTTGCTGCACCAGCTTGGCGACTTGACCGAACAAACTGAGGCTCGCGAATGCTTGAACATGATATTTCGCAAGCAGGTGACGTACGTGTATCGATCCCATCTTGATTGATATTGGCCTCACGCGGTCACTAGCTACTTGTGCAACGTCGCAGGCGCTGGAAAGACCCGCCTTCTCTTGGAGGGCCTTACTTTGCATTGGGGATTCTTCTTCACCCTGCATAAGACCTCCTGGGGCGTGGGTTCCAATGACTGGACGCACGCTTTGAGTTTTATCGAGCACGAGTCAGACTTCAGCGTGACCATTCCCCCTCCGCGAGGTAGCGCGGACAAGGACGATACATATCGAAATCGGCTACACTCCAATCAAGCTATTGTACGACGGCGCGTTCTTGCAGTCCTTCTGGCTCGCCTCCTTGTCTTCAGGCTCTTCGTCGATCATCTGCCGCCGAACTTGACGTCGAAGGAGGAATCAACGTATCGCAAGCGCTGGGTGTCTCTACAGGTTGACCCCGGCTTGCTTCCTTCTCACTATAAGCGCGACATCTTCTACGAGCTCACTGATCTCATTCTCGAACACATTCCGGATGCGAGTAGTACAGCGACACTTCTCCACCCACGTGTCAAAGAAGCTATCGCAGCCGTACTGCCCGTCAGGCCGGGCCAGCCTGCTACTGGCCCCATGGGGGATCGAGATTTCTACTTCATTGTGGACGAAGCTCAGTACGCTGCCCATGATCTCAAGGATGCATTCCGTGCTGGCACGAAGTCGAATACGAGTGGGAACACCCAGTCAGAGCCGGAGCATCGTCCCCTTCTCCGTCAGATCCTCCATGCACTCCTAGATGATTGTCGCAGTCGCCCAGTGCATGCTATACCGACGGGCACCAGCATTTCGCAGGCCGATTTCCTCAACGCTATCAAAAGTGCGTTCGGCCAGGCGCTGCCCCAGAAGACTGCGCGTTATACCGGTGGAATCCATACCCAGCAGGATGTCCAGGCGTTCGCGGGGCGCGTCCTGCCACCCAGCTATCTGTCGACTACATCCGGGCAGCGACTAGTGGAGCGGATGTTCAAGTGGCTCCCGGGAAGGTGATCTCATACATTTTCATCCTGATATTCTCTGCTGACCAGCTTTGTAGGTTTCGACTTATGGCGCGATTTCTCACATACGTCCTTCAGAACGGACTGAGATCACCACATCAGCTGTTGAACAGCTTCGTATTCGCATACACCGCTGGCTATGAACCTACTGATGGTGCGGATATGACGGAGATGGAAGAAGAAAAAATCCCACTGGCGCTTGTCAAGCAAGGTGGAGACGAGCAGATTGACTTCGACAGCATAGATCATGATGGTGCGCATACATGTCTTGCTCGTCGCAGCAGATTTCTAACCTTCAATACAGAAAGCATCAGGAAAACAGTCAGCAACACTGTTCGACCTCTCGTCTTCAATTACATCATGAAATCTATCAAGAAGACGATTGTCAGCGAGGCTTATTCCCCGCTGCTAGTTCAGCTGGGGTTTGCGCACTATGACACACCGGACGACTCGTCCGTCAAACTTGGAGGACCTCAAGAAGCAACGATCGACGAGCCCGTGATCATCCTGCGCTTGGCGACGTGGCTGAACGGCAAGGCCGATTATTCCGCGTATCATTACTACGCTAAACACCTCAAGCTCAACGAGGCAGATGGTTCCAACAACGGATGGGAGAACTACATGGCGCATTGCCTCATACGGCTGTTCTCCGAGAACCCGTCTGTCCCCCTTCGCGATATCTTCGACCCTTTACGCACCGCTGCACGCAACAAGTTCCCCGGGCTCATGAACCAGACAGCGCAGATCGTGCGCGTGTACCGCTCGGGTAAAACTGTCCGCCCATACTGCATGTGGGGCGATGTACGCGACAACTATGCTCCTCACGTAACCCACGCTCAACATGAGAGCATTCACCCTCGCGTTCCCGACCTCTGTCTTGGCGACACTCCTCATACGGAAGGCAAAGACTCTCCCGATGAAGCTGCACTCAAGAAGAAATATGAGCAGACGATCTCGTGGCTGAAAAGCAACTCGACGGCGATCTTCTTTCCTGATACGAACTTCGGTCCCGACCTCATGTTCGTCCTTCGTTTGCAGGACGGCACGTTTTGCTGGCTGGCTGTGCAGTGTAAATTGGTCACACCGACGACGACGATGTGTAAGGTGCCGCCGGAGGCCGTACAGTCTGCTCTACACTCGGTCACGCCGCAGAACTTCTTTCTTTCGAAGGTAAGTTGCTGGGTACGATCTCGCCTACACCCATTTCTCTGACCAGGAAATTCTAGAACAGGAAAGTGCCCGTAGAGTACGAACGACAGAGGAATAAGGACGCGCTCGACGCCCTCAAAGAGTTGCCTCATCGCACGTCCCTTGCGGGGGAGTTCAGCTGCATACGCGCTGTCGCTCTCTTTCCTGGCAAGGTCAAATTGGAAAAGAAAGCCCGCCAGGATCGGGACAGTCATCCGCTCGTCGCAGTGAACTTTGCACGCCTGAAGCATGCTGTGTCTGGCCTCGAACCGCGCCTGGTACTAGAAGAACATGAACAAGCGAAGTTCAAGGAAGCCCGCGCCAATGTGGACATTGCCACGGCCGCGAAGCAGAAGGAGGGGCAGAAGGAGAAAACGGAGAGCAAGTTTGCTGCGATGGCGGTGCAGCAGGCAGTAGGGAAGGTGCTCGGGAAGCCCAGCAGTCCTGTACACCGCCCTCGGTCTCGAAACAATCTGGCCCTCTCCGATGCTGGCCCTCCCGGACCCTTACATCGGCTCTACCGCGCGCACGACGACTTCGAACCATCTTGGTCCGCCCATGCACCCTTGCGCCCCCATTTCGACCCGAGCGCGTTGCCTGCTCTTGATGAGTTGGTGCCGGACGACGCCACCGTGGCCTCAGGTCCTCCACCGACCGAGAGCGAGTACACGTCGGGCTCGCACGCTAGTACATCGTATCCGCCCTCCACCGTCTTCTCGCACGGTCAGTATGCCAGCGGCGCGGCCTCCGCTCCCAACCTGTCCTCGGACGGCAGCGGAGGGGCAGCTCTGACGCGGGATCACCTAGAGCAGTTGCAGCAATCCATGAATAGCGACAGCGCGCTGCACACGACGAGGTCGGCCATGCTTCCGCCGCCACCACCGACTCGCCAACGCTCGAGTGCGTCGTCGTCGACGAAACGATCGGCCGCGGCCTCGGACGACGCGGACACCGTATCCTCGCTCAGTACCGTGACGAAGAAGCGGAGGCATCGCTGAATCCGCTACGTGTGTGAGTAGATCCAGCTCGCACATGGTCCGCTCGTCGTCTTGCACGCGGCAGCTCCTGCGACCTCTGGTCATGATCACGACTCGGACTCTCGCGATGCGCATTGTACTTACGACGATGGCCCGCCCTCTTTCCTTCCCCTTCTTTTCCGAGCCTTATGACTTTCTTCATCATCATCATCTTTCTTATGGACTCGCCACGGTGCCCGGTCTGCGACTGGCATCTATCTCTGTTGTCGTCTTGTTTTCGGTTTTTATCCTTCATATCGATATCGTCGCTTTCTGTTTGGATTACTCGTCTGATACCCATGTGCTTTCTCATATACTGTGCAAATCCTTCTGCTCTTATTATGTAGTCTTCTCGACACGTACCTATACCCAGATCGAAGGTTGTGAATCGAGCGTACTAGCAGTTGATACTGCATAGGCGCGCCAGCTTACGAACATTGTTTCAGCTGATACCACGCACCTACTTCTTTGTCTTTGCAGTTTTACTGAAAAGCCATCCCCATGTAGCCCCCAAAACCGAATATTATGATTGCAAGGATGGAAGGTTTACTTTCGGGTGGTCAACTACATCAACCGCTGCACAGCGATTATGAGCCACCTGCTCGGGCGACTGCTGCTGGCCGAAGAGATGCGACGCGTCTGCCGGAGACCTCCTTCGTCGACGGACAAGATCGCGCTGTCTGCGCAAAGGTTGCGCTGCACGTCGCAGGCGCAGGAGACGGCGGTCTGCTGGCGGTTGACTTGTCGTTATATTGGCAGCCGATATATGGGTTTGAGACGCCGAGCGCGCTCGCAAAGACGCAGGCGGTGGCCTTGAAGCCCGAGATCGAGTCGTGGGCTAGCTTGTCGGTGGGCAGGAAGAAGGTCTCGCGGATCTTGACGGAGGGGCCCTTGTGGTCGATGGACGCCTGCGCGAGCCTGCCCAGTCACTTCTCGTGGATGGCGAACTCGACCCCGACATCGAATAACCTGTTGAGGATCTGATTGGGCCTGTTGAAGTCCTCGCCGAGCTTATCGAAGCACTTGTCGAGTGCCGAGCTCAATTCCGACCTTGAAAGGCTTCCCGAGGCTCTCGCCTAGCTCGTTGAGGGTCTTGATGCGCTCGACGTTGTTTTGATGAGCTCGTGGAAGGCCTTGCTGCGTTTGTCGAAGGTCTTGACGAAGCCCTCGCGGCGCTCGTCGAGTGTCTCGTGAGCATGCCACCAAACTCAGCATCAAGTAGTTGCTGCGGGCGGCGCCGCGCGCTCCCAAGGTGGGCGTCAATCGTCCCCCGATGTCGACGTCGAACAGCTTTCGAGAACGGGCTTGAGAGCTTGAGGTCGACGTCGTACTGCGCCCGCGCTCGAGGTGGTGCCGTACCGCTCCCGAGTTTAGGTTTGTGCAGCACTTAATGGCCGCGCCGTAATGAGGTCAGCTTGGACGACTTCACAGCGACATTTTGCGACTTCGAGGTTGATTCCGGACTGCTCAAGGTCGACATCGGGTAGATCCTGCAACGGACGTCGTGCGATCCCCCGAAGTATCAAGAGTGAACCCGGACGTCGACCTGTATTCAAAGTTGGGCGACGTGATTGGTATGGTGAAAGACTTGAAGGCGCTGGAGAGGAAAAAGTCGGACATGTTTCTGACGAAGGAGGGTGCGGAGCTGCTTGCGAAGTAGAGCTTGGGGTTGCCGGCGAGATGGACATGACATGGCGCGCGTGGAGAGGTAAGTGGTCACGTCGGCCCAAAGATGCCCGGTCAAGGTAGCGGCGGTGCCTCCGGTCAAGGTGGAGGAGGAAGTACGTTCGACGCAGGTCGCGGATGCGGTGTACGTGACCAAGGTAGTAGGCATGGTGAGTGCAAGAAGCGGTCGTCCTTTCTGAAGTCGTCCTGGACTCCTCCTTCGAGTTGCTCTTGGTCGGCGTGGGTGAGATCGAACCACGTATGCATCTAGAAGGCGATAGTCAGTCCTTGCAGGTAGCAGGGAAGTCTTTGGGCACACCTCTCTCCAGTGAACCTGTTCAAAGTTTCCCTCCAACTTGCGCTGAAACAAATGTCCGACTCGTCTCCTTCGCTGAATGGCGGGGAAAGCGCTAGGAACAATTGCCAATATTGCATGAGGGACAGTCAAGATGTTGCTGGTTGTACGGCGACGATGGGTGAAGATTCTGGCTGCCGTGGGAGGAGGATGCGCGCTGTCATTGGGAGCCGCCGCCAACCGTTGACTGCGAGGACTTGAGCAGGATGCCCTACCTTGTCAGGGCAAGGAACACCTGGCAGAGTGCACGCCACCAGAGTCAACAAACGGTAGCGAGTGATGTGCAGGCGGACACGGTACGTTGCCCCGGGGTATGTAGTGGGCCTACACATTGTCCAGTGTCTCAATAGGGGGAAGCGGCGCTACGTTTGGGATCGGCAAGACGTGGGCAGAGTCAAGGATCTGGTGTGCGTGACCGCGCTGGCGAAGCAGTAGCCAGCTTGCCGGACCGACGATCATGATGGCGTCCAGTACGTCCACGTCCAGTACGCATCCCCCCTCCGGCGTGCGTCAGCCCACAAGCCCGGATGTACGCTTGCTCTCTTCACCTGCTCATCTGCTCGTTCATGGGCTCAAATACTCGTCATCGACTTCTGGCATCATCACACCAGTCGTGCCCGGATAGCACCGTAGTAGTCGGGACTGTGCGAGGGCACAATGCAATCCTCACCATCTGTTCCCTGTTCAAGAAATGCTCGTATGGCGAACGAGCAGTGTGATGGTGAAAGCATGGGCGAGGGATCCCTCGGTCAAACAATCGAAAGGGACATAGTCATGAGAGCAGCTACGTGCTACAGTAAGAGGCGCCTTCCAGGTCAGATACAACAACGATTCACGATGATGTTCTTTATGAGGATCAACGACGACTTGCGCCGCTCCTCAAACAACGTCTCGGCAGTGTCGGCCCTTCCCTCGTAGGCGGCGCCGGTGACGTTTTTGGCGCAGTCTCTCATTCCTTCAGTCGTCTTGCCCTCAGTTGAGCATGAGTTTCTTGCACCTTGCACGTTCTCTTGGTCACAGATCGCGTACGATGGACTCGCGCATCCGCATCATCATCCAAGTTCGGGGTATCCGCCCGCTTGCGCTTGTGTGCGTTGACGGGGCGCGGCGCGCTCATGACAGTTGTCAGCCGGTGGACGATGTCGTCGATGGTGTATGCCTCCGCGTACTCGCGAAGGATGGTCATGTTGACGACAGCGACGAGCTCTTTAGTTGTGCCAGCCAGCTCAATGACGTTTGTTTCGTGCGGATAGGTCGCGAGGAGGCGCAGCAAGGGAGGGTTCCCCGCTTCGCGGACGGGTGCAGGCAAGTCGTCGAATCTCAGGCGACGCGAGGAGGTCGAAGATTCCACCTGGCCGACTTGAGCGTAGCACGTACGAGAGGCGACGGCGAACATACCTGGAAGATCTTCCTCGACGTCATCTTCGAGAGCCTCGCCTGGACGTCGGCGGCTGTGGTTTTCACGAAGTCGTTCTTGAACAACGTAGAAAGGGCGACGTAAATGCATCGGCCATCATGGAGACGCACGACGAAGAGGACGTCGGCGTGGCTAAACTCAGACGAAAGGCAAAATGGCGATTTCGTCTCGTGCTGGAGCCACGCGGTTGAGTCCGTGACCCATGCATTGTCGCGCGTTATGTTCGATAAGGAAGACCGATAGGCGGTGGCGCGCAGCGCTTGGGTAGAGCCGACGCGCGAAACGCGGACGAGCCGCGCTGTCTGCGCTGCCCACGCAGGCGCAACGCCCTTGAAAGTGAACAACTCGCTTAACCGATACTTGCTTTCCATGAGCGCCTGTGCTAGTACTGGCACGAGCGCGAGATGGTGATAACCGTATATCGGGGGGTTCCAGAGGTAGGAGGCTTCCTCGTCTGGGAAGAAGCCACGAAGGATGCCTCGCCTCTCGAAGAAGAGCCGAGCCAGCGGCAGGACGACGCAAGGTTCGTGTATGGAGGCTTCTGTGCCGACGCAATTAATCAAGGGGGCAACGCCATTGGACGCCAAGGCGAAGCAGTCTTTCTGCAGTCGGATGCTGTCTTCGCCTTGCAGCAGGATCCTGAAGAGAGCCGAAAGCGATGTCAAGAAAGCTAGACAATCTATGTATATATGAATTGACGCGTCGTGCATATGGTTCGAGTCGCGTACCTCCATCCAAAGACCACCCCTTGAACGGTTGGAATCGACAAGCAGCTTCGATAGCGGCCGGCGAGAGTTGCTGGCGAAGTTCAGACATGCGTATATATGGCGGATCGATGCTCATGAACCAGGAGATGTATCGGTTGAGAAGTAGCCGAGGCTGCTCAAACCGTGCAATGAGAAGACTGGATACAAAGGAGGCTGTGAAGCGATACCTTGCAGACCAACGGCGTCAGCAACGGACCCTCTAAGAACGAAGCAACTCACCGTCCTCGAAGCCATCGCCATATGTGTTCGAGCAGCCATCTACCATCGGCCGATTTTGCGAGCTCCGGTGGTAGATAGCGTAGAACATAGGCGCGTTGACGCTCAGGTGTGTCGAACGTCCCCGTGTCAGTACAGACGCGGTAAGCGGGACCTTCGCCACGACGAAAGGGCTCGATCTCCATCGAGGTGCCGGTCAAGATGACAGTTATTCCATCGCGGTTCTCCCACGAGCTAGCGATCGCGCGCAACGCGGTGCTGTCCCGGCCAAACGCATCGCGATAGGCGCTGTCCGCCCGCTGTGCCTCATCAAGGACGCAGAAGATCTCCGTCGCTGCACCGCACCGCCTCCGGATGTCAAGCACCATGTCCGAAATCATTGCACTAGCATACCGGTTCGAAACCTCATCAGCCATAGTGGACAACTGTCGGAAGATGTCCCCTCGATCCATTTTTGTAGTCAAGACCTGGAAGAGAAGCCAACGATGCCGAGCCTTTGGGGAGGATGGATCGTCCAACTCCTGAACGAACGCTTTGAGGAGGATGAGACGCGATAGTAGAATGCAGGCAAAGGTGTTGCGGGTAACCACGCGATTCCATTCGTGATCCGAAGGCGAATCGGGGCCAGCTCTTGGCACAAATTTTCGTCTCCGAGACACGTCGTTGGAGAGGCATAAATCAGCGTCCATCGAGCCTAGGCACGAATTATCGAAAGCGCAAGGGATGTAGAATCCCCAGTGCTGTGCGAGGCCTTCCAGTACCAGCCGAGTTTTTCCTGATCCCGATGTATTGATGAACAAGCTGCGAACAGTCAGTATACACAGAAAGCAACGTTCAAATCAAGTCGCTTCACTCACGTGTGGCTCCCCGGTACGAATATGTTGTCCAAACGTGCACGAGTGGCATCTGCATCGAGGAGGTTGCCGAGGTCGTGCAGCTCCAGAGTAGGAGAGCGCGCGCCCGTATCCGGGATTCCCAGCGAGGATATGAAGGAGTCGATATACGTCGACGGCGCGGCACCTACCTTGGTACGCGCTGGGCCCCATGACGCGGGCAGTTCAGTGGAATTGGCGAAGGCTGCTATGAAATCACGGTGTATGCGTAAGTACTCTTCCAGCTGCTTTTCAAAATTGGAGTCGGATGGACATCCTGCCCAGCGTGTGCGCAGTTCCACATCGTCAAGTCGAAGTGCGTCTGCAGAAATGAGACAATGTCTGTCGCATCAAGCGTGGACCGAACGCACCGCAGTTCCATAGGAGGTCGCAGTCGATGTCCTCGACTGCTTTCTTCAATAGGGTATAGATCTCGGGACGGGTGCCCAGCATTGTGGCGCAAGCATCTTCTGACACGTAGTCGCGGTCTAGTGGTCGCGAACGCTTGCGACAGAGAATATGTAGAATCGACGACAAGAGCGCAGGCGCGGACTCCGGGGTGAACTTCCCCGTCGCATCGCGCAAAATGTCTTCGAGGTCGGAAGAGAGCATTTGAGACTGTTGAGCGTCAAGGACAAGGCGCGAATAACCGGTCCGGGCGCGAGTCCACCCTCAGGTGCTTTGTGGCCAGCCTTTCGGCAATTGCCGATGGGTATTGTGCTTCGGTCTTATTCACGAAGCATCAGTCAGTCTTGCCTGTCTGCCGCGCATATGCATCGCACTGTGCGGTTCCATCAGTGTTCTTCCGACACCCTTGTAACATGCTTCGCTCACCACCGATAACGAGCCACGGCGCCCTCTCTGCGCCCGGGCCCCGGACAGCCGCTAACTCGAAGAGCCAGACGAACCGCCCGAGCGTCAAACAAACTCGAGACCACTCGGTCGCAGTGGGATAGCATGTGGCACGTGAGTGACTGGTAGAGGCTGTCATTACGATCCCTACGAATTTCTGAGCGGCTGGATTCAACGGCTGTTGCTGTGATGTCTGAACCTCGCAACATACCACAGCGTGAGTGGCATCTTTGGGCAAAGATGGCCTGACCCACCAACAATTCTCCATCGCTCCCTGGACGTTGTGCGGCCTCCCGCAAGCTTAAGCGCCGTTCCACCTCCGCGGACCTCAGTTGCGATGGAGGTTCGAGTTGCCTAGCTTCCGGGGTATTCCCAAGGCCTTCATTGAAAGGCGGACCGGTAGCGAGGGGTGCATACTTCCAGAGAGCTCGGAAGTTGCGCGGGAGAGCGGAGATTGAGGAAGACGTTCCTGAGTAAATCGAACATTGAACATTGTGACATGAGCGCAACGAAACACGTGGGGTGATGTATCGGCGGGCGTGACACTTCATTTACTGCCTTTTTGCTTCCCCAGGCTGCCCGGCGCTCTTGTCTCCTAGTCTCACAGTTCAGCCTCTCGTTCACAAGTGAAGAGAGTCTGAGATCGATTACGCCTACCTTCTTAGTACCTCCAGCGTGGGAACTTTCGAAGCAGCGGAAGGCGGAGGAAGATTGCGATCCGTCCCGGTTTGGGCTGCTGTGGCGCAAATGCGATCGGTGGACGTGACAGGGCTTGCCCTTGTCGCCGTTCCCCAGGCTATGGTCCATGGCATACTGCTCAAGACCCCGTGGGATGGCTTGGGAACTATAGAAAATGGTGTACTCAGTACTCAAAGCCCATGTTGGCGCTGCATCACATCAGTACGGCTAACATAATATTCTCATCTCAGCATTCCAACCAGCGTCGACAAGGCGGGGCTATACGGCCAATTAATATGGACCATACGTTCGAAGGCTGGCTCCATATTTCAGGTATCAAATGTAGAAAGCATCCCTCACTCCCGAGCCGTGTCGCGCCCATTGCAGGATGGACGTCTTGGGGCCTCACCCAACCACGCCGATGGCTGTTACGCCACGCCACTCCAGAACGAGAAGGATCGCAATCTCGTCCCGCCTTCCGCTGCTTCGAAAGTTCCCACGCTGGGGGTACTAACAAGGCAGGCGCAATCGATCTCAGACTACTTGTCTCCTACCACCGTCTCGCTGTCCGTCCGCGCCCGTTGAGGACGTCCCCTCACCGTCGGCAGCGTGCTCGATCCTTTGTCATTCCTTTAGGTTTTCGTTCTAGCGTCGCGCTCGGCCCCGCACGGCAGCGCGCGCCCTTTGCTTCTAGTCCTTTACCTCGTTATCGCGTGCGCAGCGCGCCGTAATCTGCACCACATTCTTTCAAAAGCATCCGAACAGCCATGAACTCGAGCTTCACCTTCCCCCCTCGCGCCCCGCCGACAATGCGGCCGGAAGTAACGCCCCCAGGCAATGCGGGGCAGCAGCAGTCGGCGTCGAACGATGCACCGTCCCGGGACTCCAACCTCGTTCGCGCTTCCATTCTCGACGTGGCTTTGGATTTGGGGTATGGTTCCAACTCCACTGTAGCGAAGTGGATGTTCGAGAACCCGCTTGAGGAGGAGGACGAGGAGGTGAGCACCATTCATACGCGTCTGATCATGGTATCCTCTCCAGACCCGCCGTCCTTGTGGCAATCCTCGCTCATCTCCCATGTGTGCTTTACGAGATGTGTACCATGCCTGCCGCAAGCTGGAGCTCACATATGCTGACTGAGCTTGTCAGAGCATGAAATCGCCCGTTACCATTAACAGTCCCACAAGCGAGGATTCGGCTGCAGCATCTGCTATTACGACCCGCACCACCCCTCCCACGTCTCTGTCTGATCACCACTACGCGATGTTCCCCCGGTCAGCAGACACCTTCCACCCTCGTCCCATGGCGCAGGACCCTCCACGGCTCCCCTCCATGGTGGAGAGCGAGAGCACGCCGAGCACGGTCACCTTTGCGCCGTCTGCCCCACCCAAGAAGCTACGCAAGAAAGCGCGCGGCGACGGGTACGAAAGCGACGGCGGCTACGTCAGCGAAGCCGGGCGTCGCCGTAAGGCGAGCACGAAGTCGTCTGACAAGAAGGAGGCGCGCGAGGCGAAGAAGGAGGAACGGGAGGCCAAGAAGGAGGAACGGAAGAAGAAAGCGACGCCCAAGGCGGACGACTCCGGGTACTACACGGGCTACGAGACGGACCGGGCGAGCACGGCGACGCGAAAGTCGGGCAAGTCGCTCAAGTCGAAGAAGTCTAAGACGAAGCTGGCGGAGGCGGGGTACGAGACAGACGATGGGTACATATCGGCGGGCGGGAGCCTGAAGCCGAAGAAATCGCGCTTTTTCAGGCTGGGGAAGAGTAAGGAGGCGCCGCCACCTACGCCGGATCCGCATGTGAGGGCGCCAGAGCCGGTCCGGCCTGCGATGCCTCTTCCTATCGCCCAGCGGTTCGCGACTACGCTGCAACCGTCGGAGTCCTCGACGGGGGATGTTGACGATACATCGTCCTTGCAGGCGTCTTCGGTCTCGCAGACGACGGTCGAAAGCTCGCGCGGTGGGACCAGCATTGCCTCCACTATCACGAGCGCCCATACGTCCACCGAGGGCTCTGCTCACGTTTCGCGCTCTGCGGACGAAAGCGCTTCCCGGGAAGAGGCTCCTCAGATGTCGCCAGTGTCGTCAAAGACCGAGGGCCAAGACATACCCTACCGGCCAAGTTCTCCCACTGGCGAGTCTACGAACGGACCGAGCAGCCCGGTCTCCTACAAGTTGGGCTCACCCAGCAAGCGGCGTCACTCGCTGAGCAAGCGCTCCTCGCTCGACTTCATTACACGGCCGCTCTCTCGCATGTCAGCCCGTCGCCTGTCGAACGCCAGCCCGCCTCCCAGCGGAGCGGCGAACTATCCTGCGATCTCGTACCCTTTGGGCCGGTCGCCCTCGCCGCCGCCGTCGTCATCAACGCGACCGATATATCCGCCTCAGTTCTTGGACTTGGACGAAGACAGCCCGACGCGGAGCCCGCAGGAGGGGCGGGGCTTCTTCAAGACGCGCGCGACACCCTCGCCCGCGCCAGCTACCAGTGCTGCCCCATACACCGATACCCAGTCTCCTGATACCCGGACTCCGAATACCCTTGATCAGGCGACACCGACCATACCGAACCGTCTTGCGCCGGCGACGAAACACGACGTCCCCAGGCAGACTCCGACTGCTTTCTTGAAGGATGATAGGCACAGGCCGGATAGGATCGCCACTGGGCATCCTGGTGCAGCCGTTCTTGGGCGGTACGACCTGCCGCCACCTAGTCCGCCGCCGCAAGCACCGCTCCCAAGCATACCTCCCAGGTCACCGCTGCGTCAGGCAGATAGGGACCGCTCGCCTCTGCCCGACTCCGGCCGACCCTCCCCTGGTCTCACGCGTGCTGCGTCCGACATGGACAGCCGGTTCGGCCTGCCGCGTTCGCCGCGCTTCCCGCCACGCTCGGCGTCCGACAACGACTATGGCTTCGGGCGCGACGTCTCGCCTGGAAGGTTATCGCCGCTGCCGCCTCGCGACCAGAACGCGTACATGCCGTCTCCGACACTGACTCCGCAAGGCCGCGAGTCTCCTCTGCCGCGTGGAAGGGTGTCGCCTTTCCCTCAGCAGCCTGTGCGACCAGACCTCAAACCGCGGCTGCCGATCCAGATCCCTCGTAGCCGGGAGCAGGAGTTCGCCGCAGGAGCGCGGGGCGCGCACTCACAGCCCCCGGCCGACGTGCCCACCGACAGCGACAGCGAGGACGAGTGGGAGCACGACTCGCGGTACACGGAGGAGGATTCCTCGGAGGGCCCGGTAGTCAGGTTCGAGCTCGCCTCGGACCGCCACCTGTCCCACATATCCGAAGGCCCATCCGCCGCGGACGTCGACGATTACTACTTCAACGGGCGCGAGAGTCGGTATACAGAGAGCGTGTACTCACGCGCGAGCACGCTGCTCGATACGGAGCGCAGCGGGGAGGCGCGTTCGCGGTTGCTCGGCCGCGTCGAGGCGATGTATGACAGCGCGGGGCGCGAGCGGAACGCGGTGCCCCCCGTGCCCAAGATCCCGGATGCCTTATTGCGAGTCCCAAATGGCGGCCTGGCGCCGTCGAACAGTATGCCAGATGTACGGAATGGCACACCCACGCGAACCGGCGTGCTCGCGCGGGTGGGTGCCCTCGAAGCGCGGGCGGCGGCTGGGGGCAGGTTCTGAATTTCTTGAAGCCGGCGTGCGCTGCTGGTAGACCGCACGCGCGGCTAACTTATTGCTGTACTTACTTGCTTTCGTTGTGTTTTTGTTAGTTAGGTTGTAATCCTGGTGTACATGCTCTTGGACAATATCGTAGGTACAGGGCCCGCTATGGCATATGGCGCAGGCTCTTTTGGCGGTACATATCTCTCACCATACCATACATGGGCGCACAATAACCGAAGCTTTCCTTTCTGCACACAAATGCTCTCATTTTCATTCAGAGAAGTAGGTAACAAGGGCCTACGACCAGTTGGTGAGCAGCCTTTGCGAAGCCGGTGCAGTGCATCGTTTCTCGGCAACCACCGGGACACGCACTCTATTTGCTTCCATGTCTTCTCAGCGTCACTGCTCTTTCTCTCGCACGTCCATATAATCGATACCAAGGAGCCATAGATTATGAGAGATAGAGTATGGCCAAGGGTATATACTTGCAATTATCCGTTCGAAACCGAGACAGTGTTCAAAATCATGCAAACATGACGACACCGAAAACGATGCTCAAGAGTCCACCCATAGACGCGGCACCCATCGCGGACGCGCCATTGCCATCCGTCGAAGAAGCGCCCTCAGCGGTGCCAGTGTTGGTGCCCGAGCCGCTGCTGCCACTCCCCGAGCTACCACCCCTCGTGCTGCTCGATCCCGAGCTAGACGACGAGGAGCCCGACCCGAGCGCGCTGTACAGCTCCGAGCTCGTGTACGCCTGGCAGTTGCTCGACGCGGGCGTGCGCGCGGTCCACGTGAGGACGGGCTCCTGCCCCTCGGGCGGCTGCGTGTACGTGGACACCTGGCCGTTCGTGTCGGTGTAGACGCCGGGGTAGTCCTGCACGTCGCCCTCGCAGGACTCGAAGGTGCCGTTCTGCGCGTTGTTGGGCGCGTTGTACGCGCAGCCGATGCGGTCGTAGATGTGCTGGCAGAAGTCCGCGGCGTGCTCGTTTGTCTGGTCGCAGGCCTTGATGCAGAACATGTCCGAGCCCATGAAGCTGGGGAGAGGTTAGATGAGAGGGATTGAGCAGGAAGGAGTGTAAGCCTACTTGTGCCACTCTACAACTTGATCCCACTTGCTACCGTCGCCGAACGCTTGGGTGTAGACGAGACCGCCGAGAGGGTTGCCGCGCTACGAACGTGCGCTCAGCACGCTCCCGCGTTTTTGAGCAAATGGTACTCACAAGATCGGCACCATGGGGGTCCATCTCACCACCGTAGTCTCCCGCGGCGATGTTGATCTTCGTCTGGTCAATGAAACCGACAACCTGCACGTAGGCCGAGGTCTTCATGAACTGCACGCCCTTCAACGCATCGGGCGGGATGAGGCGCGTTCCGCGACCAGGCTTCGTGCACCAGGCGACCGTCTCGCCCTCCGTGTCGCCAATGACCGAGTTGGGCTCAGGCGGGGCCCACAAGCAGAAGTCTCGCGGGCATGTCAGATGCGAGGCTAACGGATGATGTTGTCAAGATCACGCACCATCTACGGAGTTCACGAACGACGTCTGGCAGAGCGACTCCGGGCCTTCCGTCGTGGAATTGCAGAGGTTGTAGCCGAACTGGACGCCGCGGATCAGGTTATCCTCGTCTGATTTATAGGGCTGGGAGGACGTCAGCCAGAGCAGCAGAAACGCAACTAGCCACGCACGATGCCGTCCGGATAGTCGAAGCGCTTCTCTGCCAGCGGCGTCGCAGGGAACGTCGCGGTCGGATCGTTCGTCCCCTGTGCAGCCCCACGCTGCGCAAGCAAGGCCGCCGCCAGCAAAGCACTCGAAGCCCCGAGCATTATCGAAGGATCAGTTACGGGAGATTAAGGTCGATGCGGGGATTAGTGGGCACGGATAGTGAGCGTGGGGGGAGAGGGAGAATTAGGAGAGGGATGAAAAGGGGAGGGGAAGGAGGAGACCGTTGCCCGCACTTGCGAAACAGACGGAGCCGGCTGGGGTTTATATGGAGGCACGGCGGCCCCTTGGCTGTATGGCGGACCTTGGCCAAATGACCAAGGGACTGGGCACCGTACGCGGAGGCAATGTGGTGCTTGGCAGGCGCCGATTGGACAGCGCGAGCTAGAGTGCGAAACTTCTCAGCGTGCTTTGTGGGCGATAAGGTGGTTCGAGAGCGGGAAGCATGACTGTATAGCGAGGTGTTGAACTGTAAGTAGTACAAGGAGAGAAAGGTAGAAAAGATTCGAGAGACGGAAGTCTAAATCCGAGTCGAGAGGCTCGAGGCTTTGAAGTCGAACATGGCGGAGTGATGCCAAGCGGCATAGCCCAGCGTCACGCGCCCGACCATAACCGGCAGAAACCGAGATGGACCCACAACTATCAGCAGTCCCAAATACACCTCGAATCATGGGCCCAGATGTCCTCGCAATGGGACGCACTCGCCCACCGTCTCGGCCAATTCGTAATTTATTGCAGTTAGGATATATAAAACAGTAAAGTAAGCATGTCAAGCAAGACAGGATCCATCTGAGCATCCAAAACCCGAGAATTAGGTAGGGGTAATCACCGACGGTGTGTACAGGAGGGGGCTCGGAACGGAAGGTAAGATCGGATGAAAGGGGGCAAGGCGGTAGCGCAAGGAAGTTGTATACGTACATAAGGAGGGCATGCAGTAATCGATGGATCAGCCAACAAGAGGGAGCAACGAACAGGAGGAAGCAGTCAAGGAGGGAAGTATACCGGTCGGATGGCGTAAATACATAAATAAACTACTGACGAGGCAAGACCACTGACGAGGAAAGGTGGTACCAAGAGCCGTTCGACACCATTAGATGCTGAAGAACGGCTGGTCAGACGACTGTTGCTGCTGGGGCTGCCCCTGCTGCTGAGGCTTGGCGAATGGGTTGTGCGAGCTGTGCTGCTTGGCGATGATCTGCAAGCCCGCGCCCTGGGCGTATCTGCCGAGCAGGTCAGGATGAATGGAGAAGGAACGGCGAGGACCGTTGCTACCCACCTCAGCAAACCCGTGTTGCCGAACGTGTCTTGCCCATCGTCGCGATTTGCGAGGAGGAAAGCCAGCCGCTCGTTCTCGGTGTCCTTCGTCTTGACCTTGAGACCCTGTGACTGTGAATGGAATGTAAGCAATAGTGGGATGACCAAGACGAGGCGAAGCTCACCTGCGGCTGCTGCGGTGACGTTGACCGAGTCGAGGCGGGAGATACAGGCGAGAGGGAGCTTGCGCTGCTTCCGAAGGATGGTGGGTTGCTGTGGTTGTCGTACGTGCCGGTAAGATTGAACGACGGCCCATTGCTGGTATGCAGCGAAGGGAGAGGGGAAGAAGACCCCGACGGTGAAGGCGACGTCCGCGCGAAGGGGTTATTCGTCCTGCAAGACCGTAAGCTTCCTGACGTCCACCCTATCACATGCCAAACGCACCCCAAGCCCGTCGGCTGTGCCGTGAGGAATTGAGGCGACTGCATTTGCTGCTGCTGAAGCATCTGCTGCTGCCGTAGCCATTCCTCCTGCTGCTGTTGTTGCTGCTGCTGAAGGAGCTGCTGGCGCAACCACTCCTCCTGCTGTTGTTGCTGCTGTTGCTGGAGGAGCATCTGCTGCTGCATGTCCATTTGCTGCTGGAAGGGGTTGAACGAGGTATATTGCGGCTGGAGGGGCATAGCAGTGTACTGCGGCTGAAGAAATTGTGGCGGTGCCGCGGTGAACTGGGGCTGCAGACCGGCCATGTAGGGCGTTGGATCGGCCATCGTTATCAAGTCATTGTTGTTGTTGGAAGTCGACCTGCGGGGGATTAGCCATGGGGTCGACATGGGAGAGTGTGGCGCACGCACGCATCCTCGGTATCATCGAACAACGACCGTGCGTTGCTCTCGCTGACGGCCTTCGCGCGAGCTTCCTCTTCCTCCTTGCTCAGTCTGAGAGCCTCCTGGAGTTCCCGCTCCTCCTTCTCCGTGGCGAAGCTCCGCTTGCTCTCCTCGATCGCCCGGCGCAGCTCGTCGTCCTCCTTATTCAGATCCCGACGTCCCCTGTTCTCGTTCTTGTGCGAGTTCGCGAGCATGCGATCGCGCATGTCCGCGCGCGCCTGGCGCGCCACGCGCAGGCTGCCCTCGTCCGTGAGCAGGTTCGTGATCTCCTTCGCCTTCTGCCGCACGTTCGCGCCCTGGTCCTTGCCCTCCTCGTCCACGTACTGGAACTCGCGCAGCGTCTTGATGATGTAGATGTTGTCCCGGAAGTACATGACGACGTTCTGCGAGCCCTGGCGCAGGAGGTAGTCGAGCACGGTGAGGGACTTGAAGACGTGCCGCCAGTTCTTGCCCTTGTCGTTCAGGCGCTTGTAGAGGATCTCGACGATATCGAGGAAGTCGCCCCTGCGGATGATTAGCATCCTGTTCCACAGATCCTGCTGGTGTACGCACTGATTGTAACTGAGCTGTGCGATCTCGTTCATTTGCATCCCTGACGGCCCCCATGGGTCGTTGCTCGTCGCGTCTCGGACCTTCGTCTGCGTGTCGGAGTACCCTTTGGCGACATTCTTGACACCTCGTATTGCGCTCTTCGTTATGTGCTGCATGCTCATCGTCGAGCTGTTGAGGGGAAACACGAGATCTAAGGAGTATGAGGCAAGCCGCAGTCCACCGAAGGGGCGATGCCGCCGCCGGCCCGCGGCAACTGCCGCAGTCGACGTCACCGCACGCGCCAAGCACGCGCGATGCAATATCTTATTCTATTCCCTGTCTTCTACCCATTCCTCTAGGCATCGCGAGTGAGAGATTAATCTCGCTGAGATATAGTACGCACGTTCTCTTTGTCACTAGATTTGCAAGACCGTGTAAATCCTCGATCATTCTTGTGCTGCACCTGACGGTCAAGTAAGGCAGTCCTCCTCCTACCATGCCGTGCCTTGCAAGATACAAAGATCTCCTCGCATCCGTTTTGGCTCTCCTACGTATCCCGAGAACCGTATCATATTTTCTTCTTGGCCATAAGTCTCCACGACCAGCCACGCCAAAGTTGAACTTCGTGCACGTGAGCTTCGGATATTGCCGGTTGGTGATACGAACCTGTCACCTGAACAACTTCGCTTTTGTCCCTTACCATCACCATACACTTTGCCACCATGATCTTTTGAGCTTGGGACGTCTAAGGAAAAAATATCGAGCAAGGATCCTGCAACTCACAGTCGAAAGATAGGTTCCGGACAATCTACCTCCGCCCCGAGGCGATGGTTCGGGGAAAGTGTAGGCATTTGTAAAGCGCCAGCCATCGACAAGCGAGCGATACGCGTTCAAAAGCATCTGAAAAGCACGGACATAGAGCGGTGACGTTCTCCTTCGTCTTCCATCCGCGATGGCCTGCCGCTAACACGCGTCGGCCCCCCGCCAAACGCTCTTTCCCAGGCGGAAGTACGCCCAACTGTTGCCTTCGCCAGCCGAGCACCGCACCCCCCTGGGCGCCAGGCGTATCTTTCACCACCTTTACACCTCGAGCTGGGAACTGGGGCAAGTCTCCTTGCCACCAGGCGTGCCTGCGACTCGCCGACCGCGCAGCGTGCTTATCCAGCGGGGTATTTATGGGTCCAGCTCCGGTCCAGGCCGCCCGCTGCCCGAGTCCGCCCGATTGCGCGCCTCGCTGACTCGATGGCGGCGGGCCGACGGCGCGCTATAAAGACCGACGTCTCGGGCAGGTCGACCAGAAATTCCTCCGCCCGCCATGTCTCTGATCCTCTGCGACCGATGTGGCCACAATGTATCGCGTGCCACCGACGACGGCGTCTTGAATGACGATCTGCGCAGCTGGAGGTCGCTGTCTTCGTCGGAGGCGGTCTCTCTTGCCGATGATCTTCGTGCAAAAACTTCGCTCCTCGCTCAACTTGAGGGCGAGCTAGAGAGGGTCCGACGTGTCTTGCTGCAGCTGGAAGAGACAAAGCGCACCACGGAGGCTGCCGTCTCGAAGCAGCGCGCCATGCTCTCTCCCATCCGCCGCTTGCCTCCGGAGGTCCTCATAGAAATTTTTGACTTTGCCTGTGACGATGAAGACGTCGGTCAGTTGCGTTGCTCCGCTCCTACTCTGAGCGTCGTATGCAGATATTGGCGAGGTAGGCACCTTTTTATATCTTCTATCGCATATATCACTAATGCTGCGTAGCTCTCATGCTCGGCACTCCGCAGCTATGGACCCGCTTCCACTTCACCGTGCACAAAATGGACGACCGGCCTGCCAATGCGCAATTGCAGCTGCTGCAAAATTATCTTGACCTGTCAGGCGCTCGCCCCATCCACGCCCCGGTGGCGTACAACGAATCCCCGCCTGTAGCGCCGCAGGCCTTCCTTCTCTTCCTCCGACATACCGAACGCTGGCAGCACCTCGTTGTCAACAGTCCGCATATATTCAACTTCATCGGTGCACTCCCGCTTCCTCGCCTAACGACTCTCCACGGCGAGGTCTCCTTCCTCCTTCGCGACGCCTACCAGGTCCTCCGCGCCGCGCCGAATCTGCGCACCGTCCATCTCACCAACTACGAAGAAGCACACGAGCTACCCAAGCTTCCTTGGGCGCAGATCACTGAGCTGCACACCGAATGGGCCGGCGCCTCTGTTCTCGACGTCGTCGAGCGCTGTCCGAACCTCGTCAGCTGGCACCACCAGTCCATCACGCCGCGCTTCCCCTCCCCATGGGAAGAGCGCGATGTCGAGTGCGCGCGCTTGCGCCGCCTCGACCTCTGCCTCGCCCGCGACAGCCGCCTCCTCGAGCACCTCCACGCGCCCGCGCTCGACGACCTCGCGCTGACGTGGTCGAAGGTCCCCGCGGAGATGCTCGACGCGCAGAACGCGGCCGCGCGCGTCGTCGCGTTCCTGCAGCGCTCGCAGTGTCACTTGCGGCGGTTGTCCTTGCGCAACCCGCCGCTGCGCGCGTTTGAGTGCTTGCTGCTGCCGACGCTGTGCGGGCTGAGGGCGCTCGAGATGTACTCGCCGCAGCAGAGCCCGCTGCCGGAGGACTTGCTCTCGCTGTTCTGGGCAATCGGGACGACGGGGTCGATGCCGTTGTTGGAGGAGCTGGTGCTGGAGGGCTTCACGGAGTTTGCCAAGTCGTCTTTCTTCACGGACATCGTGACCTCGCGGAGCGAGTCTGGATGTACGCTGAAGTGTATTGATACGCATTTGGCTGGTTGTTGATACTTCACCTGTTGTTGTTCATCGATCTCTATCCTCCTTAGATCTTTTCATAGAGTTTTGTCTGGGTTTGGGCTGTATTGTAGCAAGTCATGTGATCGTGTTCGACTTTACGGCTTCCCATGTCAACGTTACGGCAAAGTTATGGACTTTGGCGAACACGCAATCGGCGCATCAATAAGCTTGTATCGATGCTTTGTAACTTGGGAAGGTACAACAGCAAAGCCTGAAGTTGAAGGTTCACGGAGGCCGACAGCATCGAAGTCCCTCCTACGTCCACCCGCCGACCCCGTTGCCGCACTGTGCGCCTTGAGGCCAGTATACGCAGCCTACGCGTCAAGCTACGACGTCGGTTAGCGTACAATAGACGCCTGTTCTGCCAGATGCATGTGGCGCGGGCTGTGAATCCATCCATACAGTCCACCCACAACGCCTTCATTTCGCTTACACCCGGTGAAGTTCGCGCCCCGGTTACCTATGCTATCTGCACCCATCTGCGGCTGTTGGTCGTCATGTATCATGTACATATGTGGCAGGGGCGCATGCAAACCTTGAGGCCTTTAGCGCTGTGAAAAATGAGTTAGGGGCGTCCTCGGTCGGTGGGAAGCGCGCGCCTCTCGCCCATTCCCTCCCACCCGCCAACGACATACGAGCCCAGGCATTGCAAAGCGTCTCCAAAGGATCCCCAAGAGCATTGCAATCGGCGCTTTGTGGTTCGGATTTTTGGATAACGCCGAGGCGTATTGATCTGATCTGCGCGACCTTGTCTCCAGCTTGTCCCCAACCCTCACGTCGCACCGCGCGACGCCCGCTCTTCTCGCCTCCCAACGCCGACCTTAGATCTGAATAATATCTGTATACGCGTTCTGCGCACCTAATTGAACATGGAACGGTGCGTGGCGGCGCCGTCGCAAGCGTCTAGCGCTGACATCGCCGCAGCTACACCAAGATCGAGAAAGTCGGTGCGTAGCCTTGATGATCGCTCAATAGCCGCCATGTGCTGCGCTGGACAGACGCTTAACGGGGTACTTGGCTCTTGCAGGCGAAGGTGCGTGGCGGGCGCTTCTGAGGGCTTGCGCGGCGTGCTGACGAGCGGATGCGCTGGCGCGTTACAGGCACGTACGGTGTCGTGTACAAGGCTCGCGACACGGGCACCAACCAGATCGTCGCGCTCAAGAAGATCAGGCTTGAAGCCGAGGATGAGGGCGTGCCCAGCACGGCCATCCGCGAGATCAGCCTGCTCAAGGAGCTCAAGTGCGAGTACATTGTCCGGTGCGTGCCCCTGCCACCTCCGCGATGGCCACCCATGCTCACCCGCGCACACCAAAGGCTGTACGACATTGTGCACGCGGACGCGAAGCTCTACCTTGTCTTCGAGTTCCTCGACGTCGACCTCAAACGCTACATGGAGACCCTGAACCAGAACAAGACGCCCATCTCGGATCATCTTGTGAAGGCGAGTGCGCTTCCTTCTCCCGCCACCAAGTGCCCTCCACCCTCCCGCGCGCCCTTCCATCCCATGAAACGCGTCCAGAACACGCCCATCGCCCGCAGACCGCGCGTCGCCATCGAAGCCCGCCTGCGTATTATCGGCGCGTTCTCTGCTTCCGGTTTCCACTCCCTCCATTCCAGTACCTCGCCCACTCAGTTTGGACACCTCATATGCCGCCCATCACCCGCGCGTCATCCGCGCGCTGGGAGATCACGGTCACGTGTCTGTCACGTTATTTCTTGCTGACCCTCGTCACAGAAATTCACGCACCAGCTGAACGCGGGCCTGCTCTATTGCCACTCGCACCGCATCCTGCACCGCGACTTGAAGCCGCAGAACCTGCTCATCGACTCGTCGGACAATTTGAAGCTTGCGGACTTTGGTCTGGCGCGCGCCTTCGGAATCCCGATGCGTACCTATACCCATGAGGTGAAATTGTGGTTGCCGGTGCGGTTCTGGGACCGATGATTGATATCTTTATTTGTCGCCAGGTCGTAACGCTGTGGTACCGCGCGCCGGAAGTACTGCTGGGCTCGCGTCACTACTCGACGGGCATTGATATGTGGTCTGTCGGGTGCATCTTTGCGGAGATGGCGATGCAGGGCGCGCCGTTGTTCCCGGGTGATTCGGAAATTGACCAGATCTTCAAGATCTTCAGGTGGGTGAAAATGAGATGCGTGAGGTGGTGCGCGCTGACTGATGGTGAAGAATACTGGGGACACCAAACGAGGACATCTGGCCAGGCGTGAGCCAGCTTCCTGACTACAAGCCCACTTTCCCGCAGTGGAATCGCCAAGACCTGACCCGGCTGGTTCCGCAGCTGGATGGCGCGGGCATCGACTTGCTCGAGGTTCGTCAGCTGGTTTATAATGCACGTCGTGGCTGACTGACGTCCTTTCGTAGGCAACCCTCACCTACGACTCCGCCCGGCGCATCTCCGCAAAACGCGCCCTCCACCACCCTTACTTCGCTGACTACACCCCGTAAAGGGCGTAATTGGCCACGTACCCACTCGGCCGTGTCTTCCTCCCGACCGGCCCCGTCCTCGCGCTCCATCGTTGCTGTCGCTGTCGCTTGCTATGGTCATACATATATACATCCTGCCTGCATACACTGGCCTTCATATTCACGCTTTTCGTGGCTTCATATTCACGCCCACCGTGGCTTCATATTCACGCCCGTCGTGGCTTCATATCCACGCCCATTGTGGCTTCATATCCACGCCACTCTGTGGCCGCATGTCCTTGTCATATTCATTGTGCATTTAGTCTCTTTATGTTCTCACTTGTGCTTGTCATCCAAACGACGGCAAGCTCCCCTTCAATCCGCACTCAGCCATTCAAGTTCATTCATTCTTCTCATTCAAGTTCATACATCTTCCTCATCCAAGTTCATTGATCCTTCTCATTCAAGTTCATTTATTTTCCTTCGTTCGCATCCGCACCACAGAGCGGCCCTTTGCATCCTTCCTTGTTGTTCCATATTACTGGAGTCTGGGGCGGTTTGGCCGGTAGGCCAAAGCGTAGCCTCGGAGTTTGAAATCGCCTACAGGCTGCCATCGCGATCACTAAATGCTATTTGTGCGTCACTGAAAAGTCACTGACCCATCGACCGTGTCAGTAGTCTTTGGTTCGGCATCGTCGGCAGCCTGTCAGATTTCAAACTCCGAGGCTACCCTCTGGCATACCCCCGGATATGGCTCGAGACTACCAATGACCGTACGAGAAAATATGCGTTGATGAAGCTCGAGGGTGGTCGAGCTGGATTTTGTCTGAGAACGCGAGGAGGCGAGGGAGAGAGAACGCGAGGAGGCCAGGAAGAGTGATCGTGCAATGGCTGCCGATGCCTTCGATACGCTATGTCTAGAGATACAGATATGGAAGTGAGTAAAGTACATTTTTTGCGCACATTGCCAGCGCGGCTCGCGTTGGAGGCTCTCTCCTACGCACCGCCCACTCCGCCCGACGCTCGCTCGCTCGCCCTCGCCCTCATCTCCCTCGCTCAACCTCTCCCTCATCTCGCTCACTTACATCGGCCTTGGCCAATTCGTTCCCTTATCCGACGAGTGCGCGGGCATGCGCGTGACGTCGATGTACTGGCCGGACCAGTCGCCGTCGGCTGGGTGGGCGGTTAGTATGGGGTCGGGTGTGTAACGTGCAGGAGAGGGGGAGAAGGGGAGGAAGGACGAGGGAGTGTTGAGGCAGGGGAGGGCAAAAGAAGGAAGGATGGGGGAAAAGAGGGAAGGATGGTGACAAAGGAAGGAAAATAGACAGGAGAAGGAGCACGTAAGGAAGGAGGGCTTGAGAAGGACAAGCGGGAAACCCAACGCACTCTTATCAATGAAGTTGATATCCGGATCCTCGTCCGCATCGTCGTCAAAGCCCTCGTCCTCCGCGTCCGCGTTCCACCGATCCTGCTCCGCAAAGCCCGGCTTCGTCTCCCGATCCACCGCCAGGTCCTTCATCAGCCGGTTCATCGAGTTCGTTTTTGCGGCTTGCAGAGTTTCTTCGCGCGCCTTGCGCGCGGCGAGGATGGAGGGGAGGTAGTCCTTCTCGTATTCTTCGCGCGAGGCCTCGACGGCTTCGAAGAACTTGTCGACGCCGTCGCCGGTCATGGATGAGACGCCGACGGCCTGAGGCGTGGGGTTAGCATGCGTGAGGGTGGAGGTTCGGGTGAAGGTGAATGCTCGGGTGAAAGTGGAGGCTCAGGTGAAGGTGAATGCTCAGGTGAAGGTGAATGCTCAGGTGAAGGTGAAGGTTAGGGTGAAGGTGGCAACTAAGATGCGGTGGACGGCGCATAGCGAATCGCACCACCCACCTTCAGGTGCTTATAGAACTCGTCCAAGACCAAGCTCATGCTGTTCATTAGGCTGTTCATATACGTCGGCTCCCCATCCGCGTCCGTCGTGCCGCCGTGGCTAGCGAGCGCGGCCTGGAAGGCCTCGAAATCGTGCATCCACTCAAGCGCAAAGTCGTGCGGGGTGACGTCGGTCTTGTTGAAAACGAGGATGAAGGGGAGTTTGGTTTTGTAGAGGATGCTGGGCAAGGGTTCAGATGCTGATAAGGAAGACAAAGATACGAGAGCGAGAGGGAACGGGGGGAGGGACCGAGGAAGGCGAGGAGGGAGAGGGGGAAGGGGAAGTACACACCTGCACGCATAGAGCATGTTCGACATGAATGTCGCGGGCGCGGTTGTTCGCGGGGTGTCGATGATGTATGCAACAACAGTGGGGAAGGTGGAGGCGACAGCATCGGTGATAATGGCGCCAGAGGCAGACCAGGTGAATATCTCGATCTGTCCTGGTGTGTCGAGGATGAAGTGGCTGCACGGCGTCAGCCTCTTTCTCGCGCGACCTGCTGATACGCACGCACTCAACCGTATCCGCGCGCTTCTCCATCAAGCCCAGCACCTGGTCAAACTTCGTCGTAAAGAGGTTGAGCGCGGTCAAGATCCCTCCGTTCGGCCCTAGATTATATCTATGAGCGTCTCAGCGCTGCGCGATGGGCAAGGGCGCGGTTACGCACTGCTTCATTACTTCCTGGTAGTTTATCGTATCTCTAATATCGATGTTCGGTTCGAAGGGGACATAGGATACAGCGGGATCGAGGTTCAGGACGTATGGCGGCGTCGACTGAGTGTGCAAGTACGAGTTGATGCGCTGAACGAAGGTTGATTTGCCCGCGCCGGCCATTCCGATAGTTATGATGGCGACTGGCTTCTTGGGCGCCGCCGCCGCCGACGAGGGCTCGGAATCCAGAGCTGACATTGATCGCGTAAAACAATGGAGGTCGAGAACAATGGACTTACATTTGTCGTCCTGCTTTCCGGGTACGGCCACGTGACAAACTTCCTTTTCGGGCGCGGGCGCATCACCGCTTCGTGTTGGGCGCCACCGCTGCTCGCTCGTTCCCTCCCACCGCCGCGACGCCGTGCAGACGCCCAGAACGCCAACATGGACTCCTCATATGCAGCAGCGCAGAACTCAGGCCCGCCGCGCAGGCCGGACCTCAAGCGCAAGCTCGTCGTCGTCGGGGATGGTGAGCGTACAGCCCGAGCAGCCCGCGCGGCGCGCTGACGATGTGCTCGCGCGACAGGCGGCTGCGGGAAGACATGCTTGCTCATCGTCTACGCGGAGAACCGCTTCCCCGAGGTGCGTGCGCGTGCCCGACGCGTGTGCGGGATGCTCACAAACGCGCCCAGTCGTACATCCCCACCGTCTTCGAGAACTACGTTACGCAGGTCCACTTTGAAGGGAAGGAAATAGAGCTCGCGCTCTGGGACACTGCCGGGCAGGAAGAGTACGACAGACTACGGCCCCTTAGCTATCCCGAAAGCGACGTGATCCTCATCGTATTCTCCATCGACTTCCCCACCAGTCTAGCGAATGTGCAGGATAAGGTGCGCGGCATCCTACCTCCCTAAGCGCTCCCTGATCTCCTCCCGCTGCAGTGGTATCCAGAAGTCGCGCATTTCTGCGAGGGGACGCCGCTCATCCTCGTAGGCACCAAGATCGACCTCCGGAAGGACGAACAGACGCGGCGAATGCTGGGCGCGCAGGGCCAGTCTCCCGTTACGCCAGAACAGGGCGGCGCGGTCGCGCGCGAGATCGGCGCAAAGTACATAGAGTGCTCCGCGAAGCTCGGCGTCGGCGTGCAGGAGGTCTTCAACCTCGCCCTCAAAGAGAGCATCAAGGGCAAGTGGGGAAAGATCGTACGCCAGAGACGATGCGTGGTTGCATGATTGTGCGTCTCCGCTGGCCGAGTGCGTCCGGTGCCGTTGGCCGATTGCGACGAAACTGCTATCGACTGTAGCTCGGATGCATTCGTCGTTGCGCGCATGCCATTGTTCGTCGCGCATGTCACCTGCCATTGCGTTATACCTATGGCTCCTCTATGCATCTACGCACGGCCGCCGTCTCGACGCAAATTCGGACACTACCCAGGCAGGAAGAGACTTGCCCCCATGATCGTGCATGCTATCCACCGCTTCGTATTTATCCCTCTCTTATCCATGGACTCACTCGCGTCCGCGACGGACTTCTTCGCGCCCTTTGCCTCGTAGCTAACGGCTGCTCTGGCCATGTAGCTCGCAATCTCATCTGCGACCGCGATTTCAAGCGCTACACGCCGTTTGCAAGGGGTTACCTATTCGCCGCGACGCACTGCACATACCTGCTCCCCGTACTTACCGATCTGCTCTGATTCATCTCCACCTAGCATATGTACCATCTATGGCCCTATGATCATACTTCCAGTGACATGCCAATACGCTGCACTCGCCGGACGCCACGGGCCAAATCGCAATGTTCATATTCCAAGACGGGACTATACAGCGTGCTTGGTTTGCAAGACTACCTGAGGTCAAGAGGACCCCTGCTTATTGGCGTGGAGGTCTCTGCCGAAACAATCAAAATCCGGGATTTTCTGTCCGACACTTTTGGGCATTTTCGGCGCGTTTTGTCCGGTTTTTTCAGGGACCTCGACTTCGACTTCGACTTTTGTCCGGATGAGCGCAGAGACCGTCGAAAATTCGGGTGAAAATGCACGGAAAATTGAATATTTGCTCTTGGACCGGGCCTTGTCGAGCGTCTCACTGCCCCATCTGTCCGGCATCTGACAGAGAGCTGCTGGCGACCAACATATCCTGTCCGGCCCTCTGCAGAGAGCTTCACACGCCCAAACTCGATTTGTCCGGTGTTTTCAGAGACATTTTCCGTTCCGAGGCTCAAACTTGTCCGGCATCTGACATAAACCTCCACGCCAATAAGCAGGGGTCCTAGGTCAAGTTGTGCTCAGCACGTCAAGAATCAAAAGCGGATTCTTATCCGGTACGATTAATGGTCACTCGCGAGACGCCATCGAGTTCAACGGTCTTGCAGCCAAGGACTGGACATGCCCTTCTATACACCGACGTAGATATCCTTCGATACATGCTGTTATACATACACTTCACTAGACTTCAAAGGTCAGTCGTTGTAGCGAGCAAGATGTGCGTACTTACATTGTACAACCATCCAAGGATTACAGCTCCCCAGAGCATACCCCCTCAACCCATTCCACGTCCGACTTCACCGTCGTCAGGTTCTCGTACCCGTTCTTCGTGATCAGCACGCAGTCCTCGATGCGCACCCCGCCCATGCCCTCGTACTTCTTCAGAACGTCATAGTCGATGTACTCCGACCGCTTCTCGTAGATGGGCGCGAGGAGGTGCGGGTGGAAGTAGCAGCCGGGCTCGACGGTCTGCAGCGATGGTCAGCACTCCGCTTACGAGCTGAACCCTTTCCCCCTCCACGACACTGCGGCTCCGCAACACGAAGAAGTCATCACTCACCACGACCATCCCCTCTTCCAAAGGAAGTCGCAGTCTCAGGTACTCAAACAGCGCCTTCGGCCCCGTCTCCTCCGGCGTCAGCTGAAGTAGCGAGTCGTTGACCGCAGGCTTCGACGCGCTCGGCACATCGTGCACGTCCATGCCGAGACTGTGCCCGAGCCCGTGCGGGTAGAAGGGCCAGCTGAGGCCGAGGTTGAAGACGACGGCTTCGAGATCGTCGTTGGAGAGCTGCTTGTCCGCCGGGCACTTGAAGATGCCGAGCTTGATGAAGCCGTTGACGAGGACGCGGTGCGTGAGGGCGTGGACTGCAGAAAGAGTTAGACGTGGGCTGTACTACTGTCGAAGGGAGAAACGAACCTTTGTCCCAGTGCACACCCGGCTCCAGGATCGCGAACGCATCTTTCTGCATCTGGTGCACGAGCTTGTAGATCTCGCGCGCCTCGGGGCTGAATTTGCCGCCATTACCCACGGGCATCGTGCGCGTGATATCCGCGGCGTAGTTCGACCACTCGCAGCCGGCGTCAATGAGGAGGACCTGCGGGAGGAGGGACTGGTCCTGCCCCTGCGCGAACGCCTGCTTGTTCGAGTGGTCGTGCGGGTCGACAGGGCCCCAGGCAAACTCGCGGTCGTTGCAGCAGTAGTGGAGGGTTGAGGCGCGGTTCGAGGCGGCGACGATGGGGAGGTAGGCTTGGTGGATCGCGCTGGAGAGACATCAGCTTGAGTGAGGTGGGTAGTAGGACGTGTGCTCACCCTTCTCGTCGCGTGGAGGCGACGAAGATTGCTTCCGCCTCGGCCTCCTTCTCAATTAGCCAATCCCCGGGGAGGAGAGGGCGATCGGTGCCTGCGCCTGCTCCCCGCTCGACCAGGCCCTTGACAGCTTTCCCAAGGACGCGCATGACGACCTCATGCGCGCGCGAGCTGATTGCATTGGCTTTGCGGATCAAGGCGACCTCTTCCTCGTCCTTGACCAGACGCGCACGGTGTAGGGCAGGTAGGAGATATGCATCCGTGATCGCGCCGTCGCTCTTCATGATCATGTCTGCATACTCCTCGCGGAGGAAGGGGAAGAGCGGCGACGCGCGCGGTAGGGTATGGAAGAGGGCTTCCGGGAAGGCCTTCAGCAGAGTCGCGATCGCATCCGGGAGTGTAGAAGTGTAGTCTACTTTCGTTACGTCGTGCGTTTGCTTCGCTGCCTCTGCGGTCGGGGGAGGGATTGACCACATGATGTCGGCGGGCTCAGTAGGCGGGATAAAGAGGTCTACAGTGGGCATGGTCTCGAACGAGGTTCCGAGCTGGAAGGTGGATAGCAAGTGCGCGGAAGGGACATTGCATCCAGTCACATAGTAGAAGTTGGACTCTTGTCGGAAGTGCATCTCGCGATCGGTGTCATTGCGGTATGGCGTTACTTCTCCTGCGAGTAAGAGGACTTGAGGCTGATGTATGCGTAAGTTTGAGGAGTAGCAGATGGACATTTCGGCGCACCTTTGCCTGTTCTGAAGGCGGTAGCGCCTTGACTATCTCCCCGAAGACCTTGAGCACATGCTTCTGAGCTGATCGGCATCAGGACTCTCCAGGTAGCAGGCAATTGCGGTGATAGTCACCCGGGTACACCATGATGGCAGGAAGAGACCAAGGATTCGAGCCTCAGATGGTCGAGGGAGGACGAACGGAGTGCCTAGCGTCACAAGCAGCGGACGTATCGGTCCGAGGTCAGGCCCCGTCCGGTCCGGGGAAAGGCCGGGCTTGTCACGGTTCATGTGTAACTGTCACGGTGCACGCGAACGGTTGCTGTCGCCTTGTCAAGATGGCAACCGTCGCGCGAGGAACAAGTTCGATCTTCATTATGCATCTGTTCCTCATCAGAATCCACTCCCCTGGGCCCCGCCCCCTTATAAGGTCCCGGGTGGTTATCGGGAAGGTCGCCTAGCTTGCCCCAGCCCACCACCCTCCACAACTGCGTTTCGTTCTTCTCGACGCCGCGCGTCTTTTGCACTTTCATTCGCTTCTTCCGGACCAGGTGTCGCCCTCTCCGTTGCTCACTCGCTTTATCTGCTGCCTCTCCTTTTTGAACGCCTTTTTTCTACAACTTCCTCGCCTTTAGCGCCCCTCAGCTTCAGCTCGACAAGTTCAATCTAAACCCAGTCCCCTCACCTATCAACCGACACAATGCTTTCGCCCATTCTCCTCACCGTGGCACTTGCCCTCTTCTCTGCTCCTTCCGCCGTCGAAGGCCGCATCCGTTGGATGGAGCGGGATGACAGGGCTGTCCTCCTTCACCCTCGCCGTTTCGGTCAGGAGCACCCTGCCGTGATCGAGAAGCTCTCGTCTGCCTGCGACGGCGCAGTGTGCGGTAACCTCGCCGGTCAGGCGATTACCCCGCTGCTTGCCGCACAGGGCGAGTGCACTCAGCAGGACATGGCCGACGCAATCATTGGTACGTCCCCCTGTCCATCGACTAACTGAATAGATCAGCTAACATTTTCTCCCAGACGCAAGCCGCCAATTTGATGACGCTACGCAACAGAACATGATCGCCCTCGCGCAGGAGTACCGCCAGGCGGAGAAGAACACGCCCCCTGTATGTCCCTCCCTCACTTCCTTACCCATTCGTGTGCTGACCACCCCCTGTAGGACTTCTCCACGAATCCCCCCGCCAACCGCAACTCGGTCTTCTGTCAGAAGGCGCCGAAGAACGCGGAGCTCAACGGGCTTGTGCAAGCACAAGACCCCGCGAACGACCCTGACCTCTTCTTCGACCCGGCGACGAAGGCGACCGTCCACCTCGGCGACCAAGCCAACACGCAGCCGTTCGGTGGCGCCGCGAGCTCGAGCGGGTCGTCTGACTCCTCTGCGTGAGTTCCTACATACCCAGCGCGATATGCAGCATGCTAACTACCTGCAGCAGCGCCTCCTCCGGCGACGCTTCCGCGTCTGCAACTTCCGCTGGCGCTGCTTCCACTTCCGCGGCGGCTACGACCGCTGCTGCCGCTGTAGCGTCGGCCACCGACGCCGCCTCCTGCGCCGCTCCATCGAGTGTCGACACCGGTGCCGCTGCTGTCGCCTCCGGCAGCAGCTCGTCCAGCTCGTCCTCGACCGGCGCCTCGGGCGACATTGGCGATTTCGGCTCCTGCTCTGTCCCCCAGATCGAGTTCGGCCAGGGCTTCGACAACAGGAAGGAGACTGCCTTCCAGCCCGTCGACAAGGCCTCCTACAACCACGAGTCCGCGCAGAACATGGACATCATCAGCCAGTTCATCTGCGACACGCTCACCAACTCGTGCGGCGCGGACGACACGGCGAAGGCGACGTGCCAGTCGGCCATCGCTGCGTCGAAGCAGGCGGAGGCGAAGACGGGCGGCCAGGCGGACGCTTTCAACGCGGTGTTCGGGATTTCGACTGTGAGTAGCCTCGTTATTTTGGGGGCGCATATGGTTTGAGACTGACTTGGGTGCATAGGACTTCGCCTCGCAGGATGTGATCGACAACCAGGGCAAGGTCGTCTCCGCCGGCACTGGCTCGAGCGGCTCTGCGTCCGCGAGCTCGTCGGCGGACGCTTCGGCGTCGACGTCGTCCTCCGACTCGTCCTCTGGTTCATCGGATTCTTCCGACTCCTCTGATGCGTCTGCCTCGTCCGCGGATTCCTCTGCCACCGCTACCGCTGCGTCGTCCGCCTCGTCTGCCGCGTCCTCTTCGAGCAGCTCCGCCAGCACTGGCGGCGCCGACTTCGGGAGCTGCTCGACGCCGGAGATCGAGTTTGGCCAGGGCTTTGACAACCGCAAGGAGACCTCCTTCCAGCCCGTCGACAAGACCTCGTACGACCACGGCTCCGCGCAGGCCATTGGCATCATCGCGTTCGTTTCATTGCTTTCTACTGTGCTCGTGAACGACAGCTAATCTATCCCTCCTTCCAGTCAGTTCATTTGCGACACGTTGACCAACAAGTGCCAGGCGAACCAGGCCGCGAAGGACCTTTGCAAGCAGGCGCAGGATGCTGCGAACGGCGGCACGGCCAAGACGGGTGGTCAGGCTGATGCTTTCAACGCGGTGTTTGGGACTACTACGGTGAGTACGAGACATGCGAATGGTGGGTAGTGCTGACGAGCGTCCTTGCAGAACTTTGCCGACGTGACGCCCATTGACGACCAGGGCCGCGAGGTCGGCGCCGCTGCGGATGCTAACGCGCAAGTCGTGAGTCCGCCCTTTGCTCAGTACCCATGAAGTGTACTGACAAGTTTTCACAGGCGACTGGCAACAACAGCAACTCTTGCTCCGCCGATAACTCCTCTTCCTCGAGCTCCAGCAGCGCCGCCGCCGCCAGCTCCACCGCCAGCGCCTCTGACTCCACGTCGAGCGCCGCCGCGAGCTCGTCCGATAACCTCCAGACCTTCACCGGCGCGCTCGGCGGCGTCACCGCGCCGACGGTGACCGCAACGGCCGATGGCAAGTTCCAGGTCGAGGGCAACTCGGCGTTCAACAGCCAGCAGAGCGCCGTCGTCCGCTCGTGCGACGTGCAGCACAACAGGTGCGCGAACGCGGCGAACTCGTCTGGGAACCAGGGAGACCTGACCGTCGACGCCTGCGGCCAGCAGCAATCGGACTGCATCGCCCAGGCTGGCGGCCAGTGATTGCTCTCTGATGTACATTGAGCGTTTTAGTGCATACTTTTTCATTGGAATGACATTCGCTTTTGTGGAGGGTATATTCATGCGGGAGATTGACCAAACGCGCGAGAATAACCTTCGATGCACTGCACGTTGACACGCATGAGAGTGGCCCACTTACAATTCCTGACACTTGGGAGGGATGTTAGCCGACCAGGATGAAGTAAAGGGACCTACCGTAGTGGCAGTGCATCAGAGCGTGAGTAGAAGTCTACCAGGAGCTGTGTGCATTCACGATGCTATACGACACAAAGGATTCCGGCAACAGCCGAAGGCTATGACCGCAACACGTGTACTGGCGCATATAAGGCGAGCGACGTCCAGTGCATCCCCAAGCCCCATCGCCGGACGCGATGTCCAACTGACTGCCAATGCCTTGATTGACGAGCAGTCCTCCAGGCAAAGACGCGTAGCTTGCCACACGCTCCTTGCTGCGGAGGAGCACGGTCGTGCTTTCGGATGGCAGCAAGGTCGCTACTGCGGTCACCGCCAACGCTGTCGACCAGACGGTCGAGCTATTGGCAGTGACGGCGAGACTTTCAGCGTCGGGCTCACCGCGTACGATAGCCAGGTCGTGGACATCAAGGACGAGTCGTGGTACACGGTATCGGTCCACGACTTCAAGATGCGCCGCGTCGTCACCAGATGGGACCATGCTGGCTACGGACGTAGGTGAGTGGACTTCAGTCCACCGCGAGAGGGCGCTCGATGTCGATGAAGCCCGAGCAGTCTTGCTGCAAGACGATGACGGGCCGAGGCGTTGCTGCGTACACTCGCTGCGATGCTGCCTGCTGGTGATGCCGCCGTATGTGGCGGAGGCGGCGCACGCTTCGCAGGGGTCGGCCAGTATCATCGTTGTTGTCGCGTGTGTGTGCTAGTTGCTGTTCGTCGCGCTAGACATCCAGTGAACGCTGCATATCGCCTCGAATATCTGATGACTGACCGGAAGGCGAAATTTTTGGAACCCCTCTATTCCGCCGTAGCGTCAATGAGAAGGCTAGAGCAAAAAATGTATTTCTGGTTACACTGTAATAACCCCACCAGTACACGCGCGGATCGGTGTCAAAACTGAGGGAAGCGAAGAGACTGGGCAGTATGAATGTCATTGGGCTCAAGACCCGCATGTACGCACGCACACGACAACGGAGACACCTTCGCGCGTGCCCGACTTCATGGACAGATTGGGCGAGTCGTGGATGGCCTAGAGGACGGCATGTAGCTTGCGCAGGGTCGCGGCTACAGTAATCGAAGGTCTGCCGATGGGATCCAATTTGTGCTTCTCGTCAAGTGATCCTACGACTTTGAGGGGGAAAGGGTGCTCGAAGGCTCCGCATGCGTCCACATGAGCGTGTCCAGGGCACTTGCATGAGTTGGTATGGGTAGGGGAGCAACATTCGCCGTCGTTGACCGCGGCCGCGCGATAAGCGTTGGTGGGAGTAGAAGTCGTTCCGCTGTCGGCACGGTAATCGGATTTTGGTCTGTCGTAAATCAGCCGTAGCCATGGGGGATGCTTTGGCGGAGTAAAGAAAGATGTCGGGCCAGGTTGGCGGTTAGGAGTGCAAGCGGGGAGCGCGCGCTCGACCTTCCTACAGGCCGGGAGCATGAAGAATGGTGTTGTGTACTCGGTAGACCTTACGCAGTCTTTCGCTCGAAGGTAGCCTGGCTGGCGGGCATCATCAGTCGATGTATATCGTTTGAGTCCTCAGTCGCACTCGCCTCCTGCCAGAAGACGCTTCCTGGGCACCCCGCAGTTCCCCGCCTGGCGCGCAATCGCATTGGAGGGCTCTATCGGCGCGGACCGCCCCAAGCAAAAGGGTATCTTCTTCGTATTCATTCTCCTATACTCGGCGTCTTCTGAGCCTTGAGGAGTCGGTAGTCAAAATGGGCCATGAGGTGAAACGATGTCTGCCTGTTTGGCGAGTGGGAAGCTTCGGATATAAGAAGGGTCGACCGGTCGGTGGATGCGTTACGGCGAAGGCCCATAGGACTTGCATAGGATGGCATCGGAGACATGATTGACGTGTCAAAGCACATATCGGCTAGTCAAGCGTCTAGCTAGCAGTCTAGCAGAAGCAAAGGATGAGATTGTCGCGGGACGGGTGATCGACGATCATAGCAAGAGGCAGAATTGGAAGGTCGAAGGAGCGAGAAGGAAATGTTGCTTAGACCGTCGCTGACCATCTCTACACCTTACCTTCATGCAGTCCCGCTCAGGCGCAGTCCCTTCAACGACTACGCTTATCTTCGTTGTGGCGCACTGAATCAACGTCCAATGTTTGTCGGGACAATCAGACGAGCACATTCCGGCGTGCGCGGCGGCTTCTGGTCGAGGTGTGTTCCTCGTATCTGGTGGAACCACGAAGATGGACTGAACAGCCCTACGCATCATTGTATAGCGTTCCTTCAACGCCCTCGGCATCCTATGGTGGCCTAACTGCTACCGCAAAGCGGTCGGGCGCCCTTGGTGTCGCCCTCAAGACACGGGCAGCGATACTTTGCGCGGCACGATTGTACCCTCAATGACATCTGCTCGTGCTGCATCCCGAATCAAGCTGGGAGTATGACTGCTTGTTGTACACAGGTCTACGACATGAGCGGTACGTCCCCTTGCTGCTCTACTCTCGAGATGCACCAAGCTAGGCGTGTCTGCAGTGCACTGAAGACCTATGTCCGGGAGACATAGTGCGAGGGCGGCCCGCGACGACATCGTCGAAGAGATTGCCTGGCATCATCCACGTATCGTGCGATGCTATGGTGTAGATGATCCCAGCGCGCCCGCACTGCGCGCGCAAGGGAGACGTGAATGAGATCAGCCGTCAGGCAAGCGCAATTCAGCATGACGCGACTGGTCCTTTTTGAACGCCGGCCATGGAATAAGTACGGTACGTGGTGTGCATACCGTTGCTGTGCATGAAGCTTATCCTCGGATAGTCCCTCATCTGCGAAGACGGCGTGAACTACTAGCGCATGGTTGTCCCCTCCACTCAACCGAACGAGACCGTATTCCTTCGTCGTCAAACAAGTTCATCCTGCAATACAGACCGCGCAAGCTCGCCATCGTTACCTCGTCATGGAAGACCGCCTTCAGCTCCTTGAACGAAGGTCATCTCCCGGTCTAGGCGAAAGCTGTCGAGGCTCCAGTCACGATCGCTGGGCCGTTCACTCACATCGAGTCTGTTCGCGGCCTTGGCCTCTGCAAGCAGCGCATCAGCATCGTCAGCGTCGTCGGGCTTCCCATCTCGCTCATCGACGATTCCACCTTCAGCTGCATCGTCAAACAACGTCGACGTTGCTTCGGCATCTGCGTCGGGCGCCGCCCTCGCGTCTGGGGTCGAGTTGCGGTCGGCTAGGGATCCTTTATCAGCGCCTTCTCCGCGACCTTCGAGTGGACCGCTTGATCCTGTTGCCGGATGGTCTGCACGAACACGATGTACGGCTGCGAGACGTAGATTCGGGCTGAGGTCGGAAACCCATGGCGGACGAGTGCGCTACGGCTCCGGTTTGTGCTCGTAGTTACCATAGTATAGCAATATACATTCAACACGCCCAACGTATGCGATAACAGCCGTCGCAGACGGTATGTAAAGCAAGACAAGCAGTAAGTAGTATGTGTTCATATTTCCGAACCGATCCTGTAAGAGCTACGAGTCCGGGGTCGACGACGACAACAACAGAATGAGGGTGTGGACTGTACAGAACGAGAGCACGAGAGACGGTACGTAAGAGGGGACAAGGCAGCGGTCCTGGAGAGCATATAGATAAACCAAAGAGATGGAAGGTAAAGTTATACAAGCGGTAGCGAGGGTATAGAAGAGGGAAAGAGGAGGAGATGGAGAATGCGTCCGTGCTCACAAACAGGTAGTAGTGCAGTCCAGTCGCAGGGAAGATGACCGTTCGTCGGTATATAGATGGGCATGAGCTGCCAGCGCAGCGCGCGAAGGCCTGCCTCCCGCCTGACTTAAGAGATGAATCTCGGCTTCTTCCAAGGGCTGCCAGTGTCATTGTAGGGCCCGACGTCGCCATCGGAGTCCAAGTCAATCTGCTCTGCCATCCGCTTCGGCGTCCTAGCAGACTCGGACGAAGCGTGACTGTACGCATAGGACGCAGGAATGACGAGGGTGGAAGGGCCCGCGGCGGAGGAGTCGCTGTACGAATAGTGGTGGAGAGCCGGCGGCGTCATCGAGGAATGCGAGAGGGCGTCCACGGACGCGGATGCGCGCGAGTGCGAAGGATAGGGCGGGTGAGATGGACCAGCGGCGCCCAACAGAACCGAATTGAAAAACGACTGGCCGGCGTTATACGACTGGCCGCCCGCGTAGGACGACTGTCCCGTGTCCCCAGATGCGACTGTGGCCGTGTCCGGCGGTCCGACGTCAGATCCCGGGTCCTGGTCGTAAGGCGGGAAATACGAGGACAAGTCAGAGCCGTTGACGCCGGCGATAGGTAGTTCGTCCATGGTACCACCGCCGGATGCGCTGCGAGGTACGTCGAGGGGTGCCACTGAGCGTGCGCTGCGAGGTGCGGCAGGGCGTGCCACAGAGCGTGCGCCGCGAGGTGCGGCAGGGCGTGCCACAGAGCGTGCGCTGCCCCTGCCGGTGTGCTTCTTCTTCCCCTGCGCCTCCTCCTGTTCCTTCCCCTTCGCCTCTCCCTGTATCTTCCCGTCGCTCTTTTCAATCTTGTTTTTCCTAGGCTTCACGTATCCCTTCGGCACTGGGTCGACCTTCTGGCCCGTGTGCACCGACGGGTGCTGGACCGATTGCAATTGCTCCCGCTTTGCCTTATCCTCGAGCTTTTTTCTATGGTATTCCTCCCGGGCGAAGCGCTCTTTGTCCATCTCGAAGCCGTTGATCATGTTCGCAGGCGCAACTTGGTTGAAGATCGTTCTGAAGTGTTCGAAGTTCAGCTCGACCAATGGACTTGCGCATGGGTTCGCTGTTCTGGCATGGTCAGCGAGTTGCGAAACCCCCGGGAAGATCGCGACAGCGCAAAGAGCGCTGTACTCTCCGGCCAAGGCTGTGCGATCCGGCAGTGTCTTCAGCGCATCGAGGGCGTCGGAATGGTTCCGTAGCGAGCCTTCTTTCTGTGGTTCCTTCTGACGATGGGCAGACTGAAAGTCGTTGTGAGTTCATAAGCACGACACGTCAACGGGACGGCCACTCACTCTCGAAAGGTACAGGCGTTCCGGAGTTACAGACCATATGGCGTCCTTCATACTCTCCCCCTTAACCTGATAGCGTCTCGTTTTTGATTTCCACTCGGGAGTGAGCAGCTTGGCCTGCAGAAGGAGCCAGCACAGCTTTTTGCCGTTCAGGCGCAGGATCGCTATGAGGTCGGGGCCCATATTCGTGTCGGGAAAGAGGAGTGGGGTCGGTGTCTTCTTCAGCCAATCCAAGGTTTTCTCGAATTTCCGTTTGTCACGCTCCTCATCGCTAGCGTTGTTGTTTGCGATGTCATTACTGGCAGTGCTGACGCCTAATGTGACGCTCGGCCTGCGAACATGGGGGTTGTGCCTATCGCACACGGGGCCAACGACGTCAGTCCCGTTTGCGCGCACGACACCAACCAATTCAGCACGGCAGGACATCAGTTCCGCGAAGTCGCTGGCCTGCTCGGCCACGATGTTGAAGACACTGGAAAGCTCAGGTTTGTTGGAGAAGAGCTGCAAAAGACAATGTGCCAGGAAGTTCTCCCATCCGTCGCTACTGGTCTTGGTGATAGACGTGCCGACTTTAGTCGCGAAGTGATAGTAGGCGGCGAGCCGAACATGCTTCCCGAGGTGCGTGGCCAGTCGCAGGATCATCAGCGGCTCGTTGATCTCAGCGCTCTGAGGCTGCCTGACGCTGGGCTCAGGCTGGTCCAATAACTGGATCAGCGATGCATAACGACCAAAGCCCACCTCCACCAAGATCGCAGAATCGTCCGAACTGAGGTTAATGTCGGCTGCCGAGCGTAACAGGTAGCTATGAACCATGGGGCGAACGACGTCCAAGATCGTCGCGCGCTTTTGGCCTGGCAAGCAACAATCAGTATTACGGTGCTCATTTCACTTCATCATACGCACTATCTTCATTGAATGTCTTCATGTCAACCAAGTCAACATGATGTATAGAGGCCCTTATGCCGTCCAGCTGATATTCAGGCTCGTGTGCAATCAGATCCTCCGCATCCGTCGGCACGTAGCCCTCAGTGTATGCGTAGACGAAGCTATTCAGGAGCTGGTGCGGAGAACGTAGCCCATTGCCCATGAGAAAAAAGATGAACTGCGCTGTAAAGCGATACCTTGTCAAGCGTCAGTGCAAGAAAATGTGTAACAGATGGACCTCGGTCACATACCGGCCGGGAAGCCAAGTGAGGATTCGCTGAAGAAGCCTCTTGCCGGATGCACTACGCAGGTATGCCGGGGGCAGATACCGCCGCGTGTACGCTTCCAGCGCGTCGATAGTAGTCAAGCCACCCGTGAAGCGCACCGAACGTGGCTCACAGTTTCCGCGCTGTCCAGCGCTGAGGACATTCTCATCAAAATCCGTATGGGAGACATTCGTGCCAGTTGGCACAACAAAGACTGATGGTCGCGCCGCTGTACGCTCCATGACATTCACGAGGATAGCACGGAAGAGAGATCGACACCGAAGTTCCCCGGTATTCTCGTCCATCACAGTTGCCGAGCGAAAGGCATGCTTGAACCGACTCGTTACGGCTTGAACTTCATCCATTATGATGTAAAACGGCCCCTCCAGTATAGAGGACCCGGGGAGAAGACGCGATCTAGGCAATATGGCACCTTGTTCAGACGGGGTCAATACTTCCTTGAAGGACGTCCGGACCATGGCAGACAGAGCCTCTGAAGTGACGGACGAACGAGAAGCCACCTCGAGGATGTCGTGAGAGAGGCGAGAGAAGATATCCGTGCCACGGTGATGGGGAAGTATTCTCGGGTCGAGCTGCAGCATAAGCCAGCGCGTTCGAAAGTCCACTTCCTGCGCAGGCGAGAATTCGGCAGGTAGTTCTGCAAGAAACGAGCGAAAAATTGCGAAACGGGCTAGGAGGACGGCGTCGACACGGAGACCCACGATTCTGTGATTTTTATCCACATAAGTCGATTGGGCCTCCGCGCCGATTTCGGATGCGGGGTCGACGTGAGACGTGAAGCCCGTTGTGCCGAGCAGGTTCCTCAAAGCGTTCGTCCAGTCGTCTGACCCCACACCCTTCGCCCCCTTCGCCTTCGCCATTGTGAAGTAGAAGCCCCAATGTCGAGTGAGGCCTTCTAAGAGAGTTCGAGTTTTACCAGAACCCGACGCATTGCACACATCACTGCGCATGGTAAGTAAAGGCCAAGAACCCCGGATCGCAGACGAGGCGACTTACATGAAGGTCTGACTAAATATACCCTCAATGCGTTGTCCGACATCCTCCTGAGCGGCGTAACAGCCGAGTTGATGCACAAGGAGGTTAGGGAGGTTGCGCTCGCTGGTGATGCAGGGGACATGCAGTTGTCGGAAGAAGGCATCGTACTCTGGTGGAGTGCCTTCGGGAGGCTGCCACGTGTCAAAAGTAACACCGCCGTTCACCAATTCTCTCATGTCTTCCTGCAAAGCGCTCTTGAATTCTTGGATGAGTTTCTCGATGGCCTGTATATCGACATGCGCTCCGCGATGAATGGAGACTGTGTATGCACGTGTTGAATAAGGAGCAATGAAGGGTAGATGGGCATCGTACATTCGTTCCTCAGCGCTGTATAATCCCCCGTTCTCCACGCCTTCCGAGTCAGAGTCTGAAGTGTCGGGTTATGATCTATGAGGTCGAAGCAGTGATCGAAGTCATAGATTTCAACCGCCTTCGCGAGGCTTTGGTCTCTCCAGACTTCGCACAGAACGCCTGCTAGCGTGGACTCGTCTTTGGCGTTCGGACTCAGTCTCGCGAGGAGGCGGTCATGGACAACCTTATCGGGAGTGGGATGCGCCGCCATAAGAAGAGTGGGAGGAGTCCAGGATCGACGAGTAGAATATGCTGCGATGGGATATCGTGTCAGAGTAGTTACCAGGGCGACTGCGACTCTGACCGTTGTCGCCTGTTTTGAAGTGTGTGGTTAAGTTGATTGGAGAAGGACGTGGCGTTGATCACGTGCGACGACGTTGATTGAGGCCGGTTGATCCGCTGTCGAAGTTGGTTGCAAGTTGAACTTCAAGTTGCTGGCCGCCATCGTCGCTGATGGCCATTGGTGCAGGATGTCATCCCCGGAAATCATGGACATACTACGGGAAGTATCAGGCAAATTGACCCCTGAAAATGCCCCCGCCACCCTCTCGAGCATCCTAGGTGTCCTCTTCCGCCATCGCTTTCAACCCCCGGACCCAGATTACACGTCCGAGAGTGCTTGTCGCGGCCTTCTCGAGACCCATCCTAGCCTATATTCCCTCCTGGAAAAAGCTGCAGCGGAGAAAGACGACAGCAGCTTATGGGCCTGTGGTATGTGACGCGTTTTGCATGACGCGCAAGCTTACGACCAAGCCTCGGAGATGTTCTTGCATTTCAGGGCGTCGAATTACGCACTCGTAGGCCCATCGGTCGCGCGGAAGCTACTGCTGAAAGAGAGTTGGGGGAATTGCTCAATCGACTTCGCGAGTCTATATCTGCCTTTGCGAATGCTCCTTCGCCAACCGAGCGGTGGAGTGCACCGCCCTCCGACTCCCCCTCGCCCTACTCAGATTTCATCTCTTCGCTTCGAATGATCAACATGGGACCCAGCCGCCCTTGCATCCTCATTCATGAACTTGGACAACACGTCGACCACAGTGTTTCTGATGTTCTGCGCAATCTCTTCACTCCGGGACAGCACGTGTACGTTCTCACCTCTTCAATATGCGTTCTCTCAGGAATGCTCATGCTACGTAGCTTGTATGTCAATGCATTCGGCACTGGAAAAACTCGCCTCATCTTCGAAGGCCTTTGTCGTCGCTGGGGTTTCTACATTCCTTGCGCACTGGGCTCTGACCGTCTTGGCTCTGTTGACATGCAGATGTGCCTCGACATGGACATGTCGAGAGCTTACGGCTTCCAAAGATTGTCTCCATGGTCAGACGCTGCCGTGGCGCGGAACCGCGATGTCGCGCAGTACGCTTTCTCGCGCGTGTTGCTGACCAGGTTGATCATATTCAAGATATTCCTGGACGAGCTGGCCGACAAAAAGGCTCCGGACGCCCCTCTGCGCTGGTTACTCCTCCAAGTTCTCACACAAAAACTGGAGCCTTTCGACATCTTTGATGATGTTACGAGAGTGCTGTCGCAAGTCTCGGACTTCTATATCGACGACATGACTTCCGACTTACTGCTCGATATCAAAGCGAGGTTAGACGGATCGGAGACCGCCCTCTTCTGCGTTTTGGACAGCTGCGAAGCCGCTAGCAGGTTATATACGAGCGGAGCGTTTGGTGCGGGGACTACGTTTTTGCGCGAACTAGTGCGGGCCTCGGAAGGCCATGATGGTCTTGCCATCATCCTCTCTGGATCGTACATCAACCTCGAGGCCTTCCAAGATTCCGGCCCAAGGCATTACACCGTTTATTCCAACACCGGCGCTCTGCTGGATCGAGATGCTCAACGACGCTATATACAAAGATATCTCCCCCCTACCCTAGCCCAGTCCACCGTCGGAAAAGAACTCCTGAAGCGCTGCTGGCAATGGCTCCGTGGTCGGTATGTACTTCTCAGGCGTGGTCCATCGGATTCTGACCGAAGCTCTTTCAGCTTCGGCTTTACAGCGTCCTTCGTAACATGTCTCTTGACGACAAAATTCGAACACCCGCTCCTTCTACTCGATTTTTTCATCGCCACGGTGATGTGCATAGAGCCGCCGCACGTATCGCAGTCCGACCTGCAAGCCTTGCAAACGCCACGCGACACCGTATTTATATCCTATAAAGGACGTGAACATTCTGGACTCTCCGGCGGTAAGACTACTGTTTTCAGCAACTACCACAATGCTGATAGGCCATCAGATAGGCAGGCATTGCTGGCTGCTCGCTTCGCCCTGTTCAAAATTATCCTCACGGGCGAAGACTGCGTCAGGTTCTCCGGCAGTTGCAGCTACCCACTTGTCGTCCACGGTGTCGCACATTTCACGGACTCTGCCGGTAGGGAGGCGATGATTCACGAGCCAGCCGTGCTAATGCCTTTAAAATCAATCATCTTTCCCAAGTCGAACCCCATGCATGGCTTCTATCCTGATGAGCTAGCCGCCCTCCTCACCAAAGCGCCGTCGCATGACGCGCATCACCTTGTATTCATCATGACCGTCATGCGCGCTCTCGAACAGCGCGCCCATCGCCTCAATGAGCTCTTCCAATTCGCTGGGATCGACCCGTCCTGGACGGAGCAGACGGTGCAGCTCGTGCGAGTCTTTCACCCGGGCGGCGGCAGGAGCCCCCACGCTCGGGTCTACAAATCGGCCTTGTCGAGCATGTCTCGCGAGACCACCTGGGCGACTGACTCGGCGGAATGGCTGAGTCACGAAGCCAAGGCGCCGTTCTGTCTCTCGTCCGGCTTCAGCCACGCTGATGTCCTGTTCGTGCTTCGACTCGAGGACGGTCGCTTGCTGTACGTGGCACTCGCCGTCCTGTTCAAGAACGCACACGTCGAGGCCGACGCAGCAAAGATACAAGCCAAGTTCGCACAACTGGCGCCTCATAAGCTTTTCAAGGTGCTCCCTTTTTCCTTCTCCCTGCATTGTCCGCGAGCTAACGCGCGCCAGCTCGGGAGGACCCGCTCGTCGAAGACGAGTGGCCTGCGTTTGCATGACCTGCCGAGGAAGGTCGAGGAGGCGGGCGACCCGCCCTTGCTGCGGCTCGTCGCCACCTATCCGTATGAGATGGACATCAACGAGATCAAGCCCGACGGGCTGGCGCACCCCATCGCCGCCGTGCGTACGACGAACCTGCGCGAGTATGCGCAGACCATCGACCTCAAGGACGTCATGCGGCGCCTCGAGAATGTCATGACCGTTCCGCGGGGGAGCAAGCGGAAGGCTACGAACGCGGTGCCGCCGCCCGTGGGCACAGCCAAGCGGCCACGGACGCGTTCCGTTACCGCGAAGGCGGAGGCCGCGAGGGGGCGCAGGGGGCCGCCTCAGCGGCGGACGATGCGGTAAAGGCAGGCGTCCTCGAGGGCAGCTTGTGTTCAGCGCCACCGTCACCGCCATCGAGCAAGATGCGATATCCGCGCTGCGCGGGCGACAAAGGAGATACTTATGCTTGGGATGATCATTCAGTTTGGTCCTTTTGGGATACGCTGCGAGCTCAAGGCTATCGATCGCGCGGAGCGCTTTACTCGTACCACTCATGCTAATTCAGCGACCTACGGACGCTCTTTGGATTGTGTTTACTGCGACTTGGAACTTGGTTTCGACTTTTTACTTGGCTGTGTTCTGTACTTGCTTTGTCCACCCTGTGTGCCTCGAAGAGGCAAGCCTCCGTTGCGATGTTACATATCTAGTTGTCCGTCTGCACAATTTATCTATCACCGCTACTTACTACGTTCCCCGCATCGCGTCTCTCAGTCATGCTCATCGTTCCTCCGCTCTCAGACCGGCTCGACAAGGGTAGCGACATATATTACTTATCCTCTTTTTCACTACATGATCAGTCTGCTTGGAGGAAGGGTAACGACAAGTCGAACATGAACTTCCCACGCTTCGGCTAAGGGCGAGGAGCTCACGTGCCCCGAACCTTAATTTTTCCTCCCTTACCATCAGCACATCGCCGCCGCCGTCGCGTACGACGACGAAGATACATCGACGATGGCGCCGTTCTCAAAACCAGAGACAGTTCTAAAGCAGGCGGAGGGCCTTGTCTCCGTCGGCCAATCCTATGCCGCCCTCCAATCACTCACGGAGATGTTCTCCTCGAAGCGCTTCCGCTCGACGCCGCTGACGAGCCTGGAGCCTATCATGAATCGATTCATCGAGCTCTGTGTGGAGCTGCGGAAGGGGAGGACCGCGAAGGAGGGTCTCATGCAATACAAGAACATCGCTCAGAACACCAGCGTGCAAAGCATCGAGGCCGTCGTCACCCGCTTCATCCAGCTCGCCGATAGCAAGGTCAAGGAGGCGCAGGAGAAGGCGGCGACCGTCCAGGTTGCGCTCGACGTCGACGATCTTGAAGCCAGCGAGACCCCGGAGAGCATCTTGCTCGGAGCCGTCAGCGGTGACCAGAGCAAGGATCGGACCGATCGCGCGCTTGTCACACCCTGGCTCAAGTTCCTTTGGGAGAGCTACAGGACGTCGTTGGAGACCCTCAAAAATAATGCGCGTCTGGAGACAATCTACCAGGTGCGATGACTACGCATCGGACGCGCACAGCCATCTCATTCGTACGACAGCAAGTTGCGCAACAAGCCTTTAAGTTCTGCTTGAAGCATCAGCGCAAGGTCGAATTCCGTCGCCTCTGCGAGACCCTCCGTCTTCACTTGGCAAATGTTGCGAAGTATGCGCACCAGACGCACAGCATCAACCTCTCCGACGCGGATACCCTGCAGCACCATCTCGACACCCGCTTCGCTCAGCTGAACACTTCCGTCGAGCTTGAATTATGGCAAGAAGCATTCCGCTCCGTCGAGGACATCCACAACCTCCTCACCCTTGCCAAGAAGGCGCCCCGCCCTGCGATGATGGCCAACTACTACGAGAAGCTTACCAGGATCTTCTTGATGAGCGGGAACGCACTCTATCACGCGGCGGCATGGGGTCGCTACTACTCGATCGTCTCCAGCATTGGTGGCAAGAGTGAGGAGGAGATGTCCCGGCTCGCCGGTCAGGTGCTTGTCAGCGCTCTCGCCGTTCCTGTCGGTCTGCACGAAGTCGAGGAGGTGAAGGGCAAGAATGCCCGCCTGACCGCGTTGCTGGGTCTTAGCAAAATGCCGACGAGGGCTGGTCTTCTCAAAGATGCTGTGAGTGCTGTAATCCATCTTGTTGCTTAAGTCTGCTTACATTCCATCCCAGCTCGCACGCGATGTCCTCAGACTGTCCCCTCAGCCTGTCAAGGATCTCTACAACATCCTCGAAGTGACATTCGACCCGCTTTCCATTTGCAAAAACGTCGCGCCCCTGCTGGACACCCTGTCCAAGCCCGCATCTGATGATGTGCCGAATCCCTACGCCTCTTACCTTCCCCTGCTCCACCGTGCTCTCCTTTCGCGTCTGCTCAGCCAGCTCGGACAGATCTACAGCACCATCCACCTCTCCACTCTCCACTCCCTCGTCGAGCCCCTCGGCGTCCAAGGCGAGCAGGTCGAGTCCTTCGTCGTTGGCTGCGCGCACCGCGGCGAGCTCGGGCCCGGCATCAAGGTCCGCGTCGACCACATCGAGGGCTGCGTCGTCTTCTCCGACACGCCTTTCGTGTCGGGCGAGGACGACGAGATCAAGGATCCGTCCTCGTCGACGACGTACACGAAGGATACCAGCGGTCTCATCCAGACCAGCGTCCGCGACCTTGTGCGCACGCGCCTGAGCGGGGTGGCCGAGTGCCTTTACAAGTCGCTCAACGTCATCGAGCCGCCTGCTGCCGAGGAGAACACGGAGGAGAAGTTCAAGGAGCTCGCTGCGGCCGCCAATGCTGAGCGCAAGGCTCTTCAGCTCCGTCGCGCTGTCGTGCACCGACGCCGTGAGCTCCTCACGGAGCTGACGATGCGCAAGGAGAAGGAGGATCTCAGCCGTCGTGCGGAGCTTACTCGCAAGGAGCGCGAGGCTCGGGAAGCGCGCGCCAAGGAGGAGCTCAAGCGGAAGGAGGCGGAGCGTACCAAGAAAGAGATCGAGGAGATCCGCGCTCAGCAGGCGAAGGAGTACGCGAAGAACCTGGTCGATATGGGCATCTTGAAGCCGGCCGAGGTCGACGTACGTGTCGTCCATATCCTCCGTTGTCGCTCCTGCTAACCTTGGACACCAGAAACTGGAGACGTACGACACGGAGCAGTTGATCACCATCCAGGTCGGGCAGCTCGAGAAGGAGAAGAAGGAGATGAACGAGCGCCTGACGCGGGTCTCGAAGCGCATCGACCACATCGAGCGCGCCTACCGCAAGGAGGAGCGCCCGCTGCTTGCCAAGGACTACGAGCAGCAGCAGGAGACGGATCGCCGCAACTTCGAGGCACTGCAAGAAGAACGCAAGACCAGTGCGCGGCAGGCGCACGAGGAGGCCGTTGCGACGAAGAAGCGGCTCCTCCGCATGCGCGAGGACTACGAGGCGCGGCGCGCGGAGATCCTGGCGCGCAAGGGCGAGGAGTTCTCGAAGCGGAAGGAGGCCGCGGCGCGCAAGATCGAGGAGGAGAAGGCGAAGCGGCGCAAGGCCGTGCTCGCGCAGCGCGAGGAGGAGCGCAAGCGCCTCGAGGAAGAGGAACGCATACGCCGCGAGCAGGAGGAAGAGGAGAGGCGGCTCGAGGAGGGTGAGTCAACCTGTACCTACTCGTTGGCTTTCGTTGCTAATGACACGCAGAGCGCATTGCGGAGGAGACCCGCCTACGCGAGGAGGCCGAGGCCAAGGCGGCTGCGGAGGAGGCCGCCAAGCGTAAGGTGGAGGAGGAGGCTGCGGCACGTCGCGCAGAGCGCGAGAAGGAACGCCAGGCCGCCGCCGAGCAGGCCCGCCTCCAGCGCGAGCGCGAGGAGGAGGCCGAGCGGAGACGCGCCGAACGTCGTGCCGCTGAGCGCGCTGCGCCAGCAGCAGCGTCCGGCCGGCCTTCGATCTTCGGGCGCAATGCGCCCGCCGCGGAGACCGGTGGCAACGCCTGGCGCAGGAGCACGCCTGTGCCGGAGCGCACGGCGAGCCCGGCCCCCGCCGCGCCTACGCCAGTGGCGGCGGAGGCCGCGCCAGCGAAGTACCGCCCTGGTGCGCTTGGCGGCGGTGGCGGCTGGCGCGCGCGCGAGCAAGCGAAGGCTGCTGGTGCCAGCGGCACGCCGTCCCCTCGTCCTGCCTCGCCCGCACAGCCGCCGGCGTCGCCTGCGAAGGCTGATACGCCGAAGGACGACGATGGCTTCCAGACCGTGTCTTCGCGTGGAGTGTGGCGCCCGAGGCGGGGCCGTGCTTGAGGCTGATAAGTAGTGTACGACTTGCACGACGCTGTACGATGGGTATGCTCTCTGTATTGTAGTACACTCATGTATTGTTGCTGCTATCCCTTGCTATGGAATATTCTGACGCACCCCGTCGACCCGACTGCCCCGCTTAATTGTCGCCGTCTGACTTTCCTGGCCTGTCTATCGGTATTGTGTACGGAAGGTACGCCTTATCTTTTCCCTGACTTGTGATGACTCACTCATTTTTGACGCCAGCTATCGGGCCACACCTCGATACCATCGGAACCGCAGACTCGTCCTGACTACGGCTTGCATTTTGCCGACGGCGCATGAACACACAGTATGGTCTTGGGGCTGAACCAGATATAAGCGCGTTATCGTGGCGAAGTCTTCTACAAGACATCCAGCAGCAAAAATGTCCGCCAAGTCAAAAATCGCGCGTCAAGGTCGCGGAGCGAGGGCGGAGAAGCCAAGCGCAACTTCGTCTGTGGGTACTAATGCTAGTACCCCGCAGATTACAGCGACTTCGCAAACATCACGCTTTCATGTGGATACGCTATCTACGCTTGCGAAAGAGGTAGGCCGAACTCCATTCTCAGTGTTGCGATTGTGGTCCTGACCGTCATCCTCAGATAGACCTCAAGGACGGTGGGTCATGGCATTCATGTTGGCACAGGCGTCGTTGCTTATACCGGCAATGAAGTCAATATAACCGTTGGCGATCACGAGATACTGGTTGACGCGCATCTGCGGTTGAAGGAGAGCGTACACTACGGTTTGGTCGGCAGGAATGGAGAGGGCAAGACGAGTATGTTTCGATACATCCCCTGGTGCTTACACGTCTTTGAAACCCCCCTCCCCAGCGTTGTTAAGAGCTATCGCGGACAAGGTCATCCCCGGCATTCCCGAGAACCTGCGTATCTTGCTCGCAGGGCAAGTCGAGTCTGCGCTGGGCGAAATAAATGGGAAGGTCGACGAGCTGACGGTATTGCAAGTCGTGGTCAAAAGCGATAGGAAGCGAGAGGCAGCGCTTAAGGAGTACACCAGTGCGCATCGTTTGAGCGTTCGGATGGCCCTCGCATTGACCTGTCACTCAGTCTTGGAGTCGGTCGCAACGCCTGAAGACGCTGGTCGCGCTATAGCGGAGGTCAATCTCGAGCGTGCGCGTGCGCAACTGACTGTAGCGCGCAAGGTCGCAGACCGAAGAAGCGGTGCGAGGGGCGCAGAAGCCCGTAAAGTGCTCCTGGCGGCCGAGGCAGGCTTCAAGGAGGCAGAGGGAAGGTAAGTCGTTCATTGGGCGTTCTGCATGCTCTGACCAGCTGCCAGAGTTATTTCCCCTGCTCGTGACGCGGATACGCTCGTGGTAGCGCACGCCATGCTGGAGGAGGTAAAGGACGCGTTGTACGCGGTGCGCGACACCACCACTGCACAAGTTCTATGCTCTAAACAGCTTGCTGAATAGCTGGGCTCTGACTCCACAGAGGCCAAGGCGCGCAAGATCCTGCTCGGATTGGGTTTCCGCGCGGATCAGCTCGACGCGCCGTTCACGACACTCAGCGGTGGGTGGCGATCGCGCTGCTCGCTTGCAAGCGTCCTACTGCAAGAGCCTGACATCGTGAGTAACGCATACTCGATACTTGCTATGTCCGCGTCAATTTACCGATCCTCAAGCTTATCCTCGACGAACCGACCAATTACCTGGACATCCCCGCTATCATCTGGCTTCAAAAGCACATTGTCAGCCTTGACGAGACCACGGTGATCATCGTCGCGCACGACCGCGCGTTTCTGGATGAGGCAACGGAAGAGACAATTTTCCTGCGCAGCAAAGCTTTGACTTACTTTGAAGGTGAGCCATCCGTCTTACAAGCCCTCGCCGTCGACAAGAGACGGGGGCTAAACTTGATTCAGGTTCCATCTCAGCAGCTCAGAGAGCGATTGCCAAGAAGCGCAAGGGCGCTATCCGTGCGCGCGACGCACTAGAGAAGAAGCGGATCGCGGTCGAGAAGAGCATCGCGCACGGCGCGAAGATTGCGAGGGAGACGGGCGATGAAAACAAGGCGCGAATGGTGAAGGCTCGGCAGAAGAAGCTCGATGAGCGGTGGGGCGCAGAGGTGAATGAGAAGGGTCATAGGTGCGTATGCTAATGTTGTGCTAGTGATTATGCCGCGCTGATTAACGCACATGTAGATTCAAGCTCAACCGGGATATGCAAGGTATGTAGTGATCGATCGACTGAGAAAACACTTTGGTAACATGCCGCAGGTTTCCATACTGCGAGGCGCGCTGACATCGTTGTCGACTCGCTTGATCCCGCCATAACCCTCCCCTTCATCAACCCCGAGCCCCTGCGCTTTCCCGGCTCCTTATGCTCTCTGTCGAACGTCTCGTTCCGCTATGGACCGCGCCTACCTTATGTACTGAAGGCCGTGACGCTAACAGTGCACCCGGGCGACCGCATCGGGCTCGTCGGCAAAAATGGAGAGGGCAAGTCAACGTTGGTGAAGCTGCTCGTAGGTGAATTGCAGCCGACGCGGGGGGAAGTGACCAGGCATCCAAGGTTGACGCTAGGGTGCGTGTGCGGCTTTGGGAGGTGACATGCATCGTGCTCATGACCATGGCAGGTACTATTCACAACACTCGGTTGAGCAGCTCTCGCGCCCGGAGATGGGCCAGAAATCGGCATTGCGATACTTCATGGAGGAGATGCGAGCGGCGCACAACATCGATGTCGATGAGCAGACCTCGCGCGCGTTCTTGGGAAGCTTTGGGCTCCATGGCAAGACTGCGACCATTTCCGTCGGGATGCTCTCTGGCGGGCAGAAGGTACGTGGCTCTGCTCAACCCATCGGCTTTCGCTCATACGTACACCATCAGGTGCGACTTGCACTGGCCTTGTTGGTTTACCCTGCACCTCACCTGCTCGTGCTCGATGAAGTGTCTACACATCTGGACATGGTGAGAAGCATCGAGTCACGTTCGTCGTGGCGTATGCAGCTAAGTCCACCGCACAGGACACAACCGCGGCGCTCATCAAAGCTCTGCGGGCCTTCAAGGGGGCTGTCGTACTTGTCAGCCATGATCGTCATCTCGTTCACTGCGTTGTCGAGGGCGGGCGTATCCTCCCCAAGGATGAAGGCGATAGTGATGCTAGCGACGAAGAAGAAGAGGCGGAGCCTCCTCCGGGTGGGGTCTATCGGGTTGGTCCAAGAGGAGAGGTCAAGCGCTTGAGGGGGAGCATTACCGAGGTCCGTACCTCCTATTTGTTTGGTCTGTCTAACATTGTCCTGATATTTGACTTTACAGTACACTGGGAGAAGTGCTTGAAGTGTTGTCGCCCATCTGCTATCCACCTCTTCACCCTGTACAGACTTGTACTGATGTGGTCACCGTACATGCGAATCATGAAATACAATGTTGCTAATTCTCACGAGCAGGAAATGGTCTATGTGTGGGGTAATGGTGATACGCGACAGAGGACGACCAGTGTGAAGTTGGTTGTGCCAAGAGAAGGCCAAAAATCTACACCGGACGGGAATCGAACCCGTGCCGCTTGCTTACTAATCAGCGAGTTCGAATCCCGCTTGAATGGAAGGCAAGCATGATAACCACTTCACCACCGGTGTGTATTTGCGAAACCTTACCCAGAGTATGGTGACAGCTACTAGCAGCCCGATCACCACCATACAAACAGGCGTCTCGTTTGTGATCTCTATCTTGACCTCGAATGTCATGTAGGCCAGCTGTTCCACCTCAGATGCGGAGACTCGATATCAGCTCACCCCATGTAGCTTCATGTGACCTCGAACCCCCCGGCCTTGCTAGCGCGCCATGTCTACCAGGCATTCACAATGTGTGCAGCTTCTGCCGTCGGGCGAACTTAGGTCAGGAAGCACTCCCTTCGTGCTCAAGGTGCGTACCAGACGCTTTACTCAGTTTGCGTTTGCTGAACTGCCGTTCGCAGGTGCGAGCGACTGACGTGAAAACGTTTGCTCAAGGAGATGCACACTGCGTGCGGCGAGCGCGTCACCGAAGCCACCACTGAGTTGCATACCCACCCCGATGCCCTCCCCCAGCCGCAGTAGTCGCGCACTGAGTCCGAACTTACCCTTGGATAACCTGGATCATCCGACGCCAGCCTAGAGCATCGACAAGCGCCAGAAACTGCTCGAGCCCGAGAGCGAGGACAAAGGAAGTGCTCCCGACTGGCAAGGCCCCGGATGGCTTCGCGCCGGGATGCGGGCGTCTTTTGTAGGAACCGCTTGGAACTGAAAGAAGGGTGCGCTTATCCTTCCAATCTCACTGGACAACCACTGATCTCAGCCCACAGGGTAATGTGCCGCGCGACGAACCAGCATGACAAGCCTGAATATCCTGCTCAGGGCAAACCCTGATCACTCGATCTACGTCATCTACACGCCCATCTCATCCCCACTGTACTCGTCACTGTATCCTCTGCCCGCTTCCACCACAATTCACCGATTTGACGATGACGCCATGGTCTTGAGGCATCCGGACAAATCGCTTTTCGAAGAAGATCTCGCTACCCGGTGAGTCGATTCCTCCTTTCTTGTCTGCATTGCTTTCGCATAGAGTCGAGAAGAGTCCAACGACGAGCCTGCCTTGAAATGTGCGGAACACGTGACTGCGTCCTATACCCTCTCCAATGTTAACGGTCTTCATTCTGCTTCTGCACCGTTCGCTTCCTCCCGAACGAATCATCATACGATAGGAATGCTACTCCTTGTACTACAGCCACAGAAGTAGCGCACTCTGGCCTCGTCGCGGTCGACTTTAAGAGTCGTAGAGAGAACGCCCCAAACCGCACCGGTAGGCCTATGTCGAGCCTTTACTGACTTGTCATGGCGTGTAAGCTGACTCTTCCAATTATCTTGAATTTTGGTTGAGTTTCAGACACTACTATGCGAGATGTCCATGCTCGACGGACGATATGGCCAACAAGGAGATGTGCCTTGCTTGGCCGTGTTTATGCGTGTTTCCCATAGGTCTGTATACGCTGGTCCGGCCGTCTCTTGTTATTGTCCTTCCTTGCCACTAACCACCATGTCGCTATCGCAAGAACTCAACGCTGTCCTACTTCGCGCGCGACACGAAGGACTCCTGAAGACCCCCTCTGTACTGCTTTCGCAAGTCTTAAACGCCCTATGTCGCGAACGCTCGCAACCCTTGGACCCAGATTATGTGTCCGAACCTGCTTGTCGCCGCCTCATTTCTACGCACCCAGAGGTCCTCTCTTTGCTGGAGACCGCCGTCGAGACCGGTATACAAGACGACCTATGGACCAATCGTACGCTTTCCGCCACTGAGCCTCACCTCTTGATATTGACCCGCCGAGCAGCGCATCTAGCCTTTGAGGGCGTGGACTTGCGCTCATACCGCACAATGTCTAAAGGGGACGTCGCAGTATGGAAAGATGTTGCGGAGCTCTTTGACGCGTGGGCTGAAGGTATAACGAAACTTGCAAGCGGGCACTCACCCGTGGACACCTGGCAGCCGACTGCCCCTCACCGCGTAGAAGACCCAGAGACGGCGCAGTCATCCATCGACTTCATACAATCACTCAAAATACCGAGAGCATCCGACGCTTCTCCGTGCCTACTGATGCACAGGCTTGGCTCGCTCATTGATGAGGACAAACTGGCGGGCCGCATAAACAATATATTCGTACCGGATAAAACTACGTGAGCGTCACCTTACTTGCAGGCTAGCGCCCAGTCTCATCTCAGTCGCAGAATACTCGTTAACTCTTTAGGGTCCGGCAAGACAAGATTACTTTTCGAGGGCCTTTGCCAACGGTGGGGCGTGTACATGACATGTGCAGCCGAGAGTTCTGGCGTTGGCGGCTCAGACGCCGCTTTCGCCATTGCGGTTGAATTGCAAGGGAATAAGTACTTCAAGTCCTACGGCAGACTCGGCGAAGGAGAAATCGAAGACAATCGCTTCACTGCGAAGAACACCTTTTCCATGCTTCTCTTGTCTAGGCTTCTCCTATTGCATCGCTTTCTACAGGCGGTCCCGGCATCGGCAAGACATACCAACGAGACGCGTCAAAAATGGTTGTATCTACATGTCCTTCCCGAGTCCGTTGGATGCGAGGATCTATTAATCCTGCTCAGGCAGAGGCTAACGCCTTTGACCACTACATCGTTGAAGTTCGCTGTCGCCGATACGTTGTTGAAGGTTCGGGCGCTTTTGGGAATCCGCGACTTTCCCATCTTCTGCGTGCTCGACGAATGTCAGGTCCCGGATCGAATGTACCCTGGCGCCTTTGGCGACAACACCTCGACACTGCACCAGATGGCCCTCGCCTGGGAAGCGAATGCTCACATGCCCGTCGTCCTCTGTGGTACGGAGGCGAACTTGGGACCTCTCATTGGGCCGGCGCATCCTAACCGTCGCGTATGCACCGACACAGGTACATTTGACACGCCGGACGACCAAAGGCGATACGTGACGCTTTATATGCCACCCGCGATGGTGTCCTCCAGCGTCGGTCAAAGCCTCATTGCTCGTATGTGGTCGTGGTCGCGCGGCAGGTACGTACGACGAGATGGATATGCAACACCCGCTGACGCCCTGCAGACATCGCTTCACGACAGCTTTCATCGCCTGCCTTCTCATGACGCAATTCGAGCAGCCTCACGAACTTCTGAATGCGTACATCGCCGCAAATTTGAGGGTTAAACCTATCGATAAACCTGCGCGCGCAGGCACTACATCACTGAAGAAGGCCTCACGCGACTTGGTCAGTGGGTTCCATTACTTCACAGGGGAAAGCTTGTTATACGGTACGCGCCGTGTTTGGATGCAATCATATCAATCTTACATCCTTGAGAAGATGCACGATCGTATCTCTCTGCGCACTACGCTATGCATCGAATCCTGCTTGGGCATTCGTCCGTCACTCTTACAGAGAACTGTTACCCTCTCGCCGCGCATGGCTTGGGATGCTTTACCGACGCCACCGGCAAAAAGGTTCGTGTGTACGAGCCCACTGTGTTGTGCCCCTTTCTTAGGCGCATCTTCTACGAGCCGGGGGTGGTCGACGGTTTTCTTCCCGACATGGCAGCCAGGTTGCGCGCGGTGCCCAAGCACAACTCATTACCCCTTGCGCTCGCTTCCCTACTCCTGCATGCATACAGAAACGGTCCTCGCCCGCTCACGGACCTCTTCCTGTTCTCCGGCATAACGCCCGACTGGGCGATGCAGACGGCGAAACTGGTCTGCGTCACTCGTCAAGGGACGAATGCGTCGAGGATCTGGAAGTACCGGTCGTCATTCAGACAAGCCGGGCCCGAAGATGCGTGTATCACGGACTCCCCCAAATGGGCTCACCAACGATCTCTCGAGCCGTTCTGCGAAGCGTCGAAGTTCAGCACGGCGGACCTGCTCTTCGTCCTGCGCCTCGCGAACGGCCAGTGCTTACACATCGCCGTGGCAACTATGCTTCACAACGCCCACGTCCAACTGTCAATCGCCGACATCGAGGAAAGGCTGGAGAACCTTGCGCCGTCCAAGCTCTTCCCACCAGTAAGCTTGTCTTCCTCCCGGCGACCTGCTCACTGACTCGCATTGTAGAATCTTGCACCGGCGACTGCGCGACCACTCAGCTTACCTCACCTCGGGCGGGAGGCCTCGGCCGCTGCCAACCCCTCCTTGCTCCGCGTCGTCTGCACGTTCCCTTACGAGGTCGACATCAACACAGTCGAGCACGACGGCCACGCACAGCCCATAGCTGCTATTAACGTGGCGGCAATGAGAGAGATCGCGGGGTCCCTCAAGGCGGACGATGTCGCGCGTCGTTTACTCGGCGTCCTCACCGGTACTGGCCGTCGCACTGCGAAGCGGAAAGACCGTAAGGACGGAGACGAAGAGGAACGTCCCAGGAAGCGCCCGAAGTCGATGGCGATACTTGAACAAAAGGATGTCGCGAGTTCATTATCATAGCACGCAAAGGGCTCAGCTTGAACTCATCTTTAGATGCCTCGTTGACCATGTAGCATAACACGCTGTTCCGATTCTAATGTGGGATGTCAGACACGCAGCACGCATAGGGATCAAGGCGTTCAAAGCCACACGGTCGCAGGTTCTGGTGCTTCCACTCTAGCCTCTTGTAAGCGATGTCAGACGCTATACAGGCAAATTGTCCTCGCCGTTTGTGCGAGACGCGCGGTACGGCTCGCATCTGGGCCACCAACGTCGCAGGTGACAGGCTTTGCTTGACCGTGTTTATGCTTGTTTATCATAGGCGTGTGTACGCTGGTCCAGACGTGCCTTGTTCTTGCCCTTGTTTGCCACTAACCACCATGTCCCTGTCACAAGAACTTGACGCTATCCTCCTTCGTGCACGACGTGGAGGACTGTTGAAGACCCCCTCAGTACTGCTCTCGGAAGTCGCTCATACAATGTGTCGGGAACGCTCTCAGCACACGAACCCAGAATATATATCTGAATCTGCCTGTCATCGTTTGCTCTCAAAGCATCCGGAAATATTTGTGTTGCTTGAGACCGCCGTACAGAGCGGAGTACAAGACGGTCTCTGGCGCAGTTGTACGCATTTCCTGAAGTGGACATGAATCATGAGGCTGACGCGATGAGCAGCACATCTATGCTTTCTAGGGGATCAGATTGCGGCGAAAGACGATGCAACATGGACTAAGGTTGAAGACCTCCTTGGACAGCTGTTCGAAGCAATATCGACTTTGGCTACCCAGCCTGGACGCGTAGACGACTGGCCCTCGGTTTCCTCATTCCGGGTGGACAACCCTGATACGGCCGAATCATCTGCTGAATTCGTGGAATCTCTGCACTTATTCAAGGGATCTGACGGCTTCCCGGCCCTTCTCTTGCACAACCTTGGCTCCCTCATCGACGAGAAACGGCTGACCGACCGCCTGAGCCACATATTCGTCCCAAACGAGCATACGTGAGCTACCTGTACAATCGGCGACTGGCTAAGCCTAACCTCTATCTCAGGCTACTTATCAACTCTTCTGGGTCTGGCAAAACAAGATTACTTTTCGAAGGTCTTTGTCGACACTGGGGTCTGTATATGACATGCGCAGTTGATACCTCTGGGGTTGGCTGCCCAGACGTCTCATACGCAATATCCTTCGGATTACAAAGCAATAGCTCCTTCAATGGTGTAGGTGGCCTTGACGAGCTTGAGATCGCCAGAAATCGTTGTATTGCGGAGAAAGTTTTCTCTCTAATCCTCCTCTCTAGACTTGTCCTACTCTGTCGCTTCCTCGAGGCTGTACCAGCAGCGGAACGGGACACAAACGAAACTCGCAAAAGATGGTTGTACCTGCAAGTCATCCCGCATCGTTTTGGATGCCAAGGACTGCTGTCCGCCCTTTTTGACGGTCTGACGCCCCTGTCTTCGAAGCGTGTGCGAAATGGTGTCCATGATGCCCTGCAGAAGATTCGTTCATTATTGGGAGTACGCGACTTGCCCCTCTTCTGCGCGGTCGACGAATGCCAGGTCGCCAGTCAAGAGCATTATGGCGCCTTCGGCGACGACAGCTCGACACTGCACCAAATGGCACTAACATGGCAAAAAGTGCCTGGTGTAACAGTCATCGCCACTGGTACGAGCGTGAACATGGCGCCCTTCGTCGATCCGGCGCGCACTACCTATCGCGTTTGTACCGACACAGGCGCATTCGACGCCCCGGACGAACAAAGGCGATATGCTACACGCTATATGCCGCCCGCGTTGATATCCTCATATGAGGGACAGCAGCTTGTGTCTCGTATCTGGTCGTGGTTGCGTGGCAGGTATGTGCAGCGAAGATACGTATACGACATCCGCTCACGCCCTGCAGGCATCGCTTTACGGCGGCGTTCATCGAATGTCTTCTCAGGACAAATTTCCAGCAGCCCCACCAGCTTTTGGACGCGTACATTCGTGCCAATCTGAGAATAGATCTCATCGATAAACACTTGACCTCAGGTAGGGCGCGTTTGAGGAGGGCCTCTCGCAAGCTCGTCGAGGACTTCTGTTATTTTACAGGAGAAAGCCTGGGATATGGTGCGCGGCATGTTCGGATAACTCTAGACCGCTTGACCTTGACCTCTTGAACAGATCTCGAATCCTGGTTTTCTGCGCACTACGCCGTACACAAGCTTCTGCTAGGGCAAAGTTCCGTCACTCTCACAGAGAACTGTTTCTCCCTCGCCGCGCATGGTCTGGCCCACTTTACCCACGCCATCGGCAAGGAGGTCAGTATCTACGAACCCACTGTGCTCTATCCATTTCTTCGACCCCTGTTTTACGACTCGGGCGTGGTTCCTGGCTTTTTGCCTGACGCTATGGCGGCTCGGTTATGTGCCGTGCCCAAGCACAACTCGCTACCTCTTACACTCGCTTCCCTGCTCCTGCACGCGCTCAAGGATGGACCTCGCCCCCTCACCAATCTCTTCCTCTTCCCCGGCACAACACCGGATTGGGCGACGCAGACGGCGGAACTGGTCTGCGTCACTCGCCAAGGGAACAATGCGTCGAGGACCTGGACTGATCAATCATCATTCAGAAGGGCGCGCGGCGAGGACGCATGGATCTCAGACTCCCCCAAATGGGCTGAACAGCGATCCCTCCAGCCGTTCTGTGAAGCGTCGAAGTTCAGCACGGCGGACCTGCTCTTCGTCTTGCGCCTCGCGAACGGCCAGTGCTTACGCGTCGCTGTGGCGACTATGCTGCACAACGCCCACGTCCAACTGTCGTCTGCTGACATCGAGGAGAAGTTGAGTAGCCTTGTGCCGTCGAAGCTCTTCCCACCAGTAAGCTTGTCTTCCTCCCGGTGACCTGCTCGCTGACCCGCATTGTAGAATCTTGCACCGGCGACTGCACGACCTCTCAGCTTACCTCACCTCGGGCAGGAGGCCTCAGCCGCCGACGATCCCTCCTTGCTTCGCGTCGTCTGTACGTTCCCCTACGAGTTCGACATCAACGCAGTCGAGCGTGACGGCCACGCGCAGCCCATAGCTGCCATCAATATGGCGGCAATGCGAGAGGTCGCGGGGTCCCTCAAGTCGGACGACGTCGCGCGTCGATTACTCAACGTCCTCACCGGTACCGGTCGTCGGACTGCAAAGCGGAAACGCTGTGAGGACGGCGACGACGACGAACGTCCTAGGAAGCGCGCGAAGTCGATGGCAGTACATGTAGCAAAGGAGGCTGAGAGTCAACAGACGGCAAAGGACTTGACTTGAACTCGAAGCAAGCGTTTGAACATCCCTCGTTGACCATGTAGCATAGCTTGAACATAGATTCCTTGTGCCATTCTCTAGACGACTAACAAGCCATTCGATGTGAGCTAAGCTAAGTAAAGATCATGATAAACTGCGGTGTCGGTGGTGGTTCAGGACGCGGGCGAACAGAGACAAAGATGACGGTCGTGGCCTTGTCGATGGTCCCAAGACCTCGCGAAGCCAGATATGAGCAAGAAAATGACGAGCAGAGAGCAGCGAGCGGCGCCAACCGTAGAGTCCTTGACGAGGTCATTCCGCGCGATGATGGTGCTTCGTTCTATCTGCCCGCCTCAGCCGGGAAACGATACTTCCCGAGGTTTACTGCATACCCGGTTTTGGCGCCTCACTTCACTGCACCTCCTAACGCGCGTGTGCCAGCGCTACACTGTTTGCCAACAACCGAACGGCGTTCCCGAGGCGATCCCCGAATTCAACAAACCACCGCACGAGGAGCCGCCCCGCCCGCCCACGCCCACCCAATATACCGCGACGCACGAAGAGCAGCACGAGGAGCACTCGCATCCGCCCGAGAATGCAGCGCCCGTCACAACCCGTCACCCACTTGAGCGAGCGTATAAGTCGGGCGGAGACAATGCGCCAAACATCGGTGAAGGGCTACCGGCTAGTGAGATTCTGGACGTGGAATGACAGACATGCAGCACGTACAGGGATGAATGCGCACAAAGCTGCACGGTCGCAAACTCCAGTGCTTCCACTTTGGCCCTCTTGCAGGCGTCGAGGCTATACTGCTAAATCGACCTCGCTGATCGTTCGTGCGAGGCGTGCGGCATCTGGCTGGCAATTACTGGTCGGAGTGTGCGGTCTACACATACTTGTAGTCATAAGCAGCTGGGAAGATTTGAGTCTACGATCATGTACAGTGATCAGAGGACGCACCTATGCCAACGGAAGAAAGATCGACCATTCTGTCGAGTTTGCTTGTCAAGACGAAGTACGGTCCAGAGTCACTAGGACTCTGCCTCGTCGGCTGAGACGCTGAAGTCCGGGTCGGCAGCCACGGTTCTCGCCGCCAGGTGTGCGATGACATCCGGCAGCGCCAGATCCATCCGCGGAGGCAGATGGGTAGGTCGACGCGACGGAGGGCGCCGTACACATTCGCGCGAGTCGAAGTCAGCAGCGCGAGAACTGCGTACGATTCCGAAGTACTGAGTCTGACATGGGGGGCCTGACCGCGTGCTGACGTTCGAGATACTGAGGTCCTGCGAATATGCCTGGAAGGTGGCCGTCGGATCGAAGAAGAGGTCGAGGCCGTTGATGGCTTTGCGCTCGACCACGCGAAGTCGATCGACCTCATCTTAACCTCTCATGCCGCGAAACCTGGCTACCCCACCACAGAAGAGGCGAAGACTCGACACCGGCGCATCCTATGTAGCATCCTCCAGACCGCAAACGTTCTCTTTCCCCAGCACCCAAATTTCCGCAGGCATCCGCAACGTATGCGGCTCGTGCCGTCGAGCCAATCTGGGTCAAGCCGCTCTCCCTTCGTGCTCAAGGTGCGTGTCATGGTCGTCTCGACTAGCATGCTCTGACGAGGTATTCTCAGGTGCACGCAGCCGACGTGCAGCGTCTGCTCGCGGACATGCACGATACGCGTGGCGAGCGTGCCACCGACGCCGCCACTGAGCTACACTCCCACTCCCACCCCGTCCCCGAGACACAATGGCCTCATCCTCGCACCGAGCACGAACTTACCACTAGATAAACCGAGCAATCCCCTCGCGACTCATGGCAAGCGCAAGAAGCCGTTTGAGCCTGAGAACGAGGACAAAGAGTTTCTGCAGGCTGGCAAAGCCCTGGACGGATTCGCCCCCGGATGCGGGCACCTTGTTTGTCGGAGCTGCTGCCTGGAGCTAGAGGAGGGGTACGTATATTATTTGCTCCGCTTGCTAGGACGATGGCTGATCATTGCCCTTAGGGTGGCGTGCCGCGACTGCGATGAACTTGCTAAGCGCGCACCGAACTATCTTTTCTAGACCTCACAACCATAATTCTCATCCAAACTACACTTACCCTGCTCCATCCTACATCCAACCTCGCCACTGTATCCATATGTCCGCCTCCTGCGAAATTTACTGCTTTGAACAACATCACGGGCACGAAGTACTGAACCATGGACCATGCTGCGTCTTCGAAGAGGCCGCTCCTTTTCTGTGAGCCATCTCGTCATCTTCCTCCTGATTATTTTCGGCACGGGCTCCCAAGGAGCACGACGACTCGTCCCAGAACTTGCTAAGCGCGTGACCGCGTCCTTCAGCCACCCAATTGTTCTCGTTCTTCGATACGTCCGTCCGTTCGCCTAAGGCCCTCCAAAAACATACCAATCGACGTGAATACCCCTTCTTGTACTTCAGCTACAGAATGAACGCGCGCCGACTTCACCACGGTCGGTTACGAGGGCCTGGGTAGGGACGCCGCGACTCACCCTTGATGCTTCCTGTGAGGGGTTTTATTCCCTCTTCACCGTCGAAATTGATGCTGTGCAGCCCCGTGTAGCCTACCAGTACTCGCATGGACTCATTGGTGTCTCGCGTAGAGTCCCGCCGGCGGGATATGATTGGTATGTACGAGCGCACAAGTATCGCTAACGAGAACTGAGACAGATACATAGGTATAGGTATAGACATAGAAACGATATCGAACAACATCTCTTCCTTGGTCCAATAGGGAACGAGTACAACAGACACAGATATTGGTGGGTATGCGACTGCGGCGATTCTGGTGATATAATAGCGTAGCAGGTTATCGGCAAGGACAGAAGTGGATGGTGGTATGTACGAGGAGGGGCCGTTCATCGACGCGATTTCCCCCTGGACTTCTTGTTCCTCCTCTCCGCATCCTCTGGCGCATGGACGGTCGCGGAAGTCTCGCCGATACGCCTCTTGCCAGACGAGACGCTCAGATGCGCCTGGTCCTTGCGTGGTGTGGAAGGAGGCGCCAACAGATACCCGTATAGGCCTTCCGATACGTAGTCTTCGGGGTCGGATTCGGTGTCGGAGTCGCTCAGCGCAGTGAGTTCAGACTCGCCATCGACGTCTGCTAGCAAGTTGGTTTTAGTTCAATCCAATGCTCGCACTGTCGGATCGGACATACCAGCTTGGACGGCTTCCGTGTTGTTATCTGACATCGCACCGTTCTTAGCCGTTGTAAGTGTGAGGATGGGAGTCTCTGCGGTGTGCGATGCGACCTCTCCGGTAATGTCGCTTGCTGGATGTATCGCTCCTGAGCTCGTCGATGGTCGAGTCAGAGGAATTGATGCGCTGACGGTGACTGCTGGACTTACGTTGCTTGACGGAGCGAAGTGCATCAACAAGCTCATTCTCATTCGCCTCGATGTGATCCTGCGCCATCCTGATCTCCTGTCGCACTTCGTTACTCACTACTCGCAGTATACCTTTTGGCTCCTCGTTGCCTACGAGTCTCGTCACCGTGTCGAGATTGAGCACGGCTAGTGGATGATCGCCGCAGTCTGGATCGTGTTCACGATCGAGGAGGGTTTCCGCAGGAAAGCAGGTGACGACTCGGATAACGCTATGAACACCTGCTTTCTTGGTCAAACCGGGTAACTTCATGGCGTCGAGCACGCCCTTTCTACGATCCCTCGCAGGGCTGAGCACCTTCTCATCTTGCTGATGTTGTTAATCAGATCAAATGATAGACGGGTCTCGACATCTTCGAACGCACCGAGTCGGGCATATAATAAAAATCGGGTGTCGTTGAGCGTATGCAGCTCTTCTTGACCTGTGTGGCTGGTGCGAAGGTCTGAGCCGTAGGAGTATTGTACTTGCACTGGACTGCAACCCAGACCAGCTCAGCGTTGTCGAGCTGGAGCAAGAAGAGGATGTCGGGGCCCATGGAGTTGTCGGGAAAGAGGAGACCACCGGCCTGGCCAGTCTTGACCCATCTCCTCGTAGCCTGAACCGTTCTGCTGCTGTACCCAAGATTGGGCTGCGGACGTTGGTTGCCGTTGCCGCAAGAAAAACCCAAGTTCTCGGACAGGCAACCTACTCCCACGAACGAGCGGCTGCTGTGGGGCACTACACCGACGATCTTGCCTCTCCTACCGCTAAAGCGAGTCTCCCTCATCCGGCGGCCGCGCGCCGTGCGCCGCTGCTCGAATGCGAAAAGCTCGGTGAGTGGCCGTTCTTCTGCGAAGAACCTGAGCATGCATATCGCGACGTAGTTCTCCCAGCCATTGTGTTTCACCCACGTCTCGCGTATCCTTTCGCCGAAGAATTTGTACATGCGGAGATCCTCTTGACTGTTGTAATAAGACGCCAGATGAAGAAGAATGAGAGGCTCGTCGATTGTCGGCACGTCGTCCGATGCATCATTGTTGTTCTTGGGTTTAGCAGAAGACGAAGTATGTTTCTTCTTGGCTCCAGCAGATGATAAAGTAGGGCCAGTAAGGTGGTCGCTAGGTTCCTGGATTGCGGATTCGGGTTCCAGAGTGAACGACTGTATGCCTTTCTTGTCTTTGTAGCGAGCAAGACCCATCGCGACGAGTTTCGGGGCATGTTCCTTTCCGACAACTAGTGGTGTCGAGGAGCGGATCAACGTATGAAAAATGATGCTCCGCACGGTGGTGGCGATTAGCTGATAATTTGACGCTGCACAATCGCAGGTGAGTATGAACATGAAGAGGTTGTGTGTCGCTTACGGTCAGACTGGCGTAAGTCATCGAACTGGATGCTGCTGATCGGAAAACCGGTGGCGAGGAGCGCGCCCGATGGCCTCTCGCTCGCGACAAAGCTCTCAGCATCAGAGGGTAGATAGCCGGTCGAATTAGCGATGAATTGATTCAGTAACCTGTGAGGAGACTGATAGAGGTTGTGGATGAGGCATTCAACAAAATATGTGACGAAGCGGAATCTAGGTCGTATAGTCAGCATAGAGTAATCACTGCCTGAGAATGTATTACCTGCCATGGAGCCATCTATGGATACGCTCGAGCAAAATGAGCCCAGTATCGGATCCAGCCAGTATAGATGGAAGGTAGGGACGGACAAAGTTGATCACAGCTCTGGGGCGATCTAGCCCAGCAGTCGGCCGCACAGACTGGTGAGAGTTTGGCTTGAGAAGTGTGCTCTCGATCGCCTGCACGAGCTGGGTCTGGGAGGCATTGGTGCCAGTGGGGATGATGAAGGCCCGAACGTGCTCCAGAGGCTTGAAGAAGCGGAGGACCACTTCTCTGAGAAGTGGTCGAGGGACGGACCAGTTGACGCCCTTTTCAAGGCCAGCGCGGAAAGCATCAGAGCATTCCAAAGATGCAGATTGTGCTTCGTCGATCACGACGTAGAAGTCTGGGATGATCGAGGGTGCACATGCTGACGCTGACACTCGCGATGGAATGAGAGATTGGACCGTTTTGCTAACATAGGAAGCAAGGTAGCCAAGGCTGGGGCTTTTCTCGGCAATGATGTTGGAGAGATCGACAAAGATATCGGACGACAAACCGTGTCGCCCTTGGAAAAGTGCAGGATCTACTTGTAGCCTAAGCCATCGCCTCCTGTACGATTTGTGTTCGTCTTCCGTCAAGTCCCGCTTGGGCAAGACGCCGATATACCTCTGAAGAATGAGCAGACGGCTGAGCAAGACAGCGTAGATGTGCTGTTGGACAGCAGCAGTATTCCGTCCGAGTGCGGAAGATGGATCGCGCGCAGCCGATATGACGGGCTCGAAGAGGGGGTCATTCGTGATATCGGACAATTTGCGAGACAGGTCATCCGAGCCAATGCTGAGCGGATCCCGAAGGCAAGTGAAATAAAGGCCCCAGTGGAGGCACAGTCCCTCCAGTAGGAGACGAGTTTTGCCAGACCCCGATACATTGCACAAATATCTGCACGAATTAAGAGCCTGTTGGCGGGCTGGAGAACGTACGCACGTGTGTCGCTCTTGGAATATCGCATCGATGCGCCGGCCCATCTCCGAATCATGCCCGAAGGAGCCCAAATTATGGAGAAGGAGGGATGGAACTTCTGACGACGCCGAAAGGCACGGCAAGCGCAGTTGCGCCAGATGAGCGGCAATCTCTGGCCGTGAGGATGCACCCTGGGGGGAGAAGATTCGGAAGTGAACTTGGCTGTCCGCCAATTCTTGCAGGGCAGGATGGACGGTGTCGAGAAAGCGTTCAACGCTGTCCTGACAGCCCTCTTGCTTCTGGGAGAGCCTCTGCATATCCAACACTGTAGGATAGCGTCGGCAAACGGTGCAGTAAGATCAAGATACCGCGTACCCGTGTTTATCAATCTGGTATAGTGTTGGGTCTTTTGAGCATCCGTTATGATTCCCAGAAGGGTAGGATCCCCTTCAACGAGACCCATGCATTTGCGACCGTCCCAGTCCAGCGCAAGGACTTCGACAATAATCCTGAGAACCCCAGCACCGTGCACTTCTTTCATCAGACCCGTCACAGGGTTGAGATTATCCGTCGAAAATAGGCGGGCGCCGCGTACGCGCCAGATATCATCGTCGCGACGGGCCTCCTCTGCTTGAGTTGCAGGCGAGATCGGCATAGATAAGTGCACGCCCTCGAGATTGTGTGTAGTGCAGTATAGTGCGAGATATTGCAGGGACGTCTGGGCCTGGTCGGAAGCAGAGGGATAAACGAGGACACCAGCAGACAACAGACCGTCGTGAGAAGGGTCGCGGGCATGTTTGGTTTGGCTTTAGTTGCGCTTGTCTTGCATAGGCTTCTTCACCATGCACGTGAGAACCACGGCAACATAGACGCCTTGGACGCATACCAAGATGGCGTCGCAGGAGCTGGCCGATCTTCTTCTCCTCGCGCGCGAAACAGGTCTTCTGGAAAACCCTCCCGCATTACTTTCCCGAATTCTTCACGTACTGTGCCGCGAACGGTCGCAGCCGCTGGATCCGGACTTCGTGTCCGAACCTGCATGTCGCCGTCGTCTTTCCGAACATCCAGAAATTCTTCCTCTACTGGAAACTGCAGTGAAGACTGGCAATCAAGGTGGACTTTGGGATGATCGTACGTTTTACACTCGTAGCCAAGTTATATGACATTGATTAGTCGAGCAGCTCACCTTTCCTCCGAGGATCTCGATCTGGTATTACTCCGCGAACTGGCCAAGGCCGACGCCGCAATATGGAAAAATGTCGAAGATCTCCTCTCCGAGTCGTATGAGAAACTTTCGGAACTCGCCACTGGTGCTTCATTTGCAGAGGTCTGGTGTCCATCCACGTCCTCGCGAGAGGACGAGCCAAAGGTAGTCGATGCCTATGGCGACTTCATCCGAACTCTGCATATACCCAAAGCGTCTGATAATTTCCCCTGTCTACTCTTGCATGAACTTGGCTCCCTAATTGATGAAAAACACCTTCTCGACCGCACGAATCAGATATTTGCTCCTGATACACACACGTGAGCGCTCATCGCAAGACTCGCGCATATCCAACAACTGAGCACAAAGCTAGCATCTTCATCAACTCTTCCGGATCCGGCAAAACGAGGCTACTCCTCGAGGGCCTTTGCCGGCATTGGGGCGTGTATATGACATGCGCAGTCGATCCATCTGGAGTTGGCTGCGCAGATTTTCCCTACACCCTCTCTGTCGGATTGCAAAAGAAACCCTACTTCAAAGGTCTGGGAGAACTTCGCGAGCGCGACATCACTAGGAACTGCTATATCGCGCAGGACGTCTTCGCTGTACCGTTTCTTTCCAGGCTTCTTCTCCTCAGCCGCTTCCTGGAGGCAGTCCCGACAGCGGAACGCAATACCGATGAGACTCGCAAGAGGTGGCTGCATCTGCAAGTCTTGGCCCGCTTCGTTGGGTGCGACGGCCTGCTATTCGAGCTCACGCGCAGTCTAGCGGCTTTGCCTGCGAGTGCAGTGCAGTCTAGCATATCTGACACCTTGCTGAAGATTCGTGCCTTACTGGGAATACGCGACTTGCCCATATATTGCGCGCTCGACGAATGCCAGGTCGCTAGTCAGAAGTATCCCGGTGCCTTTGGTGACGAATCCACAACACTGCACCAGATGGCACTGTCCTGGCAGTCGTACGAACATGTCTCCGTCATTCTCACCGGTACGGCTGCGGACGTGCGGCCCTTCGTCGATGCGGCACATCCTCCTTATCGCATATATACCGACACTGGTGCATTTGACACGCCGGACGATCAGGCTCGATATGTCATGCATTATATGCCGTCCGCGGTGGTGTCTTCCGATGAGGGAAAAGACCTCATCTCTCGTATGTGGTTATGGTTACGCGGCAGGTGCGTACTGCGTAGTATACGTGCAACGTGCGCTGAAACCCTGCAGACATCGATTCACGGCGGCCTTCATTGCCTGTCTCCTCATGACGCAATTCCAACAACCACACGAGCTCTTGGACGCGTACATCGCTGCTAACCTGAGGGTTCATCCTATCGACCGAACTGCGAATTCCGGCCATGGACTATCAAACAGAGCTTCACGCGAGCTCGTGAAGGAATTCAACTACTTTACTGGACAGAGTTTGCTATACGGTCCGCGACATGTTCTGACGCGCTTACACGATGCTCACATCCTCGAGCAGATGCCCAATCGTACTTCTCTGCGCACTACGCAATACACCAGATCCTGCTAGGGCATACGCCGGTAGCTCTCACGGAGAACTGCTTCCCCCTCGCTGCGCATGGCTTGGCATACTTTACCGACGCAACCGGCACAGAGGTTCGCGTGCACGAGCCCACTGTGCTATGTCCGCTTCTGCAACCCAACTTCTACGAGTCGGGAGTGGTCAACGGTTTCTTTCCCGACGTCATGGGGGCCCGGTTACGCGAGGTGCCGACGCACAATTCGATACGTCTCGCGCTCGCTTCCTTGTTTCTTCATGCATTTAAGGATGGACCGCGACCGCTTACGGACCTCTTCCTGTTTCCCGTCGCGACACCTGACTGGGTAGCGCAGACGGCGGACTTGGTTTGCGTCACTCGTTGCACGACTCGGTGCAGGTCGTCGTATTCGGAAGCCAAACCTGAAGACGTATGGATCACAGACTCTCCCAGCTGGCTGCAGCACCAGCGAGAGGAGCCCTTCTGCGACGCTTCCAAGTTCAGCGGGGCGGACCTGCTCTTTGTCCTGCGCCTGAAGAACCAGAAGTGTCTACATGTCGCCGTTGCGGTCATGCTTCGCAATGACCACGTCGACGTATCGCCCGCTGACATCGAGCGGAAGTTGCACGATCTTGCGCCATCCAATATCTTCTCGCAGGTGGATCTGTCTCTATCTTTACAGGTCTTCTCGCTAACCTTGACTGTAGGATGCGCGGGCGACGACAACGGGCTCGCTGAGCTTTCCCCATCTGAGGGTCAAAGCCTTGGCCGCTGGCGATCCTCCTGTGCTTCGCGTCGTCACTACGTTCCCGCACGAAATGGAGATGGACATCAATCTTGCCAGGCGCGATGAGTACGCACAACCGATAGCCACCATCAACATGACCACAATGCGGGAGGTAGCCGAGTCCATCTCGCCGGACGACGTCGGGCGTCGGCTTATGGCCGTCCTTACCCGTAGCGGAGGTAAGAAACGGAAGTACGCTGACGATGAGGAGACTCATCGACCCAAGCGAATGACGACGAGGTTATCCGAAAAGAAGGAGTCGGGGAACCGGCAGGGGACGGTGGAGAGGCGACCGGAGGCCCCGACCGAGCGCCCGACCAGAGACACGACCAAGCGCAAGGCCCAGGAAAAGGGCAAGGGCACGACCAGAAAGGGTCCGACTCCGAAGGAAACCAAAAAGACGGCCGCGAGTCAGACCCAGGAGACGAGGCGCAGCTCACGGCTGGCTTCGAGGGGTTGAATCTGGGTTCGGAGAAAGCACTTTAAATTACCGCACCGTACGTATTGTCAGGGTACTGTCCCCTTCGCTCTTCTTGGACAGTGCCACCTTGGTTATATTCTCGAGCCAGCTTGGAGCAACGCCACAGTTATGGCGTCGCGTAAAGGAGACCGTTTTCGAACTTGCTTTCAAATTGTTGTCGAGCGTCCAGGAGATCTGTCCGTCGTGTTCGTATGTATTCTTCGTGACCATTTACACAACCTCCCTCGCGCTGGGCGTCCATGTTCGAATAAGTAACAGTTCATGGAGTGACCAAACAGGCTTGGAAAGCGTACAAACAAAGATTCGAAACCCTTGATCTCATACATTTAGCGCCCGTAACGCCGGTCGTTCCCCCACATCTCCCCAGCCCGCTGAAGACCTCAGGGAACGTCGGCACGTCGGGGAAGGCTGAGAGAGTATATGGAGGCATCCCCCCGTCACCCTACACCGTCGCGCGCATCCTCTACCTCAGCCGTTGATCTCACGGGCACCGCCGCTGGCATCGCTGCGAGTGCGCCATCGTCCCCCGCCCTCATCCCCGACGACGCCGGTGCCAAAGTGACCCGCCGTCGCAGCTGGGGCCGCTCGGAGGTTAGGGGACAGGATCCCCTACACGCCACGACGCAAGATGATCCCCTGCACATTGACATTCCCGCCGACTCGAGCACCACCGGACTTGGCACAGCCCCGACGTACGGGTTCAGCGAGGTGCCCTTCTACTCACCCACGGATGACCCTGCGTTCTTCCACGGCACGGCGTACGGCGGATACCCGCTGCAACGCGATCGCGACAGCACATACACGACTGCCAACTCGGCCGCGTCCACCGCGTCCCTCATTATGGACGGTCAGCGAGAGGACGATGAGGCAGGGCTGGCTGCGAACGCGTCAGGAGCAGGATGGGATACCGAGGCATCCGGCTCCACTCCACGCGCGCAAAGACGTACGGTACGCTATAGCGTGTCGCCTTCGCCGCTCAGGAAAACGGGGACCGCGATCAAATCTGTGTCGCGTAACCTGCGTCGCGCCTCGCTCCGTGTTGTCAACCTGGCCGGCCAAGGACTGGAGAGCCAGATACGCCTCCCCGACGGGAATGGAGACGAGCCCGCGTCGGCAGCGCAGCAGAAGCAGGAGCAGGACGATGCGTACGACGACCAGATCCCCGACCTTACAAAGGCGCTACCGATCCGCGGACGGACGTTGGGATTCCTCGGGACTGATAGCAAGCTGCGGCTTAATTTCTATCGCATGCTCGTGTACCCGTGCGTGACTTATCAGTCGTGCTGAACGTCCACTAACGCGTCGTCGTTGCAGGTGGACCGAGCCATTCATCCTCCTTCTCATCATCATCAACGCTGTGGTCCTCACCATCCAAGCCTCCCGCTCCCTTACATTGAGTGACGACGACGACACACCCGCTCCCGTCACCGGCTACTTCCATTCATGGGAGGATTACGCCCTCTTCGGTCTCTTCGTCTTCTATACCGTCGAAGCCTTTGCACGCATATGTGTTTCTGGTTTTCTTCTCGACCCCGAAATCCCCACATCATCATTGTTCACATCCCCATTCACGTCTGACGAACCGCAACCCGTTGCGCCAACAAGCAACCTTGCTGCTCTTGCGCGGGCAAACTCCATCGCCTCCCAACACCAGTCTCATGGGCCTCTAACTCGGGGGCTTTCGATCACGCAGCGAATCAAACGGTTGAACCGCAATCTCGCGCGTCCATTCGCCCTTGCAGCAGGGACGTCAATAGAATCGCAACACCCAGCCGAGATAGATGGTCCCCAGTCGCGGAATAAGCCAGAAGAAGCGGGAGTCACCACTACCACGCCTGTGACCGAGAAGATCAAGGCCGTCGCGCAGGGCTTTCGCGAGCCCAAGTTCTTCAAGAAAGAGTCCGATGCCATATCCTTGCCGTTTCGCCTTAGCGTTACCGTTGCGCACGAGAAGACGTATAGGAACCTGCCGTACCTTCGACAGAGCTGGAACCGGATCGACATGCTGGCCATCGTTGGCTTCTGGGTCTCGTTCTTATTGGCGATATTGGGCTTGGAGCGCGGGGAGCACCATATTGGAATTTTCCGCGCGCTGAGCGTGATCAGGACGGCCAGACTTTTGGCTATCACGTCGGGTACTACGGTTAGTCGAGCATTGAAATTCCTATTTGCATACTGATCCCTGCGACAGACTATCATGCACTCACTCAAGACCGCACGTCCGCTGCTGACCAGCGTGGCGTACTTTGTACTTTTCGCGGGCATGCTCTTTTCGTAAGTGATATCTCATCGTGAAGTTGATCCATTCTGACACTGAGTCAGTATTATTGGCGTTCAGTCGTTCAGCGGGTCTTTGCGGCGCGCATGCTACCTCCAGCCGGTCCTTGGTGAAGACGAAATGCAGCTAGACGATACGACATGCGGGGGCTACGTTGATCCGGACACCCTCAACGAGGTTCCCTATATAATGCAAGATGGCCAACATTCGAATACGGTGAAGGGCTACGTGTGTCCTCTTGGACAGATTTGTCGGGTATGTGCAATCGTCCCCGTCATTCCGCTTCCGCTTAACATGCCTGCTAGGAATCCGATCACAATCCCTACAGCAACATCGAGAGCTTCGACACCATATACTATGCGGCACTGCAGGTCACAATCGTGGCGTCTGCGAATGGTGTGCGTATTCCTTCCTCCTTGGTTTAAGGTGTACTGTTAGCTGACGAAGGATATGCGCAGTGGACCCCACTTATGTACAACATGATCGACTCGGAGTACTTCGTGTCGTGCTTCTTCTTCATCATCTGCGTCATCGTCCTCAACTTCTGGCTCATCAATCTCTTCGTCGCTGTTATCACGAACACGTTCGCTGCTATCAGAAAGGAGACAAAGCATTCTGCTTTTGGCGCGGCACCGTAAGTTCTATCCTGCAGTGGCTACGATCGCGGGCGAATGGTTATTGATACTGCTGCAGCCTTCGCCCGATCGCCGACGACGACGAGGATGGCTGGGCAGGTCACGAAGGCCGACGAGGTCGCATGACCAACCCAGCGAAGACCATCTACGAGTATACTCGTTATGTATGGGTTCTCCTCGCTCTCGCCTCTCTTATTCTGCAAGCATCACGTACAACAGAGGCTGGAGAAGCGCACTCGCAGGTGCTTTACTATGGCGAGCTGGGCATCACCATCGCGTTCGACGTGGAGATTGGCCTGCGCGTGCTTGCGACTCTACCGGACTGGCGCGATTTCTTCCGCCACGGACAGAACTGGCTTGACACGGCGATTGCGGTGGTTTCGACCATCATTCAGATCCCTGCAATCCATAATAGCGCGTTGTATCCGTGGTTCACGGCTGTGCAGCTGATGCGGTTCTACCGGGTGATCTTGGTCGTGCCCAGGATGAAGCCTTTGCTGGTACGTGGTCAAGCGCATTGAAGTGATAAGGAGTGACTAATGCATACCATAGCTCGCTGTGTTCGGGAACATGTACGGTCTGGCCAACATGACGCTGTTCCTCATCCTGGTCAACTTCATTGCGGCGTTGTTCGCACTGCAGCTGCTGCGCGGAGACGTGTCAGGGGACAACACCATCAACTTCGGCCAGCTCTTCAACGCGTTCTTGGGCATCTACCAGGTATTCTCGAGCGAGAATTGGACGGATGTGCTCTATACTGCGACGGACTCGGAGATGCCCCTCGGACAAGCGGCCGTCGTCGCGCTATTCGTGACAGTGTGGCTACTCTTTGCAAACTGTACGTTAAGAATCTTCTTCCGCGTCCGGACAGCACTCACGGACATGAAGTTATCATACTGCAGATGTTCATCGCCGTCATCAACGAGAACTTCGACGTCGCCGAAGAGGCCAAGTTGAGCAAGCAGGCATCCAATTACTGGGCTAGCCACCAGCCCGAACGACACCAAGCGAGCTGGTTCCGACGACTGAATCCGTACCGATGGGTGAGGGCGAACCCCGTCAAAGTGAAGGTTGAGAATCTGCCGTCAAACCTTGTGCTGCCGATGCAAAAGGCGCTTGTGCAAGACTACACGGTTGGCACGTCGGATACTCGCTCGGTCATGGTGCGTATCCCTACACTCTGCATATACGACCAACCTGACGAAGGGTTCATGTAGGACAGAAGCATCAAGGGTAGCATACGAGGCAAGAAACACTACCCCTCCAAGTCGCTATCAGCCCTCCAGAAGCTCTTCGCGGGAGATACCGCATCCAACGATGTGCCCATGTCAACTCTGAAGCACGCGCGCTCCGAGACCCTCGCCGCGCTGAATGAGCAGGACGACGAAGCCGAGCGACATCTGTGCGTCTACTTGCATTGATTGCACGTAAACTTGCTGAATACTGTCACAGCGAGCTTCTCGCAGCGGTCAACACGGATAACACTGCGGCTGAGGATATGAACGACGCGCTGTACGAACGCAAAGCCCAGAAGGCCGACTTCATTCGTGATCATCCGACGTACGATAAAACCTTCTGGCTGTTTTCGCAAAAGAACCCTCTGCGTCGGTGGTGCCAGAAAGTCGTGGAGCCGGCCAATGGAGAGCGCATATTCGGCCAATCGCCATCGCCTATAGCCCATCCAATCTTTCAGCTCATACTGCTCCTGGCGGTGGCTGGCGGTATCGCAGTGGAGATTGTAGCCACGCCTCTATACCGACGCGACTACTATGCGGTCAATGGGCAGATTCGCGGCAGCTGGTTCGACATCTGCGAGGCTGCCTTCGGCTTTACACTCGTAATCGAGTTCTGTGTCAAGATCATCGCGGACGGCTTTCTCTTCACGCCCAACGCCTACATCCGGAGCATTTGGAACATCCTGGACTTCTTCATTATGATTGGGGTGTTGCTCAATGTCATCACCGGGCTCATCTTCATAGGAGGTCTGTCCCGCTTTACTCGCTCACTCAAGGCCCTGCGAGTGCTGCGACTGGTGACACTCATCGAGAAGATGCGAAGCACATTCCAGAGCTTGATCATCTCTGGCGCGACCCGTATCTTCGACGCCGCCGTCCTTGCCATCCTGTACATGATTCCGTACGCCGTGTGGGGTCTCAACATGTTTTCCGGGAAGATGAACACCTGCAACGACGAGGATGTGGACGGCATGGCGGACTGCATCGGCGAGTACACAACGACGGCAGTGGGGGATTCGTTTGGTTTTCTGGCACCACGGTCATGGGACAACCCGGCACCATCGACGGTGTTTTCTTTCGACTCGTTCCCGGCGTCCCTCCTCATTCTCTTTGAGATTGTGTCCCTCGAAGGGTGGACGGATGTAATGGGAGTGGCCATGAGCATCACCGGAGAGAACTCTCAACCGCAGACGAACGCGTCACAGGTCAACGCTCTCTTCTTCATAATCTACAACCTGCTCGGCGGCGTTGTGATCCTCACCCTCTTCGTCAGGTAAGGTGAACAGGGCTTGTATTGTGTTCGTGTGCTGATACTACCGCTCTATAGTATCATCATCGGCAACTTCAGTTCAAAGACGGGGTCTGCCTTCCTGACGAAGCCCCAAAGGGAATGGATCGATTTGCAGAAGCTCTTCAAGCGTCAGCGACCTTCTAAACGACCGAAGAAACCTCCAACATGGGCTGTCCGTCGATGGTGCTTCGACCGGGCCACTCAGAAGCACGGATGGTGGTCGAGATCGATGACCTTTCTCTTCTTTCTCCACATCGTCGCCTTGATGTGAGTATACATATCGCTACTTTCCCGTGACTCTTCTAAGCATGGAACAGGACTCAGAGCTACACTCGCGCCAATGTCACGGACACGATCCGAAGTGAGTTCATATCGCCCATCGCCGTATTGCTTACAGACTGACAATTTCGCAGACGACTTCTTCCTGGCCATCACCTTCATCTATATCATCGACGTGCTCGTCCGCTTCATTGGTCTAGGGTGGTTGAGCTTTCGCGCCAACGGATGGAACATCTTCGACATTATCGTCGCCGTCGGCAGCTTCATCACCACGCTCATCGTCCGCTTCGGGGAGAGCGGCTTCGTTACGCAACAACTGCAGAAGCTCTTTCTCGTCAGCATCGCCTTCAAGCTCGTGCAGAGGACCAATAGTCTCAACAAGTTGTTTAAGACCGCTGTGTGAGTCCGAACACACCGTACGTGGTCGATGTGCTGACTGGTCGCTCAGCTCGAGTTTGCCTGTCATCCTGAGCCTGTTGGGTCTCTGGTTCATCCTGTTCATCTTCTTCGCCATCCTCTTCGTCGAGGTGTTCAGTATGACGAAGTGGGGATCTGGTGAAAGTCGGGATCAGAACTACATGTCTGTTGGGAGCGCGCTGGTTATGCTTGCCTTCATGAGTACCGGAGAAGGCTGGAATCAGTACATGCACGATTAGTGAGCACTGTGACAATGCGCTTAGATAGCCCGCTAACAGTCTGATAGCGCTGTCGTGTATCCGCGATGTACGAATTCCGGCTCCGAGGGCGAGTCCGACTGCGGCAGTGTGGGATGGGCGTTCGTACTTTTCATCGCGTGGAACCTGTTGAGCATGGTATGTCGTCAGTCGAGTTGCAACTAGCTGCAATTACTGATTGCCTCCTTAGTATATCTTCCTGAACATGTTCACTGGTGTGGTCGTCGAGAACTTTTCGTACGTTTTCCAAACCACGACCGGCGGCGCCAAGTCGGTCACTCGTGAGGAGATGCGCGCGTTCAAGAAGATTTGGGCCCAGTACTCGAATCCGAAGACCGGGTACCTGGAGAAGCAGAACTTCGTTCCATTTTTCGGGGTACGTCCGGATTGACAGTGTCCGTCCTGCTTGTTGGCTGACACCCGCGCAGAAACTCAGTGGCATCTTCGAAGTCCGCATCTACCCTCAGCAGTACAGCATCCCTAACATCATCAACGCCGCCAAGGAGTCGTCGAACTCGGAGTACGCCTGGCCGTCGCTCGTAGTGGACGGCATCGACATAGGCAAGCTCAACAAGGTTCTGAACGAGATTGACTATGCGGCGATCCGGAGGAGACGGGTAATCTACAGTCGACTGTATCACGAGGCGAGCATATCACACCATGGAAGGGGGATATCCTTCACGGATATGCTGCTGCTGCTTGCGCACCACAAGTTGATCGTCGACAGGGAGGCTTTGGTGTGAGTTTCGGTCTTTTCAGTCTTGAAGCATTGACTGACGATCGGGCAGTTTGAAGGATCTCGTCAAGCGGACCGAGACCAACAAGCTGGTCACCGACCTCGTCAACCTAGATCGCGTACGGTCCTTGTTGAAGACGATCACGTACAGGCGACGCTTCCTGGCGCACAAGCGACAGCTGCAAGCCGAGCGGTATTCGCAGCAGGGTACGTGCATCTCTCTCCGCTCTTGTGTTCTGCTGATCGCTCGTCAGACATCCCGTCCATCGTTGTCGACACCCTGCCCACAACGCCACCAAGTTCCTCACGCGACATCGCGTCCGCTCTCCAAGATACGCCGGGCAGCCCGAGCCCCAGCCAAAGACGGTTCAACAGCGTGCAGGACCCGCGCTTTGGTTCGGGGGCGCTCGATGGCAGGTGGAGCATATCCGACCGGCAGAGCACGTTCAGCGCAACGCCCGACGTGTCTCTGGCGTTGGAGGGCGGGCCGGGCTTGCAGCGCAGTCGCGGCGGGCCACGGTGGACCAGCGATACAAGCTTCTTGTCGGGTGATCTGGGCTACCTGACGCGCGACTCTGTGTCCGTAGACGAGGATCCGCAAGGCGTGATTAATGCGATGCAGAACTCGATGTGGGGCGGTGAGTGCTCTTCTGCGTCGTGTATGACCGTTTCGCTGAGCTTGCACTAGATATGCTTGACGAAGCTGCTGAGGAGGAAGAAGAGAAGCGATAGCGCTAAGGGTGCGTCCGCGCGGTTCGAGCGAGCCGCTGACGGTCGCCCGATGCCTGACCAGGCGTGGTATTTATGTACATAACTATGGGACCCTTCGAATAATGGCCGTTTACCTACCTCGGATCCTGACTTGCACCCTCGCGTACATGGGGTGTGGCAGGTCGAACTTACCAGTCTAGGATACTGTTCAGCTGTGCACGATTTTTGCTCATGGACTCCAACTTACATGCTTTCGATTGTACTTTAGAGCGACCTTTCTTCTTTCTCCTGCTCTCGCTATCGATGATCAGTCTGGTAGTATATACATACGACGTTCCTTTGTGTTTATTGTACAGATTCAGATGTGGTGTAATGCGCCGGACTTCGCCACTCGCTTGACCATGGCCACTGGTGTCAATGCATCGGTCAGACTTTGCTTCTGAACCAAGTTGAGGACCAGCGCGTCTACGCATTCAAGGTTACACGTTCAGAATGAGGCATGGCACTGTCTGATATTAGAGAAAGGAGGGCTAATGGCGGAGAGTAGGCCTTGAAAAGTTGGAACTGTTTGAGTGATTCTCGGCTGTTGCCGAACGACGCGTAATGAAAGGTCTTAACAATGAAGACGCGTTCATCTTTGAAAGAATCTTTGCTCTCTACCTTCACACAACATGTCCGGCGACGACAACAACAACGTAGGACGAACACTTGGCGGCGGCGCTGCCGAACCTCTTCCAGCGGAATGGGCACGCCCCGCCGCCGCAAGACCATCCTCGGGCCCACGAGTTGGACGCGTTGGAGCGTGGGGGTCAGTAACGATCTCACATCTGCGTCCTCGAGGCTGACGACGGTACCTGCAGAAGTAGCGCATCGGGTGGCGGGAGTGGTAGCAGCACTCCTAGCAGCAGCGGCAGGGGCGGTATCCACACCTTCCGCGATCTAGTCGGCGGCGGAGGGTTCAGCGGTGGAGGCGGAGGTGGAGGCCCTGCTCCCTCACGAGGCGGTGTGGGCCGCATCCCACACAACGATGAGGACGACGACTCGGACGACGAGGGCCCGCCAGAGGCCGAGAGCTGGTTCGCTGGTGGCGAGCGCAGGTGTGTGGTCCGCCGCTTTGCCACGATGTACCATCTAACACGCTCCCAGCGGTATCTCAGTGCAGAACCCTGCGCAAGGCGGCGGGCCTAACATTCCTGGTGGCGACATGGTTCGCGATCTTCTCCGCCGTGCCGCTGAGTGAGCATGCCCGCCCTACACCCACGCCGTCCACCCCGATCTGACCTATACTTTCAGAGCCGGGCCCCCTCCTGCGCCCGAGGAGCACTCGCGAAGCAGTGCGTTCTTTGGCGGAGGACATACACTTGGCAGCGACGAGGTCGAGAGCACGTTCGTGCCCGATCCCAATGCAGCGGACGAGGCTGAGGAGACTGCGATCCGACACATCACGTTCTGGCGCGAGGGCTTCACGATCGAGGACGGAGATCTATTCCGCTACGATGACCCCCAGCACTCGCAGACGCTCGCGGAGATCAACCAGGGGTGCGTCTCCAGTGACAGTCGTCGCGAAATCGTACTGACCTATCCCTTAGTCGGGCCCCACCGCACATCCTGAATGTCCTCCCTGGCCAGCCGGTCGAACTCCGCGTTGCGAAGCGCACCGAGGAATCTTATGTCCCTACGCGCCGCGCCTTCGGTGGCTCTGGCCACCGTTTGGGTGCGCCAGTGCCCGAGGTCAGCTCCCCGAGCGGCAGTGGCGCTGCCAGCCCTATGCCGGGTGGTTTCCCTGGAGCGTCGTCCACGGCGGCGCCCGCGCCTTCCTCCGAGGATCGTGGAGTGGCGAGCATCAACACCAAGTTCGAGGTCGATCAGACCGCGCCGACGACGAGCATCCAGATCAGGCTTGCGGATGGCACTCGGTGAGCGCCATTGACTGGTCGTGATGGCGGATGGTCTGACTGCCATTCTTCAGTATGGTTGCTCGCATGAATTTGACGCACACTGTTGGCGATATTCGCAGCTTCATCAATGCGTGAGTTGGCTCGCCTGAGCTACAGCACACTATGACTAATGAGACCGCCAGCTCGCGCCCTGAAAACCTGACGCGGCCGTATACCATCGGCACCACCTTCCCCAACCGTATACTGGACGACGACAAGGCGACGATCACGGATGCGGGACTGCAGAACAGTGTCATCGTGCAGAGATGGGTTTAGGGGAAGTCGAATGAGTTGGCAAAGGCATGACGACGATGTGCCAGTTGTATCGTATATTATAGCAAGATTTGTGTGATGAAGGCCAAATATCTGCTCGCTCAACAGCGCTTCCTAATGTGCGTACGCACTCTTCCTCTGCCTTCATAGGCCAGAGACAAGCTTTACGTCCTTCTCCAAATTAGATTCCTCACCGTCGACTTTGCGGCAGTAGCTGGTAGCGCTTGGGCGCGAAAAATAAGCGCTGGTAAGCGCCGAGGCCCTTTGAGCGCCAATCAGATCAAGGGGCAAGCAGTGACTGGAAGTCAATATAAACACGACGGTTGCCCGCAATAACCCGCATCGCCCATTGAATCCAGTTTTGCAGCTTGTTTCCGACCGTCACCATGTCCCAGAAGGTAGACAGGCCTCCGGTCTTGGATCCTGGAGTCTCTCATCGCCGCAGGCCGGGAAGCCCTTGCAAGTGCCTATGCTACACGCTCGCTGCTCTAGCAGCCACTGCTGCTACCGCTCTTGGCGCATACGTCTCATATCTCCTGCTTTCGAAGGCCGCGAGCGTCGTAGATTCCCACCGGCATCCGTACAAGGAGTTGCACTACAATGAAACCTCGGTCGGTGAAGCGGTCCGTCCCCTCATCGATTCGGACACCACCTTTGACGTCGTCCTTTCGGTGTGGCTGAGGGCGCCGGAGGAGGAGGAGGCGGCATACTTGGAGAACAACCCTGCGGAACCGCCGGGTCTCGAGGGCATTGCGAACGTGCTGGGCGATATGCTTGACTTCCAGGCCTGGACGTCGGGGAACCCGGTGCACAACTTCCTGAGAAAGACGCAGGACTCGAGGATGCTTGAGGCGCCGCTTTTCTCCGATGTCGTGTTCAAGGATGCGCGACTGTCTGACAGAGGCCGTGCGACGTCGATTTCCCTGCGTATTCCGACGGCTAGATTGTGAGTGGGGATTCATGCAATCATGATCAGCTCGAGTACGCTCAGAGCTTACTGACATCTCTCCACTAGTTTGACGCCGAATTTGACTGCCACGGACTTGCGCGCGACCTTCATGGTCATCCCTTCGTCGCCTTCGGTGCAAGTTTCTAACTACTCGTCTTGGAAGCCCAAGTCGGTGGCACTAGCTCGTCCGACAAGAGCGTGGCCGTGAGTACTTTCTCTACTGCGTGCCACCCAGTATTCACAGAGGTTTATCAGTTTCCCATTAGGCGCTGAGGATGCCGGGGACAAGACCATCGAGGACCTTGCCTTTGAGTCGTTCTCTATCACCGTTCCAATGGTCCGCTTCCACGAGGTCAATGATCCATGTGGCGGCGAGAACAGCACAAACAGCGACGAGGGCGCAGCGACCAATAGCACCGACAGCACGAAGGACGAGGTCGAGGATCCCGCAAGCCATGAACATGTAGACACCGAAGCGGGGGAGAGGGCCGTCACGATCTCGATAGCCCCCGAACCTCCTTACAAGAAGCACCCTCACATCGTGACTCGGTGAGTGTCAGTGCTTCACGCCGTCCTCGACGCGCTGACCCACGCTATCAATGAACTTCGTTCAGCGCTCAGCTCCGCATTGTCGATAGTGCCCCGCTCTATCAAAAGAAGGGCTACGCGGAGAGGCATACAAACCTTGCCAAGGATCCAGTCAGTCCAACCTTACCGCTGCACGACACCCGATCTTGATGAGCTCTCACAGTGCTCCATGAACCGCATGTCCTTCCAGCCCGTGTGGCCCTTTTGCGACCGTTCATTCGCCAACAATGGCCATTTCGAGGCATATGTCGAGCTGGATGGCCCTGAACAGCCGGAATGGCGGTATGCTCCCTTCATCGACATACGCAACGCAATTGCCGGACCAAGGGTACGCTCATGCTTGACCCTTCGCCTTCACTGCTTGCTGATACGCCAGGTCTCAGGATATCATTCCTGTACCAGTTATTCGACAGAAATGCGAAACAAAGTCGGCGCGGTCAGAAGGCGACGAAAGCCCTCAGGATGACGGGACCCCCACGCCCGACTTCATGGATGTCACTCTTGAGGTCGACTTCGCTGGCGAGACTCCTGGTCGCTCTGCACTCGCGACGCTCATGAAGTGGCAGTCGCCACCGCTCACGAACGAGAGCGACTACGTGCAGGTCATGGCCCACGACAATGCCGAGTTGTGGAACAGCGTACGGGGCCATTATTCGAGGGAGGATGCCAGACCGAGATTGAGAATCGCGCTGACGGTGCTGTCGTAAGTGACGGTCCTTCCACGCCGGCGAGGCTGCCTGACAATCTCTCCTGCTAGCACCCTCTGCTACCTCGCCGTCTTCCTCTTCGACTTCACCTATTGGTACAAATGCTCGTCGACCGTTACTATCAGCATCCACGCCACAGAGATGCTTATTGCAGCGGGAGTCGTTAGCTATGTGGATAGTGTCATCACCGATACGCTGGGCGACCCAGAAAACTGGTGGATTCACGTCTTGATGTATACGCCAGAACTGCTGCTCCCATTCCTCATGGCGAAGGCGATCTATCGATGGGAGTTCGGCTGGAGCGACGGCAAGGGGCTCAAGAGGTGGATCCCGACTGCGAAGCAGGTGCCCGCGGGACATAGGGAGCGTGCGAGTGTGAGGTTGGACAAGCGGATGATGGGGGACAAGGCGACGCTTGGGGTAAGCTCTCGACTTGATTCATTTTTCTCGATACTCATCGAGCATCATTTGCAGTTGTTGATTGGCAGTCTCCTGCTCTCCCTGCTCATGCGCGATACCCCCTTCCTTCGCGCCTTGCATCCTGCACCCGATGAAGCGCACAAGCCCAATTGGTCGACCTTCACCATCGTCTTCGGTTATATGATGAACGCGTTTTTCTGGGCTGGTCATCTTCGACAAGGCCTGCTTCGTCACTCGGTGCGCAAGTTCGCAGGGCAGTATCGATTAGGTGCGGTGCTTATGTGCTTGGGGACCTGGACCGACTTCCTTGGCCATCTAACCAGCGTTGTGGGACACTACGATGCCCGCCCGGCGTATCATTATGTGCAGCTACCTGGTCTGGCGCTCACGGCTTGGGCGGCGTACCAGGCGGTCACTTTAGCTCCAGAGCAGATTGAAGATGTAGACGAGAGCGAGGAATGAAAATATTGTATGTCAAGCTCTATAACGGACTGAAGGGGTTCCAAAAATTTCGCCTTCCGGCCAAACATGAGGTGGTCGAGGCGGCACGTCGCGTTCACCGGACGTCTAGCACGACGAGCAGCTACTAGTACATGCACGCGACAGCCACACAGATGCAGGCCGACCCCTGCAAAGCGTGCACCGCGTATGCCACATAAGCATCATGTGGCACCGACGGCAGCTTCGCAGCGAGTGTACGCAACAATATCTCAGCCCGTCATAGCGAACGAGAATTGCTTGGGCTTCATCGACATCGAGCGCCCACTCGCGGTCGACTGAAGTCCACTCACCTACGTCCGTAGCCAGCACGGTCCCTTCTGGTGACGAAGCGGCATATCTCGAAGCCGTGGACCGATACCGTGTACCACGACTCGTCCTTGATACCCCACAACCTGGCTATCGTACGCGGTGAGCCCGACGCTGAAGGTCTCGCCGTCACTGCCAATGGCTCGACCGTATGGTCGACAGCGTTGGCAGTAACCGCAGTGGCGACCTTGCTACCATCCGAAAGCACGACCGTGCTCCTCCGCAGCAGAAAAAGCGTGTAGCAAGCCACACGTTTCTGCCTGGAAGACTGCTCGTCAATCGAGGAATTGGTAGTCAGTTGGACTTCACACCCGGCGATGGGGGCTTGGGAAAGCATTGCATGCCGCCCGCCGCCTTATAACTCTCAATCCACGTGTTGTTGATCACAGCATTCGGCCATCGCCGACCTGGGTTCTTTTGTGACCTTCCAGCCTCGTGCTGAACCTTCGATGCACACCTCCATAGCTTCAACAAGTCTACTCCTGTTCGTATCTTGACGCAACTCTCTTAGAGAAGACACCTTAAATCCTTGAGAAAGCCTAGAAAATCAAGCAACGGAACTCAGTTTTTGACAATTCTGCACTGCTACCTAACTATTGCCTATATGTCACACATCTGATGATCCTATGTAGCCCAAATGTTCTGCAGATACTGTATAGCGTCGACTCCGAAAAGACAATACAATGTATACGTGTCCACGTCTTGATGTATACGTCGAAGCTGCTACTCCCATTCCTGATGGCAAAGGTGATTTATCAATGGGAGCTCGGCTGGCGGGACGGTTGAAGAGGTGGATTCCGACTGCGAAGCAGGTGCCCGCGGGGCATAGCGAACGCGCGAGTGTGAGGTTGGACAAGCGAGTAATGGGGGACAAGGCGATGCTTGGAGTAAGCTCTAGACTGGATTTATTTCACACAATACTCCGAGAGCGGCGTATGGGCGCACGAAAGTCGCTCGGACTGCTCTTCCCTGAATTTGAGGCCTGCGAAAATGAGACGACCATAAAACGGCATCGGCCTGTTTCATGTGATCTTCGGGGCTTGCGTCCACTTGAACGAGATTTGGCAGTGGCACGGGAAAGAGGGCGAGCCGAAACATAATAGAAGGGTAATATGCCATGCTAATATACATGCACAATCACCAAGGAGGTGCTCATTACGAGGAGCGTCTCGACATCTTGACCCAAAGGCCGCCCTGTGGCATGGTGTGTTGAGCCTAGCGCCTTCGAACGCCCAAGAAAACGTACCTTGACAAACAAGGTCATAGCATTCGATGGCCAGATTCGTTCATATTGTTGACGCCCCTCGCGTAGTTTCCACTCCTCCGGAGGGAGGGATCCAGCGGGCTGAGCTTCCGTAGCCAGCGCGAACGTGTCAAACCTCTGAAGAAGTCTGACCAGGAAGTATGTCGCATGGTTATATGCGTAATTCTGCCCGATACACTGTATAAATCATCAGTAGGTAGTGTATCCTGGAAGAACGACACTCACAATCCGCGGACCTGCGCTGAATGGTGCGAATATTGCAGGGTCATGAACGTAGCGCCCCAAACGATCGTCCATCCACCGTTCTGGGTCGAAGACGTCCGCATCGGGGCCCCAAAGCTCAGGATCCCGTTGTATCAAGAGAGGAAGGTATACTACAGATGTATGCTTTGGGACATAAAGAGGACGAGAGTCGGTAGCCGTCCGAGAAGGGGGGAAGACGCATGGGGTTTCGCGCGTCTCGCGAATGTTGAGCGGCACGGGCGGGAAGAGACGCAGTGTCTCGTTGAGCATGGCGCGAGTGTACTTGAGCGAGCGAAGTTGTGGTATGGTAGGAGATCCGTTCTGCCCACAGACGGCGAGAATTTCGGTTCTCAACTTTGTGAGGACATCGGCGTGCGAGGTCAGGAAGTAGACGACGAAGGTGAGGAGGCAGGCCGTCTGTTCTATCATCAGCTACTGGGGAGGATAAAGGCCGTGATCACTTACGGTGTCCCGCGCCGCCAGTAGCATGCTGAGGAGCTGGTCGCGTATGATGACACGGTCTGTCGGAAAACATGGATTAATATGAGCCAATAGTAGTTGACGAGGCGAACGCAAAACGCACCGTCAGTACTCTCGACAAGGTGTTCCAAGAAATTCCTCTCTGCGACAGGGCTGTCTACGCCTTCTCGTCGGGCCTTGTCTCGAAGCGCGCGCTCGACGAGAGGATCCAGCCATTGACGGATGTGCTCGGCGTTCTCGCGATTGGCGTCCTGAAATGGCTCCAGCAGTGGCCAGAAATGACCAACGCGGGCGCGCGTAGTGCAGGTGACCTGCGCCGCCTCAAAGGCCTGCACGAAGGACCCAAAGGGGTCGCCGGCGGTAGCGCCCTTAGGCCCCAAGCCCGCCACCCCGGCGATCGGCCGTTCACCCGCGAGTGTGTCGAAGGAGCTGCCGAAGAGGAATTCTGAGGTTGCATCTAGAGCGAATCGCGAGAAGAGATCCTGGATATCGATGGGCTGGTTCTTGGTGGTGGCGTCGGATAAGATGCTGAGAGTGCGCTGCGTGTACCGCTCGAAGGTGTCGAGGTCGGATATGCGGTCGCGAGCGAAGAAGGGGCGGGCTACCGCGCGATGCTAGGGGTTTGTGAGTACTAGAACAATCGATGCAGTGATGAATTCACCATTTTCCAGGGCTAGGAAGAGCGTTAGCTACAGCGGATATGGAGATTATGAGCGGCTCACCTCATCGTCTCGATTGAATATGCCTTCGCCAAGGAACGTTTCCCTGTCGAAAGTATCTGTCAGATAGAAGTAGACCAACATCGGCGACGATGCTCACATGCGCTCTTTCTGTGCCAAACCTCGCCAAAAATTCTGGAAGCCCGTGGCCAATATAAACTTCGAGTGCTCCTGATCCATCGTGATAATCTATGGAGCTTGTCAGCGCGCGTCTGAGAATGACATTCACCGCTTACATTGTCTACCCATAGGATCCGCAGGTTCAGCGTAGTTGTATTGTATTCCTTGAAGAGCTGAAGATATACATCTAGGACGTAGCTGTTCTTGAAGGCCTTCATCATGCGGAACAGGACGTCGAGGTTTCCGGGGAGCCGCCCATTTACGCAAGGAATTGGCCGAGCGCCCAGATTACGCCGCTCGAGGGCTTGTACACAGGATGAGCGCAGTTGATTGATGGTGATCCAGGTCGCGACAGCGACAGCGTATGCTGGGATTATTAGTGCACCCAGACTGATGGAGCGCCATCGCAGGAGGAGATGGGTAGTGATGATGGGTAGGAGCGCAAAGTAGGTCAGTTCGCGCAGGACGCGACGATGGTATCTGCTCGCGGGGTGGGCCATTGTGAGGTCGTAAATGGCAAGAGCAATGTTGACTGTAGTTTTTATGGTCGGACGTGCGGCCCTGGGTTCAGCCCTGAAAGGCGCGAGGGCACCACGATGACGGAGGTTAAAGGGGCCGAGAGACGCAATGGTATAGCAACGCCTCTAGGATCGCATTCAAATCGATGGCCGCCGCCTCGCCGTATCCGTCATCCTAAGTGTAATGTGCCAAGCTCATGACTAGTCGGTGTATTCGTAGAACACAACTATGGGTCGCGGAAGGGTGGGGTGTGGAACAAACGTCGGTTGAGATCAATCACCGACGAGGATCAATGGGTGAAGGGCGGGCTAAAATGAACGGCGTGAGTAGCATGAGACCGGCCGTCGGGGAATGATAAGCGCAAGCTGTCTTCTGAGTGGACGGACCATCCGGACGCAGCACGGATGGTAGGTCAATCGACCTATGCGATGTCGCGAACACAGAGCCGGGGTAAGGATTCATGTGGTCTTCAGTCCGACTCGGAGAGGGTCGCTGCGAAGCTAAGATGGCTGCCGACGCCGCTAAGCTCGATGCTGGCCGAGATCCTTCAGCTAAACCGAAGTGACCATTGATATCCAGAAATCCCAGGCAACCATGTCGGGACGTACGTAGGAACGATGCCCGAGAAACAATCCATCCGCATCTCTCGGAGAAATCCCTCAGGAGTCCCCAGTCTTCCCACTCGATGCCTCCATTTGGGCCAGTTGATCTACGAGGTCGTCCATTACGGACCGTGACCGTTGGTGACCAGTCGGTGCCGACGACTCCCGCAGAGTCGAAGTGCCCTGAGTCTGCCCTGTCTTCGTCGGGACCAAGACAGCATCGGGGTCGAATCCAGGCGCGACACGCCTGAGCGCTTCCTTCCTCCGACGCAGCTTCTCGTCCTCTCGGTCTCGGAGGTACCGTTCGTGACGGGCAGCGTCGGCGGCAAGGCTCCCACGCCGCGCGCTCTCCGCGGCGATAACTTGAGCCTCTAAAGTGAATGGGTAGACAAACTGACCGGACGTTAGCCAGGACCTCTGACAGCAGGCTGTGGCGGAGCGTACGTAGGCTGTTACGGAGTCGGGCAACGGGTGGATATCTGGTGGCAGCTGGATCTACTCAGGCTGTGAGATAGGCAATCCCGAGACGTAGATGGTCATTTACCGCTTGCGGTACTCGGAGACTTGGTGACTTGATGAGAGGCACTCGGGCAGCAGCCGCGTATGGCGCTGGACGGCTGGTCAGCCTATGACTTCGTCCCCAGACTTGGTGCCTTCACTTTGTTCAGTCATTGTATTCCACGCAGCAGTCAGAGCACAGGAATTGATGAATGGATACAGAGAAACTCGGAACGGAGGCGATGGTGTGGGACAACCTGTGAGCGTGACTGACAGCCACGCGAGCTGCCATTGTCATCACGATGGCCATGTCACTGTCACAGTTCCGCCTTGAACGGTATCTTCAACGTCGGGAAGCTCATCTCAGCAGGCTTTCCATTCAATCTCTCGATAGAGAAGAGGCATAGAAGATATGCCTCTGTCTATCTTCTGGCCGGATGACGTACGCCACTCCGGCACGCTCTTTGGCTGGTCGAGTCCTTCCGTCTGGTGCATCGCAGGCGTACTTCCGGAGGTTGGTCTCTCATCAAAAGCGAGAACTCCAGAATTTGAATGTGATTAATACGAACACTGGATCAGGAGGAGGATACCCAAAAGCTTGATAATATCTTACTCACCTTGCGACCGGATCCACCACGAGTACTTGGAAGCTGCTCTTTCGCGAAGGATTCCTGGGTTCCGAAGTTGCAATTAAACTCTTCTTCGAAGTAAGTGCCCCGCTTTCTGATTTTACCCCGTGGACTTACTGGACTGTTGAGGCCCTACAACATCATTCTTTACCGCCGTCATAAGCCAGTGACGCTCCGATACCATTGCCTTACGCCGCCTGGAGCGCTTCCGCAGAGTCATGCGACTCCTGGTCCTGCTCAAAGTCGAAAGGCCTCTGCGGGGATTGACGAACTTATCATTGGCAAGGCCAGTATGACCATGCGCCAAACGATTTCGCCCACTCTGACTCGTTCTCTCAGTTCAACCGAGCATGGGCCGTCGACGATGTCGTGCAGCGCGCGTTAATGCCTAGGAAAACTCGCGGGACGAGAGAACCCCTCGTATGGGCCCTTGCATCGACTATCGCGCGAAGCTTAGCACCGTATATTCTGATCGCGTCGCAAATGGCGAGGTGGATTTGTAGCGCGCCGCTGCTTTTGTGGAAGGCGTCGGATATTCTACTCATAGGTAAGGATATGTTCAGTGTTTGAATGATTCCACGGCTGAGCGTGCCCAATTGTCTGCAGCCCAGCAAATTGACGTGCGGTCTGAGCAAGCGCAGTTCTTCGTTAGAGAGGCTGGATCGCTGGCGGGTGAGGGCGGCGTAGCGGTGCCGGTGTTAGCTGGGCGATATACGAAGTTGGTCGTGAGATCTAATCGGATGGCATTGTGTCTAACGAGCATACAGCTTCTTCAACATTGTCTGGCTCATCGTGAACGACATTACGATCGGCATTGCTGTCGGTTCTTTTCTGTGCGAAAACCATGTAGTTCTAGCGAGAATGCATGACCGTGTCGTCCAGGTGAGTGCGGCTGAACAGTGCTTGACGCTTGTTGATTCCAGCCCAGGACCTCTTTGTTACTCGTTTGGTTCGGGTCTTACACTGGCTCGACTCGTGGCCAGCAGGGCTCAAGCTCAATACTGAACTCAGTCGCTTTTACGCTCATTCGTTTAGTGAGATTATCTCAGCTTGGGGTGGTATGTGCTCTCTTCGACGCGCTGAGGACCCGTTTGAGGCGCTCTGTAGGGCTCTTAAGCCGCGCCTCGGCGTTCCTCCCAGGAATCATATACGCGACTGGCGTTGCGAGCTTTCTCGGCGTGTCTTTCTCCATCAGCATCGTCTCCGACCTCCTTGCTTTGGCGACTGCGCATACCTATGTATGCTATACAGTGTCGAACGCCATTTACTCGCGCATGCTCAAGACCGCCGGATCGCTGTGGAATTTATTCCGAGGTACGTAGCGCTGCACTGCCACGCAGTGTCAAATCACGAAGACACCAACAATAGGAAAGCGCTTCAACGTCCTGCGTAACCGCACTGACTCCTGGGAGTACGATATCGACCAGCTGCTTTTTGGGACCGTGCTGTTCACGCTGCTAGCCTTCCTCTTTCCGACGGTGCTGGCGTATCACGCCGTCTTTGCTGCGGTAAGCCGGACCTTGGGACCTTTGCTTGCGTCTGACGCGCTCCAGGTACGACTGGGAATCATCTCGCTCTATGCCGGTCTGGAAACGTTACTGGCATTCATTAACCATTTCCCTTTGTTTGCCTTGATGTTGCGTATTAAGGATCCGTGGAGGCTTCCAGGTACGATAATCATGTTTACCATGCGGTACGGTCCGGATTAAACCTGCGTGCAGGTGGAATTTACTTTGCCACAAAACCAGGAACATATCAACTTATCGTGCAGGTAAATTATTGCCTCATACTGCGACCAAACTCTGACTTCGCATTGTTGTAGAACCAGCCTGTACCGCTCTCATCGATCTTCTTTCAGTACGGTAAGAGCGTGCATGCGGTCTCACTCGGTGGAGGCGATGATAACTTTCGTCAGTTGGCCTGTCAAAGCGGCTAGCCGCGCATTATAATCCTGTTCGACTTCTCCGACATGTTCTTACCGGTCGCTTCCTCGATGCTATCCCGCGGTACTCTATACGCTACGACAAGATCAATAGACCGAGGGCGACGGGGGAATGAATTCCGCACAGCGTTCGTGACAGTACTAGCGCGGCAGTACAACACCCCCGACGTACTTCCTGTACAGAAGATTCACTGCTCATGGGACATGAGATCTTGCCTCTCCACCGCGTGTATACACTGCCTTCTGACCTAAAATATGGAGTTTTGGAATGTGAAAGTTGGAACATGGGCGGTTGTGGGTCCGCTTGACACGTGTTCCCACGTGCTACGTCTAGATCTGCTTCCGCGGTGTCCGGCACTAAAGACAAGGGCTGCTCATCGCGTCCGACGACGCGCTCGCACCTTGACCAGAACTTCCTATGTCGTTCTGCTCGCCTTAAGCTCCATCTTGGCGCGACTTAACGCGTATAGACGCGTGCCCAATTACGTTTCCTAGCGGTTGCGAACGCCACGGCGTCGCGCACATCGCGAGACTCGTGCACCCCGGAAACGACATATGATCATCAAGTTCCGCCCGGGAGTGTGTGCGGTTAAGGGCGCCCGGGGTCGACTGTGCTTGTCCTCAGCTGCCATGTCGTCGCTGGTCGCTGGGCTCAAGCGGCCCCTCGTACTGGGCATCCGCAGGGAGGACCCCGCGCGTATCTGGGAACGGCGCTCTCCCCTTGTTCCCGCGCACGTTCGACAGCTCCTCGAGAAGCACAAGGACCTCAAAGTGCAGGTACAGCGATGCACGCGTCGCTTCTTCACGGAGGAGCAGTATACTGAGGTGCGTCGCGCGCCCCTATCTCATTCATGATCAGCGACTGAACGATGGGTACAGGCTGGCGCGCAAGTCGTGGACGATCTCTCGCAAGCGCATATCATCCTCGGAGTGAAGGAGCCGCCTCTCGAGGAAGTGTTCACCGATGGCGTTGCCTCGCCTAAGGACGATTCGACTGCGTCTCGTGTTTCGCTCATGTTCTCGCATACGACCAAGGGCCAAGCATATAACATGCCACTTCTGCGAAAGTTCTTGCGTGGACAGAACGAAGACAAGCACGTCAAGCCGGCCACGTTGATCGACTATGAACTACTCGTCAATGAGGAAGGCAAGCGCACGGTTGGGTTCGGTCATTTCGCTGGTGGTCAGTTCCTTCCAACGTTGATGCCTCGTCTTGTGTTCACGTCAGACTTCTAGTTGCTGGCGCCTTTGAGGCTTTTCATTCGTTAGGACTTTCGCTCCTGGAGAAGGGCTACGCGACACCATTCCTTGTAAGCGCACGGGTTTCCCCTTCCCCTCATCTGTGTCTCACCCCGCCACCAGTATTCTCCTCGTCCTCAGTCTCAGCCTACGCTGGAAACCCTCAAGACGGCCTTCCATCATACGTCTACCATGATAGCTGAGAATGGTATACCCCAGCAACTGGGTCCCATCATCGTCGGTCTCACTGGGTAATCCGAGCCATCTTCTCCCGTCTTTTCGTGTGTAACACAGCTTCTAGGTCTGGTCTGGTCTCCAAGGGCGCATTATCGGTTCTCAAGGATCTTCCTCACGACATGGTCACCGTCGAACAACTGCCGCTATTACTCCAGGGTTTTGACGCTGTGAATCACAAGAAGGTGAGTATTGAAGGCTTCGGACTGAGGTACTTGACTGACGTACTTCACGCAGGTGTACATATATCACGCTCATCCACAGGACTACCTCACCCGCCAGGACGGAGGTCCATACGATCGTTCATCTTATTATGAGTCGCCTAGGCTATATTCGTCTAAATTCGCGGAGAAGGCAAGCAGTCTTCCTTCAAATTCTCTTTGGTATGAGCTGATCTTCGTCCTTCTCACAGGTTGCACCCTATCTTACCATGCTCATAAATGGCGTTGGCTGGCAGCCTGGCTTCCCTCGCCTCATGACGAAGGAGGATCTGGACAAGGCGCTGTCCCTCGCTCGGGTGTACCCTGGCTTCCGGCTCCAGAACATCGCGGACATCAGTTGTGACATCGGGGTGCGTTCAAGCTGGATCTCTGGTTGTACAATCGACATCGTGAAGTCCTGACTATCTTCCTTTCAGGGCGGCCTTGAGTTCATGACCCAATCCACCACGCTTTCGCACCCGACTTACATCGAGCATCCTGCGGACCCGACCTTGCCACCCGTCACCATCATGTCCGTCGATATCCTCCCGGCCTCCTTACCCTTCGACGCCTCGATGCACTTCAGCACGGTCCTTTACCCGTACTTGGAGGACATTATAGTGCGGTATGCGAATGGCGAAGCACGATTTTCGGACGCGATTGAACGAGCGGTGGTGGCGAAGGATGGCAGACTCACGGAGCCTCATGCGTGGCTTGAAGAGGCGGCGTTCGCGAGCACTGAATTCTCCACGGCTCAGTCGCCCTCGACGACGACTCAGGATCATGGCGTGCTTCGTAGGAAGCGCGTCCTGATGCTTGGGAGCGGAATGGTGGCTGGACCGGCAGTTGAGACAATAGCTTCGCGGTCTGATGTGCAGCTTGTCGTTGGTGGGTCCATCCGTGGCGTGTAGCAGTTTGATGCTGATCAGTGCACAGCGAGCAACTCAGCTCAGGAAGCCCAGAAACTTGCAGCCGAGAACCCCAGCGTCGAGTACCGCATCATCGACATGGCGGACGAGAGCGCAGTGGCACCATTGGTGGCGGAAGCGGATGTGGTTATAAGGTGGGTTTTTGCTTTGGTATCGTAAGCTGCTAGTCTAATCCACATTCCCAGTCTCCTCCCCGCTACCCTTCATCCCGTCGTCGCCGAGGCGTGCATCGCGAACAAGAAACACCTCGTCACCGCTTCCTATATCTCTGACAGCATGCGTGCCCTCGATCAGCGTGCTCAGGACGTCGGTGTACTCTTGCTCAATGAGATCGGACTCGACCCCGGCATCGACCACTGCTCCGCTATGCGCCTGCTCGACGAGATCAAGAGCAAGAGCGAGCAGACGACGTCCTTCATTTCCTTCTGCGGTGGCCTGCCTGCGCCGGAAGCCTCGAACAACCCGTTCAAGTACAAGTTCAGCTGGAGCCCGAGGGCGGCGCTTACGGCGATCTCGCAGAATCCGGCCTTATTCAGGCTGGATGGAGAGGTGAGTAGCGGCGTTTTGCAGTGTGAGTGTGGGGTTGGCTGACTGGCGGTGTCACAGACGCATTCGTTGCAGGCGGGGCAGGAGGTCTTGGATAACCACTTCCCGGCATTCCCGGTGAAGAACGGGGAGGAGACCTTGGAGTTTGAGGGTCTGCCGAACCGCGATAGTCTGCAGTACATCTCTCAGTACGGCCTGCCGGAGCAGATCGGGACCATGTTGCGCGGTACACTGAGGTGAGCTCGGTCTGAGCTGTAACATTCTTCAATGTTGTTGACCATCCCCAGATATCCCGGCTTCTTCGACCTCATGAAGACGTGCTACAAGCTCGGCTTGCTCAACACCACCGAGACCATCCGATTGGAGAAGTGGGCTGACCTCGTCCCGGCGGCGTACACATCGATTCATGGTGGCGCACCGGAGGCCGTGGACTCAGCCCTCGCCAAGGCGGTCACCACTCAGCAAGCCGCTCAGTTCCTCAACGCGATGAAGTGGTTGGGAATCGTGCCCGGCGCGCCTGCAGGGACCAATGTGCCTCTGCCCCCTCTGCCTGCCGAAGCACTTTCGCCCCTCGACGCTTTCGCGCACCTCCTGATCGCCAAGCTCCGTTTTCTCCCCGGCGAGCGGGACCTGGTCGCGCTGACGCACGAGATTCGGACGGTCGACGCCAGCTCGGCAGCGCGCACATATCGCTCGACGCTTATTGCCTACGGTAACGACCGCCACTCAGCCATGGCCCGCACGGTGGGGATCCCGGTCGCGCTCGCGGCACTTGGCGTGCTTGATGGCAGGATCGGCGTGCGCGGCGTACAGGGAGCAACGGACGGCAGTGTGTATAGGCCGGTGTTGGAGGGATTGGAGGAAAGAGGCATTGGGATGAAGGAGACTGTCGAGCGCGTGCCGGAGGGCGGCGACCGATATGCAATTCTGGACGTGTTTACAGAGAGGCAGGGGCACAAGGAGAAGAAGGGGAGGCGGATTTAAGTCTTATCAGAACTGCGTTCAAAGGACTGCGGCATCCAGATTGTACACTCACGGAAGCATGGCTTCTTTGTATACTAGGCATACTCTACGAGTGCTTATATTTATCCGAGTTGGATTCAGGATCTATGCTGCTGGCTAGAGAGGACAAGTCTTGACCTGCCGAAGAGTACTTCTAGCTGTATTTATGCTGCACCTTTGCAGGTACTTACATAGGTGCAGGAGAGCCCCGGCAAATGCCGCCGGGGTCTATTGCTTCCCGATCGGGGATTCATTGTTTTCCTCCTCCACATCTAGCTTTGACCTGATATTTAGGGCAGTCCGAACGAACTCTCGTACCTGCTTCCTCCCAGTTCACCATCTCAGGCTCTACAATCATATGGCTGCTCCGATCTCCAAGGCGGAGAAGTCGTTCATTCAAGCGGGCATCCTCCTCGACCCGCCGACGCGCCTAGATGGACGCGCGCTGCATGAGTTTCGCGAGATCCAGCTGGAGACGGGCGTTGCACCACTAGCTAGTGGGAGCGCGAGGCTGACGATTGGCGCGGGGAAGGATGGGAGCGGCGGCACGGAGGTGTGGGCGGCGACGAAGCTCGAGGTCGTGGATGTGGCGGACGGCGAGCGGCAGGGCGTGGTGTGCTCGGTGACTTGGTGAGCTTTTCCCCTTTGACATTCATCCGCACCTCCACCTTTGTATGTGTACCCTCATCTTATCGCCCCTACGTCTGTCCTCCTCCCTACTTGCAACTAACTAACACCCAGCCAGCTCCCCTCAGGCCTACCCACACCTCACCGCACCCGCGCTCGATGATCTCCAGGCCGACCTCACTTCCCTTCTCGACACCACTCTCGCGCACCCTTCCCTCCTCCCCGCCTCCCTCACCATCATCCCCGCGAAAAAGGCCTGGCTCCTCGCACTTGACTGCGTCGTCCTCGCCGCCGCGGGGAGCGTCCCCGACGCCCTCTTCATGGCCGCGCGTGCAGCGCTGTGGGATACGCGCGTGCCGCGGACGCGCGCGGTCGAGTATCGCGCCGCCCCCGGCGCATCAGGCGCGAGGGGCAAGAACGCGGCGCAGGGCGCGGGCGCGGGCGACATGGACGTCGACGGGCCCGCTGCCAGTGCGTTCGACACGCGGGAGGCGGTGCGCGCGGCGGCCGACTTTGAGCTGCTCGACTACTGGGAGGAGGGCGAGGTGCTGGGCGGCCGGGAGCGCTGGCCGGTGGGCGTGACGTTGAATTTGGTGCGTTGTGCAGGGATGAAGGGGGACGTACACTAGCTGATCGAGACACGACAGATGCCTCCATCGCCTGCCTACTTCCTCGACGCTAGTCCGCAAGAGGAGCTGAGTGCACCGATGCGGTGCTTCGCGGCGTTCTCGTTCGACGAGGGTCCGAGATTGCAGGCGTTCAGGTTGCTGGGCGCAGGGGAGGTCCCGCTGGGAGATATGGATAGGTTGTTGGGCGTACGTGGATCGTGTTCAGGTTGTTTCTTTCTGGTCTGACCGCTCTCATAGGACGCAGAAAAGTGCGCGTCGCAGATCCACGCAGCGCTCAATACACGGCTAGAACAGGAAGACATCCGGCGCGAGCAGGAAGAGCGGCAGCGATTCAACGCGGTGCGCTGATAAGTGTGTATGTTTGTAATATACAAAATTGCGTGGGCGTTGTCCCTGCTATGCGAATCATGCCTACATGCTCTACGGCTCATCCAGTCCCACCAACGTGTCCATCCACCCCGCCTCGCCCTTCTTCGGCTGCCCTGCCCCCTGCCCTTGCCGCTCTTTCGGCGTCTCCGTGATCATAGCTTCCACCGCGTCCCCCGTCTGCGACGACGCGATCGAGGACAGGCTGGCGGGCGGCACGTACTCCTTCACGGCGACGGCGATCGCGGATGCGAGGTCGTTCGACTTGATGCCGAGTGCTTCTGCCAGCGCCTCAATGCGGGACTCGACGGTCTCGTCGTTGGCGTCTTTGCCGATTTTGTCGGGGTGTCTACCCTCTGGGGGTGCCATGTAGTTCGGCCGCTTGCCTAGGGCGAGGTTCCACCAGCCGCCGACCTAGGTGGGAGAGGCGGTAAGCATGCGTGTACGCGAGGCATGACTGGCACTCGCACGCACCTCGGTCTTTATCTGCACCGTCCTGTAGGAGAAGTAGGCCGCTGTGAGCGCGAGGAGCGCGACGAGGACGTAGATGAAGTTCGAGAAGGACACCGTCGAGAGCGGCGGCTTGACCGGCCGCATCGCGGGCTCCTGACGCTTTGGGGGCAGGTTCTTGGATGATGACGGGGAGGACATGGCGGAAGTGGTCGTTGTGCGCGTTGACGAAGCTCGCGGTCGAGGGGACAGTGCGCAAAGATAATGGTTGCGTTCAAAGTGTCTCCGTGGAGGACGCGCGCTGGTTTTGGGCGCGTTCAGTGACGTCAGTGCGTCATAGATGGCTGCCAAATGCGTCATTGCTATTGTTCTGAATCCCCGCCACTTCGCGGCATCTTCCGGTGCTCCTCTGCTCTTACCCTCATTTCTTTGACCGAAGGCAACGCCGTTCATTAGGACACGCTATCCTATTAGTATGAGTCATTTATTCCGCATCTTGCGTGTCGCAAAGACTGGCGCATGATAATCAGCTGTTCAACGCTACGAATGGCGAGGACTATCACCGGACCCGGACGAAGTTGCATCCTAGTACAGTACATTCACCTCGTACATAGTGTGCAACACTGATACGCCCACGACAGAAACATCTCAGACCTCACGATTTCTGAGTGTACGGTACACGCGCACGATAACTGCGAACCGACTCCTCCACCTCCAAAGAAACGTCGCCTACAAGGCGCTGCTTCCGCGGTAGCATAAGCGCTGCGTACAGCCGGTTTAGGACACTGTTATAGGGAATATCAGCTGCGACCCCTCGCAGGAGACTGAGGTTGAGGGCTGCAATGGGCTGCGAGGAGTTGTCGTGTCGCCGATTGATGTAAGTCGCGTCCGGGTACGTCGCAAATGCTCGTAGCATCGGTCGCACGACCAAACCGTTTGCAACTCCTGGTGCATCGGAGGCGAATATGCTCTTCCGAGCGTCAAGATGATCGAAGTTCTGCGAAAAGTTCAGCATCGACAACGTAGCGTTCGGGAATCGGGATAGAGAAATACCTCAAAGATGCGCTCGTATGTCAAGCGCGACAGATGTTCTTCGATTTCCGCTGTCGAGACATGAATCTGAGCGTTCTTCAAGATGATCTTCAGCGCTATGGGGAGCAGGCTGCCGTCCTGCAGCTGAACGACGAAGAGGAGGTCAGCATGGCTGAACTGCTTCGCAGCGCAGAAGGGCTCTGGCACGGCGTGCTGCAGCCAGATTGGAGACTCCGTTGCCCATCTTTCGTCGCACTCCGCCTCCGGGAAGCCAGTGATGAAGGGCCTGACACGGAATTTTCCGTCGCTTTCGTCCCGCGTCACGCGAACGAGCTTGCATGACATGTGCGCCCATGGAAGGGTACAAAGCTCGTTGGATAGGAAGAGAGTAGAAGGGCAGCGGTCCCCCTTGAGTGCGAACAGCAGAAGAGTAAGGAATGAAAGGTGGATCGAGTTGTGCAGTGGGGGAGAGAGAAGCACGGATGAAGCTGTCTTCGCGAGGAACCCGTAGGCGGGCCCTATGCCTGCCCGAAAGAAGATGTCGGCTAGAGGGAAGATGTACATAGGTTCATCAACAATGGCCTCCGAGCCTTCCGCATTGATAAAGGCGCCAAGAGAACCGCTCACGAGTTGCACGCAGTTTTCCGTCGACTTGAAGCCTTCTTCGCCGAATACGATCATCCTATGCAGAACCATGTGCGCAGTAAACCAACCTTCGATATCTGGGGCCCGTCAGAGAAATTCTCGCTGTGCCTGTGGAAGTACTGACCATTGTTGAGAGCTGCGACAGGATCATAGACCCGAAGCCCATGAACAAGCCTCTCGTGCCCCGCACGAACGAGTCTATCCCAGGTGAGCGGGGAGTCATCGGGCTCGACCCGCGCATTGACCGCAATGAACGCAGAAAGCAAGGTATGGGGGAATAGAAGGCGCCCCATAAGCAGAGAGGTGAGAAATAAGGCAGTCAAGCGATATCTGTAGACCATCAGCAAAGATGCACAGAAAGAAAAGGCGCACACACCGTCCCCTGAACCACAAACATATGCGATTGATCAGCTTTTGCCCGTCCTCTGTCTCGCATAACCTTGGAGGAAGGTAACGTCGTATATACCGCCGTTGATCCTCTACATCAGAGAAAGAGCCCGTGTTTACGCACAGGCGATAAGAAGCATCGCGGAAGGGAGCCATGTCAAAGGGAACTCCGCTCAGAACCATAGTCAGGCCATCGTAACCCTCCCAGGATCTTGTCAGTTCTCGTAAACAAGTGGATGTGCCGAAAGCCTCGGAGAACTGGTCACTAATGGCGTGTACATCATCGACGACGAAAAATAAAGGCTCGTTCATGCCGATGGAAGAGCGGATCTCGCGTAGAGTATCCTCGATCATCTGTTGAACGTAGCCCGGCGTCGTGTGGCGTATGTCCAGCCGCGATGCGAGCCCGTCGAACACATCTTCGCGCACCATGTGCCTCGGTGCGATCTGAAGCAGAAGCCAGCGCTTGCGATATTTGAGATCGCGCGCGTCCGGGAGGCTCGCCAGATATAGTTTGAAGATCGTGAGTCGGGATAAGAGTACACGAATAGAGAGGTCGTGCATTTGCTCGACGTTGGTCTCAGAGATCTGGACCCGGGCGGAGTCAGTGGCGTCGACGCCATCCAGTTCTTGCAGATCGGCAAGCGAGATACCCGCGAGTATATCGCCTGAATTCAGACGTGGTGGTTTGCCGTTACAAGAGACATAGAGACCCCAATGCTTGCATAAGCCTTCGTACAACAGCCGTGTCTTTCCCGTCGCCGAGCTATTGACGAAGGCACTGAACATATGTCTATGAGTATCTGCAAGTGCGGAAGCTGTGCGCGCCTACGTGTGTTGATCAGGATGGAATATACTTGATAGGCGCGAAGGAGCAGCCGCCGGATGGCTTGCGCACCCGAGCTCATGTAGGAGCAGCGAAGGGTTGGTATTCGGGAGACAAGGTATGTGAAGTGACCGCATGAACTCCATATACTCAGTGGGCACGTCAAGGTCGGCGACGGCGGCTGTCCAATCGGAGAAGCCAGCCTCGCCGGTTGCAAAAGCGGACAAGGACGGAGTGATACTGGCGGTATATTCTTGTATACAGTCTACGACAGCTCTGTCATGCTGTGTTTGGGGTTTTGGCGATTGCATCTTATGTGGCTGAAGACCTGAACTGTTTGTGAGGAGTACCACGACAAGGAAAGCGCTCAACGGCACGCACCTAGTGCTGCAAAGCTCTCTCGTTGAACCCTCACCAGTTGAGTTTGGTTGAGCGAAACGGTCCAATGTCCTGCGACCAGCATGTCGCATGCTCTCAGACAACGAACGGTCCGTCACAAGGGAACAACCCACGATTCGTCCTGATTGTTTTCCGTCACAAGTCGCGAGTCCTCTGGTGTTTGGATCTGACTTCCACGAAGTAAGAGCGCCAACCAATGGGGCGACCAGTAGCTGCGAATCCGATGACCGCTGAATCGACCGTTGAAGCTAAGAAGGGCGGTGACCGTCACGCCGTGATGTTGTGGCGCACCCGGTGAATCGGTGTGACCGCCGAAGATATCGTCTTCAACTTGCATCCAACCTTCGTCTCTATTTCTTGATGTCTGTGATATTGAATGATGCTCAAGTTCTGGCCTATCCATGTTTCTTGGGTCCCTGCCGCGACAAAGGGGACGCGACACTGCTGTTGCATCTACGATTTCTGGACGTACGGTACACGTGCACGATAACTTTCGACCGCCTCCTCCACCTGCAAAGATTCATCGCCTACAAGGCGCTGCTTCCGCGGTTGCATAAGCGCTGCGTGCAGTCGCGTATATACACTACTAAAAGGGATATCAGCTGCAGCCCTATTCAGGACACTGACATTGAGGGTAGCAACGAGCTGCGAGGAGCTGTCGGGTCGCCGGTTGATGTAAGTCGTGTCCGGGTCAGTCGCGAATGCTCGTAGCATCGGTCGCACGACCAACCCATCTGCAACTCCTGGCGCACCGGAGGCAAATATGCCCTTGCGAGCGTCTAGGTGATCGAACTTCTGCGGAATAATCAGCATTGCGCGACAACCTGGCGTCCCGGGCATAGAAACACCTCAAAGATGCGCTCGTACGTCAAGCGCGACAGATGTTCTTCGACTTCCGCTGTCGAGACGTGAATCTGAGCGTTCTTCAAGATGATCTTCAGCGCGATGGGGAGCAGGCTGCCGTCCTCCAGCTGAACGACGAAAAGGAGGTCCGCATGACTGAACTGCTTCGCAACGCAGAAGGGCTCTGTCCCAGCGTGCTGCAGCCAATCTGGAGACTCCGTTGCCCATCTTTCGGCGCACTCCGTCTCCGGGAAGCTAGTGATGAAGGGCGTGACGCGTAATTTCCCGTTGCTCTCGTCCCGCTTCAAGCAAACGAGCTTGCATGGCTTGTTTGAGCATGGCAGGGCATCAAGGTCGTTGGATAGGAAAAGGTCGGAAAGCCGGCGATTACCCTTGAGTGTAAGAAGCAGGAGAGTGAGGAATGAAAGGTGGATCGAGTGGTGCAGCGGGGGGGAGAGGAGTACAGATGAAGCCGCCGTCGCGAGGAAGCCATAGGCAGGCCCGATTCCCGCGCGAAAAAAGATATCGATGAGCGGGAAAATGTACATAGGCTCGTCGACAACGACTTCTGAGCCATCCGCGTCAAGGAAGGCACCGAGAGCGCAGGAAACGATATGGAGGCAATCATTTTTTGACTGGTAACCTTCTTCGCCGAACACGAGCATCCTGTGCATGACCATGTGCGCAGTGAACCAGGCTTCAACATCTGCAGAATTCGTCAGAGATATTTGCGCTGGACTACTGTCTCTGACTTACCACCCCGAAGGGCCGTGACGGGGTCATACGCCTCAAGCCCATGAACAAGCCTTTCGTGCCCTGTGCGGACAAGCCTATCCCTGCTTAGCGGGGAGTCTTCGGGTTCGACACGTGCATTGACGGCAATGTACGCGGAGAGCAATGTGTGGGGGAATAGCAGGCGCCCCATGAGCAGAGAGGTGAGAAACGAGGCAGTCAGGCCGTATCTGGTGATCATTAGAAGACTGAGCAGGAATGAAAAGTGGGACGCACCGTCCTCTGAACCACAAACATATCCTGTTGACCAATTTCTGCCCGTCCTCCGTCGCGCGCAGGCTTGGAGGAAGATAACGATGTATGAACCTACGCTGATCCTCAACATCCGAGAATGTTCCCGTGTCGGTACAGATTCGGTATGAAGCACCGCAGAAAGGGCCCATATCGAAGGGAACTCCGCTCAAAACCACGGTCAGACCATCGCAGTCTTCCCAAAGCCTTGTCAACTCTCGCAGACAGCTGGACGATCCGAAGGCCCCGGAGGCCAAGTCGCTGATGACGTTTGCATCATCCACGACGAAGAAGAGCGGTTCGTTTACGCCGATGATCGTACGAATCTCGCCGAGAGTTTCCGCTATCATTCGCTCAACAAATCCCGGTGTCGCGTCGCCGGTGTTCATGTCGAAGGCAAGGCTGTCGAATACATCTTCGCGCACCATAAGCCTTGGCGCGATTTGTAGGAGAAGCCAGCGCTTGCGATATTTTGGGTCGCGCGCGCCTGGAAGACTCGACAGATAGACTTTGAAAACCGTTAGTCGAGATAATAGCACACGAGCCGAGAGGTCGCGCATTTTCTCGACGTTGGTGTCGACGATTTGCCTCCGGGCAGAGTCAGTGGCATTGACTCTAGGCTTTTCTTGAAGACCGGCCAGCCGGACACCCACGTTCACATCGCTCGAGCTGAGACGCGGTGGCTTGCCATTGCAAGAGACATAGAAGCCCCAATTCTTGCATAAACCTTCGTATAGCAAGCGTGTCTTGCCTGTGGCCGGGCTATTGACGAAGACCCTGCACAAGGTATGTGAGTAGTTCAAACAGGTGAACAGGCTGGGTGCGTACGTGTGTTTCCCTGAATGAAATATGTTCGATATGCGTAACGGAGCAGCGGCCGGATGATCCTCATTCCCAAGTTCATGAAGAAGTAGGGACGGGTTTGTATCGGGAAGCCGAGGGATGCGAAGTGATTTGAGAAATTCCATATAATCAGTGGGCACGTTCAGATCGGCGACGGCGGCTGTCCAGTCCCCCATGGTCTTGCTCTTAGCGAAAGCAGACAGCGCCGGGGTAATCCTAAGCGAGCACTCGCGGATGTAGTCTTCGAGGGTTCTGTCGAGACTTTGCGGATCTTGGCCTTCTGGTTGCATTTCAATGTCCTCGTGCTTTGTCGGAGAGAACATGAGGGTTCGGGACAACCACTTGACGCGCCAATGCTTCATCGGCAAGTGCCGAGCGGAACCAGAATGTCCTCGAGTCGTGCTGAGCTGCGGCGCAAGGTCACCTTACTCGCGAGTTACGAACATGCACGAAGCGATACACAAGATACTAGTGCGACAACGTACAATATGCAGTACTTTCATACGCTTAAGCCTCTGCCCGCGCTTCGGCAATGTATATCCTCGCCCTGCCAACTTCGTCTACTCCGCTACTTCCTGCCCCTCGTCAGAGTCGTCCGACACTTCTGACTCCGTGTCTGCAATTGTGCCCTCAACATCCACCCGTACTGATTCGTCGCCCACCATGAGTTGCTTGCGACGATCAATAAGCGCAGAGTATATTCGCCGCAGCGTAGCATCCCAAGGGATATCCTCTGATAGCTTTTGGAGCGCGTCCATTTTGAGCGCCGCTCTAGGCTGCGAGGAGGTATCCTGCTGCAGACTGCCGATATCGGTCGCATCCGGAAAGGTGGCGAACGCGCGCAACACGCGCGGTTCACCCGAGCCAACGATCGGCGTCTGCAGATCCAGGGAAAGGCCTGCTCCGGTCGGTACCTGCGAAAGGGAGTTGAGCATATCTTCGTTGTCAATCCGGGCAGATTGAGACCATACCTGGAACAAACGGTCCGGCTCCATGTTCGCCAAGCGCAACTCGATATTCTCGATGGGAGCATCGACGTGCTTGTTCTTGAGCATGATCTTCAGCGCCACGAAGAGGACGTCACCATCCGCGAGCTGGACGGCGAAGAGCAAGTCCGCCCGACTACACTCGGACGCAACGAAAAAGGGCTCCGTTGCATCGTGCCGTAGCCAGCTTGGCGATTCGGTCGCCCAAGGATCCTGGTCGCGGCCTCCAGGAAACGGCGTCTCGTACGGGACAGCATGGATTGTATTCGCCTCCTCCGAGCGCGACAGGCGCACAAGCTTGCACGTCTGCTGCGCCCACTCCGGGAATGGCTCCGCCAATGCGAAGATGTCGCAGAGCTTGCGATCGCCTTTGAGGGCGAGCAATAGTAGAGTGATCGAGGCAAGATGGAGGGGCGGCTCGTGTGGTGGATCTTGAAGGGCAGAGGCGACGGACGTGCAGAGGTAGCCGTACGAAGGGCCCCAACGGTGGAAAACGAGACGTGCAAGCGGGAATATGATGCAAGGCTCGCAAAAGATGGCCTCGGAGCCATCTGAGTTCGCGAACATAGCAAACCTATGAGAGACCGGACGAGAGCAATCTCCTGTGAAAATCACACTGCCTTGACCGAGTGCAATCAGGCGATGGAGGGCCATCTGTGCCGAAGACCACGCATAGACATCTAAGACGAATGAGCAAGTGTATACGCACATATATGTGGGCTTACCGCGAGGGAGTGTCTGACTTGGGTCATACCGAGAGTAGCCGGAGACCAACCGATTGTATTCGCTACGCAACCGATAGTCCGTGTGAATAGGACCATCTTCGGGCTGGATACCTGCATACATGCGAACGTAGGACGTCAAAAGGGTATGAGGGTTTTGAAAGCGGGTCGTGAGAAGGCAATAGATGAAGTAGGTCGTTATGCGATAACTAGACTGTCGTGAGCACGGCTTCTGTAGGAAAGAAACTCTTCTCACCGTCCTCGAAGCCATAAGCAAATTCTGTCTAGAAGTTTCTCCGTCGATTGCGTCGACTGCAGGTCGGGGGGTAGATAGCGACGCACGTAGCGACGCTGCTCCTCGTCCCCATCGAAAAAACCAGTGTCGGTCCAGACCCGATACGGCGTAGCGCCTGAGTTATGGAAGTGGGAGCAGTCAAACGGCTGCCCCGCCAGCACGAACGTCATCGCATCGAAGCTCTCCCAGACCAATAGCATCTGCCGCAAAGCCGTGGTAGGTCCAGGTCCTGCCAAGCTTTGCAGATGGGCACGCTGAGCATCATCCACGACGCAGTATATGGGCTCGTCGTGACCAAGTAAGGATCGTATACCGAAGATAGCATCGCGAATACGACCCTCGAGGTATTCCATACTTGCGTCGTGTTCGGATATGGCTCTGAAGAAGTCGTCGAACATGTCGTAACACAGTTTAGCGGAAGGGAATAGCTGAAATCTGAGCCACCGCATCCGTACGTTCGGGTCATCAAGGGGAGCATGCCGAAGGTAGAGCTCGAAGAGCGTCAATCTGGACAGCAGGATCTGCGTGAAGATGCGCCGCAAAATCCCTGCGCTTCGGGAGTCAAGGTCGCCCGTCTGGGCCTTTGGAGCATCCTTCCGCGCGGATAACGATGAAAGCTGTAGGAGGCCTGTGTTCAGATCAAGGGACCCGGGAGCGGAGGGACCCGACACGCATGGCAGGTAAAGACCCCAGCGCGTGGAAAGACCCTCAAAAAGTAGCCGCGTCTTGCCTGTTCCCGCCCCGTTAATGATGATGCTTCAACAAGTTCAGACGGTTACGATTTCATCCCGACGTGAACGACTACTCACGTGTGCTGACCCGTTTGGAATATTTCCTTCAATCGCGACCGCTGAGGCGTAGTATCCGGTGTAGTGACATTCAAGTCATGCAAGAGGAAAGATGCCCGCGAAGCGTTGAGACACGGGATCTGCAGATTCGCGATGAAGTCCTCGTACTCCGGTTGATCGTTTCCTTCGAGCGAGGCTGTCCACAGACGCGATCGCCGGCCGTTGCGAGCGCGGTCGCGCAGGATCTGCTGATGGTTGCTGCTGAATGCTTTTGACTCTCTCCCAAGCGCATCGTCGGCAGGGCTCTGAGGGCTGAAGGCTTGCATATGGAAGCCCTAGGATCGCAGAAGACCTGCATGCGTAAGTAGGAGCAATCTGTATGTTATCAAATGGACGAACCTGAGGAAAGTATCCTTCCTGATTGCAAGAGTGCCAATTTCGGGGCGCCTAGACAGCAGGTTACGACAGCCCGACGGCGTCACGTATTCGGGGTCCAGGGATCGTAAGTGTTGACAGAATATGACAGTGAGAAGTACGACAGGAAAGTCGGCTTGGGCATGCCTCGGGATAGAGGAAAGTTGCTCGGACGAGATGGCAACAGCGAACGCAGCTAATTAGAAGAAAGCAGACAGCAGACCTCGTTGCATTGCAGAAAGCTATGGGCCAGAACGATAGCTGCGAGCGTAGATGGCTAGCGTTCGGGACAACATGGAACTTCGGCGCTTAGGGGTCAAACGGAGGATCGGGCCGGCCTATCGACCTCTACCCCGTCTCTCATCCGACCTCGTCGCGACCGCAATACCTGACCCTCGAAAGCGCCCAAGCAGCGAAGACATGCTGCATATAGCCTCGGGCCTCTCTTATAACAAACCAAAAAACCTCACAAGGCGTCTTTATATCGGAACCCATCCTCATCAAGTATTGATTCGCGATGCAGTACAGACACCGCATAATATAAGAACTTGACGCGCTCGCCGGTTGCCGGGGAGGCCATGAATTTGCTGAAGCGCCTAAGGTATGTACTCTACACAATTGGAGAGAGTGTTCTCAACAGATAGCTTAGATCGAGCCTGCGCGTCGCTGACATACGGATGCCGATGACTGCTAGACTCGCGGCTCGGACTCGCCATGCATCCGGGCAAGGATTCACTACGAGCGCTTCCCCACCTCCGTCTCCCTCCAGAGCCCCAAATGACGCTAGAAGAGCTTCGCATACCGGCGTTGGGATTGGCTTCCTCTTGGCGATGACCATCAACGTGAATGCGTCCCATAACGCGTAAAGTTCGTACAGTCTACATGGTGCGTGCTTAGCCGTGTCCCACGGACTATCGCTGACTTCGAGACGCAGTGTGGGAAGATAGCCTGAGGCTACTCCGCGAAGGTTACCTTGCCAGCGCGAGTTCACCAGAACTCCATGAGCGCGTTGCAGAGCGGATGTACAACCTCCTCAGGAGGAACAGTGGATCATACATACAGATCGGTGCGTCCGCCGTACTCCCCATCCATGCTCCCTGCTAACCCTGCGCAGGTCAGGCCATCGGCGCAAACACGTTTCTGCTCCCCGAACTCGTTCAGGTCAAATCCAAGTCCTTGTGGGACGGCGCACCTCAGGTCCTCTACTGCATCGTCGAAGCCGTCTTCTGCTCCAAGTTCTGGCGCCCGCCAAGCTGCCCGAATGGCGTATTCGGGATCTTCGAGGAGCAGGCGGTAGCGAGTGCGCCGAACAGCTCGATCATGGTCTGCATGACAGCGCGCCCCCCTCCCTGTAGCGGTCTGACCGTGTCCGCGCTCGGCAACGACGGCTTTCCGCCCACAAGTCGTAGAACGGAATCGTGATTGCTCAATGGTACGTTGTCGATCCATTCCGCCGTCATGACCCCCTTCGTAGAGTATTCGTACACTTCGGATCCATGCATGCGGTGCGCAAAGTCCGGGTACGCGCGCACGGACGCGGTTGTCCGCCGTGCGTTGTCCGCCCCCCGGATGCAGTCGAGCTCCTTGCGGAGGTGGTCCGAGATATGATCGACGAGGAAGTTGACGAGCAGCTCGACCTGGAGCCACTGCGCTCCCTTGTAGGTCGCGAGGTCCCACTAAGTCTGGCGCGCAACGCCCGGCTTATAGATCTTCACGGCGACCTGCTGGTCGAAGCCGCGCAGCTTCGCTTCGTGAACCTGCGCGATGCTGGCGCAGATGTTCAGCTCGGACTGGGTGCATTGCGATCCTCACCCCGGTAGCGTCCTTAGTTGCGCCCATCCCTCGAAGCCGACACAGCTGCAGCTCGTAATCCTCAACTTCGGCTTGCACATTAGCATCTCGAAGGAGATGCGCCGGCAGTGGGTGTCCATCTTCAAGGCCATGCTCGTCGGCGACCACGCTGAGGTCGAGTCCGTCGTCAGGGACTTGGCATGGACGACCTCTTCGCCTCCTTCGCGCTCATGCGTTCCATCCGGCTCAAGAGCGCGCGCACCGGGCTGCCCTTACTCTCGAAGGAGTCGACCAGCGACTACGAGTGCGGCGCGTAGACGAAGGCTGCGCTGCGGAACTTCCTCGTCGACACGGACCGCATGCCCGAGGTACTCGCGTTCCTCCCGCACTCGGCGATTTGGTGAACTCAGCCTTCCACGTTACATGCAGTACTCATCCAGTCTTTAATCTAACCCGTCGAAGCCGAGCAGTTTGTGGCATCGGTCGGAGGTGTGCGTAGAAGGTGTTTTGTACTACGTATGCTCATTTAATATGTCAACAGCCAGTGAGCTTGCTTCATTGTTCTACGTAGGCAAGTGCGATGGCATTGCATTAGGCGGACATGGATGTGGGTGATACACTCTGGCATACACGCAGATGGCAGATGGTATCCATGCCGCGGCGACGGTTCACAAGCACAAGGTCCACCGATTGGTATACTCCCCACTGCGCAAAGACAACGACGTCTCAAGGTGAGCTCACATTGGATAAAGAGGTGTTTGTGACGTACGTGGTCAGCGATCATCAATAATAATCCAAGTCGGCCAGCTTGTACCAGCGCGGCTCGCGAGCTGGCCCCTCGAATTCCAACTCGTCCGCAATCATCTCGACGACCTCCGGCGTCGGAAGTTGGCGTTCACTCGGCTTCGAGGAGCGGAGGTCCACCAGGGCGATCACGTAGTCGACCAAAGTGCGTTCCTCGTCCAGGAAGGCAATAGCGCCGAAGCTGCGATAGCGACCTGGGATGGGGTACTTGTTGCAGAGATTGCCCAACATCGACCGATAGGAGGTATTGCGCTGTGCCTCAATAATTTCCGGCGAAGGGTCCTCGGGCAGTGGCCGGAAGCGCTGGCCGGCTCTGCGCGCCACTTCAATTGTGTACGGGAAGCCCAGCACGTATTTTTTTGACCGGGGAGGAACTTGCCAAGGCAGCGGACGTGGGTGAGTATCATGTCCATCATCAGGCATGCCTGCCTTGTGCAAGGACGGCGTCGAAGAGATGAGATGATGGCAGCAGGAGACAAGAGTGCGTGCTGTGCACATGAAGGTCGCGCTGCGCACGGACCGCGTTCATCCTGCGCGACGGGCCCATGGTACAGGGCGGATGTGATCTCTAGTGGGTGCATATCAGGCAGTACGTGGGACGCGTGCTTAAGTTCAAGGTGGGCTTCATAAACGAGCTGGAGAGCACCATGTACGCGCCGGGCCGCGATTCATGGAGAAGAAGGATGCAGAGGGAAAGCTCGTTGCGCCGCGTATATCTGATGCGGATGCGAGGCCCGCTCTCAGGACACGCTCTGCCACAAAAAAAAACGGCCACGCCAGTCAACCGAGAGCACCAACGCAACCCCGGTCCCTGGCATCATCGCTATACCACCGGATTCTCCGTCGAAGTCAAGGGTTGGTAGACCCAGGTCGGCAAAGCGCTCAAGAAAGGTAGACTAGACCGTGGCAGCGGTTGTTCCTGAGGTCTGAGGCGCACAGCCTTCGCGGACGCGAGGAAAGTCTGCGAAGAATTAGATGGATTTAAGGTCACCGAAGACAATCATGACGATACATCTTCCCAGTATTATTCTCGTTCTTGAAACTGCACGATTATTCCTTGATGTAGGGCTTCGACAACGTACTATGGCATACTGGAAACATACGCAGCTGTAGGCCGTCTTCTAATTTACTTCAGATTCGAGAACATCTCCTTCGAAAGCTCCAGCGTAGCGATCTCAGCCTCTAACGTCTTGCGCTTGTCAGCATTCGCTGTGCGCACACTCTCCGGGACGTTCTGCTCATAGTCCGCCTGCGACTCCGTCTTGACGATCTTCTGGTGCGCCAGACGCACGACGTCGAGCTTCTTGTCGCATTTTGAGATCTCAACGTCCAAGTCGACGAGACCCTGCACGACGACTCAGTTGATGTAAGCGCGTAGAGGACTAAGACTCACTCGGACAAGGGTGTGGATGGCGACAGTGGGGGTGACGACAGCGGCACCGCAGCCTTCAGGAATCTCCTTGAGCTCGCGCACGACCTTCGCCGATTTGCAGCCCTTCGTCAACGCGACGATCGTGGGCACCTGAGACTCAAAGAGCGCCGCGTCCGCGTCAGACTGGGCGAGTATGAAGACTGAGAGTCGCGGTGAGCAGAGCGTACAGTATGTCGAACGTTCACGCACACTGGATGTCGTTCTGCAAGCTGTACGACGCCGCGAGCGATCGTCCGGTCTTGAGCGCGGAGAAGACGAGGTCGAACTGCTTCTCGGCCTCGTCGAAGGTGAAGTCGTGGCTCTGGCGAGGGGGCGAGATCAGTGAGGCGCACGCATGAGCCGTTGGGTGTGTACGCACAGATTCAGGGAACTTGGACAGCATGATCGAAGGCGTCGAGTCGTTCGGTCGTCTGGGCAAGCGCTGCCACAGCTCCTCCGTCACGAACGGCATGAAGGGATGCAAGAGTCTAAGCCCGTGGTCCAAGCAGGTGTACAGGGTCTCTTGAGCGGATCGTCTCGTCTCGGCCGACGCGCCCTCGTCCGTCATCGGCTTCATCGCCTCCTATGATCAAGGTCAGGGTTGTTCTCGTAGCGTAGAGACCACGATCGAACGCACGATGTAGACGTCGCAGAGCTCGTATAGCCAGAAGTTGTATGCCGCCGTGGTCGCCATCATGAAGTTGCGCTCCGTCATCTGCGCGTTGAGCTCCTTCGCGGCGACGTTCAGCTTGTGCAAAATCCACTTCTCGACAAGGCTCTCCTTCCCGGTGGGCTAGATATGCATATCAGCTGTCGGACGTTCCTACGCCCACTGAGGGCACGCACCTTCGCCGTCGGCTGCGGCACGAACGATTCATCGAGCTTCAGCATCGCGAACTTCGTCGCGTTGAAGATCTTGTTGCAGAACTTCCGGTACCCCTCTACGCGCAGGATCTCCAGGTTGATGTCGCGCCCGCCGCCCGAGTACGCGCACAGCGCGAAGCGCAGCGCGTCCGTGCCGCACTGCGGGATGCCCTTGGGGAAGTCCTTCTTCTGGCCCTCCTTCGCCTTCTTGATCTCCTTCTCGTCGAGGTTGCCCTCGAGCAGCTGCGCGTGCAGCTTCTCGAGCTCGCAGCCCTGGATCACGTCGAGCGGGTCGATGACGTTCCCGAGCGACTTGCTCATCTTGCGCCCGTGCGCGTCGCGGATCATGGCGTGGCAGTAGACCTCGCGGAAGGGCATCTGGTCGGTGAGCTTGAGGCCGAGCATGACCATGCGGGCGACCCAGAAGAAGAGGATGTCCCAGCCGGTCTCGAGGATGGAGGAGGGGTAGAAGTTGCGGTAGTCGAAGGTCTGGAGGGAGGACGGTCAGGTATGTGCACGATAGAGGTTAATGACGGACACGCACATTTTCTGGCCAACCCATGATAGAGAAGGGCCAGAGGCCGGAGGAGAACCAGGTATCCAAGACATCCTCGTCCTGCTCGAGGGTGAACGGCTTGCCATTAGCGAACGCCTTGGCGCGCTCGGTCGCCTCCTCGAGTGTCCGCCCAACGACCCAGTGCTTGCCGTCGATTTTCTGGTCAACGATGAGCACGAACGTCGATCGCCTCTCAGTAAGCCGCTCACGTCCTGCTCCGCGCCCTCGACGTTAACAAAGTATGCCGGCACACGGTGACCCCACCAGAGCTGACGCGAGATACACCAGTCCTGGATGCCCTCCAACCACCGGTACCACTCGTTCTCGGACTGCTTGGGCTGGATGAGGAGTTCGCCGGCTCTTGTGCGCTAGACCAACCGGTCAGACCTCTGAGATCCAGCCGTCTGTTCGGCACAGACCTTGATCGCTTCCTCGGCAAGAGGCTTGCAGTTCACCCACCACTGTGGCTTGAGGATGGGTTCAATGACATCTCCGGACTTGCTGTAATGCATTCATGAGCACGCCGTATGTTGGATAATCACGCCGCACGGACCTGCATATCGGGATCTGCATCGGGTTGTCCTTCTTCTCCACGAACAGACCGGCCGCCTCGAGTGCCTTCACCACCTCCACGCGCGCCTTGAACCTCGGCATGCCCTACGAACATAAGCGCCCGGTCCTCGACCCATCCAGATAGCACATACCGCGAACTTCTCGCCCGCGTTCTCGTTGAGGGTCCCGTCGTCGTTGAGGATGTTGATGAAAGCGAGGTTATGCCTTGTACCGACAGCGTAGTCGTTCGGGTCGTGCGCGGGCGTAATCTTCACGGCACCGGTACCGAACTCCATGTCGACGGCCTCCGCGTCGGTGATGATGGGCATCTTGCGGCCGGGGATGAAGGGGTGGATGGCGAATTTGCCGTGCAGGTGCTTGTAGCGCGCGTCGTCGGGGTGGACGGCGATGGCCGTGTCTCCGAGCATGGTTTCCGGACGGGTGGTGGCGATGATGATCTTCTCGTCTGGATGCTTACTGTCAGTAGGGTGGGCGAGGGAAGGACGTGCACGACGCACCTGAGTTCTCTATGGGGTATGCGAACGAGGTGATGACGCCGAACTCGACCTTCTCCTTGTACCCGGGGACAGACAGGAATTCGCGGCCGTTCAATGCTTTTTGGTCGACCTGGACTTAAGTGAGCGGGAAATATTGCAGATACAGTTGCAGCGCACCTCGAGATTGGACAAAGTCGTGTTCAGCCGCACACACCAGTTGACGAGGCGGTTGGCGCGGTAGATAATCCCATCTTCGTGCAACCTGCAGAAGTTCTCGATGACAGCGCGGTAAAGTGGAGGATCCATGGTGTAAGCCTTGCGTGACCAGTCGTAAGAGCCGCCGAGCCTGCGTAGCTGGTTGGAGATACGGCTCATGTAGCTGCAGGGCGTGTCAGTACATTGCCGTGGCTGAAGCACCGGCTACGCACTCGTCCTTCCACTCCCCAACCTTCTCCACGAACTTCTCGCGTCCAAGGTCATGTCGCGTCTCTCCGGTAAGCTTGAACAGCCGCTTCTCAACCACGGACTGGGTGGAAATGCCTGCATGGTCGAACCCGGGAACGAAAAGCGTGCGGTAGCCCCGCATGCGGTGCCAACGCACGAGCGAGTCTTGGATGGCGGTTGTCAGCGCGTGTCCAATGTGAAGGCTGCCAGTGACATTCGGTGGTGGCGAGGGCATAACGAATGTCGGGCTGCCGTCGTCCTCCTTCGGCTTGAAGTAGCCCTGCGCCTCCCACCAGTCATACCAGGCCGCCTCTACCGCCGTCGGGTTGTACCCCGCGGACATGGGCTGCGACAGGTCCTTCTTCTCCCCGGCCGGGGTGGTGTTCACGAACTCCTGCTCATCGGCCTTCTCCTTCTTCACCTTCTCCTTGGTGGACTTGGGAGCGGCGGCTGTCTTGAGGGCCTTCGCAGCAAGCTTGGCCTCCTTCTCGAGCCGTTTGGCCTCCTTCTTGGCGGCTGACTTGGTCGTGGGGGCCGCGGACGCCTCAGGTACTGTAGACATTGCTCTGCGAAAGATGGCGGTCGACAAGCCTCTCAGAGCATTTACCGCCATCGATCATGACTCGATCGGGATTCGGACGTGACGGACAAGTCACTTGAACAATGACAACGTGATCAAAAGGCAATATGTGGCGTGGAAAGACCGACGCGTGCTAGTGTACGGTTGAAGGCTTGTTTGCTTTCAATTTGATCGTATGCAGCAGATCGCTCATGAGTAGAGCTCTTCCGATGGGACTTGACGGCGCCCCTTTTTGACGCAAGCGTTTGCAGGTCGCTATAAAACCCAGCTACGCGCTCATTTAGTTGAGATCAGCTGCGCACGTGATCGCGTTTAGAGACTGGCTCTACGATTCCGAAGACTGAGAAACAGAACAATGAAAGCATGAAGATGATATAGGAGCCTGGCATCAGAGGAGTTTCGCATTGGGAGCAGATCCTGGAATGTGGCCGGAGCAGGTCAAAGTTCTGCATCTGGCGAGACCCGAGGTAACTAGAAACGCGTCACACTCGATAGAGTTCATTGGAGGACTCATGGTTCCATAGTACTGAAGGGTGCTCCAGTGGGCTGACTCGCAAGTCGTGGAGGAGTTTGTGAAAGTAAGAAAGAAAGTGAACTTCGCACGTGGCAACGGAGCCAAAATGCCATCAGGCGCCCGATGCCTGATCGAAATTTCTTGTACGGGCCCTCCCGCATTCGCTGACCTCTGTCCTCATACCCCCCTTCCACCCCTCCATCATGGCACGCGCGGGGAAGAACTTCACGACGAAACCCCAGAAGAAGGGCAAGCGCGATCAGAAGTTGAAGGATCAAGTTTTAGCGCTGGGCGGTACGGAGGGCGATTATGATCTCGTGAAGGACGCGGACAAGGGGCCTACTGCAGGGAAGGGTACTGCTGAAGATGTATGTTTCCAAGTCATTATATTGTATGTCTACTCACCTTGTTATTAGCCCGCTCTGTCTCGCGAGGTTTCCAAGTTTCTCAAGGGCCTCAAGAGTGGAGGCGCGGTCGAAAATGATGCGAACGATGATCCATATCCCCCCAAGTACACGAAGAAGGACAAGAAGGACAAAAAGCGGAAGGCCGCAGAGAGCGCACCCTCATCGTCCACTGCCGAAGCGAAACTACACAAGAAGGACGGCAAGCCGCAAGGGAAGCATGCGAAGGGGAAGGATACCAAGTTAGATGGGAAACAGCGCAAGGGCAAGGAGACCGAGAAGGCTGCGGAGGATACTGCCCCAGAACCTCCCAAGCCGCGCGTCGTGCTCCCGGAGAAGGTCACTGTGACCGGCAAGTTCGCCATCCCCCCGACCTCGCACTGGTACTCCATCCTCGAGCCGCTCGGACCTGCGCCCAACGCGCCCTCACCCTCCGATCTCGCCGCGCTAGCTTCCAAGGCCGCTCGCCTACACGAAGCTGATGTCGCCGCCTATCGCGCCTCGTCTGCATCCAACTCCGCCTCGGAGGCGCACTTCCTGTCGAACATCATCCAGTCGGGTACATTGTCCGATCGGCTCAGTGCTTTGACGCTGCTTGTGCAGAGCAGCCCGCTGCATAACACGCATGCGCTGGAGACGCTGAAGGGTATGGGCGAGCGCGGGAAGGGCAAAGGAGGACGCGAGGAGAGCCTGAAGGCCCTGCGATCAGTGGTGGACTGGTGGGTCGGAGGTGGCGCGCCGGGGAGGAAGCTCAAGTGAGTGTGTGCGTTCACGCCAGCGCGCCATGTACTAAGGCGCTTTAGGTACTTCCGCGATCAACCACTTACGCATCCAGATGTGACGGACGAGCACCTCATTGTTTGGCACTTTGAGGACTGGCTGAAGAAGTACTTCTTCTCCATTCTCCAGATTCTGGAGGTATGTTTCTCCGTCATTCAAACGGATTCACGTCCACTAACGATTCGTTAGGCCCTGTCCTTGGATACCCTGAGCTATGTCCGCTTGCAAGCGCTGAACCTCATCACCACCCTTCTCCGCGAGAAGCCCGAGCAGGAGCAGAACTTGCTCCGCCTGCTTGTCAACAAGCTCGGCGACCCCGAACGCACCGTCTGCTCGCGCGCCTCCTACCACATTCTCCAGCTCCTGCAGCAACATCCGTCGATGAAGGGCGTCGTCGTCCGCGAGGTCATCAACCTTGTCATGCGTCCCGCCGCCGCCCCTGCGCCAGCCGCCCCCCCCAGCGGGTCCTCCTCCGGCAAGCACATGCGCTTCGATGCCCCGTCGTCCGCCAAATCGAAGAGCGCTGCCCCCGCCCCGAAGGCGGCGGGCAATCCGCATGCGCGCTACTACGCTGCAATTACCTGCAACCAGATCGTGCTCGCGCCGAACGACCGCGACGTCGTGCACGCCCTCGTCAACTTCTACTTCGACATGTTCAAGGAGCTGCTCGGCGAGAAGCCCGAGGGCGACGGTGATGCTGCGTCCGAGGCCGGCACCCCCGCGCCCGAACTTGACAAGCAAGGGCGCGTGAAGGACAGGAATGCGCTGAAGAAAAAGGGCAGCGCGCCCTCGAAGGACAAGAAAGGGAAGGGCAAGATGGCCACGGGCGCTGCGGGCTTCGCCGAAGTCGAGGACGCGCAGAGCAAGCTGATCTCCGCGATCTTAACTGGTGTGAACCGCGCGCTGCCGTTCGCGCGCCTCGACTCGGCGGACGCGGCGCTCAACAAGCATATTGACACGCTGTTCTTCATCACGCACCAGTCGACGTTCAATATCTCGCTGCAGGCGCTGGTGCTGATTCAGCAGATCGCGGCGTCGCTGGGGATGCACCAGGCGTCCAGCGCGGCGGCGAAGGCGATCATAGACCGGTACTACCGCACGTTGTACGCGTCGCTGCACGATGCACGGCTTGCGAGCTCGGCGAAGCAGGCGATGTACTTGAATCTGCTGTTCAAATCGTTGAAGGCAGACTCGAGTGCCGAGCGCGTCAAGGCGATGGTCAAGCGACTCGTGCAGCTACTCGCTGCAGGCGGCAATGGCGCGACCGAGTTCGTGGCGGGTGGATTGTACCTTCTCGGCCAGGTGAGTCATGAGGACGAGCTGCGGTTTTCTCGGTACTTACACTTTGACAAGCTCTTCGACTCCATCCCAGGCTTGCGCAGTATGGTCACCGACGCGCCGTCTGTGTCTGCTACCGAGGCCTACGATGCTCGCAAGCGCGACCCTCTCTTCGCGAACGCGTCCGCGAGCCCGCTGTACGAACTCGTGAGTATCACCAACGCCTATCAATCTCCCTTACTGACCCTCCCCAGCTCCCCCTCACCCACCACTACCACCCCGCCGTCGCCCTCCACGCACGGCAGCTGCTCGCCGGCCAGCCGCTTACTGCCAGCGCCGACCTCTCCCAGAACACGCTCACCCACTTCCTCGACCGCTTCGTCTACAAGAACCCCAAGAAGCTCAAGGCCGACGATAATGTCGCTGTCTCCGGCAAGGCGCGCGGCGCGAGCGCGATGCAGCCCGCGGCGAGCGGGGTCGACGGCACGGCCGTGAAGTTGATGCGCGGGGAGGTGCCTGGGGTGGCGCCGTTAGTGACGGACGCGGCGTTCTTGAAGAAGAGGGAGGAGGAGGTGCCCGTGGATGAGGTGTTCTTCCATCGCTATCTGACGAGGAAACAGAAGGGCAAGGCGCAGGCGGATGATGGTGAGCCTGAGGAAAGCGCAGAGGAGGAGGCGGGTGATGCGGAGTCTGGGGAGTCTGCCGCGGAGGACAGCGATGAGCAGGATGACAATGGTCCCTTCATCGACTTGAGCGACGACGAGCGGACTGAGGTGCCGAAGGAAGCTTCCGAGGAGAAGGACGAGGACGAAGACGAGACTGATGACGAGGAAGAGGCCGAGATCTGGAAGGTAAGAAATTGCATCCTGGCATGCTTGTTTGGATGCTGATCCTACACAGGCTATGAAAGCAAGCATGCCGAAGGCCGGTGATGACGACGACCTCGATCTTATGGAGGACAGCGATGATTCGGACGACGTTCCCTCAGGCCTCGATGGCGAAGGCTCCGATGAGGTCCCCTCTGACCTCGATAGTGGGGAGGATGAGGACGCCGCTGCCTCGGCCGCCTCCGAGTCCGACGACGACGAAGATGACGATGACGCCGCCTCTGACGCTGACGATCTCTCCCTCGCCGAAGCTTCTGACGACGACGACCTCATGCCTATTGACGACGCCTTTGGGCCCGACGGCGTCCTCGAGTATGACGGTTCCGACGCCTCGGAGGAGGAGGACGAGTGGCATGGATTCCCGGACGACAAGAAGAAGCGCAAGCGCGATGCGGAGGGCGGGGAGAAGAGGACGAAGAAAAAGCAGCGTCTGCCGACCTTCGCGAGCTATGAGGACTACGCGAAGATGATCGAGGATACGCCGGAGGACAATATATAGTTCGCGGGCGTCTACTGCTACAGTGTATACAATGATTCGTCTCTTTGGTCTCTGCCTGGTTGTGAGACCTTCATCCTACCATGCTGCGCTTGCGTCCGCGAAGACGTACTGCGAAAAATGTGAGGAAGAAGATGACGGATGTAACATGGCGCTGACCGTCGTCTAACCGCTTCGAGATCGAGTTCCATGCTTTGCCCATCTGCTTCGCGTACGCAGTCAGTACTGAGGCGAAGAGGGGCTCAGAGTCTGGATGTGTTGATGCAAAGGCGCGCTCTAGGACATAGAGGTCGACAGCCTTGTCTTCGACCAAGGTCGATTGATATGACAGGCCGAAGTCAATGAGTACCTAGAGGTGGATGAGTCAAGGTCGAAGTACAGCGATTGGGAACACGCACTAGGTCGCCCTTCTTGCCCCGCCGAAGCATCATGTTGGAGGTCGTCAGATCGCCGTGGACAACATCTACCAAGTGCATCTTCGCGACTTCGGTGCCAATGTAGCCCATGAGCTCATCTGCGTCCATCGTCAGCCTCATTTTGCGGTCGCTGGCTGCGTGCTGACCAACTGTCAGGCCGAATTCGAGCAAGGGATCGGGTGCTTCGTCCTCCTCCACCTCGTCACCCTCTGCGAAGTCTGCGCCTTCATCCTCCGCACCTCCAGGCAGGAGCTTCCTGACACTCAGGCCGTCTATCCACTCGATTCCCAAAACACCGTCTGCAGCGTCCACCATCCGGACACCTGGAACGTTCACGCCCGACCTGAGCGTTCGGTCAGATCTGCTCACTCTGCTTGCCGGTGGATGACACACCTTAGGCACTTCAGCAGATTCCTAGCCTCCCCAGCAACTCTCGAGCGCGTCAGGTTCCCATCGAGCGTCGGGTGTCTGTACTGTTTCGCGAATCGATGCTTGACGAGGATAGGTTCCGATCCCTCATACAGATACGCCTTGTAGACTTTCTGACCTGTTCTCGGTCAGAGTCAATGGCATATAGAGTGTATTCTCACTGCTTCAGCGCCCTGTGAGACACTGACCGCGGTCGCAATGAGGTTGAATGAGGGGGATGAGGTGGAAGCCATGAAGTTCAGTCGGCCGGGCCGGGCGCCCGATCGACCTTAACCCATCATTCGCACGGCAAGCTAAGTCATCCCGGGCAGACCTGTGGTCTGCCTGGAGAGGGAAGAGAGGGCGAGGGAGGTGGCAGGCCTTTGGCCTGCCTCTCAATCTGATCCTGTGCCGTATCTAAGAAAGAGGGAACATGAAGAAAGAGGGAACCCCGCTTCAGCGAAGCGGGGGGTTGCGGGTCGGCGAAGCCCGACCGCCCTCGAGCGGGGAACATCAACCGGCACGTGACGCGGTAGCCGGCACATCCCGCTCGGGCGGCAGAGCCTCGCCGACGGTACACTGCGAGGCGACTGCAGCCTGACCGACAGCCGAATGCCGCCATCGGCCAAGGCCGAAGCAGCCCAAGCCAGAGCGCAGCTCTAAGGCGACAGCCGCGCGAGGCCGATGACGGGCAGAGGCCTTCGGCCCCAAACCGAGCTAAGCGATGGCCATCCATGCACGTAAGAGCAACAGGCTGGGAAGGAGGACGGAAAGCAGAAGGAAGGCTATGAGGTAGAGGAGCGGCGAGTGTCCGGGGGAAAGTAGGCGGAAATGCAGTGGGACGCGTGGGGGTTGGTCGGAGCCGCACATCATGTGACATGTTTGTTCGAAACGCGGTAGGGCCAGGGAAGCGGATCATAGCAAGGGCTTGTCGAGTGGAGGTAGGAGTACTCAAACCTGAGGGAGGTGAAGAGGCTTAAGGAGTTCGGAAGGGGCGAAGGAAGAAGGTCCTGTGTCAGGAAGGGGAAAAGGGGGGGGGAGGGGACCGCCGGGCGCAGTCGCGTGTAGTGTCGGTGAGCAGGGAGAGGTGTAAGTAATCAAATGGTGGAGTGAATGGAGTTGAATGAATAAATGTGGTGGTCGGAGGTATTCATGATAACAAAACATGCTTTGGGCGACGTGGAGGTGCATGGCCGAGCTTGGCGTGCGCGGGCGTGAGAATTAAGGATTGGGAAGGCCGATAGGAACAATGTGAGGTCTGCGGTTAAGCGGCGGAAGGAGCTGTATCAGCGTGAGTGGTAAGAGATGAAAGTCGCGAAATGGGTAACGGTCGGCATGAACAGTATTGAAACACAGTGGGCACAAGCCACCTGAGGTGAAGGATCGCACGGAGCGCCATAGCATGAGAATCGAGATGAGAAGAGGTTGTTGTAGGTGGAGAGGATATAAGATGGGTTGCAAAGGGGTGGGTGGATGCCTGAGGTGGGAAATCTCGAAGGGATGAGTACATCGAGGTCGACAAGAGGATTGAGAATGAAAGGAGAATGGGGGGTGGGGAGATGGGCGGTGGCGCGCGGTTGAAGGCCTGAAAGTGGACTGTGAAGGGCAGGCAAGAAGCGTATGGCGTAAAAGGAAGAAGGACGCAGTAATTGCGGGCGTATCGCAGCGGCGCGGCGGATGCTAGGGAAGCCTCGGGAGGGAATGAACGTTACGAGCGGACACAACGGCATGGGGTTCTCGGTGCATCAGGACCGATAAGAAGTGTCTAGGAGATGAGTCTGAAAGAAGGGGGGGGGGAGGAGATGCAGAACGAGCCGTGTCGGCAGCGGGGCGAAAGAGTAGGCAACTTGATAGGTGTCGCTTGTTGAGGCGTGGTGTAGAGGTCGGGTGGCGCATTAGTGTGAGTCTAGCATTGGACAATCGCTGAATGCGGCCTGGCGGCGCAGATAGCTTTGAGGAGGGGCGAGAGGGTGCGTTGTGTCGGTGTGGGTGCGCGTCGGCGCGGGAGGCTTTGCACGGTGGAAATGAAGAAAGTGCGTTGACGCAAATATCTAAGGCGTGGCGAGGAGCGCGTCGACGTGAGAAACGTGGAAAAGTGGAAGTGGGCGTAGCGCATTCGTGCGGGATGTCTCGAGGAAGGCTAAAAGAACATCGAGGCAGTCCATGCAGGCGTGAGTAAATGAACGACATGTTGCCGTAGCGTCTAGGAGGATGCCGTACGGGGGAATGACACGGCACGGCGCTTGGGATGTGATAAAACGACGACGGGGAATATGGAGGGCGCGTCGGCGCGCCAACTTGCGGTGAGAACGGGGAATGGGGGATACATGCGGCGGCTTTTACAACGCGGTCGGTGCAGGAAGGCGCAAGGGCGCGTTAGGACGCGCGGGGGTAGAGCCCGGGAGCGCTTGTTGGATCATTGAACTCAAGATGAGGAGGAAAGAAGGGTCTTTGGTGGGGTTAGTTGATAACGGGCGGCGCGCGACGTACCTTGGGAGTAACAAGCAGTAAGGGAGTCAAGAAGCGGGGGCTGTGATGTAGCGGTACGTCAGAGCTGTGCAACGGTATATTGAGTTCGACGGCGTCGCGTATCGGGAACAGCGTCAAGGACGGTTTACTTGCGTGAACCGGGAGGGCACCCGCAACGGCGGAAAAATCGTGCTCGCGTTAGTCGTGGCGGTGTGCTTCGCGCGGGCTGGAAGGGCGCTACGACGCGCGGGAGGCTGTAGATGACTAAGGACGGTCGCGCTGGCGCCGTGTTTTGTTGCTAGAGGGGTAAGGACAAAGAAAGGTACGTGGGTCCGAGGTTCTTGTGGAGAGCCGTGAAGGTGGGCGCATTGATGCACGAGAGGTTCCACCGCGAGGGAGGATGATAAGGAAGGAGCGGGAGGCCGACGAGCGGAAGTAGGGCTAGTGGATGGTCAGTCGAGCAGATGAAGTGAACGACGTGCCTTGGATAGATACCATATATATGATAAGTCGGTGGCGGCGCATTGGGAAGCACGTCAGGGATGGTGTACTTGCGCCTTGGTCGCCCTGCGCAAGCGCGCCATGCCGGGCATGGGGTTTTAAGGCGAACGCGCGATCTGGGCGGGCACCCGCAGCGGCGAAACATAAAGTAGCAAGAATGTCGCGCTCACGTGAGGTCCTGCGCGCGAGTCGGAAGGGCGCTACCGCGCGCGGGAGCTTGAGGATGGCAAGTGAGGGTCGCGCTGGCGTTGGGTTTGTTGCAAGACGGGCGAGGGTGATATAGGCGCCTTGGTGCGAGGTTCTTGTGGAGCCGCAAAGGGGGGCGGCGCATCTGCGCCTCTCGGAGTGAACCTTGATGTGAAACGAAGCCGTCGCGTGCGACGGGAGGTGTGTCTTCCATAGGAAGAAGGACCTGAAGAGGGGTCAGTCGGTAGTGATTGGTGTGCAACGCACCTTCGAGACATTGTTATTACTTGGAAGTCGGTGCGGTGGTGCGGTGTAAGCGAGGTTAGAGGGGCGCGTTGGCGCAAAGTTGTCACAGGAGGGCGTGGTGCTTGAATAAAGAGGAAGCGAGTTGGCGCATAGGACTTGCGGGAAGGATGAAGGACACGCGTTGGCGTGGTGTTTGAAGGAGGAAGGAGAGGAAGCGAGTTGGCGCGGTGCTTGGCGAAGGAGGAAGGGCGCGAGTTGGCGCGAGGAAGCGAGTTGGCGCAGGGCTTGAGGAAGGAGGAAGAGGAAGCGAGTTGGCGCGGCACTTGAGGAAGGAGGAAGAGGAGGAAGCGAGTTGGCGCAAGGACGCGAGTTGGCGCAAGGAAGCGAGTTGGCGCGTAAATCTTGCAGAAAGAGGAGGAGGAAGCGAGTTGGCGCGTACGTCTTGCAGTAGGAGGAGGAGGAGGAAGCGAGTTGGCGCATACATCTTGCAGGAGGAGGAGGACGTGCGTTGGCACGGTGCTGGAAGGAGGACGTGCGTTGGTACGGTGCTTGAAGGAAGGAAGAGGAGGAAGGGCGCATTGGCGCGTAAGTCTTGCGGGAGGAGGAGGACACGCCCGAGCGTGGTGCTTGAAGGAAGGAGGGCGCGCGTTGGCGTGGCGTTTCGAAGGAAGAAGTGGGCGCGTTGGCGCAAGTCGCAGGCGGAAAGGAGGAGGAGGACACGCGATAGCGTGTTGCTTGAAGGAAGAAGGACGCGCGTTCGCGCGGTGTTTGAAGGAGGCAGGGAGGACATTGGTCCGATAACGCAGGCGGGAAGGAGGAGGAGGTAACGGGCTTTGGCTTACGGGTCTTGCAAGGTGAGCAGAGGAGAATATTGGGTGGTGAGGGCGCGTTGCGGGCGATTAGTGGGCAACGAAGTGAGATTATTGGCGGTATGTTTAGTCGTAATGGTCGTAACTAGTGCTGTAGGTAATGGAGTCGCAGCGGTCGCAGGTCGGGTCGGGTCTTCGCGCGGTGGCGCGAGCTGGAAGCGCGTCGGCATCGGACGAGTCAGGACTGTAGTTGGATGGGCCGTAGGTGTCGCTAAGGTGAGTCGAGGGCGCAGAAGCGGCGGGGATGTCGTACAGGTGCTGCAAAGGTGGTCAAAGATCTACAGGCGTGCGAAGGCGCGGGGAAGAAGCGAAGGGGTGAGTAGAGAAAAGGGGGGGGGGACTTAGCGGAATAGCGCCTCCGCTCTTGGGCGAGAGGGTTACGGAATCGTGCGTCGGGAGTCTGTCCGTAAGGAACTCGCGGGAGTGTTCGATTTGAGGTGTCCGAATGCAGGTGGCGGTCGTCCCGCTGCCGAAGGCTACGTTCGTCGGGCCGCAGGCGATCCGGCAACGGATGCGCGAGCTCTCTTCTGGGCGTATGTCGTCCTCGCGCGGGTCCGGTGAGGTGCGTTTATGGTGTTCGGGTGTGGCGTCGGTAGGACGGGTGTAAGCGATGGAGTCGCGACAGAATCTGTCATCGGGGCCTCAGAATTCGTAGGTGGCGAAATAGGCGATAGAAGCGCGGTAGTTGAGCCCTTCGTGAGCGCGTTAGCGCCGCCGCTCCAAGGCGAATCTCCTGCGAAGCTGCTGTCGGTGCTGCTGTCGGTGCTGTTGTTCGGAGGTAGGTGAGTGGTTTGGGTCACTGTTGCTGTTCTGAGATGCGCGCTAGGCTGTGAGGTGTTGGCGAAGTCGCTCCCGGTAGGTTTGGACCTGGGTATATGCGTGCTGAAAAGTGTGCTAGGTTCGCCAGATGGTTCTCAGAGGGTTTGAGGTAGGTCGGCTAGGGACTAGAAGTAGGATATAGCGAGCCAGAATGAAAGGCGAGAAAGGCGAGAAAAGCGAGGGGCTGCGACCTTCGACGGTGAGCGCGTCCCCCAAGATGCGACGCGCTCAGCCGCCACGTGAGCACTCTGACATCTGCGATCGCGTGGCGACGCAGACCGGCGTTTGCCCTTCCTTCCTTAGCTTGCCTATCACCGCGCTAGCTACTCGTGCCTCGTGCTAGCGCGGCTCACATCGTCCTGCACGTCGATCCCCTTCTCGAGTCCTGACTGACGACCTCCCAGTCCGCAGTTTTTCGTAGCCTTCTGCAACCCCTTCAGGTTTCAATGCAATACGACTAGTCCAACCTGATTATCCAGTCGATTTCTCCCCAGCCATGTCGCGCGAACAGCTCTCTTCCATCCTGGCACGGGCTCAAGGCGAAGCGGTCGACTTTTCTGTCGTTCTTTCTGACCTTCTTGCCGTTTTGTCTCGCCAACCCTTGCAGCCTTTGAATCCTGACCATATTACGCCATCTGGGTGCCGCACTCTGTTGTCGAGGCGCCCTGAGATCGGCGCGCTACTACAGGAAGCCATCGTGAAGCAAGACTACGACCAGATACTATCCTCCAGTACGTCTTAGTACCGTGAATATATTGCATGATACGCAAGCTCATATTCTCGGTTAGGTCTCCTGCTATTCGAAGATGCACATCTCCAATTTCGCGAGCCGCTAAGTCTAACCGACGTAGCGTTTGCAAGAGACATCGCAGAATTCATCAGCAATCAGAGGTCTATCCTTTGCCATCATGCTCAAAAAGAGACTCGGATGCCTTTGTGGACGCAGCATAGCAGTCGCGGCGACCGCCGGCAGTATGCAGCTTTCATCGCGAATCTGGCGTGTCGGTCATAGTACAGCCTGCTTTCTTCTGCATGGCTTGGGTTGCCCGTCCGGTACCTTGTCACAGCAATGGCGCTTGGAGCAAGTCTTTCGAGCGGGTCACCGCTGGTAGGTTCCCATCTTTCTGGTCTCGAGATGACTGTCTGAAAACTTTCCAGTATGTTGATCAATGGGGCCGGGACGGGCAAGACTCGATTACTCCTTGAAGGATTGTCTACGCGTTGGGGTCTGTACCTGCCGTGTTTCGTTGAGCCTGTCGGTCCCGGAGCTTGCGATTTGCGCGATGGCCTTCTCAACATATCGCTCATGATGGCCACGTCCGAGACTTCCGCACAGGCGCCGAATGCAGGCCTCTCTGCTGAAGATGCGGAATATACACGCCGCACAATCGCGCAGATTCTTTTGTCTAGGCTCGTCATCTTTGAAGAGTATCTGCGGCACGCTCGCCTAGACGACATGAATCTACGGATGCGGTGGCTAATGTTCCAGTTATTCCCAAACTTTCCCGAATGTCACGACATGTTCGTTAAGTTCTGCACGCTCATGTCGACTCATGACGCTAGTCCGGAATACATCGACGAGCGTATCACAGACACAATTCTGAAGATACGAGCCTTGCTTGGTCCCGACGAGCCAATCTATTGCGTGCTGGACGATGTGCAGTATGCCCATTCACGACGCGCGGGGGACAGTACCTTGCTGCGGCAGATCATATGTACTTGGGATAGATACGAAGGGTTAACGTTCGTGCTGGCGGGCCAGCCGTTTGAGCTCGACCAGTACAACCCACCGGATGCCCCAGTGTACCGCCTTTGGACCGACACTGGATCGTTTGACGGAGACGAAGCCCATCGCGCTTTCGTGCGCCGCTACCTACCTCCCGACCTGGCGTTCTCCGAAATCATGGAGAAGCTTCTGAACAGAGTCAGCCTCTGGCTTCGAGGACGGTGGATTACTTCACTTCTGCGCCTACGAGAAGGACTTACGCTCCGACAGATACAGCATCACAACCTACTTCATTTACTGCCTCCTAGTCGCCGGTTTCCAAAACCCTCACACGCTTCTAACGTCGTATGTGCGTATGCATTGCGGGATCCAGCCCGCAGATGGCCCCAAACTCACGAACACTATACTGCGTGACGACTATGACCTTTTGGTCGGAGGTCACAATCGGTACGAACCGGCCTCAACTTTGCCTCGAGGTGAGCGTGCGCGTAAGACGACGGGCATCACTCTTGCTCACTTTCGCTTCAGATCCCCAGGCCTGGTCTTCGGCGCAGACGGTCCTCCATCGACTGATAGTGTTCGGCCAAGACACTGTCCGATTGCGGGGAGACTGCTTACATCTGGTCGCACGCGAGTTTGCCACCTTCGCGGATGCCGATGGCAACGAAGTCATCGTCTGCGAGCCATTCTTTGTGTTCCCCCTCGCCTATCTCTTGTTCCAGCGCTGGGGACCATCGAATGGTTATCTCTCTACGTCCGCCGCATCGGCTCTTCATATGTCGCCACACCATCCGTCGTTCCATCTCGCCTCCATCCCGCTGCTCCTCATCGCTCTAAAAGGGGACAGCAAGCTCTGCGATGTATTCGCCTTCTCGGAACCGATCCCCGAGTGGGCGCAGCAGACGTGCAAGCTTGTGCGCCTGACGCGCTCTCAGGAAGGAACAGAGCTGCATGCTGTTCCTTTCTCTACGCCATTGCCTCAGAGGGAATCAGAGGACGTGTGGGCGACCGAATCGCCAGACTGGCTACAACATACTTCCGCGGGGCCGTTCTGCGTAGCGTCGGGGTTCAGCAGAGCAGATCTGCTCTTCGTCACCCAGCTCGCGAAGGGTGATGTCCTCTACGTGGCGTTGAAGGTCGTCCTGAAGAACGAGCACGTCGGCGTTTCGACCGAGTATATCCAGTTATGTCTGGATAGTCTGGCTTCAGGCCGTTTATTTCAGGTATGATATGATTTCCGAATGTTGGCGATCGCTGATAACTTGGCCTTGCTCTCCCAGGCTTCGAACAGCGCAAAACAGCTTTCGTTATACCTCCAGACGCCCATCGTTGGTTCAGGTCAGCCCCGCATGTTGCGTGCTTTCGCTACCTTTCCCGAAGCAACGGAAATCGGCGCTTTGCCGGAGGACTTTTCGTCGGACCCCAGAGCTGTTCTGAGAATGGATGTGCTACAAAAGCTATCGGAGAGTATTCCTTGGAAGGCTAGTCGGTCGCGGATTTATGCCGCACTGATTGACCGTCGCAAGCAACTCATGGTAGGCGACGCGTCGATACAGGTGGATTCCGAGGGCCGGATGCCAGACGACTTTACCGAATGAGATGACGAGAGGACTATCAGTATGCTAGGCAGGCAGTCTGCTCCCGGAACAACCTCGTCGTCGCGAGACCGTCTCTGCAACTGGAGTTATAAAGGCAGAGCGCATAGAGCATCGTCCTCACTGTGACGCGTCACGTGTGTAGTTCGATTTCATGTCACGTAGATACACGCGTTTGCCTTCCGCGTTCACCACCCCTTTGCAATGCGCATCAGTCTCGACGCCCGCGCATGACTCACTTGAAGGCTCAAAATATCCTCAGGCTTGCTCTGGAGGAGCAGTTGGATTCGGCTACGGTACTGTCCGAGCTTTTCACCATATTCTGTCGTGAAGGTCTACAGCCGGCAGACCCCGATTATGTGTCCGAGTCAGCTTGCCGGACCCTCTTGCAAGACAGCAAAGAAGCTCGTTCGCTCTTGGAGGAAACCATCCACAAACAGGACTGTCAATTTCTCTGGGAATACTGTGAGCATCCATGGCGTCTCCTTTCAGGTCTATACTCACCCTTGATATCAGTCGTTCACTCTTTCGCGAGGGACAGCTTTCAGTCACAGAAACCACGCTCTGCATCGGAACAAGCCATCGATGATCGCATTCGTGACTTCGAGAGGACATATGGGCAAATTGTGGCTGACTATGCTCGGGGCGAGGGGGATCCGTATCCCGCGTGGGAGCCCCCAGATGGCCCTTTTGAGACGCCCAGGGCTTATGCCGATTTTGTCAACGCTCTCGGGTTGCCGTGTCCCTCGGGCAACACCCCCAACCTCCTTTTACATGAGCTGGGTAGTCCTAGCCGTGCCGAATCCCAATCGGCGCGGCTGAACAGCATCTATCGACCTGGGCATCATACGTACGTCGGCGCTTCTACGTTTCTAACTCGACTAGTAACATACCTTCATAGTGTGTTTGTGAACACACCAGGAACGGGAAAGACCCGCCTGCTTCTTGAAGGCTTATGCCGCTCGTGGGGGCTCTATATCACTTGTAGTATCAGGGCTCCTGGGCTTGGGGCCTGCGATATTACAGGCGAACTCAAAAGCACTGATTTCTGGAAGCTACCCCTCGGTACCACTTCCCAGCTACTTTGTACCGATATTGCAGCCAGTAATGCCGACATCGCTCGCGAACTCGCCGATCGTATCCTGTTGGCCAGATTGACGATTTTCAGGATCTACCTGGAAAACCTCGCGAGCTCGAGTGACGTCGGTCTGCAGCGAAAGCGCTGGCTTGCGCTGCAGCTCTCATCTGTTGCTGTGCTGGGACATGACGTGTTCCCTATTCTCGCGAAGCAGCTGCGTATACGAGGGACCACCCCGGGATTCATCCAATATAGGATCACAGACACACTGCTCAAAATTCGGACGATAATCGGTCGTGACGCTCCCATCTTCTGCGTATTAGACGACGCTACACTTCTCCTAGGGTTTCGTGTCGCGGCCTTTGGAGAGTCTACTGCCCTTCAAGCGATAGTCAACTCTTGGGAGAAATATGACGACCTTACTCTGCTCGTGTGCGGCGTTCCTTTCGACATACGCTCCGCTGCTACCGAGGGCGGGAAATCATATCGTATATGTACGAATACCGGTATGTTTGACCGAGCCGACGAGCAGGCGGCTTATGCGGAGCGATACATCCCCCGCGAGTTGCTCTCCACGCGAGCGGGCAAGAAGTTGGTGGCCCGAATATGCCTTTGGTGTCGAGGACGGTTCGTTATATAATTCCTCTTGCTGCGCTGGCTCACTAACACATCCGTAGTTATCGTACTACGGCCATGATAATCAACTGTCTCCTCTTGTCTCGCTTCGTCAACCCTCACACCGTTCTCACGGCCTGTGTGGCCAGCTTTGCTATGATCGAGCCCTCTGACTCTCCCGTGGAGATGGACGATGCAGTGAGGGCGCGCTGTCATAGGCTGGTATGTGGTCTGGGTGGATTTCAGCCCAGCCGTACCTTTCGCCACGGTGAGCACCCAGTCCATGATTTTTGGGCTTTGGATGACCTTTCACAGACGTTCAAGCGCTGCTCTCTGCATACACGGCCATACATCAAATTCTCGTCCTTGGCGAAGATTGTGTCCGATTCACTGATGACTGCGCCTACTTGGCTCGCAGTGGCTTTGCGATGCTCGGCGGCGCCACTGGTCATGAAGGTATCATAAACGAACCATTCTATATCTTCCCCACTGTCGACCTGCTTTTTCGCAAGCTTTCGCTTGTCGAAGGATTTCTGCCTGCTACCATCGCAGCTAGCATGACGAGCCAACCAGTACATCAGGGGTTTCACCTTGCCGTCGTGCCGCTTCTCTTGCTAGCGTGCAAGGATGTTCGCAAAGTCCACGACCTCTTCGAATTTCCGTATCCAAGACCGCCTTGGGCGAACCAGACGTGCAGGCTTGTACGTGTAACGCGCCCTCGTGGCGACGGTGGCGACCTGCGCACCATGCCCTTCGAGACCTCTTGGCCGGACGATGGCTTTGACGAACGATGGGCAACAGAGTCCGCCGCCTGGCTCCGGCTACGAATCGACATGCCAGAGCCATTCTGCGTGGCGGCGGAATTCAGTCATGCGGACCTGATGTTCAACCTCCAGCTTGAGAATGGGGCCGTCCTACTCGTGGTACTGAAATTTACCATGAAGAACGAGCACATCACAGTCACGACGCAGGACTTTGAACATTGCGTCGCACAGTTGGCGCCCCACCGACTCTTCCATGGAGTAAGGTCGTCAGTCGGGGCGTTGTAGTGCATGACTGACGATTTCTAGGTCGCTGAATCGTCGGCTGATCAGCAGCGCCAACTGTCTGGTCTCGCTACGTTCCTCGATGGCGCCGGCACGCCATTCGTGCTGCGTGTGGTTGCGACGTTTCCTGAGCAAACAGACATTGGTGCGATACCACCAGACGGGCAGCCGTACCCCGTTGCGATGCTCAACCTGAAGTTACTGCAAGATGTATCACAGCGCGTCACGTATCTCAGTGTACTGCGTCGATTGCACCACCCTCTGATTACGAGGCGGAGAATCAAGCTGGTAGGGCACGAAGTTCCACGCGTTTGGACGGACGAGACGCTCCTATCCGAATAGGTGGGGACATTTATTGTGTACAGGTGAATTGTAGTTGGTTCTAACCAGCGTTCATAATACGGATGCTCGTGATCTAATCATGCTATACGGAACCAACATGAATCAGAGCGCGATAGCAAAGTGCGTACCCTATCCAGCAACCGTGGGTTCAAGTTCGACGCACCGAGCGGGCGCGGTGCGTATGTCATGGTGATGCGAATGCAACTTTGGGCGAGGTGCAGGTTGCGCACACTGCAGCGACCCAGGAGGCACGCGAGGGTCTTCGGCATGCGGTCCGAGAGTGTGCGTAGCGCGCATGCTCCTTGGACTCTTCCATGAGAGCCAGTCACTAAGCCACGATGCGGATTTCTAACCTACCCACCTCTTGCGTGAGATGCGTGTAGGGGTTCCTATCCGGCTGTCCTTGGAACTTGTCACGGGACCGCGGCGCGCCCGTATATACGCGTGCTCGCCTCATGTACGTAGGTCAGCTCACACCAGCACGGTGGTACCGACGCAGGAACCTTTTCCACTCAGATCCCGCATCCTCACTCAGACATTGCAGCCATCTTACACGCGCCAGTGACAGCGTGAATTATTTCTCGTTGTCTCTCATCACATCCTCGACGTCTCCTTCTGAGGACATTCGCAACCACTATACTGCAATCTTGCATGGCTTGTTGGAATCTCCTCGATGCGCTTCCAGACGTGCACCTCCTTCATGAAGCAGCCATTCGTGAGCCAAGTCGTGGCACGCTTTGGTCCAATGGTGCGTCGAAAGGTCTTCTAATGAGTGTGCTACATTGACGTAGCTCGCAGATGGCTCGCGCTTCGAAGGCGCCGTCCCGCAATCGCAAAAGCCAAACGTGAAAGGCGATCACGACGTGGAGACCTGTATATTCAATGCTCTCGAGGGATGTCGGGGTTCCTTGACATCTTTGGTCAATGACTACCTACGACTACCGTTGTGGACATCATCGGACGGCCGCCCTACTGAGCAATCCGTGGATCCTGCTTACGCTGCATTTATAGGTACACTAGAAATACCCATATCGGACAGACGCCCCTCGCTTCTTCTGCACAGACTAGGTGAACTGGGGTCATCGTCGTGCGCGGCGCGGCTGCGGGACATCTTTTGGTCAGGTCAACACACGTGCGTGCTACAATGTGTTTCCTGGTGCTTGGTTCATGTCTCATCCTTTCATAGTCTCTTCGTCAACAGCCCTGGCACTGGGAAGACGCGCTTGCTTTACGAGGGTTTGACGGAGCGGTGGGGCTTGTACATCCCATGCTCCATCGTGCCACGAGTCCTCGGTTCTGCGGACATGTGCAGCTTCTTCAGCAACGCCATCTACGAGGAACCGACTCCAGGAGAGTATACCGCGGCCTTTGAGCGTGTCTTGCTCGTCAGACTGGTCATATTCAAGCTGTTTCTGGAATGTCTGCCGGGCGCGCAGACTGACGAGCACCGCACAAAGTGGTTACTCTTGCAGCTCATGCCGAGTGCTATTGCGAAGGACGACATCTTCTTTGATCTCGCCGACAGACTCGAACGTTGCGAGCCAAGTAATGGGCTCTTGCGCCGCAAAATTGCGGATACTCTCATCTCGATACGCCGGATGCTGAGCAGTGACGAGCCCATCTTCTGTGTCATTGACGACGCCGACTATCCTGATGTGCATCGTGCTAGAGCATTCGCCCCTTCGACTTCTCTGAGGGAGATGGCTCGTACTTGGGAGAATATCGAAGGCCTTACGCTGATATTAAGTGGCTTCGACATTACTCAGGCGCCTTTCCGGACAGAAAATCCACAGCGATACCGATTGTTCACGGACACGGGATCCTTCGACAACTTCACCGAGCATGCGACGTTCATTCGACGGTACCTGCCCCCTCAGCTAGCTGAATGCGACGCAGGGGAGCGACTTATCATTCGCGCATGCCTCTGGCTTCGGGGCAGGTAATGTTGACTCCGCCATTTTGGTCTGGTCTTACCTCTAACGCGTTTGCCAGGTATCGCATCACAACTGCCTTTATCGAATGCTTGATTGCCGCGCACTTCGCATATCCACATACCCTCCTGACGGCCTTTGTGGCAGCCTATGGTGGCGTTGAGCCGGCTGATGGCCCCTTTCGTGTGCCCAAGGCCGTCAGGTGTCACTGTGACTATATGGTGCTCCATCTCGTTGCTTATGAGCCTTACGAGCGTCTCAAAAAAGGTAATGTCATTCGTTGATGATGGGGGTAGTTGCTGACGTGGAAGAGTTAGATCATCAAGCCTGGACGTCTGCCCAAATGATCGTTCATCGTATTATGGTCTTCGGTGAGGACACCGTCAAGACCACTGAAGACTGTGCAAACCTGGTGGCCTCCCGTTTTGCTACGTTCTCTCGAGCGGACGGAACCGAAGCCATGGTCTCCGAGCCTTTCTACGTCTTCCCCCTCCTCAGAGCAGTATTTCAACGGGAAGGACCGGCGTCTGGATTCTTATGCGCTAGGGCTGCATCCGAGCTGCGCTCCCATCCTCACCACCGCAATCTCCATCTCGCCGTCATTCCCCTGCTTCTGATGGCCCTTAACGGCAAGTATAGGTTCTGCGACGTCTTCCAGCTTGCGGCACCATATCCGTGGGCCAACCGGACGTGCAAGCTTGTGTGTATTGCGCGCGACACTGCCAGCGCGCAGTCACGCATTCTCCCTTTCGTTTCTTCCTTCCCGAACGCCTCAGCCAAGGAGCGCTGGGGAACCGAAGCTACGGAATGGCTCCAACACGCCGCGCTAGAGCCTTTCTGCGTGTCGACGAGCTTCAGTCATGCGGATGTCCTGTGCATCGTGCAGCTGGACGATGGCCATCAGATCTACGTCGCCCTCAAGACCATGCTGAAGAACAAACACGTCGATGCGCCAGTGCAAGTCATTCAAGACCAACTCTTGAAGTTGGTCCCCGACCACATATTCCAGGTGGGTCTAACCTATCTATCATATATGGCGGCCCATGGCTGAGTCCTTTCAGGCGCCCGGGCTGTCGTTTGCGGATCTCCCTTGCCCAGTGCAAGGCTTCGGCGGTACTCCCCTGCTGCGCGCCTTTGCCACATTTCCCGAGACGATGACAGTAACTTCGCTGCCGCGCGACGCATCACCGCAACCCATAGCCGCCCTCAACATATCGCTTCTACACCAGATAGCGGAAGAAATTCCTTACATCAGTGTCCTTCGGCGGGTGTACGCTGCGCTCATCTTCGCTCACAAGAAGCAGCTCGTAGGTGACGATCCCATGCGCGTGGATCGAGAGTAAGATGATGACTCAATGGTAGGTCTCGTTTGTATGGTCATATCGTACAGTGCTTACAGGCTTAACAGGACGAGAACGAGGGAGAAGCATCGATCTTTCTCTACCAAATCCGCTGCGAGCCTGTGTTCTGATGCCATTTGACCTGCTGTGCTACACCATCTAGCAATGCACGCATGTGACGTGCATCCAAAACCTTGAGGTCGTAGATGTCTCTGTCGCGGTCATGTCTGTCTGTGTAGACGTAGACTCTGTAGGAGGTGAATGTAGGATGCGACCTCTGAAGTAGGGCACCCATGCAGTCACGTGCAACAGCAAGCACGCTCAAACAATGCGGCCACAAATCGAGATCACGGCTCGTCGTAGCCGCCATCATCTGTCTCTGCAGAGACTGTGCCGTATCTCTCTATGCTGACCACCCAGGCTTGCGACATTCTTCGTCGCGCTCGTCGAGAGCAAACGGATCCGGCAGTGGTGCTCTCCAAACCTCTTACCGTCTTTTTCGAAGAACGTCTACGACCGAGAGATCCTGAAATTGTTTCTATACCAGCATGTCGCACTCTGCTAGAGAAACACAATGAAATAGAGATCCTTGTAGATTCGGCTATTCGGGACGAGAACTGCCAACCTCTGTGGGATTGCGGTGTGTGATCGCGCGTCGAACTCGATAGTACGCTGAGAATAACGCAGACCTCCTGTCGTTTGCGGAGGCGGACTTGCAGTCGCAAAGGCCACGCTCACCATCTGACCAAGCCATCGATGAACAAATCCGTGACTTTGAAAGGACATATGGGCAAGTTGTGGCTGACTATGCTCGCGGCGAGGGGGATCCGTATCCCGCGTGGGAGCCACCCGAGGGCCCTTTCGAGACACCCAGGGCATATGCGGAGTTTGTTGAAGCTCTTGGCTTACCGTGTCCCTCGGACAATGAACCCGATCTCCTCTTACATGAGCTGGGCAATCCTAGCCGTGCTGAATCCTATACCGCGCGCCTGGACAACATCTTTCATGCGGGGCATCATACGTACGCCACTTTACCCATCCCCAGCTTCAATGTTGACACACTCCCTCAGTATGTTTTTGAACGCACAGGGAACAGGCAAGACCCGCCTGCTCCTCGAAGGTTTATGCCGATCCTGGGGCCTCTACATCACCTGCAATATCAGAGGTCCTGGGCTTGGGTCAAGCGATATGACGGGCGAACTTAAATTCGCTGATTTCTGGAGCATCCCCCTCGGCACCACTTCCCAGCTTCTTCGAGCCGATATCTCAGCCAGTAACGTGACCATCGCTCGCGATCTCGCCGATCGTATCCTGTTGGCGAGATTGACGATTTTCAGGCTTTTCCTGGAGAACATCCCCAGTCTGAGCGACCTCGGTCTGCAGCGAAAGCGTTGGCTTGCAATGCAGCTTTCGGCTACCGCTGTGGTAGATCACGATCTCTTCCCTTCCTTTGCCAGACAGCTGCGGATCCCAGGGGCCACACCGGGATTCATCCAACATAGGATCTCAGACACGCTACTCAGAATTCGGGCTATAATCGGTCGTGACACCCCCATCTTCTGCGTGTTAGACGATGCGCCACTTCTCCTCGGATTTCGTGCCGAGTCCTTTGGGCAGACCACGGCTCTCCACGCGGTACTGCGTTCTTGGGAAGGCTTTGACGATCTCACGCTCCTCATGTGCGGGTTGCCCTTCGATATTCGCTCTTCCGCAGCCGAAGGAGGGAAAAACTATCGTGTCTGTACAAACACCGGTATGTTCGATCAAGCTCGCGAACAGGCGGCTTATGTGGAGCGATACATACCCCCCGGGTTGCTTGCCACGCAAGCGGGCAAGAAGTTGGTGACCCGGATATGCCTCTGGGGCCGAGGACGGTTCGCTATGTTTTCCTCCTACTGCGCTGGCCCACGGACTCACACTTTTGTAGCTATTACACCACCGCCATGATCATAAACTGTCTCCTTTTGAGTCGTTTCGTCCGTCCTCACACCGTTTTGACGGCCTGTGTCGCCACGTATGCTCTGATAGAGCCCTCTGATTCCCCTATGGAGCAGGATGACGAAGTGAGAGCCGACTGCGAAAATCTAGTATGTGGTCTGGGAGGTTTCCAGCCCAGCCTCACCTTTTGCTACGGTGAGCATTTAGTCTGTCATTCCTTGCGGCTGCATGATATTTCATAGACCTTCAAGCGTTGCTTTCTGCATATACTGCCATACATCGCATTCTCGTCCTCGGCGAAGATTGTGTTCGGTTCACTGACGACTGCGCGTACTTGGCTCGCACTGGATTCGCCATGCTTGGCGGCGTCACCGGTCACGGAGCTATCATAAACGAACCCTTCTATATTTTCCCCACTGTGGACCTGCTGTTCTGCAATTTTCCCCTTGTCGAGGGATTTCTGCCTGCTACGATCGCGCCCAGCATGACGAGTCAACCAGTACATCAGGGCATTCACCTCGCCATCGTGCCCCTCCTCTTGCTCGCAGGCAAAGAATCGCACAGAGCCTGCGACCTCTTCGGATTTGCACACCCCCGCCCTCGTTGGGCAGAGCAGACGTGCAAGCTTGTACGCGTGACGCGCGTTCATGGCGACGGTGGCGACTTGCGCGCTGATCCCTTCGTGACAATCTGGCCGGACGAGGGATTTGACGAGCGGTGGGCCACGGAGTCTGCTGCCTGGCTACAGCCACAGAGCGACATGCCGGAGCCATTCTGCGTTGCGGCTGGGTTCAGCCATGCGGATCTGCTATTTTATCTCCAGCTTGAGGACGGGACCGACCTGCTGGTGGCGCTGAAGTTCATCATCAAGAACGAGCACATCACGGTCACGACGGAGGATGTTGGTCACTGCGTCGCGCAATTGGCGCCCGACCGACTTTTCCGAGAAGTGAGTCTGTCGATCTGGGTGTTATGATTCATTCTCAAGTTCATAAGGTCGCCGGATCGCCCGCTGATCAGCAGCACCAGCTGTCCAGTCTCGCTACTAGCGCAGGCGCACCGCTTGTGCTGCGAGTGGTGGCGACGTTCCCCGACGAAACGGACGTCAGTGCTATACCTGAGGACGGGCTACCATTCCCCGTTGGAACCCTCAATCTGAAGCTATTGCAAGATGTATCGCAGCGTGTCACTTATCGCGGTGTGCTGCGTCGGTTGCATCACCCGCTGATCACGAAGCGGAGGATTGAGCTGGTAGGGAATGCGGTTCCGCGCGTCTGGACGGACAAGACACCACCATCCGAGTAGATTTTTGTGATCAGACATGTAACCCGTCAACGTTGTGTAAGGACAGACCGTAGTTAGCCTTGACCGGTGGTATTTGATGCGAATGTTCGTGCTCCAATCACGTTAAGTAGACCACGGATATAAACCAGACCGCTCGACAGCAAAGCATGCAACGTATCGAATGAATGATAGTCTGTCTATCCAGCAAACGTCTCCTCGTTAATCTCAAGCCCTAGAGTACTCTTCGCCGTCCTGCGCATGATGCTCTCCAGCTCGTCCTCAAAGCCCACCACTTTGTACCCGAGCACGCGTCCCAGATACTGCCTGATGCGCACCCAGTAGAACACCGTGTCCGACGAGAACATGATCGTCTGGAAGACAAAGTGCTGCCACCACGCATGCCAGCGCTGCCCCAGGCTCAAGTTCGGCGACTTCGCGAGCGCGCGCGACGCGTATGTCGCGGTGATGCGGATGCGGTTCACGGGCGAGCCGAGCGACTGGTTGTTGCCCTGCACCATGCGCATGTTGCGCAGGAGGAACGCGAGCACCTTCGGCATGCGGTCCGTGTCGACGAGAAAGTTGCGCAGCGCGGCCTTCATCTGCACGCCGCGCTCGTAGTCGCTCGTCGCCTCCTTGGAGAAGATGGGCGGCCCGGTGCGCGCGCCCTTCAGCCGGACGGGGCGCATGAGCGCGAAGGACGCGAAGAGGTCCCCCATGCCGAGGCCGACGCCCCACTGGCTGACGACGGACTCAACCTCGGCGCGGTCGCCGACGAGCATGGCCTTGAAGACGGACGCCCACTGCCGGCGCATCTCCTCTGAGACGCTCACGTACAAGCCGTGGTCGAGGAGCACGAGTTGCGGTTGGGTCGGTTTCGAGGGATTGGGCCGGATGAGGACGTTCCCCGGGTGGGGATCGCAGTGAACCCAGCCCCAGCTGAACATCTGTGCGCTGAACAGCTCGACCATGGTCTGCATGACAGCGCGTGCGCCTCCCTGTAGTGGTCGGAGCGCTTCCGTGCCCGGCAAAGGTGGCTTCTCGCCTACAAGCCGCAGGACCGAATCGCGGTCGCTCAGCCGTACGCCATCTATCCACTCCGCCGTCATGACCCGCTTTGTGGAGTATTCCTCATACACTTCGGGTATGTGTACGCGCTGCGCGAAGTTCGGGTCCGCGCGCACGAACGCGGCCGTCCGCCGTGCGTTGTCCGCCTCCCGGATGAAGTTGAGCTCTTGGCGAAGGTGATCCGAGATGTAGTCGACGAGGAAGTAGACGGGGAGCTCAAACCAGCGGTCGTAGAGCCACATCACGCCCTTGTAGGTCGTGAGGTCCCACCATGTCTGGCGCACGACGTCCGGCTTCTGGATCTTCACGGCGACCCACTGATCGGAGCCACGCAGTTTCGCTTTGTGGACCTGCGCGATGCTGGCGCTTGCGACTGCCTGCTCTTCGAATATCTCGAATACGCCATCTGGGCCGCTTGGAGGGCGCCCGAACTCGGAGCGGAAGACGGATTCGACAACGGAGTAGGGGACCTGCGGTGCGTCGTCGAAGAGGGACTGAAATTTGACTTGAACGGGTTTGGGAAGCAGGGCCGCGTTCGCGCCTATAGCCTGACCTGCGCAAAGTTAGCAGAGAGTACGTTGGGGGAGTATGGCGCACGCACCGATCTTGATGTATAAGCCACCGTTCTTCGTCAGGAGGTTGTACATCCTTTCCGCGACGCGCTCGTGGAGTTGTGGTATAGACTCGCTCTTAGCGGGTGTGAAGTTCATGGAATAGTCTAGGGCTATAGCCCCGCACTACGTCTCGATGTCAGCGATGAGCACTCCGGATGTATCAGAGCACGCACCATGTATATTGTTCGGAAATTACGCGTTATGGCGGACGCATTAAAGTTGGTGTCTATCGCCCAGAGAGTGCCAATCCCGACGCCAGTATACAACGCTCTTCTAGCATACTTTTGGAGTCTGGAGGGAGACGGAGGAGGGGGAGCGCTCGTAGCGAATCCTCGCCCAAATGCATGGCGAGTTCGAGCCGCAAATCTAGCTTTCGACGACGTCCTGAGGGCTTGCGCCGATAAGCCATAGGGGGAAACGGTCATGAAGACGTTGTGTGCTGCATGAACGTTGGGGAAGAGAGATAAAGTCGCGACATCTGGACATTCGGAACGGCAGCGTCATCGCGCCGGCTCGTGCGGAGCGCGATCCGGCGCGTTCAAAACATGGTCTTGATGACGCGTCGGTGGCCCGCATCTTGCAGCGACGCGAAGCGGAAACACGGCAAGCGACATATGCGGAGGAGCAGTTGATGAAGATGAGATGAACACGGAAGAATGGCAATCTAGGTCGAAGTCGAGTCGGTCACGTGCTCGGTCCTGATGGGACCCACAAGGTGTCCAGCAGGCCGCTTTCAACCACCGACTATGCTTCGCCCAACCTTATCGAGGCGCACATCGATCTCTTGCTTCGGCTCCTTCCAGAGGAACTCAACCACAAGATCGACGATAATGGCATCTTGCATACGCGAGTTCCTTCCTTCATGAAACAGGCCGTAAGGATAACGACCTGATGTCTAAGGCCCACGACTCATCAACATGTCGGCACAAGTGTTCCTCGAGATATGATACACAGCTTGGTATACCAGTCGTTTCTGATCAGAACCTCCTTGAAAGCGTGTATTCAGCTGCGTCGAGTCAGCAAAAGTGGAAAGTCGACAGCATATATGCATACCTGGCACTATGGGACGACCGCGGTCGATTCCCACTTCCCCTCCGCATACTTGAAGAACGTCCTGCGATCGGGCTTCTTGCCCAACTCGACATAGTCAACGTCTTGGGGCTCGATGAGCAACAGGGCGAAGTTGCCGAGGGCCACCTCCCAGTGCTCCTTGTTCTCCTCATCGCCTTCCTCCAAGTCCTTCACCGCGTGCGGCCAGCTCTCCGGCGGCGAGTTGGGATGCGTGGACAAGGGCGAGCCGGGGCTTGGTCTGCACCAGCTTGCCTTCATGCCAGGCGACAGCGAGCTGAAGGTGTCCACGCGCTTCTTCTCCCAGTCCACGTTATCCTTTGCGATCTCGGCCAGAGGAGACCCAGCAGGAGCCTGCTTAAGCGCCTTAAGGAACTTCTCGTGCAAGCCGCTCGCATGACCGGGACGAGGAACGACATGCGCTGTCCCGCCGATGCGGAACTGCTCCATCGTGCCCTCAATCCACCAGGTTAGCTCGACTTTGCTGCTGTTCGTGATCTGCGCGACCTTTGGCGTGCGGATATCCACGGTGGAGAGGATGATGGGAAGCTGCGGCGCACTTGCCGGCGTGATGAAGCCTCGGAAGACGTGCGTGCGAACGCGAGGGCGCGCGAGAGATGCGTCCCAGGTAGCGAGCTGGATAGTGGTGGACTTGGGGTTCGATTTGAGCGCTGCCTGCAGGGCTTTGTGCCATTCCGGGGCGGACATGATGGGGGCGTAAGGGAAGACGGAGGCTGATCTTGACGCAACGAGAGAGGAGCCGCCGAATCCACCCTTGCACGTGACCCCAAACGGAGTTAAGTGTCAAAGCGTAGGCGGGAAGTGCCGCAGCGTCCGGCGCAACGTCGACGTCGCGCCGTATATTTGAGTTTTGGACGTAGGTTTCCTTGAATTATTCTTCTGTGAAGTTTGTAAGCAGAACTCGAATGCGTGAGGATGCAAGTCCACCTAACGAGCGAGGGCGGGGCTTTTTTTCCTGCACGACAGGGGTTTCAGTGGTAATAAATCTCTATTCAAGCTATTCTATGCCCTCAATACTACGCGTACAACTCTAAGAGGTCGGTAAGTAGATGCTACACGAGGATGTTGACCCTGCGATCGACGCGACGGCGCGGCCCGCTCAACAGGGCCCATGTCGACGCGTCTCTGCGCGAGGTAACGTGGGGAATGGGGAGGAGGGTGTTGGGACGCGTTTTTGAACGCGTATACGCGTCCGGCGACGTCGGCGACGTCACCGCCGCTGGTCGGCCGTTGACGCGCGTCTCAGGCGCGACGCACGCGTACGGGCTGCCCAACGCCCTCCCCCGGCGCGTCCTACGCGTGGCATGCGTGACGGCCGCGTCCTGGGTGAGCAGCGCGCGTTTGAGACGCGTCGACCGGGGCGGCAGCGTCGAGGGCGACGCGGGACCCGTGGTGGTTGGGAGCAAGGACATCACGGGACCTTGTTGACCGGGGCGAGGCGCCAAACGAAAAGCAATAAATGCAAGGATTAAAAGGATTAATGAAGGAATAATGGCCGCGCGTCCGGAGCGCGTGGCCATTTCCCCATTAGGGGTCACGTGCGAGGGTGGATTAGGCAAGAACTCAACGAGAGAACAAAGAGATAGCCCAATTTAGAAGGTCTTCTCGCAGGCCAAATACATGTCAATCCGCCTGGTCGTTCGTCCCTAATGAGGCGCAACAAGAGCTTTGTCTCTTTGCACTAGACTTCAGCGATTCGGACGACGACTATGGTCAAGTCAAGGGGTCAAACGGCGACAGGCGCCCGGGCTGGAAACGGCGATCAGGCATCAGCCATCTATAATTATGGAATGCAACGAGGCAAGATCAACCTCCACCTTCATTCGCGCATTCGCGCAACCAGCAGTAACCGTCGTCGCGCCAGCCGCCATGCCTCGCGAGAACTCGTTCAGCGACGAGGGCGCGTCTCTCACCTCGGAAGATGAGGACTACCCCGCGGCCGTATCGCCCACCTACGACGGCGAGCCGCGCAGCTTCGCGCGAGGGGCGGCCCCGCAGGCGGGCGCTGCCCTCCCCCTCCGCTCCCCCTCTAAGTACACGGTCAAATCTTCACCCAGCAGCCGGCGCGCGCCCTTGCGCCCAATTCAGCGCTTTCGGGCGGCGGCGCGCAAGGTGATCGCTATGCACCGAGGGACGAACATGATTCGCGGGCGCGGGGTGGGCAGCGAGCCCGGTATCGACCCCCGGCGTGCGACGGCGGACGTGCAGTACGGGGGGATCCACCAGGACTGCGTGATCGAGCTGTTCGACTACTCGGGGTGGTCGCTGAGCGCGGGACGCATGACGAACAAGGAGTTCGTGGACCTTATGGGGGACGAGCAGGCCAGCGAGCGCGATGCGTGGGTCAAGGTGCGGTGGATAAACATTAGCGGGATTAGCTGGGATGTGATCAAGGCCGTGTCGCTAGCTTATGGTGCGTGTGGTGCGCTCAGCCGTCTTACTGCCACTGACAGCGCATAGAGTTGCATCCCCTTGCGCTGGAGGATGTACTGCATCAACGCAGCGGGAACCGCTCCAAGGCCGACTACTACTCTCGTCACCTATTCATCCGTATCCTCTGTCATGAGCTCGGTAACGAGGACGACCCTATCGACCCGACCGCGACACCTGCATACGGCAGCACTCTCAGGAGATGCGAATCACCCGTGCAGGTGGACGACGTCCGAGAGTCGTACGAGATGGTCCGGAAAAGTGCAAGCGACGACTCTGAGGAGAAGACGGTGTATGGCTCAGCACCGCAGACGATCACCCGCCGGCGGAGAGCGTGGCGCCGGGGTGCGGTGGCGGCCGACGATATTGAGTCGAAGCCTAAGGTACCCATGTCCCGGCCATTGCTCAGGCCCGTCGCTTCGACGCGGGAAGTCCTAGAAGATATGGTGCGCGCGCCATCAGAGTTTGAGTGCGCAGCAGCATCTCACACGCATCCCAGGATCGCAAGAGGCGCAACGAGGAGGACGTGACCGTCGAGGCGCTCAAGCGCGACGGGCGCGTACCCGTTCGGGTGTCGCCCTTCTACATCTTCCTCCTCCGTGACGGCACCGTCATCTCCATCTCCGCCTCCCCATCGGGGCAAGCCCTGACCGCCCCCATCGCCGCGCGCCTCCGCGAGCGCGATACCCTGCTGCGCAAGTCCGCCGACCCTTCCTTGCTTGTCCAGAGCTTACTCGACCTGCTCGTCGACAAGGGCCTGGAGGTCATCGACGCGTTTCACGACCGAATCACGCAGTTCGAGCGGGAGGTGCTGCTCAAGCCGAAGATGCGGACCGTGCGGAATCTGCACATCATCTCGGGCGACCTTATTTTGCACAAGCGGACGCTGGAGCCAATCAAGACGGTCATTTATGGGTTGAGGAGGTATGACCTAGATCGGTGCCTGGCGATTGTGGATCCGGAAGAGTTAGAGACGAAGAAGGTGACAGGGTTCATGAGCCATAAGAGCAAGATCTACTTGGTGAGTCGTGCCTGCTCACTAGAACCGTTGCGTGAAGCTGACGATCCTTTTCAGGCGGATGTGTACGACCACATGGACTACATTCTGTCGAGCTTGGATATGTTCGCGAATATCACGGAAAACCTCATCGACTACACTTTCAACGTGGGTTCACGTTGCCCACTATGGGGGTCTAGTAGCTTACTATCCCTCGCAGATGACGTCGTATGAGATGAACGAGATCATGTAGGTCAAGTTCATTGAACAATGAGCCCCAGTGCTAACGTACCGGCAGGCGTCGTCTAACGCTAGCCACGATCATCTTCTTGCCTATGACGCTCTTGACTGGCTACTTCGTAAGCTCTCTTGACTTCCTTGCTAGTCCACCGTAGCTCACAAATGCTCCAGGGAATGAACTTCACCGAGTTCTGGAGCGTCAACAACAACTCGGACGTGTTCTTCTGGGAGCTGGCAATCCCCATCATCGTCGCCGTCACTGCCGTCTTCATGTGGGGTGACTTCGTCCGCATATTCCACTATCTGCAGAAGAGGTGGATTGCGCGGAATGCAGTCAAGGTGAGTTCTCTCGGTGGACGGCGCAGGCAGACATTCTCATAATCTTGCAGGCGTACCGCGCTACCTAGTATACCCTCCACTTGAGTATACCCGCGGCCTCTATCTCTGCGCTCCTATTGAGGTGGTGCGTCTGCGCGTCTGATTTATTGCGTTATTGCTGGATCTATAGGGCTGGGGTATCTGGATGCTTGTATCTGGCCGCTCGTGTTGACTTGTTCGCTCACTCTTATGTATGTTCACGACCATCGGACCGCCGCCTCTCTGTCTTAGTACAGGAATAACGTCGTATAGATATGGACTCGACTAATTCGCTCATTCATAACATGGACAACGACCTGGGAAGGGTGGTCAACTTATTGCGCTGCCCCTGTGCTGCCTCGTTTGGAAGCCTTTGTTCTTCTCGCATAATTGGCATTAAGTAAGATCTCATCATCTGTGCACCTTTGCCGCGGTCTTCCTCCTCCCAGGACGAACGGACGCACTTCTATCTGTCCGTATGAGCAGGGGCTGAATTCCTCGGCGGCGCGATAACGACGCGGAAGGCCGCATGTTCGCTGTCGAGACCACCCGAGATCGTGCGCCCCGGCCATGCGCGCCTATCAAGCCTGCGGTTAGCAGCCAGTCCCTGCTCCTCCATGACTGTTCCGCCGCTGCGCTGTTCGCTGCATTACGCGCGATAGCTCCCTGCTAGGCGCTCACATGAGCGTGGCCGACCGGCCGACGGAGGCTTGCGAGTGAGCTATCGGCGCCGAGACTTTATATATGAGGGGCGATAGCCGCACTGCTTACGGCTCTTGCTCTGTACCTCCATCTCCTCTGAGCTCCTTGCGATCGAATAGCGACATTATGGCCATTGAACTCATCCCGCTGCCGCTTCCTGCGAGCGCCGATCCGTCCAAGTTCCAGCACTTTGGGCGTGAGGTTAGGGGCGTTGACCCGGCGAACTTCACGGAGGAAGAGTTCAAGGAGATCGAGGAGGCCTTGTACAAGGTACATGCCTTGCAGTAAAGCTGGGATCGCAAGCTCACATCTTTCGCTGCAGCATGATGCGCTCCTATTCCGGGGCACTGATCTCTCTCCGGAGAAGCAGTATGCGCTCACCAAGGCCTTCGATCCGACCTGCGAGAGCTATGGCCACGGAAACAACAAGACTGGCAGCGAGAAGAAGTCGATCCTTCATCCCGATCTGAAGGTGCGTACTTCTGCGATACTCGCAGTATTAAGCTCACCTCGTGCAGACCATCCCCCGTGTTCCCCAGGTGCAGCTCATCGGCAATGGCACCGTGTACAACCACGAGGGTCTCGCCGAAGCCATGCTCAAGCACCCCTCGCATACCACCTTCCACAAGACACGCGTCTCGCCCGAGGACGAGGCGAAGGGCCACACCCGCTTCTACCGCTGGCACATCGACGCCGCGCTCTACGACCTCTCCCCGCCGAAGGTGACGACTCTGTACGGGATCGAGGTCCCCGATGGTTCGCCGCAGGTGTGCCGCTACGACGATGGAACGGGCGACGAACTGCCGGTGCCGCTGGGCACGACGGCCTTCGTGTCAGGGCGCACGATGTTCGATATCCTGCCGCAGGAGCTGAAGAGCTTGGCGGTGCGCTCGCGCGTGAAGTACGCGCCGCACCCGTATGTGTGGATGGCGCCGGCGCATGCGCTGTCGACGGGCCTTGGGCTGGAGAGCGAGGGGCTTGAGCTACCGCTCGACGAACTGCCGCCTTGGGAGGAGAGCAAGCGGAAGACATTGCCGGTGGTAAGTATGCTCAGTATACGCGCTGAGGGAAGGTAGCTCATGTCGTGCAGACCTGGAAGAACCCCGTGACGGGCGAGCTGCACTTCCAGGTGCACCCCTGTGGTGCTGCTGAACTCATCGTCGACCCCTTGCCGGAGGGTGCGAAGCGCGAGGGTGCGCTCTACCCTGACGGCGCGCATATCACGGACCTGAAGGAGGTCCGCGATCTGCTGTATAAGATGCAGCGCCCTGCTATTGCACCGCCGGTGAGCTCTTCGTCCTTCCTCGTGTCGTTGTCTGGTCCTGATGGCTCCCCAGCTTGTCTACCCCCACGACTGGAAGCCGAAGGACCTCGTCATCTTCCATAACCGCGGTGTCCTTCACACCGTTGTAGGCGCGTTTACGAAGGAGCAAGTGCGGGCCTTCCACCAGTGCAACCTTGCCGCGTCGGCGGACCCGACAGGCCCCACGCCGGAGGACGTGAAGAAGTATGCGTGAGGACGCGAGGGTTGCGCATGAGGGGTAAACACGGACGAAAGCTCTACGGTCTTTAGTTGATCTGCACTGTACTACATACAAGCAATGTTCAGGCGTTCCGGAATTCATTCTCGCTCAAATGTCGTAAAAAGAACAGTGTACACAGGTACAAGGTATATACATCGGCAGTGCTGAAACCCCCTCTGGTTCCCCGTAGTCCCGAGTCATGAAAGGTGTTGGTCACTCTTCGGCGGCACTCTACCCTCATTTGAGAGCCAGTTTCCCTCTAGCAACTCGCCAAGTACTTCGAAATCGCCGACTTCTCGGCCGAGTCGACGGAGAGCTTGTAGTAGTGCTTGACCTGGACCCAAGCCTGCACGTACGTGCAGACAAAGCTGCTGAGCGGCGGGACCCACTCGGCGATATCCTTGTCGCCTGTGCGATGTCAGCAGACGTTTTTCACCATTGAACGAGTACGGCAAGGGTTTGACGAGGAAGAAAAGAGGGGATGCTGAACGCACCCTTCGACTGGTTGAGGTTGTCGGTGACCGCGATGAGCTGCGGGCGGGTCACGTCGTTCGCGAGCGCCTCGCGCTGGTCGTCATCCCAGTTCCGTGCACCGGACACCCACGCCTCCTTGAGCGGAACGATGTGGTCCTGGATGAGGTTGTCAGCATCCGAGCGAATAAATCGACAAGGCCAACACTGACGATGTCGAGGTCAGATGGCAGCGTCGTCTTGACATTGTCATAAGCCGACGTCCATTCGCCGCTTGTCGGGTAGCAGTCGCTGCCCTCCTGAGAAGCATGTTAGCACGCTGATGAGAATCGAGGTCTGCACGCACCGTGACCTTAGTGGCGTCCCGCTTCAGAATGTACTCGCGCTGTACGATGTCAGTTTAGCCCTTTCTGGGGACGTGACAAGATACGTACGGTGTTGCAGTTGCCCTCAACTGTCAAGCCATGCTGTCAATATTGAAGCACGAATTGGAGAAAAGTCATCACTCACTGGTGATCCAGGTATGGAACCGGTCACGGCTGTACGCAGGCGAGTTGGACTCAGTCTCGACCGTCACTAAAGGAAAGTAGATCAGCAATGGGTGAATAACCAAAGGAGGACAATGCGCACAATCGGCCAGGTAAGACTTGGCCGTAGATGCGGAGATCACGTTCGGGAGGCTTCGCGGGTTGAGGGCCCGTGGCTGGAACGGAGCCGCAACCGCGAAAGAGGCGAGAGCAAGGACCACGATGGAAGCGAAGCGGGACATGATCGAGCGAGTCGAAGTACCAAGGAGGGGAGGGGAGTGAGGGGAAGGAGGAACCGACTCGTTAGCACGCCATCCAGGTGCGGTAGTTATATAGACGGGATGTCAATCCATGCATGCGTTACCATCCACTGGCTAGCGCACATGGGCGATAGCGAAACGTGCGGCGCAACCTGGTGGGCGGAGGCGCGTCCAAATGGATAGAGGCGTAACCTGGTGGTGGTCAAGTTCTGTGTGGCAGATTACTGCGCGTTATCAGCACGGACGCATGTGGTAGGCATGTCTCGTGGGCGAAGGAGATATGTCGAGGGCCGAGGAAGACAGGCTCGTGGGCGAGGACCAGGGGAAGCGAACGTTGATTGACGCCGGTGCTCAATGCTAATCACAGGTATACATACTGTCAGGGCCGAGAGAAGGCGAGTGTACAAGTCAGTCCCTCGAGTCGGGGAGGGCAAGTGGAGAAGACAGAGCATATCATTGCAGGTGTTCATGTTCGACGTTGACCATGAGCATCCGACGTACATGCGAAAGCTATGTAGTGCAGCCGGCCTAGGCGCGCGATACAGAGCGAAGGTCAAGATGGACGACTCGTTCTGAGCAGTGCAGCAGTCCAACCTCGCGAAATTGTACCTGAGCAGTGTCAGTGTCGCACTGAAAAGACCTGGTTATGGTTTTTCAATAGGCATAGCGGCGAGAGAGGTATATGTGGCACGCATACCTATGTTGGGCCTGAGACAAGCGGTGATTGGATTCGACGGCCAGTCATCTGGCAACTTCACAGCTAGATGCAGTTCGCACACAGCCTGGGAAGAATAAGTGGAAGATAGGTAGAAGAAGCCGAGGAGGGTGTATCGTCTAGAAAGTACTTGGCATGCCAGAGCGACTCAAAAATTGAGTGCGACGACTCGATGAGCACGTAGCACCCTGGAACAAGATAGCACAGTAGCGTGTCTCCTCCAGTGTGTTCAGGGTGCTCAGGCGCATACAGAGGAAGCACCGCGGCGAATATTACTTCCCGGAAGCTTCGTGGGGTCGGAAGGTCGAGAAGGACGTCGGCGTTCGGGAACAAGCGTGCACTGACGCGATCACAGCGAGCTCGCCGTCGCGCACGTTGTCTCCGGCCACCATCTCGCAGCCATGGCCATAGCCCTCCGTCGGCGGTCACTGACCCGCCTCGCCCTCGCTCTCTTTGCTATCGTTCTCCTTCGCTATCTATTCTCCTCTTCCTCGTCTTCCACAGAATCTGCACTCGAAATCCAGGAACACAACTTCATCGAGCGGGCGACCCGGGGGGACAAGAGCCTGAATGTGCAGAAGCACCGCTTCCTCCAGGCTCGCATGGGCCGCGACGAGCGCCCAGAGCTCTTCCAAGACACCATAAAGGACGGCATGGACGACTTCTGGGACCGCTACCAGCTCCCGTTCATCATAAATAAGGAAACGTCCTCCATCTCCACCCAGAATCTCATCTCCGCCATCGACCATCTCCTCTCCCTCAATGGCTGGGTCGCCGCTCTGTGCCCCACCCTCACCCGCCCCTTTGGCCAGAACAAGCACGCGACGACATTGTACAACGACATGATTTCACAAGACCACCTCTACTATGTCGCCATTGTCATCCACTCCGCGGACCACTTCCTCGTCGATCAGCTGGCTGTCGTCGTGCAGCTCGCCAAACGACTCGGCACGACGAACCTCTTCGTGAGCATGCTCGACTACGGCTCGACGGATTCGACCGAGACCCTCGTCGATCTCTGCGAGGCCGTGCTCACCCTCCTCGGCATCCCCTTCCGCATACGCCGCGTGCCGGGCATGACTGAGGACCCGCTTGCGGCGTACTACCCGCTCGAGGAGGCCCATATGCGCAACCTCGCGCTCGAGCCGCTGCACGAGCTGCACGACCGCCGCGGTATCACGTTCAAGCGCGTCGTCTGGCTCAAGGGCTTTACGTGCCCGAACGACATTCTCGAGAGCATCAAGATCTCGTTCGTGAACGAGGCTGCGATGGTCTGCGGCATGGACTGGGCGGAGCACAATGGCGCTTTCATTTTCAGTGATAGGTGCGTGTGCGCATAATTTACCACTGCCAAGTCCTCATTTGCTGTCTCAGGTGGCGCACGCGCGATATTCTTGGTGACCAGTTCCGCCAAAGCAAGTCTGCGTCCTCTTCTGCCCCGCCACGCGATGCCGTTGGCGCGCAGCGCTATACCCAGCACCTCCCCTTCCAAGTCTTCTGCTGCGAGTCCGGCACGCATGTCGTCGACCCCGGCCAGTCGTACTACAAAGGCATCCGCTACCGCGCCGGCCTCGACTTCCAGAACGTCAGCAAGTCCGACCCTGTGGTGGATCGCGCGCCGGATGCAGCGTGCCTCGACTCGTCGCAAGCGCACTTCTGCCGTGACTTGTGGCTAGAAGCAGCCCGTGAAGGAGTGGAGGAGGTGGACAATGTGCACGCAGACGGTGCTCCTCGCAAGAGGAAGGCGAAGCGCGAGGATGAGCATAGTTGGTGGAAGCGGCAAGATGTGGAACAGGACGAGGAAGGCCGACCTGCTGCAGTTGATGTCGCGCGCGGGAACGAGGACCGCCTGGGTGCGGACCCAGGGAAGCTGAAGTTCGGCGACGAGCCCAACCGGGCACCGGGACAGCGGGCTGGCGTGGATGCAGATGCGAACGTCGGCTCAGATTACGACGCATCACCGGACGAAGGCGCGGACGGTGCGAACGAGGATCTGTCCGCATTACCCGCACTCTCCATCCCGAACGCCCTCTTCCGCCCCGCCCGTATACTGGTGAACCCGCGGTGCCCGACGACATACGCCGGCGTCTCGCATACACAGCTCGCGCTCGACCTGTTTGGGCAGGTCGATGATAAGGCTGCCAGCGCGGGCGACGAGCGGTACATCTTGGAAGACTGGGAGGGCGCGCCGGAGAGCTTTGTATGCCATGAGCAGCGGCAAACGGGGGGCAGGACAGCGATGAAGACGCAGCGACGACTCGGGTTCTCGCTGCATGATGAGTTGGAGAGGGGGCGGGCGCAGGCAGCGGTGGGACCGGCGTAGACTTGTTCGACCTCGAGGGCTTATGCGTTGATGCGCTGCAAAATGGATGCTTGGTGCCAGGCGTACTCGGACAGGAATCGCGTTTGTCACTGTATGGTTAGTATATATTAGAGCTTGCGCATCGCTGTCGTAATCAATGGGTATGTTGCATAGGGAGTAATGGGCCCGAGTGTAAGACCTGATAGCAACTAAGTACCGAGCATGCGCTGATGAAGACGAAGATGAAGTTCATTAGACCGACTACCTGAACCAACCGTAAGGGCAAGCCGTATTTACCAGAGATGAAGGAATTCCGTACGAAAGAAACAGCCTCGAGTAGGTGTAGGTAAAGATGCGTATAGTAATCCATGGGAGCTCGTAAGTATACGTGTGTATAGTCGGCAAGAAAGTCGAAAGAGTAAACGTTAGCCATTCCGTAAGACGACGGGATCCTGGATGAGTCTAGAGTATGCCGATGAAGAGCGAGGTGTATGAGGTGAAATGGGCCGTGTACATGCCAGAGCATGTACGTACGACCCTTTTATCGTGTGCGTGCCAAGGCCTACAAGTCGTCTATGGTGTGGGGAAGGAGCTCCAAGCAGCGCTTGAGGCGCTTGATGGTCTCAACGCGGTCGTAGTTGCGGCTACCGCACCCATCCTTGGAGCAGCGTGCGTCCCAGCAGGCCTGCGCTTCCGGAGAGCATACTGGTACCGCGGGAGCTGGAGATTGAGAAGTTGTGGGCGTTGTGGGCGCGTCTGCGGCAACGCCCGGTGGCGTCGTCGTGCCTGCGTTTGCGGCACTGACAGCCTCAACCGCGGCGTCCACCTTGTCCTCCATGGGATCACCAATCATGGCGCGCACGATGTCGCCGCGGGGGCAGCGCTCCAGCCCGTCGACGAGCGCGTGCTTGAGCAGACGCCAAGGCATGTTATCGAGCGGCGTGACCCCGCAAGTGCCGCAGAAGTAGGGCGCGCCATTGCCGGCGACGAAGGTGAGCGGGCTGTCGAGGAGGGAGCGCCAGCGGTCGCGCCGTGCGCGGTGCAGGCGGAGGAGCGGGAGAAGGTGCACGGTGGGGAGCACGTGGAGGGGGGATGGAGGAGGCTTCCCGCACGAGTCGAAGGCGACTGCGGTGGAAGTAGAGGCGGCGCCTGCAGGAGATGGTGCGGCGGAGAGGTCGTAGATGAGGCTCGCCTCCGAGGCGGCGGCGGCTTCTGCGGACCAGTTGTGTCTTCGCGCGAGGCCGTAGGCGCGGATGGGGTCGACGGGGATTAGCTTGTGGAGCGTGAGTCGGAAGACAGCTAAGGTTCCGGGTGCGTCCCACTCGTCGGCGAGGGCGAGCGCTACATCGAGTGTAGAGAGGTTGTCGATGGTGGGCGTTGGGTGCCCGGAGAGGTGGTGCAGGACCGGCACTAGCGCTGCATCGGTGAAGGGTGTGGGGAGAGTTATTGGCGAGGACGTTGGTGCATTAGACGTGGATGATGAGGCCTCGGTGGTGTCTTGTGGGTCGAAGAGCGTGGGGAGGGCGGACAGGACGTCGTCGGACGCGGGGTCCTCGGCGCCTAGTGCGGGGATGTCGTCCAAGTCTGCGCAGAGACTAGGAGCGCCTGAAGGCTGCGGGAGGGAGAGCAATGTACGGAAGAAGCCCGAGCCGACTGCCAGCCGTCGGGCGTATGTACGAAAGCGCGTTCCCTCCGAGGAGCGCAGCTCGACGTCCGCGTCCGCGGCGGCAAACTCAGGATGCAGCGGACCGAGGGTGACCTCATTAGGCGCCGAGTAGCGCTCCGGAGCGCGTGGCTTCACGGCCAGAGACGCAGCGGTGGTGGCGAGAGGAAATACAGGAGCTGGGGCAGCCATGGTGTCTGTCGTGCGCGCTGGGGTACTGGAGAGCGCGTATATAGGGGCACCCACGAGGAAGACGACCCTGACAACGAGGCGCGCCTGGCTGTGATGCTGAGCTGTTGTACGTATCTGCGGACGCACTCGGGCACGGTGAAGGGGCGAAACGACGACGTTAAGGTCTGGAGGTGGTGAGATGAAAGCTCGGGAAGGACAAGGGTGTGGCGAGCAGCTAAGCGAAAGCGCCGCGAAGGGACTGATGACTAGCGGAGGAAGCGGGGACGATCATTTATGGCTTCGACTAGACTAAGTCTATACTGCTTACAGTGCTTTGGGAAAGCCACGCCCTCTACATGACAGTACATGGTGTCATTTGCGGCGCTTAGCCTTGCATGGAAGGAGGCTGCTCAATGTCAGCAGGCCTCGGGATAGACTGCAATGCGCCCAAAAGGAACGTGCGCAGTAACTCATGCTCGTTATGTCTGCGGTTGCCAAATCCTGAGTCAGAATGGTCTCTGAGTGGTCTTCTGTCCTTCTGCTATGTCTCACTTGCGCGCATGGCGCTTAAGCGCTGCTACCACGCCCTCAAGCGCTTGCGAGGCATCAGCATGATGAGTTGCCGCACTTATGGCATGCATCGCATCTAGGCTCAGATAGAGGTCCCCAAATGAGGAAATAAGGAGACATGGGGCGCTATAGCGCTGACAGGTAGGCGGGCGGTGGCGCGTGTGACGCGACGCGACGCGGGCATCATGTGATCGTATTTCGCGCTTTGCCCAAAATTACCGCCGCGCTTGACGCTCGAGTCAACTTGGGGTCAACCTCTACGTAGTCCCCGCCCTCCTCCCTGGCCGGTCTCGAGACGAGTCACTCCTGGCGAAGATTCTCTGAGTCACACTGAGGAGCATAAAAGAGTGAACTATCTTGCTCGTTTACCCATCCACAAGCTCCCTCACGATGTCGACCAAAATCCCCCACCTCATCACGCTCGCCGACTTGCCTACGGCCCAAATTACTCGCTTGCTCTCGCACGCTCATGCAGTCAAGCAAACGTCCTTACCTTGGTTGCAACCCCACGCGCAGCGCGCCGCCCCTAAATCCAACGCGAAGGGTGCTAAGGCTCCTACTTCCAAGAACCTTCGCCTTCCACCCCAGACGCTGTTCAACAAGTCCATTGCACTTCTCTTCTCAAAACGCTCGACGCGGACGCGACTAGCGGCGGAGACCAGCACGACCTTGTTGGGCGGACGTGCGCTTTTCCTCGGACGCGATGACATCCAGCTGGGGGTGAACGAGTCGCCGCGGGATACAGCGCGGGTCATTGGTGGGATGTGCCAGGGTATCTTCGCTCGTGTGGGAGGGAATGAGGAGATTGAGGTGCGTCTTAGTCGAAAATGACATACAGAACGTGTATATTGACAGATAATGCAGGAACTCATCCGCTACTCGCCTGTACCAGTCTTGAATGCACTCTCCTCAATGTGGCACCCGACTCAGATCCTTGCCGACCTCTTGACTCTGCACGAGCACGCAGCAGCTTTCCCGTCCGAGACGGCAGACCCATTCGCCGAGGGTTCCGCGGAGCAGGCACCTACATCCTCCAAGGGCAAGCGCGCTGTGCTCCCAACGCTGCGCCCCCTCACCATTGCGTACGTCGGCGACCCAAACAACATCCTCAACGACATGCTCGTCACCTATCCGCGCCTCGGGCACAAGCTCCGCATCGGCGCCCCCGAGAAGTACGCCGCGCCCTACTTCAGCGACGCGCCGAGCGAGCAGGCGGAGGTGATGAAGCGCGTGAACCAGCTCGAGTGCAATAAGGAGGGGATGCTCACCTGGACGTCGGACCCTCGGGAGGCGGTGAAGGGCGCGGACGTCGTGGTCACGGATACGTGGATCTCGATGGGGCAGGAGGAGGAGAAGGCGCAGCGGCTGGCGGACTTTGCGGGCTACCAGGTCACGGAGGAGCTCTGCGCGGAGGGTGGCGCGAACCCGAACTGGAAGTTCATGCACTGCTTGCCGCGGAAGCCGCAGGAGGTGGACGACGAGGTTTTCTTCGGCCCACGCTCGCTCGTGTATCCCGAGGCGGACAACCGCAAGTGGACGATCATGGCGCTGTTTGAGTGCGTAGCATTTTCTTTTTACTTCGTCGTGAAGCTAACTTGTACATCAGCCAATTGTTTGGCCGCTGGCAGCTCGACACGTCCGTGACCACCGTGCTCGGTGAGGACGGTATGGTGAAGGAGGCGGGCGCGGAGGAGCCGACTGACGAGTAGACGATCGAGCAGGTGGAAGGAGACCAGGGTGTAGGCAAGCAGACAGTCAAGCGTAGTATACTGACCAAGTTAGGGTAATTGCGGCCATATATTCGATGCATGTGCCACCCCCTTATTTTCCGTATCGACGATCACCTCTATCGCAGCGATGCAATCTCCCTCCCGTCCCTTCCCAAGATAGGCCTCACCGCAGACGAACGAGACCATTCGCATCTGTCTGCTCATCCGGAGACGTCTTTGTGCTCGCACGCTCCGTATGGTCAGGCAACGGATAGAGAGCTGTGGCGCTCGCACAGGCGGCGCTTGTCTATGCTATCAACGCACGAGAACAATCCAGCAGCGGTCCTTTACCTCAAAACCTGAGTAGGCTCTCTGGTCTGTACCTCGTACCTATCTTGAAGTGCGGGGGGCGCAGGATAGCTCGAGACCGCTATTCTTACGATCATCGATGTGAGGGTTCCTTTTCTTGTACTTGAGCCTCAACTGATGCGAGCTGTAGACCCAAAAGTCAGTCGTGTGATTGCTCGCTGTAACTTCACGAAGGCCTTCCATGTCACTGAGAGCATGCTGCTACCCCGCCCGTTGATTGAATACCCCGCGCTGCTCTTCGCTCATGACCTGCCCCCGCTCGAGCTGAGTCTTCATGCACCTGCTTCGCGCTGCGCATTCCTTTCCAATCTTCACGTCTTCCAGACGAGTCGCGCCCGCAAGCGCTGCTGCATGCACTTCACTTCTATCGCGGAGGTTCCTTGTGAGGTTCTAACGGGTGTGAGTGAATGAAACTTGCTCTAACTTTCGTTCTATAGGCCTGGACTTTATGAAAGCTGCTCGATCCCACAGGTTGGCCTCGGTATCGTAACCCTTCGAGTGCCGTTCCGTATCTCGTCCTCGCGGCGGGCTAGAATGTCACCACTGGTACAGTTCGGAGCGGACTGTGGACAGCAATTATACCATGTGAACGAGAGGCGTATGCGCGCGGCGATAAGCAGCCCAGCAGGCCACAGTGCCACAGTTGCCCGTGGGCTAGGCCGCCACAGAAGTTACTATATATAGCAATTCTGCATACCTGAGGTCTGCAGAGCGAGAGGCTCGACGGCGGCGCGGGGCACGACGGCCGCATCGGAACGTCGAGCGACCACATCAGGCCGCGAGACAGGCCTGCGATGGGTCAAACGCGTGCGGCGCGAAGATCAGGGCGCACGCCCTGTGCGCCGCGTGAGCGCCCGAGATAACGCGCGAAGCGCGTATATAAGAACATGTGGGTGTGCGGGGGCGGGCTCCAGCTTTTGCGCTTCGCGACTTGGACTCTACCTTGCTACTGCCCGCCATGGCCGATGCGGAGAAATACAGCAGCGACTCGGGCTCAGCGGGGTCGCGCCACCGGGAGGAGATCTTCGAGCGCCCCAAGGGTCTGAAGGGTCTCTACAGTCATACGGCGACTCAGGTGTGTCCAGACGTGCTTGTCTGGGGGATGGGGAGCTGAGGGGATGTAGGTGGCCATGCTCGGCTTCGTTTGCTTCATGGGACCGGGTGAGTAGCGCGATCGGCGCGGGAAGGCAGCATTTTCACAACCGATCAGGTTTGTTCAACGCCTTGAACGGTCTCGGTGGGGGAGGCCAGCTCGACACAAAGACTAGTGCCAACGCCAATGTTGCGCTGTATTCGACCTTTGCCGTGATGGCGTTCTTCGCCGGGTGGGCATGCTGTCCGCATTGTACTCCCCTCTCAGCTGACCTGCTATCCATAGGACCGTGAACAACATCATTGGGCCTCGGTACACCCTTTTGGTGGGCTCGATGGGGTACTCACTGTACATCGGATCCTATCTGTGCGTCGTCGGCATCGCCTGACTCGGCTCTGACAGCCCCATGTGCATACGCTGACGCGGATCTTTGCAGCGCCATGAATATCCATGCGGATGCGGGCCCCTTCGTCGTTGCCGCGGGCGCGATTCTGGGTATCTGCGCGGGTCTCTTGTGGACCGCGCAGGGATCTCTGATGCTGTCGTACCCCACGGAGCAGCAGAAGGGCCGCTTCATCGGTATCTTCTGGACTATCTTCAATTTGGGAGGCGTCGTCGGCGCCTCCGTCTCCCTCGGCACCAATTTCGAGTCCACGGCCGGCTCTGGTGAGGTTTCCATCGAACGGAACGTCTGTGCATCTTTTCTGACGATTCCCTTCGCGAAGTCGGCAACAGCACGTACATCGCCTTCCTGGTGCTCACTGGAATCGGCGTGGCCATCCCCATGCTAATGGTCAACCCGAAGACCATGATTCGTAGTGATGGCACGAAGGTCGCTACCCCGCGCCACCCGAGCTGGAAGACGGAAATTCTGGGCCTCTATGTTACGCTCAAGACGGACCCCATGATCCTCCTTCTCTTCCCCATGTTCCTCGCGTCGAACTGGTTCTACACTTGGCAATTCAACGACTACAACGCGGGGTTGTTCAATATTCGCGCGCGTGCGTTGAACAACTTGGTGTACTGGATCGCGCAGGTCATCGGCTCGGTGGCGATTGGCTTGCTTCTCGACCAGCCGCGCCTCTCGCGTCGGGTTCGTGCGTTTGCGGGCTGGGCCGTGCTGTTCGTCATGGTGTTCTTCGTCCATATCTGGGCGTACTTCTACCAGAAGTGAGCGCTCTTTACTCCTTGCTAATATCTATGCTGACCCTTTGTGTCAGGCGCTACACGCGTGATGACGGCCACGCCCTCGTCGATATCTACGACTCGGGCTACGCCGGCTACATCCTCTGCTACGTCTTCATGGGTATTCTCGACGCGATGTGGCAGACGACGTCGTACTGGCTCATGGGCGCTATGTCGAACGACGCGGCGAAGCTCGCGCACTTTGCTGGCTTCTACAAGTCCTTGCAAAGCGCGGGTGCTGCCATTGCCTGGAGGATAGACGCTCTCAAGACGCCGTACATGAACCTTTTCATCTCTGAATGGGTTCTGCTTGTTGCCGGTCTGCTCTTCACATTACCGATGATGCATCTGCGTGTGAAGAACCAGACGACGCTGGAGGAGGAGACGCTGTGAGTTCATCCGCCTTCCTCACCGTTGATCGTTGCTTACCTGTGTCTAGTGCGCGTATGGACGACGCGGGACACATCGCGCCCGTAGAGGAGGTCAAGAAGAAGATTGGCGAGGCATGAGCACCCGCCGCCAGTCCACACGATCTCCGGCTTCACACTTACGACTTGCGAGGGTTTTTGTTGTTGTATCTTGGTCACGTCGCTCGTTGTCTTAGCTTACGGACCTTAACTTATTTTCATGACAACGGAGTAGTGTACTCTGGCTCGCTAACGAATCATATCGGATACCCCCTGCACTGCGCCTGCGTGGAAGAATGCTGACGGCAATGCCACCGAGTCCGCTGCATGGCCAATGGAAGCTAGCGTGCAGTCTGCATCGATTACTATCGGCTGTCGAACCTGATTCTGGTGCGGAAAGGGCCAGCGAAAAAACTGCGGGAGGCCCAAAAGTGATAAACTGATGATGAGTACTTCATTTCTGGCCCAAAGGCTGTGCGGAAGCTGGCCTCAAATAGCACGTGATGACCACTCGACAACCACGAGGCGGTCATGCAACTGTGGCTTCTATTGTCCCGTACTGGTATAAAGCGCGTGATCATCCTCCATCAGTCGCGCCTTGTCCTCTCCCACCATGAGCTCTGGTATCGTCCGCAAGTTCCGCACCAGAGACGGCGTATCCACCCTTGTCGTCTTCCCCAAAACACAGGACGCCATCGATAGACCTGAGGAGTGGAATCGACAATGGGAAGAGTTCTACCAGCACCCTGACTTTCCGGGGCCCACCCAGCTCGTCAACGGCTATCGAGGCATTCGCAATCCCCGGGCCAACCTCGATTTCTTCTTCTTCAGCGATCTGTTGGAGCAGACGCGTCACCTGCACCGACATTTCCTCAAATTCTGCCGGCACCAGGCGTTCGTCGACGCCTTCAGTAAGTCATGGCTAAGGGCGAAGCCAGAAGATCGGAAGCAACATGCGCTGAATGCGATCGCCAACGTATGTGGCACGACAGACAACATCAACAACGCCCGCGCGTACTGCCCCGAGATCCTGAATATGAAGAACCTCGTGTACGAGGGTGACGGCATCGGCTTCATCCATCTTCTGGAGCGTATGCGCCACACAGACATCAGTGTGCGCGCCCCCCACGAGATACGCACCTACTCGCCGCAGTGGGACAAGTTCCTGGAGGAGTGGGGGAAGACTAGCCATACTCAAGTCGAGGAGCTCTGCCTCGCGGAGGTGATGGGGCTGCGATTCAAGATGCTATGTGCGTTGCCACCCCCTCTCCATCGATCGATGTACTGACTCTGTACACGCCTAGGCTGGATCGTCCTGTACACGACCTTTTCCTTCCTGGGACTCTCGCTGCCCAAGATCAACGTCACCAAGGAGCGATACCCGAAGGGAGACGAGACCGCGGCGCGCTCGCTTAAGCATATCGAGGTGCTTGAGCGCGCCGCGACTGTGGGAGAGCTGGCTATGGCGTGTGGGGACACCAAGGAAGCCGACGAGCGATTCCGCCAGCACGAGCGCGATCACCGCAAGATGATGGCTGGACGTCGCGTCGCCTGCGCTCGATGCTTGAGCTTCCAAGACGAGTCCCAGGAGCGCTTCAAGCGGTGCGTGAAGTGCTGGGAGCAGAAGCGCGACGTCTCGTACTGCTCGAGGTGCGTATGACTATCTTGGACCGTGCGATCCGTTGACTAATGTACTTTGCAGGAAGTGCCAGGTCGAAGACTGGAAGTCGGGACGGCACAAGATCGTCTGTGGCAAGGCGATCGACATGCAGACCGCGCGCATATATTCCGACACACGCCCGCGCGAGAGCCTGCAGCGCGACCCGGAGGAGCCCATCCCAGACAGAGAGTGGAAGGAGGTGATGCGCTTGTACAAGATGCTCGAGCCCACCTTGGACTTGGACTGATTCAATGACTTCGTAACGGCTTCCTATGACCTTGTTATGGAAGATGCATATCATGCAGCGCACTGATATGTAAACCTGCTATTATGTTCCAAGCTTTATGTTGTACTGCCATAGTGTGTCCAACATGTACCTATTATGCCCGGATTATCAGCGAATGCAGCACAGTCCATTCAAGATGATATTGTGCGGCTGGCATCAGTGCCTCTGCCACATCAGAAAGTCCAAGCAGATGTATTCCAGCTCAACGACGCCGAGTTCGGGTAGCTGGGCGGCGCGCAGGCCCGTCACCGTCCGAGTCGCTGGCTTGGGTCGCCCGCTTTCTCTTCGCAGTCGTCCGAGAGCGTAGTGTTTCGGCCGTCGATGGCAACGTCATGGACCCATCTTCGTCCTCGTCCTCATCAGAGTCCAGAAGGAACAGAGGCGCAGCCTGATTGGCCGCCTTGCGCGGCGCCCGAGAGGACTGTGTGCCTGCTCGTGACTGCGAGCGCGTCGCGGGCTGGACAGATGCGCTGCGGGACCGGGTTGAACGAGCGCGTGAGGGCGGAGGCTGAGGCGCCTCCTCGACCTCATCCGACTCCATCTTCTTCGCCTCGCCCTCGTCATCGTCGCTGATCTCGACATAGCGCACCTCCTCCGGTTGGCTCCTCTTTACAGGCGCCTTTCCCCGCCGCGCCGGCTTCTTCTCCTCGTACGGGAACGTAAAGTCGGCATCGTTTTGGGACTGTGATGCCTCCCATGCATCTGTGCATTTTGATCAGGTTCAGACGCATTCCATAAACGAATCGCATGCAAATGGACGCACCGCCATCCCCAGTCGTCGGCACCAGCTCTATCTTGGGGCGCTGAACATCACGGGTCACTTTCTGTGCACATGCGCGTCTTGTCAGCGAGGTCGTCCCGATTGGCGCCCATCATCGTGCTTACCTTGAATTTCTTGAAGTTCGGGCGCCCCGCCCAGCGCGGATCGGCTGAGCGCTGCTGGACTGGAAGGAACGGCGCACGGTCCGCGTAGACGTCTATCTCGACGACAGTCATGAAGTTCCCGCGAAGATCTCCATCGTCGCCGAAATCCTGGAGGACCTTCCACTCGACCTCTTCCTCCTCGAGGCGCGCATCGAGGTCAGGTTTGGAGATGCGCAGATTGTTGAACTCGCGGTCGAACTCGTCCTCGGCACGTTTGCCGCGCTTCGTGGAAGCCAGAGCCTTGAGGAAAGCAGCGTCTGTATCGGGGCGTCCGGCGGGTGCGCCGGGCTTCTTGGGACTTCGCCCCGGAACTTGGGCTTGATTGGAGGCCACAGAGACACTGGGAGAGCGGCGGATAGCGTTAGCCTCGACCGCGCACTTCTTGACCTGCGACGGCGGCGCAGCAGGACTACCATCTTCCTCAATGGCCGCAGACTCTACGGCACTAGCCTTGCGCTTCGCGCCTGCCAGAACACCTGGACCGGTCGTCTGCGTCTGTATTCCTTCCTCTTCCTCCTCTGGGACGGCATTTAGCACGCGCCGGGTTCTCACTTGAGTGTCCTGGCTGGCCGCCGACGAGCCCGGCTGCGTCTGTGATTGGGTCTCTCGCGTCCCGCTTTCGAAGTAGGGCGCATCAGCGACCTTGCTGGGATCACTCTCATCGAAGAGGTCCTTGAACTTCTTCAATGGCGGCTCGTCTTCAGGCGCTTTTGGCATGGTGAAGAGCATCCCGATCTCATCGTCTGATGCTGATCCTGCCCTCGCACGACGCTTCAATCGCGAGGAACGGCCAGGTGTTGGGGGCTTGAAGGGTTCATTAGCATTCGGAATGGGTAAGTATACATTAAGGGTACTGACAATGAGGCTCCCGGACTGCATTGTCGCGCTGCTGGGTTTCGCCGAAGACGGATCGGTCTGCGCCATCGCATCGGCGTCCTCCAAGCCGGTAAGGACCGCGTTCGCCCTCCTTGTTAATGTCTAGATAAGATCCGTCAGCGCGTGCAGGGTGGTCGATATTTGGGAATACGTACCCTTCTAGGCCGTGGAGGTGAGGGGTCAGGCTCTTGTGTTCCTCCCGCAGGTGGCGCAGGCGGCGCCGTGGGTTCCTGGGAGTTGGCGCGACGGACTAGTCTACGGCGCGGCTGGGAAGACGCAGTATATGTCTCGGTCAAGAGCGATGGTTCATCGGGATGGGTGTTTGGCACTACGTCCGGCAAAGAGGACTCCATCGCGTCTGGAATAAGGTCAGAAACAGGGATTCCGTAAGTATGAGAAATCCGCCTACCTGGTAGAGAACTTCCCTGCTGCGTAAGACCGAGCGTATCCAGAGTTGAAGCATTCATGGTTATGATGGCCTCAATCACGGCCACGGAGGAGTGCATCGGAAAAGCGAACCTGTTCATGCTGGTCAATGTTGACGCATGTCAAGAGTCGGAACTACTCACTCAGCTGCGACAGCGTGTAGTTCATCCCATTCTTCTTCGCTAATAGCAGTTTTGATGTCCTCGACATCTGCTATGACGAGCTTGTGCTCTGCTTCCTTGCTCTGCAGCGACGAGAGGCTTTTCCGGAATCGCTCGGCGCGTCCCGCGTCCTTGCCGAGTAAAAAGCTTGTAAATTCACCGCCGGCTTTGCGCATGGCGGTCCGAAGGTTGGCAATTGATGGTTCTCGTTCCGTTACGCATAGCGCCTTGTAGCCGGATAGCAAGACGGGTCTGGCTTCATTCCGTGTCCAGAAATGATCGTTCTTCAGATCGGAAGAGACGGAGGACCCATAAGGTGGGCGGTAGTTGCTGGCGGACGGCAGGCGGAAGGTGTATTCAAGGGAGGGATCCTCACCCGAAGCTTTGCGTGGTAACTTGCCAAGTCGTATGACTTCGAACAACCATTCCGGAGTTACGAGAGCGGCGACGGAGGCAAGGGCTATCGCAGCAGAAGACGAGGGTCTCAATTCGGGGGATATGTAATGTGTAGGTGCATCATCTTGTTCGGTTGTAGAGGTCACCAGATGGATCCCTGAGAGGCATCAGTCGCTGGGTACAGTAGATATGCTTGAGAACACACCAAGTGCCGAGCAGTCTTCGACAGGAGGCTTCTCCGGGTTAAGTTTACTGTCGTAATAACACGCTAGGGGTTCCCATTCGATACTGTGCGCAAGTCAGCAAAAGTGAGCGCATAGCACGCAGCCACGCACCGAATCTCGTTCTTTCCTTTGATAGGGATGATATCTCCAGGCTGCAGAGCGAACTTCGTTCCCTGTTCCACGGATACCTTCTCTCCGTCACGGTCAACAACGACCGCTTTTCCTTTGTCTCGGATGCTGCGCAAGAAGAGATCGGGCTTGCTGCTGATGTTGCTCTAGGGATATCATCAACTCGCCGCTTCTCGAAGTACGATGGGTCACGTACAACAGACTTCCCCTTGAAGGCGCCAACAGAAATCTCGGCGTGCGCAGCGCTGACGCGAGAGCAATTCACCCAAAGATCTGTCTTCTCCTTGCGACCGAATGTATATTTGTTGTTGGGCTTGAGGAGTTTCCTCTCTGCAACGAGTCAGCTTCAAAGCCACGCCACAGCGGAGACCACGCACTGAATTCCGGAAATTCATCCTTCGTGTCCCCGTCGAAAGGCCCAGCCAGTACCCACATTGTAATGGTTGGGAACAAGACGCGATCGTGACGCGGAGCCGCACGCGTGGTCACGCTTGTCGCGATCACGTGCAGATCACGGGCGACCAAGGTCGAACTTTGGACCCTTCTCCATCACCTTCCTCGAGGAACTAGCGTTTATGCTGATACGATGCATAAACAATTTCTCGCCAAAGTTTACCAGCTCATTGTTTGTGATAACACAAACATGCGGCACGAAGGAGTGACAATTACTTTTCGCCAGAGGTTGTAAGTACCTATTCAGGACCTACCGACCGGGCGTGAATGCACTGAGATTCCAGCTCCACTACATTTCTGACTATACTCAAGGATCGTCTCAGCCTCACCGGAGTGCAGTCATGAGGGACACGCTGAAGGGTGCCTGTGGCTAAGGAAAACATGCGTTGTGACGGACATTTTGCTAGTCGGATGTGTCCTTCCAGCCAACCCCATTCTTGATGAAACGCTGGCTTGACATCCTCAAAAACCTTATGGTCGTCTGAAGAATGCGACCGGGTTGTGATCGATATTGGCACAGGGTGTCCTGAACTAAATATTGAAGGAGAAAGTCGCGGACTGCGATAGGCCAATAAAATGTTGGCAGCTTGGCCGGATGAAAGGCATGAATTGAACGGCAAGCCTACTCACATGGCGCGGCGCACTAATGGCTTACGTTGTCCCTCGCGTGTATCTTGAGCCAGGGCGCGTGCTGCAACGAACCCTGCTACGGCCGTTTCCCGAGATTGAGGCTGAAGATCCTGATCGGTGTGAAGGATGTGAATGACCTCGCATGGATGGGGACAATGAAGTGGGTCGATAGGCTGGTCCCAGACCAACCGAGACCGAAGTAAAAGTCCATAGCCCATTGGAAATTGACCCCGGAGGTCCGGGGGCGACACCGTTGCTTCCACGGAACCAATCCCACAAACCTTGTTTCTAACCAGCGAACTCGCGACGTCGAGGAGATGATTCGTACAAGTATTTTCCCATTGCCATCTCAGAGCGGCAAAACCGCGGGTCTACGAGGCTGGCGCGTACAGCATGTCCGTGTACGCGCCGGTGGCCCAACAACAATCCTATCCAGTCGACAGATAAATCATGGAAATATATACCGTAATATAGCCAGTGAAGTCATCAGCTCCCCAGCTCGAGGTTTCAGCCCCGTCTTCAGGCGACAGTGGTGGTGCTGTTATTACCGACCCACTTCGTTTTCCCAGCAGCCGCGGAGCAGCGGTGGTTGCCCAGCGTCTTCTTGAACGAGAAAACGTGGCCACACTCCCGGCAGCGATGAACGTCCGTGGTCTTGTTGTGCTTGGCGACCTCGTGGCGCAGACGGTCGTGTCGACGCGAGAAGTGGAGGTGACAGCCGGGGACTGAGCAGGGGAATTCCGGGCGCGTCTTGGGTTTGGAGTGCGCGCGAAGATGCACCGAAAGCGTGTGCTGGGTCTTGCACCGCTTCGTGCACGAAGGGATTGGACAAGCGTACGGTTTGGGGTCTTTCACAGGAGGGCCGTGGGATGTCGCCGGAGGGGTAAGCACGGGGAGGGAGACCGGCGATGACGAAGGGGACGAGGCCGAGGAGTACGGGGAGGAATAGGAGGACGCGTACGACGACTGAGACGAGCATGACAGGCGGCGCGGCATATAGCCATCGCCCCCGTCGATGTCGGACGTGTTAACCGAGGCGCCGTAAAGACCTACAAGAAAATCAGAACAGGGGCTGTGGTGAACCAGTCGTGTATACGCACTCTGATCAGGCGACCATCCCTGAGGCGCGTCCGAGGACGGGTATGGCCAAACTCCGTTACTGCCATCAAGAGCGGGTGATCCTGCCCACGACAAGACACCGGGTCCTAAGCAGGCGATTGAGTTGGGCACTAAGACGGATGGATACTTTTACTGACCTTCAGGCTCTCTATTGGCGCCACCATACTGGTCGGCATACGGCAGGCAGGAACGTGGATTACCTGGGGGAAGTGGCGTCAGGCTTTCGTAGGGAACGGGCCGGGTGAGGGATGCCGTACCATAGGATAGGCCACTCGAGGTGGAAGCGTAGCCACTGCTGAACGAGTCCCGGGAGTAGGGATCGGGGACGTCTGGACTTCGTTTAGAAACCTATTTACGCATTCATGCAGGCGACGCACCTTGTCCAATGCCTCCGAGGTCATCATCGTTGAGCCAGTACTGAGAATCTAGGTCGTCTGCACGGCGCGAATCAGCTATGCCGCCGAAGAGAGCAGGGACGGGGATATGTACTGGAGTAACTCGCAGCGCTGCGAGGGCTATGCAGCTCGCGGGAGAGCACTACAAGAAAGGGATCAGTGGCGAGCTCGAGTGGACGGTAGGTACACGCACCATTGCCCGGGCGGTGGATGTAGTGCATCTTGGGTTCGCAAGCGGGTGCAGCGGTGCGAAAGACGGCGACGAAGTGGGGAACGAATCAGACCCCAGTATGGTTCCCATCGCTCACTTATATACGTGTATACTTAGGCCCCCGGGTAGACTTGACTGAATGGGTATAATATGCTTCCTGAAACAATTTTTAGACGGTGACCGTTATTACCAAACGCGGTTGTAGCCTTTTATTTTGAAGCACCTCAAATCGAGGTCAACTTGGGGCCGCCGACGGAACAATTGAGGAACATAATCGACATTCGGCCCAGGTCGCCAAGGGGGTCCACTCGAATCCTGCTCGCCGACGGGCCTTGCCAGGCAGCCCGTGGTGATTTTCGGACGTCGGGATAGGGATCTCGATGCAATGGTGGTAGACGACCTTCCATTCGTATGGCAGAAGTTCATTCGAGTCAAGCAGAGCTGGCATTCGGAAGTGACAGGCACGCCGTGATGCGGCTTAGTCAGAGGGCGTCGGCCCACTTCCCAATGGACAAAGGGCCCCTTCCCTGGTTCTTGCCATCTCGCCAGCGCCGACCTCCATCAGATCAGGCAGTTGCAATCAGCTGCGTGCTCCGTATCTGCCTTCGTGGACTTGCCTCCCGAGGTGCCTCTGCCTGGGAATTTCCAGCGTGCCTACGGATTTTGCGCATGGACTTTGACCATCTGCCGATGGATGCGACGCACCATCTATCAGTGCGTAAACCCCATTTTCTCACTGCCAGATTTCGCTGTCACCGCTTGATCTGTCACTTTGAAGTCAGTGGCTATTGTCCGCGCCGAGACCTATACACCTGAGACGGTGCTCCCTGCTGTCCAACCTCTCCGAACTCGTCGCTGCAGGTGTACAGCTACCACGTCGACGGATACAGGCTTCAGATCCGCGCAAGATACGTTGTATCACCCGTCGTAGTGTCTGATGAAGGCCCAGTCAGCGTCGTAATATTACTTACCCTTCATCCGCGAATCACGATTGGTGACTGGCAAGCTCAGGCCGTTGGCAGGGCTCTGAACACCCTCCCCTTCATCACGGCGACGTAAGCGGTCTTTGAGGATTGATGACAGTAGCATTCCGTCCTGAATGACGAAACGCCCTTCAGGTTAGGTTGTCGTACCATCAAGGGCTCGCTGGTCAAGATGAAGGCCGTGAATACCTCCTATTTCAGCTCTTCAAAGCGCCGACACCTTTCGAGGTCGATTCGCCATGGTTGTCTCCACACAAAATCTGAGCCAGCGCCACGCGCCTGTCAATTATTTGTTTCCGGCCGCACTTTGCCGGCGGTAGTGAAAGTAACATTTGTTTCCGTGGATGATCGACACGAGCGCTAAATCCGCCTGACTTTCTGTCTCCTTCTCACAAGTCTCGGCGTAGCGTTCGTTGAGCTTGACGCGCGAGACTTCCTCTCCCCGCATCTCGTGCGCCGCAAGGGAGGAAGGGACTGGGGTAACAGGCGCGAAGCACGCTACGTCATGCGTTCATGGCCTGTCCGCTGGTATCAGTGACGCCGGGAATATCAGTCGAACATCTGGCAAGCTGAAAAGTCAAGTCGTTTGCAGGGGACAAACTAGATGGTGCAGGCATGGCGGGGATGCGCAGCTTAGACGAGGGCAGGAAACGACGTCAGTGGCAAGTAGCCGGACAATCGTCCTACTACATCGGCACACTTCCCTCGCCGCTGTCGGTCATCAAGACGATCAGGTCGCCGCGCTGTCCTCTAGACGATTGGCCAGTCGATTGGTATGCATTCCCATGACGCAATGGCGCAGAGGACGTCGATAGGCGCCAATGGGCGAAGCGCCTCAGAGCAGGCGCCTAACAAGCAGCGCCCTGAGGATTGACCACCCTGGACTTTAGCTGAAGTCGGCGACGTATGTCGGTGGTTGATGGGCTTTGGCGGTGCTTGCGCGGATGAATTTAACCCAAAGCGCGTATACATGAGGCTCACTGGTATCACTGCCAGATGCGAGAGATCAAACCTCGGTCGAGGCAATCAGTGTGGCGCGTGAGACTAGCACGCCATTCGGACAAGTGTGGTAGCGATCTAAAGTGTTGCCATACAGAGCATACCTGTGCGATGCAGGGTCAGGACGTGAAGGTGAGGCTGTCGAGCTTTACGAGTTACGTCGCGCAGTGAGGTGAATGAGGCGGAAGGACGGCTCCCCAGGCGATGAGGTCAACTGTCGCATACTGCGCTTCGCATACGTTTGAGTAAGGACACAGGTCCAGTCGGCGTCCCGAAAATTGATGGTCTGAAGGGAGAGTGAGAAGGATGAATTCAAAGTTGGTGTCCGTCATCTGCGTGACCTCAAGGTCCTGAGGTGCCGCAGCGAACTGAAATGATGACGGCAGAAAACGAACGCTGGACGTGGGACAGCCAATGTCGATGGTTGCTTGACTCGCCCGGGAGATGTTCCAGAGTTTACTGGAAGCCCCGACGATATCGACCGAGTTGCCCGAGCGAAGGTAAAGAGTCAAACAACCGAGTCAAGCAGAGGTCTCGGAGCCTTGAATGTGCGAGTCATGTGAGAGTTGAACTCGAGATTCCCACGAGTCACGTGCCAAATGGAAGTTGAACTTCGTGCCGGTCTGTTGTCCAGTCGGCTTCGAGCGAGATCAGCTGTAAAGCTTATCGCATGATCGCCGCGCACCTTCTGTACTTCTTTCAGCGTCGACTGCGAGAAAACTCCCCAGGCCTTCATTGCATATTGAGACAATGGGAATTGCGGCAAGATCGTCAGCTCTGGGGCTACACAAACATCACATGCGATTACCCCGAGTTAATCGCACCCTGCAGGTCCCACCAAGCGTCCCCGTGAGAGGCCGTGTCAGTCCGGCGCGCATGATGGGGGCAGGATGACCGTGGCGGGAGGAAGTACACCGGCCGTGCGCCCAGCGGGGGAAAATCGGGAAAAATGAAATGGTGGGCGTCCCCGGACGTTGCAACGCCGGAACCGGCGGCAAATGTACCTCCGCTGGAGGTAAAGAACCGTCAACGAGAACAAAGACGGTATGCCGCTGGTCTTGTAATGAGAGACGAAGTTCGGAAGGAGGAGTAGGGGGCTTCGCGGACGATGACAGAATGTCTCGGGGCCGAGCGCTAGAGCCGTGAGGTGACGGTGGCGCCGAGCGATCTCGTGGGCACGACTATGGCGCGCGCGTCGATCGTATGTTCGGAGACAGTACAAGGTCCGTATATGCGCAGCGCCATCTGGAATAAGAAGGTATCTGGGCGTGTGGTCAATTGGCGGTGATCTGACTCCTGGCTGTGGTGTGTCGGGCAACGTTCGAACCTGTGGTTGAATTACTCGCTTCCGACTGGCCTATTGGCTTACCCCATCGCCCTGAAGGTTGTACTCTGAAGCGTAGCTGTGTCTAGCATGGATCAGCAACGTGCGGGCTGGCGCTAGAAGTCGTCGGGCGATTATCTGGGCGCGGATGGTCGGGAAATGACCACGAAGGTGAGAAAGCAATCACTACTTACGATAATCATCCCGAGCGAGCGCTGCGCCCATTACGTGCGCGGAAAGGCCGTGGCGATTGGCGACCGCGCGTCTCACCAGTCCGATGATGTTTGGGTGATCGTGGTCGGACTCTGAGCTGTTCGTAAGAGGGCCGCTGCCGGGCGCGAGAACAGCTTCGGCACGACCTCGAAGGCACTGCCAAGTCTGGAGCCTGGAAGTCAGTCGCGGTTGGATGGTCAGGAGGAAACGCCGATGCTCTTGGAGGGATCCAGACAGGAACGATGCTACTCACGTACCCATAGCAGTCCGTAGGCCATTGTCGCGGGGCCCCGTGGGTATACCGCTAGCCTGCGGGTGCATTGTAGCGATCTCGCTGTCAGTTTCTTCAGATCTGAATTCCGAATAGTCGTAAATACCTGCTGCAATTTTAGGACTGAAAGTTCGAGAGGCTACGCGAGCTGCAGAGGGAGGGAGGTGGGCTGAGGACCTGACAGAGGACCGGGTTAACGCCAAGGTACGTGACGGGTGCCTGCCGTTCGGCCGCACTGTGGTCCCCGCGTTTCGACGAGTAAAGGAGAGGTGCGAGGTGTTGCTTGAGCAGGCGAACACATAGATAGCGAGAGGACGAAATGCGCACCATGCGCAGCGTAGTAGACTGAGGTGTATGAATCACGTGGATATCAAGACGAAGGACGTTCAAGTAGATGGCAACAAAAATGGGCGCCAATGAAGCAGCACAGTCGTTAGGCCAGAACTCCAGTTGATGGTGGGAGAATAGCGCTGATGTTTGACCAACTGTTATAGCGTCGTCAGGCTGCCAGATGAAGGCATCTTGATGCTTCAAGGGGGCTTCGGGAATAACGACCTCGACATTGAATAGAGACAGCAGAGGACAAAAGATATCGCAAAAGGAAGTCATTGTGCTGCTGACGCCACAAATTAGATAAGCCCAGACCAATCGAGACCGGATGCCGATGCTAGGCCGGCAGCGACGACGACGCTCGCATTGTCTCTTCCGGTCACTGCTGTTCGCGACTTCGACGATTTGAACCATTGAATGACACGATAGAGGCCACTGAGATACTCTACAAGCTTGCAGCTCAAAGTCGCCGCCGCAAATATGTCTACACCGTCCGGATCGACACCTTCCCTGACTCCAAGTCGATCCCCTTCACCAGAGCCGCCCGTTCAGCCTGCATTCTTCTACAACGCAGAGGGAGAGCAGCCCGCACCGTCCCCGGATGCCACCGGACGGCTGCTCTTTACGCCCGAAGACGATCCGCTTGCGCAGCGCGGCATTCCCGTATTCAAGCCGTCCATGGAGGAGTTCCAGGACTTCGAGCGCTACATGGAGAGGATCGAGTGCTGGGGGAACAGGAGTGGTATTGTGAAGGTCATTCCGCCCAAGGATTGGTGCGTCGTGTATGCGGTGCTATCGTGAGTCTGGGCGCTAATCACTACGGGACGCAGGTCCGACGCGCTGCCATCCGTCGAGCCACAGCTCGCGAACGTGCGGATTATGTCCCCCATCGAGCAGAACTTTCTTGGGGGGACAGGGCGCTTCAGGCAACAGAACATTGAGAAGCGGAGATCCATGAGCGTGCGCGAATGGGTCGAATTATGCAGCAAGGACGGCTATCACGCGCCTTCTGCCTCGGAAGTGGGACTGCATCACGCACCCGTAGCTGGCAAGGCGAAGCGGCGCGTGTCGCGTCGCGCGACGACGGAGACGGAGGCCACCGATGTGAAGGAGGAAGACGAGGCGATCAATGTACCGGCTTCCCCTCCGATCACCGACACGCATGCCGCCGGATCACCAAAGGAGGAGGACGAGGACACGAAGGCCAGCCGCCCGCATCGGCGAAAGACCCACAAGCAGGTCGCCGATGAGAAGGCCGTGAAGGACGTAGCCTTCATGGCCAAGTTTAAGCCGCATCAGGACTGGCTACCGTTCGGCATGCAGCCGAGCGATTACACGCCAGAGTATTGCAAAGAACTCGAGCGTCATTACTGGAGGAACTGCGGGATGGGCAAGTCGCCGTGGTACGGTGCAGATACCCAAGGTCCGTGTACGATGATCCTGCTGGCTATATGCGTCGCTGACGACATCTACAGGCTCCCTATTTACCCCCGATACCACCGCATGGAATGTCTCCTGCCTACCCTCGTACCTCACTCGCCTACTCCCGTCCTCCTCGCAGGGCCTGCCAGGCGTCAATACCCCTTACCTCTACTTTGGCATGTGGCGAGCGACGTTTGCTTGGCACGTCGAAGATATGGACTTGTTCAGCATCAATTACATCCACTTCGGCGCACCCAAGTTCTGGTATGCCATCCCTCAAGGCCGCGCCGGGGCCTTTGAGACTACCATGCGAAGTATGCATATACACATTTGGGCGATAATTAGCTGCGCGCTGATTGCTTTTTAGACTTCTTCCCGAGAGAGCCGACGCAGTGCAGCCAATTCCTGCGCCACAAGTCGTTCCTTGTGTCGCCCAAGAACCTTGCCTCATACTCCTGTCGACCAAACACTCTCGTCCAGCACGCCGGCGAGTTCGTCATCACCTACCCTCGAGGGTATCACGCGGGGTTCAACCTGGGCCTGAACTGCGCCGAGAGCGTCAATTTTGCGCTCGAGTCCTGGGTCAAGTTAGGCAGGAAGGCACGCGCATGTAATTGCGTCGGCGACAGGCAAGTTCCCTCCGTCATCGCTGCCAACCCCTTTCCCTTCACGCAATGTTCTTGCTTCGCGCCCCCTTCCCACCCTCCCCCCTCTTATTCCTTTTGCGGCAAGAATTCCTATACTGACGCTTGGCGTGGTGATTAGCGTGCGCATCGACGTCGATCAGCTCCTGCAGGATCGGGCCGCAGAGGACGCGGGGCAGGCACCGCAGGACGCTCCGAATCGCAGCAGCCTGTCGACAGCCGCGAAGAAGGCGACGCAGGGCAAGAAGCGCAAGGCGCCGTCCCCCGCCAGCAAAGATGCCGAGATGCCCCGGGCGAAGAGGATCAAGATGAGGCCGCCGCACGCGGAGGCTGGCCCGTCGACTTCGGGCACGGTCGTCACTTCGGGCACGGTCGCAACTTCGGGCACAATGGCAATAAAGGGACATCCCAAATCGGTCACGTTGAAGCTGGGCGCGGCGCCGCTGGGGGAGGAGCTTTTTCCGTGTTGTCTGTGTGTGGGGAGGGAGCAGGAGGGCTTGTTGCGCGTGCAGGAGCCGCCGGTGGGCGTGGCGACGGTGGCGCTGGACTTGTCGCGCGGCTGGCGCGCGCACGAGCTGTGCGCGCGCGTCGTGCCGGAGACGTGGGTGGACGAGGTCGACGAGGGGCTGGGCTTCCGGGAGAAGGTGGTGTTTGGCGTGGATGCGATTGAGAAGGCGCGGTGGCAGCTGGTGAGTGGTGGTTTGTTGTTTTGTAGCGGTTCATCGTTTGTGGTGGGTGAGAGTCCGAGCACGAGGCTGACTGCTACTTGCTTCGCAGAAATGCACGGCATGCGTGAGGGCGCGGGCGAAGGCGCACGGGGCGCCGATCCAGTGCACGAAGGGGAAGTGCTCGAAGGCGTTCCATATCTCGTGCGCGCGGGAGGGTGGGGAGGCGGGGATATCTTTCCGCGTGCTGGACGAGGTGGAGAAGCAGGTGGTGCTCGTGGACGCGTATGCGGCGGGGGGAGGGGGTGCGATGAATGTAGATGGGCAGGGGCAGCAGGGTGCGGACGAGGGCACGGTGATCAAGACGATCCGGAAGACGGAGGTGGAGGTGCTTTGTTCGCAGCATAATCCGGTGCGTAGTCACTTTCTCTCCTACTTCCCCTTTCCCGACGTATCCTTTTACTCATATAACCTCTCTTCAGACCGTCGCCGCGTCGAAGAAGGCCGCCAAGCAGGCGCGCATCCGCGACCAGCTCCGCGCGCTCCCGCCCCTCTCGCGCATCAAGCTGCGCGTGTCCTCGGGCGTCTTCGAGGTCACGCTCGTGCGCGTGCTCGAGGAGGCGTGCGCGGTGGAGGTGATCTGGGACCGGGGGGCGAGGAGGGAGTTTAGGTGGGGGAGCGTGGTGTTTGGGGCGACGGATATGCCGGTGGAGCAGAAGCCGACGGAGCTGGTGGAGAAGGAGGTGGGGAGGGAGGGCGAGCCGGTGCAGGTGCAGCAGGCGTATTTCGGGGCGTATGGCGCGCAGCATTATAGCGGGCCGCCGTACGGTGCTCAGCCCTCCGCGCCATCGCCCAGCGCGCAGTCATACGTAGCGTCGGGCTCGCAGCCTTACGCGTCGACCTCGCAGCCGTACGCCCCATCCACTTCACAAGGCTACGGCCAGCAACCCTACGGAGCCCAACCCTACGCCTCTCGCCCCTACCAAGCGCCTTACCACCAGACGTACTATCAGGCGGCGGCGAGTCAACCCCCGTATCAGCCCTATGGAGCGCAAGGGAGCCAGTCGCATTGTCAGGCGGCGGCGGGGCAGGTGCCGTATGCGCCTGCAACGCCTGCGACGGCTGCGCCGGCATACCAGGGGCAGGCCTCTGCACCGAGCTATCAGGGACAGGCGCCTGCGCCTGCGTATCAGGGGCAGCAAGCCCCTGCGCCTGCGTATCAGGGGCAGCAAGCCCCTGCGCCTGCGCCTCCAGCTTCGACGGCGGCGTATCAAGGACAAGCGACGGCGTACCAAGGACAAGCGACGGCATACCAAGGACAAGCGACGGCATACCAAGGGCAGGCATCACCGCCGCCCGCCGCGAGCGGCGGCTTCTCGTACTTTGGGGCGGCGCCGACGGTGCAGCAGTATGCGCCGTCCACGACAGGGACGCAGTGTGCGCCGTCGACGACGGGGACGCAGTGTGCGCCGTCGACGCCGGCGCCATCTTCGACACAGCCCAGCGTGGCCGCTCAGCCTCAAGCGGGTCCATCGCAGTCTCAAGCTGGTCCATCGCAGTCTCAAGCTGGTCCCTCTCGTCCGCCCACGACGCAGCCCGTGCCAGCACCCTCCCAACCCGCTTCCGGTCCTTCGCGGCCTCCTACGACGCAACCTGCCGACCCGTCGCGCCCACCGACGACGCAGCCTCAGCCTGCACACTCGCAACCTCAGCCTCACCCTCAAGCAACGCACTCTCAGCCTCGATTCACCTATCAGCCGCCGCCGTTGAGCTATGTCGTTTCGGGGGCGACGTACGGTCAACCAGGACCTGGTTCATATGCGCAGTCAGCTCCGGGCGGGTATGCTGGTGCTCAGCCTGCAGGTGGGTATGCGCAACCAGTTCCTGGTTTGTATGCGCAGCCAGCTCCGGGCGGGTATGCGCAGCCAGCTCCGGGCGGGTATGCCGGCGCTCAGCCTGCGCCTTACGCGGGTGCTCAGCCTGCGCCCTACTCGGGTGCTCAGCCTGCGCCCTACTCGGGTGCTCAGCCCGCGCCTTACGCTGGGGCTCTACCCGCTCCCTCCTACCCTGCTGCCAAGCCTCATTACCCTGCTCCTCCCGGCGGATATGCCCCTCCGCCTGGTTCTTATGCAGGTGCCGCCCAACCTCCTGGTGCTTATGCAGGTGCTGCTCAACCTCCACCGTACGCTCAACAACCCCCGCCGGGCGCGTACGGGAGTACGTGGCAGCACCAGCAGCAGCCGCATTATACGTACACGTCAAGCTCTCATTACCGACCCGCGGACCGCACGCAGCTGCAGTGGCAAGAGCCCTATCGGCCAGAGAGGGCGGGGTTGGCTGGGGAGAAGGGAGGTCTGACGAGTACGGCGCAGGTGGCGCCAACAATGGCGAAAGGTGCGCAGTCGGCACCTGCAGCGTCGGTCGCTAGTGCATCAGCAACAAGTACGACGACGGCGGCTGAGAACGGCAAGGGCGAGAAGGGAATTCCTGGGCAAGGTCAAACGAACGGCGCAGAGGGAGCAATGGCCGAGGCGGGGAGTGCGCAGAAGGCGTAGCACGTTGAGTTCGCTTGTTTTCCTTGTATTCTTATTTCTTTTGTATCATCATCACCTGAATTCAGACGTGGCCCAATTTTGCTCCGATGGTGGTACCGGCGTGCCTCTCTGAGCATGATCAAATGAGGATGACTGAGGCTTCACATCTCTTCAGACGCTCGCTAATTATGGTCGAATTCTGGCTTCCTCCACAACAACAAGGAAAGTGGGTTTCCATATTTTCCTGGATACTCAGCAGCGTTGCTGGCTGCCTGCTCATGCTGACCCGCATCGCAGTCGTCTAACCTCCACATCTTGCGCGACGAGAAATGCACGTGACTTCGGTGCGAGCCGCACCCATCCGTCGTCGTCAATACTTATACTTACCCTCCATCATCCAGCGCACAGTCCCTGTGTTTTCCTCCAAGCGCCGTCAAGTTCTCTTTGGCTGTGCTAACACCGCGACGGCACCGTCGCCTTTATGAATACGACTGCCTGTCGACTCACAGCTTGACATCACGCGACTTCGGGGTCTGAACGTCGTTGAAGCCCTGCCTTGTCAAGATTGGAGTTCATTTCGGTAAGTCGCATTCAACGAATCCTAGTATCATGCTCAGCTGATTTAGGCTGTGCGGGCTCCTCGTATATAGTTACAGCACGCTGGTGGATGCCCGACCGTCTCCTCTCCATCTCGCTCATGCATGCCTCCCATGTATACGCGCAGAATCTCCTACTCGCCCGCGAAGGCTATCCTCTCTATGCTCCGGAGCCGCTCTCAAACCTTCCGGACGACTATAGGGCTAGAGGGGCCGAGATCGGCGACGTCGGCGTGATCACCAAGGAGGGGGCGTTCAAGCCGCTGCTGAATATCTGCGCCCCGCCAGACGCCGCGATCAATGCATTCAAAGGCGTCCCTCCCGACTTCGAGCACATTGGCCCCGTCGCGAAGGACTCCCTGGATGCGTATTATGACCGGTCAGGCTCTTTCGTTCACAGTGCGAACATCCGATCGTACACGTTTGCCGGCGGGGTAGGCGTAGACGAGGGGTGAGTGCTCTGGTCATCGTCGTCCTGCTCCATCACTGATCGATTCTTCGAGTGTCGTCCCCGCCGGCGCTGGTGCGAGCATTGGTTTTCGATACCGACTGCGCGCAGGGCGCGGCGCTCGCTCTCCCGCAAGGAGGCTCCCGCACCGATGCCGAGAGGCTGGGTGACTTCGAGAAACAAATCGAACGGCACGGTCTGTCCTGGTACGAACACGCCATCTCCAAACGCGGCTGGAAAATACAGAACGGAGAGCTGTATCTGCTCACTGGCGTTGACAAGACGTCGCATTGGGGTGCGCTGGCATTCCAACACACGGGCGGCTCTCACGAAGTGTCCTTCGAGCTCACTGCCGTAGCCCAGACCGCTGTCGCGCTGTCCTATACGTACCAGTGGCGGCATCTGGCAGGCCAGGCTGCTCGCAAGGGACCTGACGTGGCAGCCGCCCTTATCATCAATGGTGCATCGGCCGAGAATCAATGCGTCTTCCTGCGAGGTTACAAACTCATGGTTCGCGAGGAGATCTGGACGCGCCTGACAGGTATCTCGGTCAAGACAATCGATTTTACCGAGCCCACGCGCGTCAAAAACCCGGACTCAGTGATGCAGTCAAAGCCTTTTCGACGCACGTTTGCTCCTGGGTCCCGTACGTGCTATGCATCCTGATGTTGATTAACCTACGCTGAACTCTGATCGACGCAGATGCTAGCGAAGACAGCATGGGTGATGCCGCCGAAGGTCTTTCGAAAGCAGAAGCAGACATCACGTTCGACCCTACTGACCCACAAGAACAAGTGAATAATCCGTATCCTCCTTCCGATCTGGTTTGCTAACGGTGTTCAGCTGTATCATCCATGTGATGCCCTCAACAGACTGATCTTGCGCCACGTAAGCTTTTGCCAAGGGACACTTCGACCCTCGACGTGCTTAGGGTATGCAGACAGGATGCAAGCTCGCTTTCAGCCATGATCATCTTTGGACGCGCAGTGTTAATGTGAGCAGTCGTTCCGTACATCGGTGTACTGAGCTGTCTTTGACTAACGATTGTGTAGGCCAGAAACACGGCGAGGAAGCCCTGTCTCCTTCAGGTTAACGTCGGCTCTGGTGAGGCATGTAAGATTGCGATTTATAATCCCTAACGTCGATCAATGCGCGTGCAGATTCGTCTACCCTGAAATTTCGTGAAGAAGGGGTTATCGCGATGTCAATGTGGGATGTTTCCGACCTAGGTACGCTGGCAACCTGTCGTGAGGCGCAAGTGACCAGAGATGTGCTTACGCTGCGGAAATAGAACGGAAGATCTGGCCTCGAGGACTGAGAATGGGAACAGAGATCAAGCTGGAACCGTCACCCACTGCCAACATCGCCAGCGCCAGCACAATGCCTCGGCGAGACAGCTCGAACAGGACAGTACAGCCAAGACCAGTCCGAACACGCCTTGTATCCCTGGATCCTCAAAATGCCAGAACCCGCCTTCGCAGTCGTGTCAATAGCCATGGATGGGCGCCGCCGGAATTCGACTTTGCCGGTCCCTTCACAATGGGAGGTAGAACCAAACAATGGCTGTGCATCGTCAGGAGTACGTATGTTCTGCCTCTACGGACCATCTTCTCAATTCTATCTAGTGAATGGCGCCGAATGGGGTCGCGCATACGGTCCCACGAAGCAGGCCGCCGGCGAGGCTGCTGCAGACAACGCCTACAACGCCTTAATTCAGCAGGGTTATTGATTGCTTTGACCGCCGCCTATAGCTTTTTTCATCTGCTACAATGTGTTCGTTCTTAGTAATACCGATGTACAAATTCTGGTAGCCAATAGCGAAATGTCGGCGGTCACTTCCTTATCATTCGGCCGAAGGTCAAGATGTGAAGTGAGACGAACTGGATGGAGGGACACGCGGTAATTGGAGATATGCCATATCTTGAGCCTGGTGCCCCCGCAGTGACACGAAGAAAGGACTTGAACAGGCATTGGGTGGTTATTCGAGGAGGGTGATCTCTCGGGTGACCTCAGGCGCAACGGCGACGGTGCACCAACAAGCACCAGGGGGGCAGTGCTTCCGCCAGCGGACAGACGATGGTTGCACCGTTAGTCGGCTCGTTGAGTGTCTCGTCGTACAGCATGTTGAGCATCTCGTCGGCCAGCGCATTGCGCATCTCGGTGAACGGCAGGTAGAGCGTCTCGTCGGACAGCACGTCGAGTGTTTCCTGCAGGTAATCTGCACCCGCGCACCCGCGTTGTTAACCTGGTCCGGTCTGGGCTTCTGGTGGACATCGCGAACAGAGAAGCTGAGAGGCGCCAAACAGAAAGGCGCATCCATCCAATCCGAAAGGTGCATCCATCCAATCATCGAGGCCGCGTTCGAACGCCCGGCCGTGCGTGAGATGGGCCTCCAAGCGGGGGCGAAATGGGCCTCCAAGCGGGCGTGTAATGCGCCTTCGAGCGGGCCAGGACTCCCAGCCATGCTCTCGAAAATGAGCCATCGTGCCGGGGATGGGCTACCGCGCCGGGAATGGGCTACCGTGCCGGGAATGGGCTACCGTGCCGGGAATGGGCTACCGTGCCGGGAATGGGCTATCGTGCCAGGGATGGGCTACCGTGCCGGGAATGGGCTATCGTGGAGAGGGAAGGGCTATCGTGCCGGGAATGGGCTAACGTGGAGAGGGAAGGGGGACGGGCCGAGTTGGCGGGGACATGGTGCTGTTGTCGAAGGATTTGGTCGGCACTGAAGTCGGGTCCGCATGAGCAGGTTGTCTGCGTGTCGCGCGTGGAGGTTGTCTGCGTGTCGCGCGTGGAGGTTGGCTGCGTATCGCGCGTGGAGGTTGGCTGATCATAGTGCGTGGAGGTTGGCTGATCATAGTGCGTGGAGGTTGGCTGATCATAGTGCGAGGAAGTTGGCTGCGTATCGCGCGTGGAGGTTGGCTGCATGTCGCGCGTGGAGGTTGTCTGCGTGTCGCCCGTGGAGGCTGACCCTACAGCACGTGGGTGGGTCGACTCTACAGCACAGCGACCATCCAGGCTGATCACACACCTCAAAGTGCGGACCGGGGCGCTGTGTGTGCTGCAATGGCTCGAAGCCGGACGCTCTTCGCGGACCATGTTCCAGCTGAGGTCGGAGGCGGCGTGGGGAGCGTCAGAGGCGGCGTGGGGAGCGTCGCAGTCGCGACTCGCCGTGAGGAGCGTCGTAGTTGGCGTGGGGGGCGTCGTGGTTGGCGTGGGGAGCGTCAGAGGCGGCGTGGGGAGCGTCGTGGTTGCAAACGTAAGTAGTCGCGGTCGCAGTCCTGATTGCGAATGTAGTCGCAGTGGTGATCGCCGTAGTCGCAATCGCAATCGCAATCGCCGTTACCGAACAAGCCAGTCGTAAAAGGGGTCGGGGCGAGGAGGTGTGTCCGTGCCGGGGCGAGGAGGTGTCTGCGGGTCGGGGTGAGGAAGGGAGAGGAGAGGGGGGGAGGAGAGGGGAGAGGGAAGGGGCGAGGAGGTGTCCGCGGGTCGGGGCGAGGGGTGTCCGTGCAGGGAGACTCGATGCGTCCGTGCCGGGGGATTCGACGCTCGCGTTGCAGGATGCATGGAGGCGATGGAGGGCTTCGGCGCACGAGGTGATGGAGGGCTTCGGTGCACGGGGCGATGGGGGGCTTGGAAGCCGGAGGCGATGGAGGGCTTCGGTGCACGCGAGGTACCAACCCTCCCCTCCGAGTCGATAGTGGCGGTCGCGTGTTTGGCCGTCTAGTGAAAAAAAAAACCCCAACCCTCCCCCTTGCGTGTTACCCCCGGTCTTTTGCGTGTTAAGCCCGCGGTCTTTTGCGTGTTACCACCGGTCTTTGGCGTGTTAAGCCCGGTCTGTTGCGTGTTAAGCCTGGTCTTTTGCGTGTTAGGCCCTGGTCTGTTGCGTGTTAAGCCCTGGTCTTTTGCGTGTTAAGCCCCCGGTCTTTTGCGTGTTAAGCCCGCGGTCGTTTGCGTGTTAAGCCCCGGTCTTTTGCGTGTTCAGCCCCCGGTCTGTTGCGTGTTCAGCCCCCTCCCATCTCCCCGGAGGGTGCAAGAGGGACCGGGCGCACGAATGGGCGTGTGAGGGGGGAGAGGGGGAGAGGGGGAGAGGGGGAGTGAAAAAAAAAAGAGAAAAGAGATTCAAGTTCAAGAGTGGGAGGGGAGAGGGGAGGGGGGGAGGGAGAGGGGAGGGGGGGAGGGAGACGGGAATGATCGTCTGTGAGGGGGTGGGGCCGTTGCTCATGAGCCGCAGAGAAGAGGAGGAGGAGGGAAGGTTATGGCGAAGAGGGAGCGGGTGGGGGGAAGGAAGCAGGGGAAGGGGTTGGAAGACGAGAAGGGAATTGGTGGGAGGTGAAGGGGAGGGGGAAGGGGAGGAGTGCGAGGGGAGGGGGAAGGGAGGGGAGGAGGGGAAGGGAGTAAGGGAGAGAGAGAGAGAGAGGGAGAGAGCTGGGTAGCGACAGAGAATGAAGTGCATGTATGCGCACTGAACGGGCGCGCGCCACCGCACAACGCCCAGGGGTGGCGCGCGCCCCATCATGCCGTGCACGCACTTGGCATGCTTCAAGTGCGATCATGGATGACTTGCATACCTGTTCACCGAGGGCACAAAATGAGAGAGCATGACATTGTCAGTAACGAGGGCTTGAAGAACTGGCGGAGGGAAGGCGAAGGCCGAATCACATTATACGGCGGACGGGAGGAGGCGGGTCGGGCGTAGGAGTGCAAGTGAATGTGCTGTAGCTACCGATCGCTGGGAGGCGAGAACGCCGCGACACCCCAAGGTTGTCAGTGACAGAACCAACCCCGCGCGTCTGCCGATCTCGTGTGATGAGGTGACAGCGCGGGAGGATCGACGGGCCGGTCCCGCACGTGGCACCCACTGACCTTCTCTCGTCCGGCGCGTACGTCGCGACTGTAATCCTGCTCGATTGGCGACTGTATTCCAGCGCAACCCTGCTCGATAGACGAGTGCATCCTTGCTCGACTGACGACCGCATCCCTGCCCGACCGCTGTTCACAACCTCGCTCTCCCGCGTACATCGCGATCGCGCGCGAGCACGCCGGAGTGCTGCTTGTACATTCATCCTCGTGCTCTCTCTAGGCCTTGCCGTGCAGTCCCGAGGGCTTGCTGTGCAGTCATCAGGCCTTGCTGTGCAGTCTCTAGGCCTTGCTGTCAATCTTGCGACCTTGCTCGTAGACCGCACCGGTCTTCGACGCCACTTCTCGTGAGTCCTACCCCGCCCCTCGTCCATCCCTATCCTGGCCTGACGCGTGCGACTAGAACGGCGACGTGCACTTGGACGACATCTGTCGTTGTCCTGGGGTATAGGACCCACCGGCTTGACTACCCACGCGCGCGACTGGACCACATAACGCATTCCACTACCATCAAGCCGCGTCCTTCACCCACTACCATCAAGACGCACACTTTATCTACTACCACAAACACCCGCTCACCGCCTCCCATGACTCCAAGCCTAGCACGCCCCCTCGAGCAGGGTGGCGTGGTGCGCTCGGGCTCAGATTCCCGCTGCCATTCATCGTCATTGGCTCCTGGCCCTACCTCATCATTGGCTCCTCCTCGACCATCATCGACATCAGGCTCTGCCCGCCATGCCCGACTAGCATATCCTTCCCCCGCTCCCCGTTCACCGCACCGCCCATCATCACCACCTCCCCGCTCAACTCGTCCATCTCACCTGCGCTCCGTCGCGCGCTGCCTACACCTACAACTGCTCACCACCCTCACCCTCCTCCTCGCCCTCGCCCTCCTCCCGCTCCCGGCCCGCGCCGCGCAGTTACAGTTGGGCGCCACGTACGCGTTCGGGGTCAATAACAGTGGTGAGTTTGGGTGTTTTGCTCGGCCGTTGAGCTGGGTGTGGACAGAGTTGTTTGGTTCTGGTGTCGTTTTTTTTGCAGTGCGGGCTTGTTCGCCCCCTTCATGCTGGCTTCGTTGGCCTCCGTGTCGCGAGGGGGGTGCGCGGAGCCCGACCTCCCACACTCTATTCTCTCCCTCCCTCACCCCTCCCTCCCTTCCCTTTCCCTTCCCCTTTCCACCCCTCCACCATCACATCCTCATTTTTTAAAAATTCACAACTAACATAAACCCAAACAGCCTCACCTATCACCACCCTGCCCACCCCGGCGGCGTGGCGGTTGCCGCGGAGCGCGAATCTGACGGTCGAGGTCGCGGTTTGTGGGGCGGGAGGGGGTGGGGGTGACTCTGCTTCGTCCCGTGCGAGGCGCGCACCATCGGGCGGCAGGCAGAAAGGGGCTGGCGACGAGGCCCGCAGGAGGGCTGAGGCTGGGGCTGGGGGCGACAGCAGTGATGGAAGTGGCAGAAGCTTAACTCGCCGGGCCACCACATCGGCCCCCCGCTTCTTCCTCACGAACGCGACCGGCCTGACTGGGGACGGGCCGGTGGATGAGGTGGATCCGGCGACGGTGCCGGGGGAGGGGGATGTGGGGGAGGACGACGTTTACGAAGTGTCTTTGGATGGGGGAGGTGAGTGAGGTTTTTTTTGGGGGGGGGGGCGAGGGAGGGAAGGAGGAGGGGTAGATGGGGAGGTGAGGGGGAGGGGAGTGGGGGGAAGGAAGAGGGGGTAGAGGGGGAAGGTGAAGGGAGGGGGGGATGCGAGGGAGAGAGGATGGGAAGGGAGGGAGGGGTGAGGGGGAGGGAGGGCGAAGGGGGAAGGAAGGCGTGAGGGGGAGGAGGGGGGCGGAAGGAGGGCGGGCGAAAGGGACGCGCGAAAAGGACCGTAGACTGACGCAGCTAATCCAGATACCGGCTCCGGCACCTGGACAGGCCCCACGCCCGACGGGGGCGTGCTCGCCGTCGAGGGCGGGGCGGGCGTGCTGTTCGTGGTTGGGGTAAGGGAGGGTGGGGGTGAGTGTCATGGTTTCTTTGATTGCGCGTATGCGATCTCTCTTACATCAGAATCTGTTGGCTGACGAGCTTTTCCTGCTGCGCGCGTCTTTCTTCTCCTAACGCTTTTCTGCTTTTCCTTCGCTTTGTCGCTTGCTTGGCGCCCTACTGCTTGCCCGCCCTGTGACTTGCGCCTCGAACGCTCGCCCGCCGCCTCCACCCATTGCCGCCGCTTGTGACCCCTACGCCCGGTCAATAAAAAGATTCAACCACCTCCACCGACCCCCCCACCCTCCCCCTCCTCGGCGACACGACCGCGAACCAGGCGCTGCTGTTCTCCCCCGTGTACGCGGGCGCGGGCGAGTATGGCACTGAGCCGAGCTATCCGAACTACACGCTGTGGGGGGCGGGGTTGGGGTTTTTGGTGAGTGGTGTTGCAATCCCCTTAACTACTGTCTTGTTCCCTCCACCTCCGCTCTCTCAGCTCCTTCTCCCCTCTGGCCACTCGCTTCTTCTCCCCTCTGGCCACTCGCTTTCCGGTCACCTCCGCCGCTCGCTTTCCGGTCACCTCCGCCGCTCGCTTTTCTACCTTTCACCTCCCGGCCTCTCTCTCGCTTCTTTACCTTCTACGCTCGCTTCTTCTATTCCTCATCTCTCTCCTCCGCTCGCTTCGCCGGATGGGGCGAGGGTTTGGTGGAGAGGTGGGCGGGGGAAAATATGGGGTGGGGGAGGGGCGGAGGGGCGGGGAGAGGGGAACGGCGGTGAAGGGGTGGGCGAGCGGGCGAGCGAGTGCGGTCATGCTCGACGAGCAAGCGCATGCGGTCATGCTCATCGAGCGATCGAATGCGGCCACGCTCAACGAGCGAGCAAGCGAGTGCGGTCACGCAAGCTGTGTAGATATACCCTGACCGAACTGTGCGGGTATACCCTGACCGAGCTGTGCGAGTATAACATCGCTAACGCACCCCACCACCTCCCAGGAAGCGGACGAGAACGGGACGATACCGGGCGCGCCGGGGACGATGCCGAATTTTACGCTGTATGTGGTGGAGACGGAGAGTGTGGATGTGGGGATGGGTGAGTGATCCTCGCTCGCTGTGTGCACGCGTACCACCATCGCTGTGTGCACGCGTACCGCCATTACTGCTGAGGGCACTCTCGCCATCGTTGCTGAGGGCGCTCTCGCCATCGTTGCTGAGGGCGCTCTCGCGGTCGTTGCTGTGTGAACGCGTACCACCATCGTTGCTGAGGGCGCTCTCGCCATTACTGCTGAGGGCGCTCTCGCCATCGTCGCTGTGTGAACGACCTGGCGCTGATGCGTGAACGACCTGGCGCTGATGCGTGAACGATCTGGCGCTGATGCGTGAACGACCTGGCGCTGACGCATGTTTTCTTCCTCTAGCCCCGCTCCTGAGGGCGGCGTGCGTGTTGGCGGGTGCGGAGAGTGCCTCGACGGACGATGAAGATACGACGGACGATGCAAGCGAGGACAGTACGGATGCGGTTGGAGGAACGGATGCGGTCACAGGGGAAGGAGACGGGGGAGATGCGGCGGGCGACGGTGGAGGTGATGATACGACAGCGGAAGGGGGAGGTGGGGAAGGAGCAGAGGGTGGCGAGGACCAAGGCGCACCCGCTGAGGACGTGGGGCCGACTGACTTCTCGGGGGCGGGGCGGAGGAGGGATGGTGCGTTGTCCCTCTCTCCCTTCTTTCATGGGATCTAACTTATCCTCGCTATCAGGATCCATCTACCCGCGCGCCCCCGGCCCCACTCTCCAAAAACGCGCAGGCCCCATCTCCCCCGCCCCCTTCTCCGCCTCGGCCCCGACGCCGTGGCTCCGCGGCGTGGAAGGTTGGCGCGCGCAGTGGTTCGTGGAGGGGTTAAGCGCGGGCAGGAACTATACGGTGTATGTGGTGAGGGGGGGTGAGTGGGTTTGGGTTTTTGTTGTTAAGGGTGGTTAGAGCGTGCTTGGTTCCTCTCCAGCGCGGGCTTGTTTGCTTCTTTAGCGCGGGCTTGGTTCTTCTCAAGCGCGGGCTTGTTTGGTTCTTCTTTCGCTTCTTTCTTCTTTTTTACCACTGGATGAGAGTTTGTTGGTGGTCAGAGGTTAGGGTTTTTGGTGTTTCGATGGTGGGAAGAGTGATGGATGAGGGAAGGGGAGTGGGGAGGGGTGGAGAAAGAGGAGGGTGAGGGAATGGGGGGAGGGGAAGAGAAAGAAGGGGATTGGGAAGGGGGAGGGGGTGAGGGGCGAAGAAGGGAGCAAGGGTATGAGGATCGACGCTGACGCGCTTTCCAGACACGGGCACGATCGGCGGCCAGCTGGTGTCGGGGCCGGTGTACATGCGGACGAAGAGCGGTGAGTGGGGTGCCTTTGTGAGGAGGGGTGTTCGCTAAACGAGGGGTATGCGCTCAACGTCAATCTTCCCCACCGCGCCCATCACCATCAATGCTACGCCTCTGACGTCTCCGACCTCGTCGCCGCCAATTGTCAACCGCCCATGCCTTCGCCAACCGCGCTCCTCCTCCACCAACGCACGCGCGCGCTCGTCCGCCCCTCCGCCGACGCCACCGCCCCTCCGCCGACGCCAACGCCAACACGCACGCTTCATTATCCGCTAACCCCTTCGACGCCTCCTCCTCCAACGCTCATCCGACATCAAAATGGAAAACCCAACGCGGGCCCCCTTACCAGCCACCTTCGCCTGCCCGCTCGCGCACTCGCTGCCGTTCTGCCCGGGCGTGGCGTACGCGGTGCCGCTGGGCGCGCCCGAGGATGGGGCGGGGAGGTGAGTGGGGGGTTTTTTTTGGGTTCGGATACGCCCTCCTTCGTCGTCGGTCTTCCTTACCCATGCCTTTATCCTTCCCTACCCGCGATGCATGTATTCTTCCTTACCTGCGTTGCACGCGTCCTTCCTTGTCCCCTCCGTATGTCCCTATTGGGCGGCGCTCTCGCCCTTCTTCTTCCTCTTTCCTGGCTCATCTTCCTCTTTCCTCGCTCGTCACCTCCCTCTTTCCTGGCTCTTCTTCTCTGTCCTGCCCCCTCACGCCCTCCCACCCTTGGCAAGCCCCGAGCCCCGAAAACGGACCTCTCCGAGTGACGCGCAGTGACTCCCCTCCCCTCACCAAACTAACTCCCCTCCCCTAACCAAACTAACTCCTTCCCCTTACCGAACTAACTCACCTCCCCAGCTACACCGCCGCGAACTTTCCGACCTCCATCTCCGGCCCCATCAGCTCCTCCCTGACGAACTTCACGACCTCCCTGTCCACGTTCGCGTGCGGAAGGGATATGTACTCGCCCCTGGTCGGGTGCGCGGACTGCCAGCGGGCGTACCGGGCGTGGGTGTGTGGGGTGGGTGTGCCGCGGTGTGGGGAGGTGGCGGGTGGTGGGGGGACGGGGAGTGGGAGTGGGGTCTACGAGCCGAATCCGACGGCGACGGGGGTGGCGGCGGATACGTTGAATCAGGTATGTGGTTGTGCCGCCCTCCTTCCCCCCCTTCCCCCTTCGTGGGGAAAGGTGGGCGCTGGGCGGTTAGGGCGGGGGTGGGGGTGGTCTATACGAGGATTGGGTGCTAACCAGCGCACTCGCCCTAGACCCCGCTCTCCTCGTCATCCTCAAACTCCTCCTCCTCATCATCCAACTCCTCCAACTCCTCCAACTCCTCAAACTCCTCCTCAAACGCGACCACCCCCCGCCCGGCCCTCGTCGCGCAGCCGGCGGGCAAGATCGCGCGGAACCCGGACTGGCCGGAGGTGGGGTACGAGTGGGTGCGGGTGATGCCGTGTTTGGAGGTGAGTTGGGTTTTTTTATTATTATGTTGGGGTGTGGGTGTTTTTTATGTTGGGGGATTTTTCTTTATGTTGGGGGGGGGGGTGTTTTTTATGTTGGAAGAGAGTGAGCAGGGGGAGTGGGTGGGAGGGGGAGGGGGGAGTGGCTTGGGTGGGAAGAGGGAGGGGTGGGATGGGGCGAGGGGCGACGACAACAGGAGAGACACAAAGGGACCGAGCGCTAACGATCTCGGCAGCTATGTACGGCGGCGGATCGGGCGTGTCCGAATTTCCTGGGCTTCAAGTGTCCGGTGAGGAGGTGAGTGGGACGGGTCCTTTCGTCGATGTTCATTTTCGCGAAAGACTCCTATCCTCCCCATTCTTCCCATCCGCAAGGGTTTACTTATGCTGACTTTGATGGGCGCGCTAACGACCTCGAATTGGCGCGCTGACGCCCTCTCCCCCTCCCCTCCCCTTTTGCCAAGCACCAACTGATGCCCCTTTCCCCCTAGATTCAACGCGGCCGCCTCCTACGGCGTCGGCTACGTCGACTCGGGCCACGAAGGCGGCGAGAAGGATGGCGTGGTCGGGAGCGCGCAGGATCGGTGGGGGAATGTGTGGTGTGCGTGAGGTTGGGGGGGAGGTGTTTGTGTTCCTAGGTTTAGCTGAGGCGTGCGCGGCTGGGAGTGGGGGGAGTACATGTTTGGTGTACGAAGACGAGCGAACCTAAGGCGTCAGGTAGGGGGCGTGTGGAAGGGCAAGGGAAGGGGGCGGAGAAGGAAAAGGGGGGAGGGACAGGGAAGTGGATGGGGGGAGGATCGGTGAGTGCAGGTGTGATGGGTAGGGAGGGGTGCGGTACTGACGAGATCGTAGGATGCATTGTACTCATGATATGGACTTTGGCTATGGATTCATTCCAGAAGATAAGTGGGCGTTCAAGCCCACGCTTGTTGCGAGGAAGGAAGGTTTGAACCTCCGCTTGTTGTGCGCCGTCACTTGGACGGATCAACGAAGATTGTCAGGTAAGCTCGAGGGGCGTTACTGTACGGACAACCACGCCTCCTATGTTCAGACGGAGGCAACGACGGCCATGTACTCGGACGGAGGCAACGACGTCCATGTGTTCGGACGGACGCTTTTCCCTCCTTCCTCGCTACACACTACGCTGGTCGAGCACATACGCCTAGGGCGGCAAGCACACTTCTTAAACAGCACACGCGCACTCCTGGGATCGAGAACACCTGCTCCTAGGATCGAGGATGCAGCTCGCTATTGGCGGCATCGCACTTGCGCTCGCGCTATCGTTCGTAGCGGCGCAGGGCTTCCTGCCCGACTCTCAGATCGCGCTCGTGCGCGCGCGACTCGACGAGCTGTCGCAGCTCAGGTGAGTGGCCGGCCTTTACTTCTCTTACGCGTACTGGCGAGCTGAGCACCTGCCCGCCATTCTCAGCTGGGAGCTCGGCACGCGCGCGGAGGCGCTCCTCGAGCACGACGCGCCGCAGTGGTCCGTGTTCGCCGACCGGCCGCTGCCCCCGCCGCGCGCCGCGGACGGCTCGGATGGATTGCGGGACGTGCTCGCGATCGCGCGGCGCGTGGTCACCAGTCGCGGTGGGGCGGCGGGCCCGCAGCCGCTTATGGCGGACGGCGCGGCGGGGGACCCGGCGTCGAACCTGGTCGCGGTGCTGCTGGCGGACTGGACGGGGCAGGATGGCGGGCAGGTGGATTACGCGGGGGCGGCGAGGGACCAGTTGGACTTTTTGTGGTCGGACCAGGTGGCGAAGACGGGGGACGGGGCGATCTCGCATAGGGTGCAGCCGGTGTCGCTTTGGTGAGTGGGGCTGGTGAGGGGTGGACGGGAGGGCGCGCTGACGGGGGCTGTAGGAGCGATTACATATCCATGGTGCCGACGTCGTTCGCGTATGCGGGGGTGCTGTCGGGCAACCAGTCGTATGTCGAGGAGGCGTACCATCAGATCAAGCTGTACCGCAACTATTTGCGTGACGCCGGCGCCGGGAACCTTTGGCATCACATTGTCTATGGCTGGTGGGATGATGCGGGGCATTGGACGACTGGTGAGACTGCTGTCCTCGAAGTGAACACATAGTGCTGACCTGCTCTCAGGCAACGGCTGGGCCGCCGCCGGTATGCTCCGCGTCCTCGCCACCATTCGGCACTCCGCCTACGCGCCGCTCATGGTCCAAGAACAAGCCGACCTCACCGCCTGGATCAGGGAGATTCACGACGCGGTCTTCCCGCACCTCGACGATTCCCATATCTTTCTGAACTACGTCGACGCGCCCAGCACGGATGGTAACAACTTCTACGACGCGGCGGGCACGGCGCTGCTAGCGGCCACTGTCTACCGCTATGCGCTGATGACAGGTGATGTGACGCACATACCGTATGCAGAGGGGATACGGGAGGAGCTGGCAAGGAAGGAGGGGGAGGGGTACGCGCACTTCTCGCCGGAGGGCGTGTTGAGGCCGGTCGTGAATCCGCATGACTATTCGAAGCAGGGCGATGCGAGCGCGGAGGGGCAGGCGTTTGTGATGATGCTGGATGCGGCGTATGGGGAGTGGCGGGCGAAGGGTGGCGTGAACATGGCCACGGCGGACGGTGGAGGCGGGGGCAGGAGCAACAGTAGGAGGCGCGCGCGGTGTGCGAGTCAGACATTGGGAAGGCGGATGTGGCTGGAGCGTGGTGGTGGGGGACATCGTCGGGTGGGCGCTGCGTCACTGCCTCAGTCAGGTTGGTAGGACGGAGGTGATCTGTGTGTGCTGTTTCACGCCGGTGCTTTGGAACAGCGACTTCGACATAATGGGAGTTATCTGAATTATGCATACTAGGAAATATTTGTACAGTACTATCCACATTCACACATCACTATACCATAGTTCGACTACATACCTTGTACACATATAGAGAAGGGCTTTGTTGACTAGTAGGTAGCTCGCGTGACGCAGGAGCCACTCGCTGAAGCTGAGCTGTATGGGCAGAGTAAGTAGCGAGGGCTCGGCCAGATGGAGAACTGGTGTCAGGGGGGTGATGGCAAGTGCCGAACGCTTTCCCATCCGCGCGAGTTCGTGTCATGATCTTTCTAGTCTGCAATCACGCGCGCCCCCGACATCGTCTCAGTCCCATAGCAGTCACATGATGTTTCCCACGAGCGAAGGTTGGACTGCCGCCGCATCCTTCTGCTTTCTTTCTGCTTTCTCGGAGGTGTGGAAAGAGTTCGAGCGCTTGATTTTGTCTCAGAGCAGGTATTGAGTGCAGACAGTCCGGGAAATCGGATAAAAGTCAAGCTATGGGGACGGCGCTCCCAGCTCCCACGCCCCTATGCTGAGGTGGCGGCAAGACAATACGCCAGCACTTGAGTCTTTCTGTACCCTGTAGTCATAGGCAGGGCTTCACTGACTATACTGGAGGATAATCTGCAAACTCTGAGACCGGACAGCTCTCTAGGGCTGATAGAGGGCGGGGCGGCAGTCCAACCTTCGCCCGTGGGAAACATCATGTGACTGCTATGGGACTGAGACGATGTCGGGGGCGCGCGTGATTGCAGACTACGGGAGACTATGATCTTTCGCTCATTCGAGATGAACGTCATGAAGCGTCGGCGCCGACCCGCGGCAGCCGCTCAGGCCATCATATGTCCATAAACCTCCGAAGCCCGCGAGCAACGTGCGCACACTCGGGTGCCGCCTAGGACGCTGGCGCTGCTCCAGGTCGACTTATCCGACGGACTTGCTCTCTTTGTTCGGATTTTCGCTTCGCGGAGCAGGTCGCCGATGCGGTGACATTGCGGTCAGAGCGTTGGTCTCGCCAGAATCATGACCAAGTCCGCCCGGTCTCCCTTGTCGCTGTAATTTCCTGAATTTTGGCCGCTGTTCCTGGCTCGTTGTCGGTGTCGTTGTCGGAGAGCAAGTCGTCTCCATGGCCTGGGTGCGCCTGCTGACAGAGCTTCCCAGATCGTCGTCTCGGACTCGGGCGGGATGATGCGCCAGTTTTACTGTATGGGCGCGACAGGGCAAGGTGAGTCGTCAATCGGGTTCTCGTATCAACGCATCAGGTTCTGTTTGAGATCGTCAGGTCCTGGAATGATTGCGACCGACGACCTCGAAGTATCTCGACCTCTTCAAGCCTATGGCAGTACAAGGAGACGTATGGATAGTCCGTGATTTCGCTACTTCGAAGAGTGCGAGGTGTGTAGTGAGGTGTTTGGTTCAGTGTTTAGTCAGGCGTTTGGGACTCTCACTAGGCGCTCGCTGTTTTCTGTCGAGAGTCGAAAGTCTTGGCATGGGCACTGTCGGGGGGTCGAAGAGCATGAAGTACGGGGGAAGTACGAGTGCGGCTGCCGCGGATGTTCTCCATCGGTTACAGGTCGACTTGATTCCCGGAGCGACGGTGCTTGGTGGGAGTTCAGAACATGAAGGAACAAGTTTTCAGCCCCGGCGCAGTGAAACCTTCGCAGAACATCCCGAACATGTTGACATGCGGTGATCTGCGCATTGTCTGATCCCCCCGAGCCCTGCATATATTGCTATTCGAGGCGGATCAGCCGAGCGTTTTATAAGGCTCGATGTGCGTTACAGGATGCCCTACAACGCCCCCTCGTCTCAGCGAAGGCGTTTACTTTTGTGCTTGATTTGCGCTGAGCACTGAAGCTTCACCACACATTCGTTTGGCCCGGTACACTCATTGGATTGAAGATGCAGCTTATTGGTAGCGCTTTGGCGCTCGCGACGGCGGCGCTCCCTCTCGTCGCGGCGCAGGACAAGTCGGCGGAGTTCCTGCCCGAGTCCCAGATCTCGCTCGTCCGCGAGCGCCTCGACGAGTTGTCGCAGCTCAGGTGAGTAGCTCGCCATCCTTCACCTCGCGAAACGGCGAGCTGATCGTATGCCTGCCACTCACAGCTGGGAGCTCGGAACACGCGCGGAGGCGCTCCTTGAGCACGACGCGCCGCAGTGGTCCGTGTTCGCCGACCGCCCGCTACCCCCGCCGCATGTCGTCGCACCAGAGGACGACTCGGACGGGTTGCAGGAGGTCTTCGCGATCGCGCGCCGTGTCGTCACAAACCGTACGATAGCGAACGGCGGGATCGTGGGCCCACAGCCGCTCATGATGGATGGCGCGGCGGCGGATCCGGCGTCAAACCTGGTCGCGGTGTTGTTGGCGGACTGGACTGGGCAGGATAAGGGGACGGTGGATTATGCGGGAGCGGCGAAGGATCAGCTAGACTTCTTGTGGTCCGCGAATGTGAGCAAGACTGAGGACGGGGCGATCTCGCACAGGGTGGAGCCGGTGTCGCTGTGGTGAGTTGAGGTTACAGAAGAGGTACAGTGAGCCAGAAAGCTGACGAGAGACGTAGGAGCGACTTTCCCTTCATGGTGCCGACGTCATTTGCGTACGCGGGCGTCTTGTCGGGCAACCAGTCGTATGTCGAGGAGGCGTACCACCAGATCAAACTGTACCGCAACTACCTGCGCGACACCGCGGCTGGTAACCTCTGGCACCACATCGTCTACGGCTGGTGGACTGATGCTGGTCACTGGGCGACTGGTGAGGGACACCTCATAATCCTGATGTATACACAGTACTAACCTTGTTCAAAAGGCAATGGCTGGGCTGCCGCAGGCATGCTACGTATTCTTGCCACTATCCAGCACTCCATCTACGCTCCACTCATGCTCAAGGAGCAGGCCGACCTGACTGCTTGGGTTAAGGAAATTCATACCGCCGTCTTCCCTCACCTCGACGAGACCCGCATCTTCCTCAACTACGTTGACGCGCCCATCACCGACGATAACAACTTCTACGACGCGGCGGGCACGGCGCTCCTCGCCACCACCGTCTACCGCTATGCCCTCATGACCGGCGACACGACGCATATCCCGTACGCGCAGGCCATCCGCGAGGAGCTGTCGCGCAAGAACGGCACCGAGTACGCGCATTTCACTCCGGAAGGTGTCTTGAAGCCGGTCGTCAACCCGCACGACTATTCGTACCAGGGAGACGCGAGTGCGGAGGGGCAAGCGTTTATCATGATGCTCGATGCGGTGTACAAGGAGTGGCAGGCGGCGGGTGCGCCAGGGATTGAGCTGTCGCTTGACCTCGACCTCGGCGTGTCTATTGGCAAGAAGCGCGCCGGGTTCGAGCTGTCTGCGCGCTCGGAGGCATCGGCGAAGCGGACGTGGAGCTCGCGCGACATTGAGAACCATCGTCGCGCCGGCTTTGCTCGTGCGCACTAGGCTTGCAACTTCGGTGAAGTGAAAGTGCTTCAAGTCGATTTCGTCTCCTTCGCTATTCGCACTGTAGATAATAGCGGTAAATTATGAGGTATCTGATTTGTACCCACAAGCCCTTCTTTACTACATTCCATCCATAATCTGACAACGTTGAGATTCCCTGCGATACTTCTCCGGGATGCAACCTTGGCACACTATCCGGGTCTTGCCGGTCGTGGACCTTGCAGCTGCACGTGGTGCACGTGGAATATTCACGGTTGACTTTCTTCTTGAATCATGATCAGATGCCGCACACTTCGCGCGAGTCTCTCACTCCCCGGCGCTTAGCGCTTCCGCCAGCACTTGCCGTTCTTTTCGACGTCTGCAAGGCTCTGACCGCCGTCCATACTAACTCCCAAATCCTCTAACCCTACCTTACGGACCCGTCTTACATTCTGATCCCCCATTCGCCGCCACGCATCGCGTGTTGTGAGGAGGGCGCCGACAAGTGCTCACAATGCCCCCCCTCAAACGCATGGCGTCTTCCACCAACTCGAGCAGTAGCGGTGCTTCTGTACTGCTGCATCGTCCTAAGAAGGCACGCATCAGCAATTCAGACGACGAAGAGCGAGGCTACGATGCGTCCGATGAGCGCGACCATAAGCCTGCTGCCAAGCGCCGACGGTGGATTCTGCCCGTTGCGAAACCCGACTCGGCTAGCGAGGATACGGATGAGGAGGTGACGCTGCCCCACGCCGTCGAGGCACGTTCTCTGTCTGCCTTTCTGTGTGGCGCGCGGCTGACTTGTTGATCTTTCGACTTTAGCGCCGCCTTGCATACATCAGTAGGCTTGCATCCGCCTTCAACACCGGCGACCTTGTTGCGCTCGCCGCCCTCTTCCCTGCCCATGCCCGCAGCGACGTACTCGTTCGCGGTGCCGTACGCCATTGTCGCGACGTCGCATGCGCGAAGGGCTCTGACCTCCGGAGAGAAGCGCGTTGGGTGCGCCGTGTTGCACGGAGGTCCACTTCTCGCCGCGATGGGCAAATCGAGGTGCGTCCTGCGCATACTTTTGTCGAGAACCACGTGCGGTGGTCTTACGAAGTTCGTAGCAACGAGTCCAGCACTGCACACAGATGCTGGCGACACTCCCCCCTGTCGCGCTTGAGAAGGTGATTGCTGCACTGCCAGGCTACGACGGCATCATGCACGGCGATCAGGCAGACGTAGCCGAGAGCATAGCGATGTACCTTGACATCCTCGCGCACGGGGAGAGTGCATCGCTGGTTGAGGAAGAGGCTCTCATTGACGACATCCAACAACGCCACGTACGGCCTCGCGGTCGGTCTGCTTCTGCGAAGGTATTCAGCGAAGAAGAATCGACGGACACGACCAGCTCGAGCGATTGAACGCACATAACGCCTATCTATTTACATCTTGCTTTTGTTGTTGTCCTTACCGCTGTTGTGACTGCTATGGGGATCACGCTCAAATGTATGCTGACCACTATTCTATCTATTGCCGCTGTGGTATGAACGAGATGATCCCGGTTTCTACACACTTCCTACACATCTATCTTTGTACCGCTTTGCTCGTACATTGCCCAGGATATTCCACCGCCTACAACCGTTTCCTGATTTTGATCTCCAGCATTCTAAAGGGTATGTAGAGTATCACAGTCGCGAAGAAAGCGAACTCGAAGCCGAGGTCGCCCGTAGTCTTCGCGATGGGCCCTGCGCGCACGATGAGTCCCTATATCCAAGTACAACGGTCTGCTTAACTTACCGACGAACCACACCTGGTCCATGCCAGGTATGACCAGGCCGAAGCATAGGATGGCAGCACCGACGGCAGCCAGTCCGGACGGAAGCTCTCGCGGTCGATTCCATATCATGGGGTCGTAAGCCCTCAGGTCGGACTTCCTGAAGAACCAGTGCTCGACAAGAATGACGGCGATGAAGGCGCCCGCCCAATATCCGATGAGACTTAGGAAGTTCGTGAGGGTATCGTAGAAGCTGTGCGCGCCGACGATGGCGAGGGGGATGACGCTGCGCCAAACCTTGGTTAGACAGTGCGTACTGAACCCAGATTGTTGGCACTCACATCGCTGTTCCGACCACGGAGAAGACGTAGCGAGGTACGACCCACAAAAAGGGCACGAAAAGCTGAAGATTGATCGACATGGAATAGAAGGTCGCTGCGATGTTGCCCGCCACGGACAAGCTCAAGAGCACGGTCAGGAATTTGCCGAAGCCACCAACGGGGTGAAGCATCGCTTCTACGAGACCACCGACATTGTCGCCCGCATAGCCAGCTTCCCATTCGGGTTGTGACGAGGCGACGCCAGCGACGGCGGCGCCCAGACATTGAAGGGGCACCTGGAATGCGATAGTGAGGTTCGTGGCAACGCTATGCAGAGTACGTATACGCACGATAGGCAGGAGGAACCCGAAGTAGGAGTAGAGGAAGAGACGGAAGCTGGAGAGAACGTCAGATACTGAACTCGCATTTGAGAGGAGTGTATGCTCACCTGGAGATTCCAGGCCTAAAGTAGATCGTAAAATCTGACGCGAGCGGCGAATACGTGACCACGAAGCCCACGATGATGGAGGCAAACGACAGCACCGCGCCAGGCGTCGCAGGCTCGGCGCCCTCGAAGTTGTAGAGGTGCTTGCCGCTGACGCCGAGCGCAACCACGTAGACGATGACAACAGGTATCCAGGCCACGCGTTCGAACCAGGTAAGGACTTTGTACCCGCAGAAGGAAATCTGTGTATGTCCTGGTCAAAAGGGGATCAGCGCTAATGACCGATCGACTGACGAAGAGGGAGACGATCGTGATGATGACTATTCCGACGCTGGGAAAGATTGAAGTCAATACTGGGGGCGGGCTAGATTTCTTCTGTTGAGACGTACGTCCAGCTCAAGTTGTGGCTCGAAACGCTCGCGAGTGTCTGTCCTCCGAGGATCGAGTTGAGTATACAAAACCCACACATTCCGATGAGGTTCAGAATGCAAGGGAGAATGACACCGAAATAGCTGCAGGATTCATGTCATTCGAGAGCGCGAAGGTCGGAGGAGTGCCAATGCACTTACCCGAATGAGTACCGTGCCTGTACCATCTGTCGCATGCCCGTCTTCGGGCCCCATGTCGTCCTGCCCACTCGTCATATGGTGAACCGAGATAGATGCACACTGCTGGACTCACAGGTAAGCGGGTGGGGCTGCACACAGCAGGTTGAAGAACAGGATGACAAGACACGCGTCTCGCAGTCCGAGGCCGTAGACGACAGGGCCGAGAGTACCGGCGGAAAAGGATAGGATGTTCGTGTTCATGGAAGCCCATACGAAGAAAATCTTGTCGTAACCGCTGTCTGTACGATGCTCTGGTGGGACGGGCTTGACACCTGTAGGAGAGATTAGATCTCTGCATCCATAAGGCGGTGGGTTGAAAGGGACTGGGAACGAGAGGATGAGATGAATGTAGGTGTATGCGTACCTCGCTCCTCCACCCCGAGCGCGAGCAGCCGGCGCGCCCATCGACTGCGTCCAGCTTCAGTCGATGCGCGCTCGCTATCATCTATGGAATCCTTGTTGGCAAACTTCTGTCCTTTCTCTTCGTCCAACATATTGCGATTGTTCTGTACTGGGGTTCTCGATGAGTACGAGCGCAAGTCCAGGGGGAACACGGCAGTTATCGATAACTGTCGTGAGAGCCCCGATGGTAAACGCACCGAATGACGCAGCCAGAGCGATAGTCTATGTGGCCCACGAGAATAGCAGCCAACTAGAGCTCGAGCTAGATCCAACGAGCACAAGGGGGATCGAGTCAACAAGCACGCCAGACATTTTTGGCCGTCCGTCCAGATCCGAGTAGCCAATAGCGATCGAGAATGCTGGAAAGCGTTATCGAGGGGGCACTGGGGGCGCTGTGTGCCCGACACCCATGGCAAACGACGGCGGAATGCAGCTGGAGGCCAGAAATCAGGATGAGAGGCAGATGCAAGCGCCAGATGCGAGATGAAGAGCATGTCAATGCGGCGGCCGGCAGTTGGACTTCCGGCAGGCAAAACGGTCACGTGGAATGTGTAGATCCTTGTTTCGGCCCGTTCGTCTTCAAACCGGAAGCCGGCCCCTCCAACCACAGCAGAACCTTGTCAGGTTCTGCCCGCAGTCGGAGGGATTGGTCACCAGGCTGGTTCGTCTTGCGAGTCGTAAGATGATGTCTCGCGTAGTCTCGCATCGTACCGGTAGATGCGAGAGATGCCAGCGTTCGCAGCACTTCAAAAAAACATCCCCTCATGTTCCATAATATGTCCTACAACAACGGGTATCTATAAATTACACTACGTTGCCCGCCCGTAGTCTACAGGTATATGCTACACGTCAGAGCCAGGGCACAGCGGCCCGTCATACGGCATCGTCTCGTCAAGTCTGTAAGCCACCGTAGTCACCGAGCTTCGAGCTCGATCCCGTCAGCTTCGCGGTCGTATACTGCATGTCGGAGGCCCGCCGCTTCTGCATCGTGCGTATCACGCAGGGTATGTTCCCCAAAATGAGGCGCCGCATACTCGCCCCTTTGCGGCGGCTTGACGAAATTGTCCGTGTCGTTAGTTGTAATCCATGCCGTGGGCATGGTGCTGAGAATATCTTCCGTATCGAGCGCCGTCGTGGGTGCAGTAGAAGTGGTCCGTCCCCAGCCGTTATGCGTCCTACTGCGAGACGCTTGTTTCTGCTTGAGGATGAGCATGAGAATGCGGCAGGAGCATATGCTATGGACGGTGTGTTGGGGGCTAGCAAGCCAATTGGCGAAATTGACCTATACAAAAGTGAGCTTGAGGATAGGTATCTGGTAAACGAAGCGCACACTGATGACTGGCAGCAGGACGTTGAGAAGGGAGATGACTGGAATATAAAGTGAGCAAAACAAACCAATTATCTATGGAGGAAGCACGCACGGACGATGGAAAGGTAGAAGACGACACCGTCGCGGTAGAGTCGGAAAACCCATCCATGCGTGGGACTTGGGATACGCCGCACTGATCCAGGCAGTGAGATCAGATTGAAGGTACGCAAGACTGGGACAGACGCACGATGTCGAATGCCCATAGCTATGGTCAGAACTAGGATGGCTGTACTACAATGAGCAATGAACGTTAGCTACGGTGTTCAAGCTTACCTGTCTCAGAAATCATGAGTAAGAGGTACGCGCCAATGATAATGGGGCTGGCATGGCCTAAGTGGCAGCCTGGCAGTGGTCTGTAGTGATCTTCTACATTGTCAGCCGCTATCAGGGCGCGTGGGCTTGCAAGGAATGGAACGGGGGATTCAAGACACCAAAGAAAAGGACGGTGTGCGTACATTCGAGGGATGCCAACTCCACGCCTGTAATCGCAAGGGCAGGAACGACGGTGCACTGAGGCTGAGTGAGCATGAATACGGTACAATCGTGGGCGACGTACCATCCATATTCCACCAAGGACATAACGGATCCAACGACTCCGATTGTACAGAGCGTAGGTTCGCATCGCCAGCACACCCTCTGATACCAGTATCCCTATGACAATGACGCCTACGGCACGTTAGCTTCGATCGGACACGTTCTACTGACAATAATCACTGACAGGTAACGATGCGATTCTCTGTCCTGCACCTTAACGGCGATGGGCTATCAGAAAAGGTGACTAGATGCAGGTTAGCCAGAGCCAGCTTGGAGGATGTGCGACGTACGCTGAACAGCCATTATGCCGTTGACGAAGGGGAAGAAGCGGAGCAGGAGGTACAGGAAGGTGCCCCACGAATATGGCGGTGCCCAGACATGATTGACTTGGTCAGGGAACGTGTCAATCGTGTCATACACCAGGACTGTGAGGTTGGCGAGGAGGACGCAGCTGAGCCCGTCCATAGGGGCATGAAGGGGACTGCAGGGCGTGCCAGGGCGCCAAGGCCAATCCTTAAATCTCCATGATGCCCTTCAATCACCCACCGTGTTGATGCATCACGATCGGCCGTTTCAGTCCTTCGGGCCTCGAGGTCATGGCCGACCTGAGGACGGAGCAAGTGAGGAACGCGCGACTCGGGGACGACAATAGCAAGTGTATCCTGGCGTCCATGATGGTAGAAATCAAGGCGCTACTAGCTTCACCTGCGCCACGTTGTGTGTTCTGCGAGAGGACAAACATTCGACAATAGACGCGTCGCGTAAACACTGACTTCATTCCCGGCCGTTTCAATTATGCGATTGGTTCACGATCGGTAGGCGCCAAGGACGCAACCAGCGCCTAACTTGCCTCTAACCTCCTCTAACCCTGCTCCTCCAAGGTTACCCCTGCGTCCGCTGATAGCATGCCACTTCGATGCACCGCGATCTGCCACTCGTCAAGATCCGAGCACCTCGAAGCCGTGCAATCCCCATATGCCAACAACTTCTGAGATCTGACCCCTGGTACAAGAATGGCTCAGTAGCGGACGACCAGCCGTACTTCCGCACACAGGTTCGAGGGACACTCATAACAGTGCCAGCAGCACGAACGCGTGGTCTATACACAGGATCACCGCTTTGGTGGAGCGTAAGGCGAGCATCTCATTCGTAGCGATACACATTGGCGTATGGACAACAACAATTCGTATGTACTGAGCACTCCGTCTTATGCACCACAATACATCATTCCTCTCCCGCCTTCTTCAATATCAAGCCGGGCTCTATGGCAGGCTGTCGTGCGCGCCGCAGCTTCCTTCTACGTTCTCCGGATATACGCCATGTCTTGCGGCAGTCGTCGTTCGATACTCACGTCCTTCAGGAAACCAGGCTCTCCTGCGCAACATTTGTACTTGCTTGCTGATTACTCCGCGCGTCCATTCACCTTGCTCAGCGCCGCGTCCGCCCGTTCGAGGTCGCCTTCGCTGAGGCTGCGGAACGCGCCGCCGCCGGGTGTACTCGCGCCGCTCATGACGGAGCCGGACCGCGAGCGCACCTTCATGACGAGAGGGCTAAAAAGATCGTCAGTGATATGACGCGGTTGGTGCTGCAGGTGTAACTCACAAGGGGTACGAATCCTCTTCGTCCTCCATACTGGGCCAAGCCTGACCGCGATAGTCGCTGGTCGACAAACTCTGCATCTGTAGGAAGATGAGCATACCGCTCGATCGAGACTGAAGTATCGCCGTTACTGACCTCCTCCGTAAGCGTTCCAAGGTCACCGGGTGTCGCAGCGCCGCGCAGCCGCGGTGAAGCCGGAACGGAGAGCGTCGCTCGCTCGACGCTGAAGTAGTCGCCGACATCGTCGAAGGTGCCTTCATGGGTCCCGGGTCAGCTGTTGGCATCACAGGGGGGCCCGCCTTCACTCACCTTCACCCTCAGCGGAGTAAAACGCATCCGGATACGCGCGCCGAAGCGCCAGCATGCGGCTTTTCGAGTACTCAATGCCCAAGTTCTTCCAGTCCAGCAAAGGGGACAGGCGTTCAACGCGGTTGCGCTGATTGATACGCTGCCGCCGCGTCTTGTTGCAGAACGCGAACATGCAGTCGGTGAGCTGGTTGACCGAGTCCTCAACGGATTGCATTCGCCGGTCGACGATGTAGCAGCCCTAGAGGACCGTTCAATAAGGGATCCAGGAGACAATGGTTATAGTACGCACCTCGTCGGCGGGACGTTCGATGAGGTCCTGCATGAAGCAGCCGAAGCCACTCAGGTTCGTCGTGATTGAGGGAACACCCATGACCTATAAGACGAGTTTAGCTGCAGCGAGCATGTTTCCAAAAGCTTGCTCACCGTGCACTCTGCAGGCGTGTAGCCCCAGGGCTCGTAGTACGAGGGGAAGACACCAAGATGGCAGCCGCGCACAAATTCCTCGTAGTCGAGACCCAATATAGGGTTGTTCGCGTTTAAGAAGTCGGGATGGAATACGATCTGGAAGATCAACGTAGTCAGAGTTCTGTAGACTTGGCCCAAGTTCTGCTCCGCACCTTGACCCGATCACTAGCATTGTTAAACAACTGCACTCGCCTGGAAAAGCATGGTCAGCACCCTGCGCGCAATAAGCCAAACTCAAGCCTGAAGCTGAAGCACACAGCCCTCGACTTCGTCGGCATGTTCATCATCGCCGTCCTGCGTCGACATGTTCATCGTTCATCTCACCGAATCTGGTTTAGGATGGGGTCGTTCGCGTCGTCCGCCATGTTGTGCGTCGTTATCGGCGGGAGCGAGTTGCGCTTCAGCGCGAAGATGCGGCGCTTCAGGAGCACCATGTCTTCATCGGAGAGAAGACTCTCGGTTGGGATCGGCGCGTTGGAGGCCATGTTGGTGCCGCTGGGGAAGGGAGAGTCAGTCAAAGCAAGGCAGCTTCCCCAAAGATTGACACATACCCATGGAATCGGCTGGCGTGGTCGAAAAGTCGCTGACCGACACGGGACTCGATTTCGCGGACGGTGTCGCGCAATTGCTTCGTGACGGCTTGACCCTAGCGAGAGTGAGTTTAAGCCATAATTTAACGGGAGAAAACGTACCTTGAGTGCTTCGATGGTGTACGAATTGGTGGCTGCGGGCATGATGATGAAGGCAACAACCGTTGTCTCAAGACTGGGGTAAGGAGCAAGTCCAAAGAACGAGTTTGATCCTTACCTTGCTTTGAGCCTTCTGCAGCTGGAAGTTGAGCCGCGCGAGGGACTCGATGAACATGTCGACGCCCTGGTTCGTGCTGAGTGGGAAAAACGAGGCAAGGTGAACGACAAGATACCTTGTTCCTATATTCGTAGCGACCGGCAGTGAAGAACTGTTTGGATCGTCAAATACCGTGGACGGAAGCGACTTGCGTGAGGGCTTACATAGAGAGTATTGTCCAAGTCGAAATCAAGGTGGCCGTAGAAATGCCCGCGAACGAATTCGTTGATCTTCTCCTTGCTAGAAAGACATCAGGGAAAGGCATCGACTGCACTGGGGTGGTACTTACGAAGTCGAGTGCAAGTTCTGGAACTCATGCATCGCCTGGAATTTCTTGACATTCAGGCCGTTAGGAACGACGCCATCAGGTTTCCGCTTGAGTAAATGCTCTGCTTCGTAGGCCGTTATGTGGGAGACGGTGGTGAACACATCCGCGCAGTGTGCGGCGGAGCGTTCAATGCAGTATCTAAGATGTATGAGTGATGCGTCGAGCGCGTAGTTAGAGCGTATCGCACCTGTGATAGATGCCGCGCTTCCCAGCTTCGTGGTCGACATCGAAGTACTGCAGATTATTATAGAAGTCGACGGACCCGGCGCAGAGGTAACGACCGAGGAGTGTCGCATGGGTGGTGAACACGGTGGTAAGATCAAGGTGACGCTTCCGGCAAAGCGGGATGGCGAGCCCTGCCTGCCATTCGTGAAAGGCAGCGATCACCGCGTTGTCCGTCTCGCGCGCGACGAATTCGCCAAGGAACCAGGCGACGAGGTAGCCGAAGACGATCGTCTCGTTCGTCTCATGGTCGGAGGGAGGGGTGGGGATGCCGGCGAGGTTCCAAAGGTCGGCCTTCCACTCGTCGAGGCGGTGATACATGGAGCCGGTATCGAAGAGGATGACCTTGGGCGAGCCCTCGATGAGCCATCGGCCGTAGAGGGACTTGACGCCTTGGGCGCGCATAGAGTCGAGAGTGTCCTTGACCGCTGGCGGGACCTCCTCCTTCGGGACGGAGCCTTCCGGGACCGGGTACACGGCTTCGACCTCCATCGGCGCGCTCTTGTACGAGAGGGGACCCATCAGGGTATAGCGATCGCCATACTCGGCGACTGTGACGGGTACCTGTACTCGGTCAGTACGGGGAAGTACGACAATATCGCCTACATCGATACCGACGCGTCGAGCGCAGCGTCTCGGGCGAATACGCGCGTCCCGGGCGAAGATCGAGCACGACTGACCTTGGTTTTGATGACAGTGTAGATGCCGCCGACTTTGTTAGCGACCTCCCACGCAGACTCGAAGAGCAGGGGGTTGGAGACATTGCGCATTCCCGTGCTCGCCATTGTGGTCGTGCCCGTCGTCGGCGGTGTCGAGCTCGAGGTTTGGAATGGGAGTGATCAACGTCCCCGCGTCGAAGCTTTGAGCCCGCGGGGGCGTGACGTCACGCACCAGGAACCCCGCATTCTGATCATGACGTCGGGGCGTCCAAGCCAGGCCTCGACCGCGACTTGACCTCCTCCAGAGCGACACCGCACTCGTCGCCGACAGGCTCGCGACCACCAAGGTCCGTGTCGACCTCCCCAAGCCTCCTTCGACACGGAACATATCTTAAGAGCACATCTCGTTCTCGTCTAGCCAATACCAGGCAAGCCGTGGATGGGCGATAACGTCCTCCTCTGCGAACATCTTCGGCGGCTGATTCGCATCTGCATGGGATCCTCCGCTATACCAATACAAGGCTCCACATCCTGGTCAGCCCTACTCACGCGCTACGTACTGGGAAGGAGCTACAGAGGGTCGTCTGAGGCCAAATCCGACCTGAGCACTCGGTGAGCCCCTCCAAGACTATCATGTGAGCATTTCCAGCACATTCAACTCTGAACATGGTCCCTGTCGCGCCACCGCAGGAGTCCGAGCCCTCTACGGTAGAAGACGCCGCGATTCCAAGCAGTAGCTTGACAGCAAACGTGCGATGTTCGATTCGTCCGGTGTAATGCCCCTCCCTCGGACGGAAGCACTTGAAGGCATAATCAACTTTGTACCACTGCTTTCGTCTCATCGTTGAGAAGCCTAGTCGATACCCTCGTCCAGACCCTTTGGTGTGCGAGCGCTTCGAGAACACAGCAGCTCAAAGCGACACCGGGAGTTGTCTAACTCCCATTCACGAATGAAGAGTGCTGTCCAGATATCGCATGTGGATCACGTCTGTGTCCTTGTCCCCGTAAAAGTGTTTCTTCGAGCAGTTGACAAGAGTCCGTTGCACTAGCTAGTGAAGTCTGTATACAGGGGTAAGTGTGGCGCGACCAAGAGCAGCGAGGGTGGAATTGGATGGTGCATCTTTTTATTGCAACGCTTGCTATACTGGTTTTTTTGCTCGCGAACGCCTTAGGGGACCCCCCGAGCTTGCGAGGGAGGGGAGAGGCGGAGCGAGCAATGTGCTATCACGTGAGTCAAGGAGGGGCCCGTTCACGGGCCAAACGGTAGTTTCGCCTCGTCATCGCTGTTTTCGCTCCGCTGTCCGCGCATTTCTTCGAATTTCGCCATGGTCAAAGCATGAGTTCGGGTTAGCCTGGACGCCAGGCCCAAACCGCGACGTCAAAGTTCCTACGGGAAGAGCAAGACGTCACGGAGGGCCTGGTAAACTTCCCGACGTTTACTTAGGAGGGTAGCTTATGATCGAAAACCTTGTTTTCACGTGGAGGAAAATTCCCTAATGGAGTTCATGATTTTGTGGCGCTAAGTGCAGACCGTCAGGCGCTTGTCAGGAACTTCCGTTTGTATCTGCCGCGCGCTGCCACTGTTCGAGCCCATGGCTTCTGAGGGGAGTCGATGGCTCTCTCAGCGCCAGGGAATGGGCCGATTTCGCCTGCCTCCAGTTCCCCCGGTCCCTCTTCCTGCACTGGTCCCCCAAGTTCCCCAAGCTCCAGACATACAACCAGCGCTTCTAATATCTGAGCTCGAATCAGGTGGAACTCAGTACTTTGGCTCGGAGATACCTCCCGTACCTCCACCGGAAGCGCCCAAGCCACCAGTCCAGGACCCGGGGATGCCTCGTGGCGGCGCTTACCTCGAAGGCGCCGATCCTCTCAGCCCACCACGCTATTTCGGTGCGCCGATCCCGAGCATTCGTGCGAGCGAACCAGAGCCGCCAGCAGCGGAGACGCCACCACCCGTGGATGACTGGGTTCCTCGGGACAGAAAGCCGAAGCGGTCCATTGACGACGTAGTCGGAGATGTACTGAGACTACTCAGCAATGAAAATATTTCCTTCGCCACTCTAGTCCTGACTGTCCTCACGAACACGCGCGCTGACTACGAGCCGCGGCGGTCCCAGTTCTATGCCAAAAAAGAAGGGAACGTAGGGCAACTGCTCGACGCGCTTGAGCTTGACTCGCGCGGGAAGGCGGCAATAGCTGTTTGGTTCAGAGTGCGCGCGCTCGACCTTGTCTGCCAGGACGTATACAAGGAGATGGAGAAGGGAAAGTCCAAGCTGCACATGCAGATCAAGGACGTTACGTCGGATTTCCTCGAGACCTGGGATCTGAAGCGCGCTGTCGAGTCAGCACCCGCGCCGACTTTGATGAAGGTGCTGGAAGCGGCGTCCGAGAATCGAGTAGCGCGAGCGGTGAACACGAATCGCTCGCCACTCTATGTGAGCCCAAGTCTCGGTGACGCTTACATTGACGCTGACCCTGGTACAGGTCCAGCGAATCGTTTTTCTAATGCTTCATCATGCGCGCTCGCAGGCTTCGTCCATGCTCCAAAACTATCTCGGTGTCTACTTCTGGTCCGAGGGATGCCCACGGCGTCTCATCGAGTTCCTCAGCCGGATTAGCTTGGCGCCCTCGTATACTTCGACCCTCAAGATCGTTGAGTCGCTTTCGGCTGGCAGCACTGAGCGTGCTAGGGCTGCGGTCAGACGCGTGCCACATGCCTTTGCGTACGACAACTTCAATGTATCGATGTCTGAACATGTCGAGCAGCGCCCGGACGCTCCATCGAAGGTCCAGTCCGGTACCTTTGGGCTTATCTACGAGATACACACCGCACGCTGGAGCGACGTGCGCCTTCAGCCGATGATGCAAAATCTCAAGACTTCGACAGATCTCACGATGCAGGAAATCTCGCCGTCGGTCTCCCAACTGAAGTGCTATATGCACCAGTGCCAAGTCCACGTCGTACGCGCACTTACGGACTTTGTTGCCGCGTTCTCATCCTATGCGACCGCCCCCGTGCTCCAGCATATTGCGCGACATCCCCTGCCCGCAAAACCGACCGCTGTTTCTCACTCTCTCGGTATTCACACTATCGCCGAGAGTAGCATAGAGGGAAACATGGTTTATCAAGAGGAGGTGTACATCCGACAGCTCCAATTCGACGACGGCGAAGCTTCCGCGCTTAACGAACACGCCATACCATTGATCGCTGATCTGCATACCCTTCGATGCACTCGTAGTGGTCAGCGGCGACGACCCGGTGATATCACTGCGTGGACGCGACGCGAGATATTCCAGCTGGGCCCTGGCCTTTTCCATCTGCTCATGAACCTCATCTGGGCGGTCCTTAATACACATCGCGCAACTGTCTCGTCAACTGGAAGCTTGACTTGGTTTTTCAACGTACTCGACAAGCGCCGCCTCGGGCGCGAGAAACCTGACTTTCATACCCTCCTTGTCTCGCTCCAGCAGATCTTGAACGCCATCTTACTTCATGCCTGGCGACTCGAATGCGGCGACCTGGACGAGTTCGCGCAGTCTCAACCCTCCCCAGACCGTTTGCTAGAGATAGCGGCTGCCATCCTTCGCAAGTATGCTACGCCTCGGTTTGCGATAGACGAGTCACTGTGCGCCGTTCCGTGGGATCCGGTGAATAGGAACCTTCGCCTTCTCATGCGCGACCTGTTTTATGTGGTGGAACTGGCGCGAGCGATTGCCGATGGAGACATTGGCAGGGTCGAGGATATCTTTCCTGGCCTCGCCCGTATTTTCCGCGGCGCAGGCTACAACAACTACTCGACGGAGATCCTATATTTCCTACACAACGTCCGCAAAGTGTGGACTCCGAGATTTGCGTGAGTGACAGAGTCCTATTCAGCGATATGATGCTGACCTTCGACAGCGATGTCATGCGAGCACAGATGATCACCAACGTCTCCGGGTTGCCGCACCATTTCATGGGTACGGACATGAACATCGAGCATTTGATTGGATATATCAAGGTCGGTAGTCGAGTGTCTGTATGAACGGTAATTTACTGGTTTTCTAGCACCACTATACCGCCAATGGCGTGCACGCGCAGTGGGATCGCTTGGGGCATATTGCCTCTAGCATAAATGATCTTATGCGCGTCAAGAAGCACTTGAACAAGCAGTTCGGACTTTCGTACAAAAGCATCGACCATAAGGACGCTGACACTACAGAACTTGTCTTGAAGGCACTGCAGCATGTCGCAGATGCGCATCTCTTGGAGGTCGATGAGCGTCGGGTGGACAATGACAGCGCGAAGTTGACAAAGGATTTGTTCGCAGTGGGCGATATGAAAATCGCGTCGTCATCACTATCGACATTCAACAAAAAGATGAGAGCGTTCATCGAGGGCACTGGGACAGGGATTGTCGACGAAGCGGACGAGATGGAGCAGCCTCAGTTCAGCGCGACAGTGGAGGTTGCCGACGTTGAATAGGCACCTGACTTGTACTCCTTCCCGTGCTGTTGACGGTTTACTTGTACTCATTCTCCGCGCGATTTGGTTTATTAGAGAACCGCCTACAAGGTCCGCAAGCGCTAACTATCTACGTAAGTGACCCAATTGACTGTCCGAGAGGCCTGCTGCAAGTTCCGCGTCGCTAGAGCACTTCTTTTGGCTGCTTCTTCATTGAGGAAAGCAGCCATCGTGTCGTCGTCGACATCACTATCCTCGATAGTCTCCGCGGACAAGACCTTCCGCTTCTTTGGGTTATTCACCCTTTCCTCGTTCTCCTTCTCCTCCCACTCCTTCCTTATCGCCTCATCTGCGCATTCCACCATCTCGAGCACTTGTATGCCCCACTCCGCCTCCCACTCCCTGTCCCTTCGTAGCAGTGTCGACACGTCGGAGGCGGTCACAATGGTTCCAACACGTGTCTTGCTGAGCAGCGTGATATCCTGGGCACGAAGGATATACTCCGGCGCGCGTACAAGCTGCAGATCGTCCTGTTCGTGCCACTCTGAGAGCGAGATCTCGAGCGCCATCTTGAGGAACTGGACGCTGACAGGCGGACGCGCAGAGCCTGGAAGTTCGCGCGGGCGCTTCGTCGTTGGAGGGGGCGGAGGCGGCTCAACGAAAGGTGCCGACGGCAGGTAGTTCTCGAGTGCGAAGTCATGGCAGTTGTCGCAGCAGTGGTCGCCGGTGTAGACAAGCGCTACAAGCACACGTTAGTAGGCATGCGCACGCAGTATGCAATACGAACCTTCTGCAGTCTCGTCACCGAGATATTCCGCAAAGAACCGACGGCGACAGCTCGTGCTCTGCACGAAAGCTGCATAGGAGCGACTCGTGCGTTCCTTGGCGGTGGTTTTTCCGGTCAGGTTTAAGACCCCCGGGCGATCGAGATCCTCTACGTCGCCCGGATACTTCGTAATATCTATATCCTCCACCCATGACTCGTAGAAAAATATAACAAATCCAGTCTTGTCTTCCCGGCGCATAGTCCTCCCCCCAGACTGAGCTAGTTCAGCTGCGGAGGAGCGATCGCCAGAGACACAGGTGACATCTACATCCGGGTGATCCACACCCTGATACGTATACCTCGAGTCAATACAAAGTGTGGTGAAGTCCTCGAAAGAGCTTATCGCTCACGCACCGTTCCTTCGGTAGATGTCGAGACCAAGATACGGCACGTTCCGCCTTCTGCGACAAATGCCGCATGCGTGTGCGCCTGATATTGAGGCGACATGTCGCTGTGCTGGTGGCGCACAATCTTCAGATGGCGATGGGACTCGGGAACCTTCGAGTTTAGAAAGCTAGCAATCTCGACGGTCCTGTTCATGTTCTCGACAAATATCAAGACGCGTGGTTGCAATTTCAGGTCGAAAGGTTGAGTGAGAAAGCAGAGGTAGTTGTCCAAGCGATCCAGACTGCCGACAACTTGGTGGCAAGCATAGGTGAGGTTCGGGCGATTGAGGGAGACCTGAATGGTAACATAGGATGGGCGGAGAACGGAGTGAGCAATCGTCTTAAGCATGAACGGTGGCGCAGTCGCCGTGAGAGCCAGCCAAGGCACGTGAGAGCCGAGAAGCGCCTTGATATCGTCGAGGTGACCGTAAGCGATCCGAAAAGCTTTCTCGCCATATCGAGCGAACCCAGTAGTGTGGATGCAGTGCGCTTCGTCGACGACCATAAACCGAATGCGCGACCGGAAGAAGGAGTCGCGGATGAGCTCTCCGAGCTTTGAATAGCGACCTTCGGCGGTCTTGCGTAGCTGCTCTGGTGTCGTTATTATTACCTGAACATCTCCTGGGGTTTTCCGAGCTGCGTCGTGGACATGGCGCTTCAAAGAGATCAGTGAAAGTAGTAGTATGTTCAGACCTACCGTACCTGCCAGAATTCCTTGTCGCGCGGGGTTTCCTCGTTGACGACCACCACCTTGAGTCCGAACTTCTCCCTGATCGCTCGCGCCTAGGGCCATACGTCTTGAATTAGATACAGCAACTCAAGGAAGACCGTGACGACACGTACATGCGATGCTTGTATACGCTTCATGGGCACAATCATGATGATCAGACCATTTCGGTCCATAACGTAGGCAGGAAGAATCGATGCCAGCGTCTTTCCGGTCCCGGTTCCGGCATAGAGGAAGGTGTCTTTGCCGGCGAGAAGCGAGAGCGCAGTATCCAGTTGGATAGGACGAGGGCAGTGGGTCCGGAGTGTTGTATGATAGCACATTATGCATAGACGAAGCGCAGTATGTAGCCGCTGCGTTGACATTATCGCCTGCAGGTACACTTGTGGTAGGAATGCTGGGTCGACAGTTGCCGTCGCGTAGGCAGAGAGTACATCGGTAGTCTGAGATTCGAGCCATTGATCTAGCGAGATTGGAAAGTTCATGAAGCGACCGATGGGACTTCAGGTTTTGAAGCATCCGGCATCCCGCGAGCAGGGGAGAGGAGGAAACAGTTCTCGCGGATCGCGTCAAGTCACTGTTGGGTCACACAACGCGCCAGCGCGCGGCTCACGTGAGGGAACATCTCCAAAAGGGAATTTGATAGCCGGCGGCAAGTGGATTTTCGATCATAAGCTACCCTCACGCCAAACGGATGCGGGATTTTACCGGTCCCTCCATGACGTCTAGGCTTCTGCCGCTGTCAACTTTGGAGGGAACGGGATTCCGGTCTAAGTTCGGGTCTGCTCTACGCTGGCTAGCGTCCTGCGAAGTTTCGTCCCGAGTGCTCGACTTCTTGGATCTGGCCCTCAAAGCCGCCGTTTCGCGTTCGAATCTCGGTCTTTCGCTCCGCTTGAAAGCCAGGCCCCTTCCTTCCGCCCATCACCACCCTCTTCTCGATTTTGAGCGACATACGTCGGCCAGCTCTCATGTAACATCGCTCGTGCACCTTCGCGCCAGGTTACGCCTGGCCCTTGGGCAGCGGGTACAATGACGTCACATTATTCACGGCACGTTCTTTCGGCATTTGCCGCTGCACATTGCTCGACCTACGGAGTAGGTTTCCTAGCGAGCACCCTGCGGTCTTGCCGCACGCCTATGTTACAGTTTCTGTTTCACGATTGCATACCCTGCCGCAGCTAGGAGGCGGTAGCCTATGCACACACGACATCTACCTTCGGCAATGACTAGAGAGGTCATTGCGATAGAAGCTTCCAAAGAAGTCGAACTGCCTGACGGCAACTTCCGCGCGCTAGCGACCGCCAAGCTTTTGCCAAACAAAAAACCACACGAGAAGGCATTTTCCATCTGGCACCGCGGTTGACCGTCGCGCTCGTCGTCGTCGCGTCGTCTTGTTCATTTCACTTCTTCCCCTCCTCCGTCCATCGTTCAGCCAAAATGTCTGCTGCACCTGTGCCCACGGGAGATGGCATCGGTATTGCTAACCTGCCTAACCAGGTGCGTGCACACGCATCACCGTCTACGCGTCCTGCTCACTCATTCGCGCGCGCAGAGGCACAAAATCGTAGCCAAGCGCGGCGCGCATTTCACCATCATGGTCGTCGGCGAGTCCGGCCTGGGAAAGACCACGCTCATCAACACGCTCTTCTCGACCGAGCTCTCCCCGCCCAAGTCGTACAACAAGCGGCACACCAAGCTGCTCGACAAGCTCACCGAGGTCGAGATCATCAAGGCCGAGCTCGAGGAGAAGGCCTTCAAGGTCAAGCTCACTGTCATCGACACGCCGGGCTTTGGCGACTATGTGAACAACCGGGACAGCTGGAACCCCATTGTCGACTTCATTGACGACCAGCACGAAGCGTACATGCGCCAGGAGCAGCAGCCCCAGCGGCACGAGAAGACCGACTTGCGCGTCCACGCGTGCTTGTACTTCATCCGCCCGACGGGTCATACGTGAGTCGCGGCGCGCAGCCGAGGAGAAAACGCGCTAACGGCGGCTTTTAGTCTGAAGCCTCTCGACATCGAGATCATGAAGCGTCTGGGTACCCGTGTCAACCTGATTCCCGTGATTGCGAAGGCGGATACGTTGACCCAGAACGACCTCTTCGCGTTCAAGCAGAGGGTACGTCGTTTAGTTGACGTATCTCTTTGCCCGACTGACGGCGCACCTGCAGATTCGTGAAGTCATTGCCGCCCAGGGTATCCGCATCTACACGCCTCCCGTCGACCCTTCAGCGGAGGAAGAGGCTGAACATGCGAAGATGCTCATTGAGGCCATTCCTTTCAGCATCATTGGTAGCACCGAGGATGTGAAGACTCCGGATGGCCGTATCACGAAGGGTCGTGAGTACATGTGGGGTGTTGCTGAAGGTATGTCCTGTCGCCCGAAGCCAGAGTTTGCGTCCTCATTCCTCCCTCAGTCGAGAATGAGAACCACTGCGACTTCAAGAAGCTCCGCCAGCTTTTGATCCGCACCCACATGTTGGACCTCATCTCCACGACGGAGGAGAACCACTACGAGAACTACCGCCAGCAGCAGATGGAGACGCGCAAGTTCGGCGAGCCCAAGGTCAAGAAGCTCGACAACCCGAAGTTCCGCGAGGAGGAAGAGCAGCTGCGCAAGAAGTTCACCGACCAGGTCAAGGCCGAGGAGGCGCGCTTCCGCCAATGGGAGCAGCATGTGAGTCGTGGTTGTGGATGGCGTGCTGTGGAGGGAACTGACGCATTGTCCAGCTCATTGCCGAGCGCGACCGCCTCAACAAGGACCTGGAGATGGCGCACAGCGCGATCAAGCAGCTCGAGGTCGAGCTGGACAATCTCGGGGCTGGAGGGTACGGTACCGGCTCCCGCGGCGCCAGGCGGTAAACGCGTGCAGCGCATCAATTGGGATTGCGCTTCTTGTCGACTTCGTACTACGTCTGCCTGTCTGTTCTCCGACCGTTCTTATACCCATTCACTTCCGTTGGCCTGATTCTTGTTTGCGGAACGTTCGCTCATCTACGTCAAACCATGCGGGCATTCTCAGGAGACTTCTTTCGTCCGTTCTCTATCTCTTACGACTACGCTCCTTTGTCTGTTGTTCTAATTCTATATAATAGATTGTGGTATTGGGAGGCCCATTGATGGATTGTGCTATGCATCCTTGAATCGCTTGCCTGATTGGAATGGTCACTGAGGTCGAGCAAAGCTCGCCACCTTCAGGAAGGATGTCGAAGGCGACAAACGCGTTCATCGGTGACGTCAGGCATGGTGCGCGTCGAGTACTTATGTCGACGCGTCGATGCTGAGTGGGTCCCCCACTATAGCTTGCTTTCGTCTTACCTCCGTACAGAGAATACTCGAGTTAAACCATGTCTTCAATCGTTGCCCCCGTTGCACACGCCGCGCATAGCGCTGTTGCATCGCTATTCGCTGCAGCGCAGATCAAGCCTGGCCAAGAGCTGCCGAAGCCGGGCAAGGGCGCGAAGGTGCGTAGCTGGCAGGGACTCGACATGTAAATGGTTGACGAGTATGTGCGCCTGTAGGTCAAGGCGTCGGGATCTGCGGACCCCGGCACGGCCTTTGAACTCGGGCCCTTCGAGGGAAAGCGAGTGGTCATTGTGGGTGCTGTTGACTTGCTATGCGCAATGAATAGCTGATTTGGTGTATAGGTTGGAGTACCAGGCGCATGGACGTGAGTGGAAGCCCCTGTTTCTCATATTAACCTCCACGATTCAGAACATTGGGATATGCACATAAAGGACCGGTGATGCTGACGAGGTTCCTCTAGCGGAACATGCCATGCCCAGGTCCCCGGCTACATTGAGAACTTCGAGCGCTTCAAGGAGAAGGGCGTCGACGAGATCTACATCGTTGCAGTCAATGATGCATTCACTGTAAAGTGAGTCGATTTCCTTGTGCATATAAGAATATATCAAAGCATCTGGCAGGGCTTGGGAGGACAACCTCAAAGGCGGCAAGCCGTCTCGTCAGAAACCATCATCTTCCTGCTGAGAATCGCTTGCCTGACTTGCTTCACAGCCGTCAAATTCATTGCGGACGATCAGGGCTTGTGGACGGCTTCAGTCGGCCTGCTCTTCGACGCGACACCGTTGCTCGGCGGGCCTCGTAGCAAGGTGGGTTATGAGGACCATTTTATTCCCAGACTTGCAGAGCAGAACAACGTTGCTGACCTTTTCCAGCGCTACGTGATTATCACCACCAAGGAGGGCACCGTCGAGTCGGTCATCGTCGAGCAGAACCCTGGCGAGTTGACGATCACCGATGCGAAGACGGTGTTGGCGAACCTATCGTGAAGTGTGAAGCAAATTGAAACTGAGAAGGAGATTATAACATTGTACTTGTAGCCAGGAGGGTGTCAGTCTGATAGGACCTCATGCGTACACATCTTGCGCGCTGTACACATGTTTCGTCAGACAACAGTCAGGCAATGAAGTGGGGTGCGTCTGAATGCCATAGTGCGATACCGCAAGGAACATGCCGCCAGCCGTAGTATGATAATTCAAACCAACTTTGAGTTGACGTGAGCACCGCTCTTCAACTCCTCCCGCAGGATCTCCTCGCCGAGCGCGCGAATTTGCTCCTTGGATGTTTGCTGCTTGCTCCTTTCCAGCGCCTCCAGAGACTGCTCCGCAACACTCTTTGTCGAGCCCTCCGGGTGTAGAGGTAGCCTGTCCCACATAGTGACGCGCATGCCGACACCACCCATAGCGTGCTTCCGGAGGTACGCCGCCCAACGTCTCACAACCTCGCCATCCGCATCCCATGCCTTGATCACCCGCTTGTGCGTCTTCCGCTCGAAGTTCTCCTGACTCTTCTTGTGCACGAATGGACTCTTGATCACCGTCCACATGCTTCGCTGCGTCGGGAGGCGCGCGGGACGTGAGCACGGAATGCCCAGGCTGTACGCTGCGTGCGTGGCGAAGTGGGTGAAGAGCTCGAGCGATTCAGGGTTGTGGCCGGCGAACTGGATGGACGCGACTGGGACGCGGTACGGCCGAGGATGGAAGAAGGGCTGCTGTACGGAGCGACCAGGGACATGCGCCGCGGCGTATTCGAGCTCGGTGAAGGGACTGCGCCAGAAGTGGCGAGTTACGCGGACGGGGAGGCGAGATGGATCTTGGAACTCGACAGGGAGGGAGGAGGAGGGAGTGTAGGGAGCGCCGGGCGCACGGGTGGTGGTCTCGGGTGCGGCACTGGAGGCGAGTACATGTGTAAGTAAGAGAGGAAGGGGGGAGTGTGATAGCAACGCACAAATCTGTCCGGCCGAACAATTCAAGCTCGTTGTTGCCCATTCGTTGAGGACCCTTGAGGTCGACGGGTCGAGGTACGGACGAGTCCGCCTCTCTGAGTGACATCAGTGGGCGTCCAGAGACGTGCAGGACTTACATACCGCAAAAGCTTGTCCACAGTGCCCTCGCTGTCCGAGTTCAGCTCATTGCAAAGTGAACAGGCAGCCAGGAACTCACATGTGGGCAGAGAACTCCTCATTAGCCTTGCGCATGTCGGCGATCTCTTCGTCGGCTATGAGGGGCTCTCCCTTGATGAGACCTTGCTGGTATCGTCTCATTATGCTGTGTTAAGGTTATAGGGTGGTCTATGACTGGCATTCCTGAGACGTACTCTTCAATGGAGACCTCATCCGGTTGCTGGTTTCTAGTCCGTACGTCAGGGAGGTACGTGAGGGAAGCTGGACCATACGCACGAGGGTTTGGCATACTGTCTCCGTATTACGGTAGCTACGCTACCCTTCAGGTGGGCGGCTGCGACCTGCGGGGCACGGCAGACGAGGGCACTGAGCATTGTCGACGCGACTGGAAAGCCGGATGCGGAAAAGTTTGGGCGGAGCGCGCTTGGGCAGGCGTGGGAAAGCGGCGGTCGACGCCGAGCGCGGGTCGCGGGCATCAGACGCAGCGCAGTGCACGCCTCAACGCGCTATCATCTCGATGAACATGGAAGGCTGGCACAAGATCCAGAGCAGCATTGGCTCCATCAACTTTGGCCAGGCGGGCAACAAGCTTGCGAAGGGCTTCAACTCGTCCGTGCAAGCGACCAGGGAGCGCCTCGGTCAGGTTGCTGCAGATGAGATCACTGAGCTGCCACAAGGTGAGCTTTCGCGGGCGGCTCTGTGGTTAGGGGGATGGTGCTGATCGACTGCAGAATACAAGGATCTTGAAGCCAGAGTGGACGCGCTTCGCGCCGCCCACCTCGCCGTCCTAAAGTACGCGTATCTATAGCGATAATCCCCATAACCAACCCACCTCCCGCGTAGGATCACCAAGGTGTACGAGGCCGAGACGTACGACTACCCGGTGCACATCCAAGAGTCGCTCACCGAGCTATCAACCTCCATTGGCTTCGGTATCCAGAACTTTGCTGCGACGAACCTGAAGGGCACAGTCAACGTTCCGCCACCGGTGACGCCTCCGCAGCATCAGCACAAGACACTGCCGCACGCCCTTGGGAGGGCGGCAACTACCGCGGCGACCACGCTTCAGGACGCTCCCGGTGGCACTGAAGACCGCCTCGCGAAGAGCCTCGGGCTGTATGCGGCCGGCTGGGACAAGATTGCGAGCGCAAGGCTTGAGCAGGATGCAGCTATCCAGCAGGGCTTCCTTCACCCGTGGCAGACGACTTTGAACACGTCGATTGCTGTTGCAATGAAGGCTCGCCAGGCAGTGAAGGCCAGCCGTCTCGAGCTCGATGCTGCGAAGCAGAGGTAGGTGACGCGTTCGGAGCGTAGATCGCGAGCTGATTGATGCCGATGACAGCCTGAAAAACGCGAACCCAGCACGACAGGAGCATGCTCGTCTAGAGGTCGAGAACGCGGAGGATGACCTGGTGCAGAAGACCGAGGTCGCTATCACACTCATGAAGACTGTCCTCGAGAACGTATGTATCGTCTCTTCTACGATCTATTGCCAGCCAAAGCTGACCCGTCAACCAGCCCGAACCCATCAAGAATATCAATGAACTCGTCAAGGCCCAGGTACGGACTTCTGAGACCAGTGTTCGTCAGCCTACTGACGTCTCGCTAGCTGACGTTCTTCGCATCTGCTGCGGAGGCGCTGAGCACGGTTCAGGGTGAGATTGAGGAGCTCACTGTCGCTGCCGAGGGCGAGTACAGGTGAGCAACTCGTGCCTGCGTTTGTGCTGTTCTTTCGGTTGGCTTGTTGTCTGTTTATCGCACCGAACGGGTTTCTAACGAATCCCGCAGGAAGACTCGCGACCAGTAAGTCTAACGACGACCAATTTTAAAGGAAGGACTGTCGAGTATTTGTTTTCAAAGTCGATGTACTGATGTGTACATTCTGTACATGTTTGTTCGTTGTTGCTGTATGCTGCCATCCGTGTATCCGTACTCTGAAGGTTTCCTCTAGTCTCCCGTAGGCAGACGTTCGAAGAAGCTTCGCAATGAGGGATCGAACGTCTGCTTTCAATTGACCCCATGACATCGTCTCAGCCCCATAGCAGTCACATGATGATTCCCACGGGCGAAGGTTGAACTGCCGCCCCGCCCTCTATCAGCCCTAGAGAGCTGTCCGGTCTCAGAATTTGCAGAATATCCTCCAGTATAGTCAGTGAAGCACTGCCTATGACTACAGGGTACAGAGAGACTCAAGTGCTGGCGTATCGTCTTGCCGCCACCTCAGCATAGGGGCGTGGGAGCTGGGAGCGCCGTCCCCATAGCTTGACTTTTATCCGATTTCCCGGACTGTCTGCACTAAATACCTGCTCTGAAATAAAATCAAGCGCTCGGACTTTTTTCATACCTCCGAGAAAGCAGAAGGATGCGGCGGCAGTCCAACCTTCGCCCGTGGGAAACATCATGTGACTGCTATGGGACTGAGACGATGTCGGAGGCGCGCGTGATTGCAGACTAGGTTTCCTCTATTTTTCTATACAAGTTGGATTGTGGACTTCTGGCGCAGTGGTGAAGTCATTGAACCCAGCTGGAGGTCGGTGTAAATGAAGGGGTTTGGGGTCATTCTTAACGACTTTCGTCGGTTCATTCATTCATCTTTGGAGAGCTGCGTCAAAGGGGCACGCGAGCACTCGGGTAGCTCAATGCAGCGAAAGTCGCGGAAAATCAGCTCGATTTGAACATGCCAATAAATACGCTCTCCGAGTAAGTACATGCACATTCGTGATGGGCATGATGAGGGTCCGACGTGGAAGGTGTACATCGGCATTATACGTTGTACTTCCTCCCTGTCTTGGTGAAGAACGTCTGAAGGACGTACACCTGGAAGCTAAAGAGAGAGTCAGCCCAGAGCACCATGACGATAAGTAACAGAGCAAAGTTGCGGCTAGTGCCAGGCAATGATATATGCTGAAGTGAAGAGACTTACATAGCCATTGCGACGATGCCCAAGCTCTCGAAGACGGCGTACCAGAAGAGCTTGCTGAGGAAGGCTAAGTACGCCAGGCGCAGGGAAGGGACGAGCAGACGACTGACTTTTGCGTGGACTCGACGATGGAGAAACCTCTGCGTTCGCGGGTGTGGAAGCTGAGGAGCAATTCAGTGTGCAGCGCAGAGCAAGAATGAGTTGTAAAGACAAGAGCCGGTACGTACTGCTTCTGTGTCCGCTTGATGTTCATTAGCATGCCGTTCAGCCGGAAGATGCTCTCCTCAAGTGGGCTGCTGTGCTCGCTGATTTGTCCGGGCTTTGCGGGGGCCTACAAGGATATGTCGCTGGAGAGGGGAAGGGAGATGCAAAGGATAGCATACCTCTTTCCGAGGCTCGCTTTCCACCATGATGTCGAAATCGATGAGCTTCTCGGTGAGTGTGCTCATGTCATTCTCGAAGCAGAAGGAGTATTCGCCTGAGATACTGCGTGAGACGCGCAAGGGGAAACAGGAGCCTGACGCACCGACAGTATTCGCGGTTAGCACGTAGTCACCCTGGCGCTCGCCCTTGCCACTCAGAAGAACCTATAGCTCGATCAGATGAGTAGAATATGCGCGAACTCCAGCACACACCTTTCCAGCCGGGTTCGTAACCTCGTAGTTGATGTCAAAGGATCCACCAGCTTGCACAGCAAAGTAGAAGCCAATCTTCTCCTTAGGCTTGTCCACGTCTGCATAGAAGCAGAGTCGCTCATTGGCGCTGATAGTCGTGGTGAACGCAGTCGCGCTGACTGTCGGAAGCAGAAGAAGCAGCATGCTGGCAAAACCGAGAAGAGAAGGGAGCGTCCGTGCCATTGTGTGAAAGTTCAGAATCCAGGAGACGAATACGAAGAGGGCAGAACCAGCCACGCAACTTGACCGACAACGGACTTGGAATGGGAAGGAGAGCTGGGGCGCGCGCACGTGTCCGAGGACGTGGCGGCGAGATCGGGCCGGAGTATGCCAGCAACGTGGAACGACTGCGCCGGGGAACGGGCTTCCTGCGGAGGCGCTCACCAGGCCCCAACCAAACATCGTCGCGTACTCTTCTGAGAAGGGCCGGCGTATTCCAATATGCAGCACTTTGGGAAGGGCGCTTTGCGCGTCGCAAAGAACTACACGAAGGGATACTCGGATGTTCAAGCGAAGGTGCGTCGTCTGATTTGCGTGCAGTAGGAAAGGGCGTTTGCTCAGTGAAATTCTATCAGGTCCGGGAAGCGACGTCGAACGACCCGTGAGTGTCCCCTCGTTCATGAGCATGATCATCATCCTAATACTCGTGCAGATGGGGCCCATCGGGCACGCAGATGAATGAGATTGCGCAAATGACCTACAACCAGTATGCGCCCAGTATTCCATGGGCTTACCGTCCCCCTTACCCAACAATGCTTCACAGGCAAGACTTCGTCGAGATCATGGAGATGTTGGACAAGCGCTTGAACGACAAGGGAAAGAATTGGCGCCATGTTTTCAAGGTGCGTTGCCATCGCATGCATTGCTGTCGTTGGGCCTCACTTGTCCTCACAGTCGCTCACCGTCATCGACTATTGCCTACATCAAGGGTCCGAGAACGTTGTCATCTACTTCAAGGACAACATGTACGTGATCAAGACACTCAAGGAGTTCCAGTACATCGACGAGGAAGGCAAGGATCAAGGCGCCAATGTCCGTCAAAAAGCGAAGGATATCACGAACCTGCTTTCGGACGAGGGTCGGCTACGTGAAGAGCGACGCGCCCGGGCGAGTATGCGCGACCGCATGCTGCGGGCTCCTGGCGGAGCCGACGACGACGAACCTGATGAGAACGACGTACGACGGGACCAACGGCGTCCGCGTCGGGAGGAGGATGAACTTCGGCATGCAATCGAGGAGAGCAAACGGAGTCTCGCTCAGGACCGCTTGAAGGCAGAGGAGCGCGAACTGCAGGAGGCGATTCGTCTCAGCAAGGAAGAGGAGGAAAAGCGGGCGAGGGCTGTTGACGATTCCAACGCACGCTCTTTGTTCGACGATACGCAGGACCAGTGAGTGTATAACCTTACAAAGCCAGTCGACGCTAAATTCTGGCTCTGCAGACCCAATAGCAATCCCTTCCCCAATATGCTCGATCCCGCACCGTACGCGACCGGCTTACAGCCCCAATTCACAGCTGCGCCTCAGTTCATCCAACCTCAATTCACCTCGTTCAATCCATATCAACAACAAATGGAGATGCAGCAGCAGCAGCTCCTCATGCAGCAGCAACAGCAGCAACAGCAACAGGAAGAGTGGATGCGCCAGCAGCAGCAGGAAGAGTGGATGAGGCAGCAAGCAATGCTTCAGCAGCAACAACAACAGCAGCAGCAGGAAGAGTGGTTGCGGCAGCAGATGCTACTGCAGCAGCAACAGCAAGCGCAACAGCAGCAGCCGTTCTTAATGGCGCAGCCGACTGGCATGGGGTGAGTTGACGCGCGTCAATCGTGCCAAACTCGCAAGCTGATAAGGTCCACAGGTCAAACAATCCTTTCGCGCCATCGCCTTCAGCGCAGTCGCCGCCGCCAAGTAACACGCTTTCCCCGCCTTCGTTTAACTTGCAGGGCACGTACGACAACAATTCTCAGCCGCCGTCGTTCGGTGGTATGAGCCCGTCTCCTGGTCCGTCACCGTCGCCGCAGCCCGGGGGGCAGGGCATCAAGGTGAAGACGCGCGAGAACGAGAACGAGCGCCTGGCGAACCTGTTTGCGAATCGCGATGACGGGCAGGATACTTTCGGCAATGTTGGCGCATTGAGGCATGTGCCATTCTTCGTTATAGGCTCGAGGGTAGCTGACGCCGTTATTAGGTACGGAAATGCGGCGGGTCGGAACATTCTAGCGCAGCAGACGGGCGCATCGCACAACCCGTTCGCGATGCAACAGCAGCAGCAGCAACAGCAGCAGGCGGAGCAACCTTTCTTTAGCGTATGACGCGTCAGTTCGCGCTGTCCTCGCGCTGCCTGTGCTTGCACGATGACCGTATCTGGATCCTAATATACCGTCCATAATTTCCCTGTAAACGGAACGTATACCAACGCGGACTTGTCTTGATCTAAACAATGGCTCGCAAATGGCGCGCGTTGCTTGGAATTTATCGCCATGTTCATGGCTTCGTCAGTATCTAACATAAACATTGCGATAATGCGGTCTGCATCATGAGGAGGTAACTGCAGATGCCCCCAGGCAGACGCGTCAAGCCTTCCTTGGGGCGCGACTCCTGGCATGACAGAACGCGACATCAACATGACATCACGTGGAGCTGACTAATAAACACGCGACGGGTAATGGACCTGTTGAGGAAATCCCGCCGTCCTCCGTTCAACCACTCTTCGTTGCCCCTTGTTGCCTCCGATGGATAGTCGCGCGCTTCAAGTTGGCGGGCGGTACAGCCTACAAGAGGAGATTGCTATGGGCGGATGTGGTGCGTCATTCTGCATCCTCTCACCAGTTCGTGGCAATTGACGCGCGCTTGTCAGGGACTGTGTTCTTGGGAGTCCATACCGTCGCTGGCAAGGAGGTAGCGATCAAGCTGGAGCCAGCAGTCGCCAAGCACTCGCCCCTCAAGCAGGAGAGCAAGATTTACAAGACACTCATGGGCGGTCCTGGCGTTCCGTGGATCATGTACTCGGGCAAGCAAGGCGACTACAACGTCCTCGTCATAGACCTCCTCGGCCCATCTCTAGAAGACCTCTTCAAGATGTGCAACCGGCACTTCAGCCTGAAGACCGTCTTGTTACTCACCGATCAGCTGGTGAGTGGCTCGCCTTTAAAGCGTGAAACTGACTGATGCCGTCTTCGGCAGCTCTCGCGCATAGAGTTCATACACTCTCACCATTTCGTCCACCGCGACGTCAAGCCCGCGAATTTTGTGATGGGTACTGGGAAGGCATCGCACCTTGTCAATGTGCGTGTTGTATCTTTCGCACCGCGTCGGTCCCTAACAGAAAATTAGGTCATCGATTTCGGTCTCGCGAAGAAATACCGCGATCCAAGGACGTGCGCGCACATACCATACAAGCAAGACGACGTGCATGGCGTTGGCACCTCCCTTTTCGCGGCTATCAATACACACTTTGGCGTCGGTGCGTGCCATGCGGCTTCGATCATCCCCTTCCGCTAAGTAACGCAATACAGAGGCATCGCGGCGTGACGACCTTGAGTCCCTCGCGTACATGCTCATCTACTTCCTTCGCGGCAGCCTTCCGTGGCGCAAAATCCGACCACCACCTGAAGCACCTCCTGGCCATCCCGACCCCTCCCATTACGATCCCGTCACGGCGACATGGAACGCGACACGCGACGCCAAACTAGCAGCCGAACCCCTCCTCACCGCTGGCCTACCGCCAGAGTTTGACGTGTTATTCCGCTACGCCCGTGGCTTGGAGTTTGACGACTTGCCGGATTACGCGGGCTTGCGTTCGCTCTTCCGTGGGCTCGCTTCTCGAGCGGGAATCGAGTATGACGGGGTGTTTGACTGGACTGTACCCGGTCCAAGGGGGCAGCATTCACGACGGAGTGCGACCATAGCCGGAGGGCATGCTGGGACTAGCGGCGGCGCACGTATCTGCGCAGCGTGCGATGCACGAAGGCGGTAGTGCTGGCATAGGTGTTGAGGATGAGATATTTAATACCCTGCGTGCGCGTCTTTTCCTTGTGCATGTACCAACACAGCTGACATCTATGCAGGTTGTCTTCGTTTGCATCGCCTTCTTAGGTTGCATGCTTAGCGCTGCTAACGACACTCGCTCGCACAGGCATGGTTTGCATGCTGGAGTTTGCGACATGACCTGTATGCCACGTACTTCTACGCGAGTCTTCCGAGGGCACGCCCGGTGGAGATGGGCTCAGTAGGCATGGACAGGCTGATCTCGTAGTGGTGATAGCGATTGGTGTTGTGGGCAAGTGATGACGTACTTACTATTCGTCAGTCTTGCTACTGATCAAGTTGTAAGGTGTACTGATGTCCAGTTTCTAGATATGTATATTGTATCATATTCAGAATATCTCACACTCTATTTGGATGCACTAGCATGATGGACCCATGTTTTGACTGAGTGCTGACAGGGTTGCTGTGAGCCACAGTGCACCTGAGGTTCCCATCCTTGCTGCCTGATACATAGTGTATGTACTGATGAACGACTGCCCGGTTACCCTATTGGTTACCCCCCAGACAATGGTGGGTGACCTCGGGGGTTAAATACACCAGTAACCCGCCATGTATGACAAAAACCTCCATTCCTCGGCAGCCCCGAGTAGTGTGGTGGGCAAAATTCATTGAGGGTCGGCAGGGCAGGCAGAACGGCAGAACGGCAGAACGGCAGAACGGCAGAACGGCAGAACGGCAGAACGGCAGATGCCACGTGCGGCAGAATCGGCAGGACCGGCAAATTGCTCTGCTGCTGCTGTCCGCTTCTACGACCATGTCCGACCCTCGCTACACTACGTACACCCTCTAGATTCACAGAAAGTCCGAAATATTCCAATTATGCGATTTTTTTCATCAATGGCCCTCGGAATTCGGCCCTCCTCGACTCCCACAAGCTGATCAAAGGCGAAGGTCTCGCCACGAAGTGCCGAAGTCGTGGGCCCGGAAGGCGTAGCAGTGTGGTCCGAGGTGCGTTCACCGTCATCTGCCCATCTTTTGTCCTCTAACTGGGCCCGAAGTGTTGTGAATGCCTCGGCAACAACATTGGCCCTGTCTCCTCCCGCCCCTTCACCACCATCCTCCGCAGCCAATTCCAGCGGCGCGTCCCATGCAAGGAGGTCGTTCAGGTCCTTGACGAGGTCAACGCTGATACCGGGCGTGTCGCGGGTGTGCATATGGCCATGCGTTCGGTGCGTGGACTTGCCCTTCTTGCGATCGCGCTTATACAACTCCCACGACAGATTGTTGCGGACTTTTGCGAGCTTGGCAAACATCTCCTCCAACAGGCAGTTCCTCTTGACGGACTGGACACCGTTGAGGGCCAAGAATAGCTGCTTGACCTCGGCTGAGTGCGGGATGATGGAGAGTATCATAATTGCCATGGCCTTGAGTGGGTGTGACTCCATCAATACCGGGAGGGACTCCCACCACTCCAATCCATCTCCTGCGCCTCCTACGAAAGGCTCCTTGACTGCATTGTATTGGTGTAGACCGTGTGCCAGCAACTCGACCTGAGGCCGCTCCCACTTCCACTTCTGCGCAAGGCTGAGCACAAAAACCCGCTGAAGCCTCCGAACCATGATGACGCAGCAAACTTCCGTGTGAGAGGATGCACAAAGAGCGCAAAAGCATGCAATGGTGTGATGATCTTCTGAAAGTGCTGGTCAAAGACCTCGCGAGCATGATCCAGGAAGCCCTGGTCCTCCCCATCTCTGCACTTCTCGCCAAGCCGGCTGAGGTCCCGCACACATCTGATGAGCTCGAGTGTGCAGTCTGCAAGGTTGGCCTGCCGAGATTTGCAGTTCCCAAGCACATCAACAATGGGCTTGACAACGGTGATGAGCTGGTTGAGATGTGCCCAGAACAGTAGGTCAAAGACGGTAGTCACAACTGCGGTGCTGACCGTTGAGTACCCGTTGGTGCTGACTTGCGCATCAGGATGGAGGCAGAGCGTCGTGAGAGGACCGCGGTGTGACTGGACACTCATAGCCAGCAGAACAATCGCATACCAGCGGGATTCACAGTTAATCTTGAGTTTTTGAGTGACTTTCTCAGCAATAGCGACATCCTTGAGCTGCCTGCCCCAGTAGTGCAACCCGTTGAAGAAGGTCACAACCTTGTTAGCCTTTGCAATCAGGTCCTTCATGAGGGGGTATGTGCAGATCTCGCCGATGATCTTGTCAACACCGTGCAAGAAGCATGCAACGGTCTATTGATCGTTAGGTAAGTTACGCTACTCCGGGAATATATATGTAAATTACTCACCAGCATCCAGAAGTACCGATCCTCCATCTTGTGTCGGAAGGATTGCATGACCGTTGGGTTGTTGGTACAAGTTGCAATCATATCTTCAATAGGGAGCTGCGCATTCCGGATGGCTTCCTCAGCGGCCTCGAGCATCTTCTCCGCACTGCCTCTCTGACCAGTCATGTCCTTGAGACCGAGTACGATGGGGAACTGATTGATTCCCGCTGCTACCGTGCCATACAATGACTGCCGCCCTATATCGTCCCATCCATCAATAAGGAACGTGATGCACTTCATCCCTGCCAGTTGTTCCGTCTCAGCGAGATTTACTCAAGCAGCCTCGCTGTCGAGCAGGTCATGGGCGAGGACGTAGCGGGACGGCACTTTGTATGATGGCCGGATTTCATTGCAGAAAGCGAGGAAGTAGAAGTCCTCCACCGCACGGAACGGCATATTTGCATGAATCATGAACCTGCCCAGCAACTGTGAGTATTATGTACTCGATCAATCGTAGAAGATGTACCATGTGAGCTTAATATCAGCCCTTTCTTGCCAGGCCTCTGACAGCGCGTGATCTACGGTGCCATCCAGGGTTTCACTTGATTTCCTTTTTTTGACTGCTCGAACTGCCAACTGGTCGTCAACAGGAGCTAAGCGCGCCGATGGGCCCTGCAAGGCCGGAACAAGGTCCGCATTGACAATCGGTACTGTCCCACTCTGCTGCTTCTTCTGCCGCATGAAGAGATTCGCATCGGTCTGAGCTGACGCAGGAGCTGACGTGCACCCATGAGGCCTAGTGAGATGGTTGGGGAGGAAGTTATCGCAGCCTTTGATTCGGGTGCCCCTGCTTCTGGGATGGTGCCCACAGTACTTGCATCGCCAGTAGTAGCGCCCACTCTAATTATTCACGGGCTCGAGCTTATCAAAGTGCTCTAACGCAAAAGCAGCCGGTTTGCAGCCAGCGTTGGACTGGGTAGACATTACAGAAGGTGGTGGGAAGAGGAAGAGGGAATATTTCAATTGACGGATGCCTGTGGGAGACGACAGGGACACTACACGACGTTGATTACCAAGTCATATTTCTGCCGACTCTGCCACGGTAAATCCTGGGAGCTCGTGGCAGGGCATGGCAGAACACGATCTGCTAATTCTGCCAGCAGAATGGCAGAGACTGCCAACCACACTATCGGCGGGGCGCAGGGCGGGTCTTTGTGATGTGTTTCATTGCACAAGGCGCCATGTCCCACGCGCAGCTCAGGTGCCTGCAGTTCCTGGTGCTCAAACGCTCTTGCTTACAGTGTTTGCCTAATAGTGTACCGTTCAAAAGATAATCTTGTGAACTATGTGGGCGCGGTGTGGGCATCAGCACGTGCCCTCCCACCACGGCCCGCATGAATGCCACATATGTCCCTTAATTGATTGAAAGCTTCGATAGCGTCTCTTGTCCGGTGCTTATGGCGCGTTTGCACTTACAATGCTTGGTTGGCTTAGTCACAAAATGGATAGATGGTGGTCTTCATCTAACTTTGTGCTTGCTTGTTCCACGACCACAATAGCCTTGAAGATAAGTTGTGCTTTGTTCTGCTAAGCCCCAAACATTAATGGCCACAAAACAGGAAAGAACACAATGCCTGGTACGTTGAGCATAGCACAATCTATGAATGAAGATACTAAAGGTTGACCCACTGCATGTTGTCGGCGGGAAGTGACAGGTTCAATTTCAGTGTTTTGACCATCTGGACTGACAAATCATGAGGTCAGGAGTTCAAACCGACACCTCACTGCAGTTATTCTGAATGTTTCTTTCCTCAAAATATCCACCTCTAACCAGTCTTACGCCATGTGCTGCACTTATTTATGCTCTGTATACACGCCAAAAGCTGTGAAAATGCGAAAAACAAGGTCAGAAGAAATCCCGGCATTCTCCGGAATCTTGGCAAAAGCCGATAGCATCGGCGCCAAAATGCCGTTGAGTACTGATTGTTGGAATTGGTGTCTACGCGCTCTCTAGCGCCTATGGTATTTTTCTGCGATTTTACGGACTTTTTCCCGGTACTGTACGCTTACTTACAGTCCTATCTCTGCGCTCGTGTCTTATTGCCGAGCGCCACATATTTCCTTGGCATTTGCCGGTCCCTCCTGCCTAGAGCGGCACATCCGAGTCTTTTCTCTTCCTGACTTGTTTGCTGTTGCTCTAGTGTGATCACTGGCTCGATTCTGCCTCGGACACTGATACCTGTCTCCACTCATGCAGATGGGTGTATATAGCTGATTCCTGTTGTACGTAGGTATTTAGTGGTGTTATCTGACACAGTGTCTGCCATGAGTACTAGTAGGTGACAGGGTAAGCATGCTTTTGGCCTAGTGTGATGGGGCTGATACTTGCACAGACATGGACATATGTGGGTCCACATCACGTGGACCCGATCGTACTATATATGCGGACACGTGGACTTTTTGGGTAGTTCTTACCATCCTGTTTCTTGTATTTCGAGTCAATCACTAGCACGCGGTTCGGTTCATCTGCAAGAACTAAGGACACAAGGACTCTAGAGAGCATCGCTCTCTTACACATTTTTGAACCTTCTTGCTACTAGCTTTACTCAAACTCTATCGACTTCTCCATCCCCAAAAGGGACATTGACACCAACATTGTCATCGACACAGATCACCAAGATCTGCACTCTATTGGTACGTAAAAGCCTCAACCAACTACTCTCACGCGTATCTACATGATCTATGTGCGATGGTGGACAATGGCACTGGAAGGTACCCGCTACGGTCTTGGATTAACACCACCGCGGCCACAACGGGCAACCAAAACCCTGCCAGGTGAAGGGGAGCAGGAGTACGCATGGCGGTGACGGCTGATGCGAACAACGGCATGGGCGCGCGTGGGAGCGTGGAAGGGACACGAGGCCAGCAACGTGGACCGGTGGACTCGATCGACTCGTTAACGCCACCACCGTCTTCCAACCACCATCAGCCATCCCTCCACCTCGAAAACTGCAATGTGACCACCAACGCCAAACAAGATGCCCAGGGTGAGGCGGCGATGGAGGATCATACAGTGGAAGGGCGAACCTCGCCCGCGGCCCATGATTGGCACCGCGAAGAAGAAGCGTCCTACAGTGTAGTGTGGAATTGAGGCGGTTCCTAGCGAGGAAGCGAGGGGGAGGGGCGGAGTCGTTGGTACGCGCTGGACGCGTGGGCGTCTTTGAGGATGGAAAGATACGAGTTATCGCGCCGGGCGTCGCCCAGCGCTTGCGGGAAGTAAGAGGTGAATAGAATGGAAAACTCAGCGTATTAGTGCGGTGTGTGCTCTGCTCGGGGCTCGTTAGCGCTGCTCGGGGCTCGGGGCTCTGCTCGTTGTCTCTGCTCGGCTCGATGAAGGTAGGAAGCAAGAAGATGATATTCCCGCACCACCGGGCTGCAGGGAAGGCGACGCCATTGCCCGAAGGCTGATGTGCGCAATCGCCGATAATCTACAAATATTCGGTAAATACGAACGCCGAAGCGTGCAATCCCGCGCGATGGGGCAACGGCAATGTAAGGCCGTCATAAGAAGAAAAGGCGGCGTCTGTACTAAAGGAGCGCGGCCGAAGGGGGGCGATATACGAAAAAGCGCCGTGCTCGTCCATACCACGAAACCCAAGCCCAACCCGCGCGTCAGTGCGCGTATCCTATGCTCCAATCCCTGTTCCGACCCTGCGCGACCCTTCATTCATCAGCCCTTCCTCCCCGCGCGCCTCGCACCTTGCGGCTTCGGAACCATTTTTGCGCGCTGATCCCGAGTTCAAGCGGCTGGCTGCGAGCACAGCGGGCCAAGAAGCAATGCAGTGGCTGTTTGATGGGCTGATAAACGTATGGAGCTGAAGGGAAATGTGAGAGTAGAACCGTCCGATGGAGAGGGAGGGGTGAGGGTGAGCGAGAAGGCAGAGAAGCGGCATATCCGAATCGGGAAGGAGCGATCAAAGTTGGCGTAGCACGTAGCTTCTTCGAGCTCCTTGAGAGGCTCGGCCATACTTTTCTGTGATAATAACAATATGGTAGACTATGTGTAGGAATTTGGAAGGGGGTAGGAATTCAGGAATGAAGTGTTTTTATCCAAATACATGCGCCACGAGCGAGTCACGAGCCCAAACCGTGGGAAGAGACCAACCCACGCGTGGCGTAAGCTACTATTTGACAGTAGGACGCGGAGAGAACGTTCGTGGACACCACCACGACCAGAACGCGTCTGTAGGGAACAATACAGACTGCATGGCTACGCGCCGCGCCCTCACGACATGTACAATGTCGGACACCGAGGCGCCTCTGTTGGATGGCGCGTGGGAGCGGTGTCGCAAGGAAAAGTCACGCCGCAATGCGGACGAGACATTGCCTCAGTGTGGGATTGTGGGATTGTGGATCCCGCCGTATTAGACATGGTGTATAGTCGCTTCGTAGACGAACAAGCAGACAAAATGTTGTTTGAACTTGCGGCAGAGGGCGATCGGCGAGGCCGAGCGCTGAATGAAGGAGAGGCCATAGAGGTGATTAACCGGCACCTCCAGGCAGCAATCGAGACAATGAGTGGCGACCGCTTGGTGCGAGAGGATGGAGGTCAGGACGTATGAATATAACTACACAGCCCAGCCTCTAAGGGCTCCGTGTTCCTACATATCCCATAGTCAGGTTGGACTACGAAGTATGTAGAATATAGCTACACAATATAACTACATCTGCCAGAGCCCTTCGTAGGGGCCTGGCCACTACCGCTCGTCGTCGTCGCCTCGGCAAACACCGGATCGCGCTCATCGTCGCCCGCCCTCCGCCCGCCGTCGCCGCGACGCGTGCTCCCGACGTTGTGCCACGTGCCGCCGACGCTTGCGCTCCCGACGCATCGCGCGCGCCTTCCGACACCTCGGCCCGGCCCGCCACCTCCGCCTCGCGCTCGAACGCGTTCCCACGCCCATCCGCCGTATCGTCGCTCGCCGCTCGACGTGCCTCGTGCACTTGCGCGGTCGAACGCTCGCGCTTCGGCAAATGCCGAGACGCATCGAGAACGTCGCTGCCGCGCTAGCCGTCGAGCTACGCGTCCCCGGCAAATGCCGGGCACGTTCGCGCGCCCATCGGGTGCGCCGGCGCCGTCAGGGGGCTTGGCGATGTGCCGATCGCATCCCTGCGCGCTCGCTGCCACTCGTGCGCGCGTCGCCGGCAAATGCCGGATCGGGCCGGGCGGTCCGCGCGAACCGTCCCGCGCGCGCGCGCGCGACCGACCGTCGCCAGCCTGCTCAGCGTCGTGCGCGAGCGTCACCATCGCGCTCGGCCATGCGCCCGGCGTAACTCCGGTCTGATATTGCGGTGATGCCACCAGCGGTATCAGTCACGAGCGCAGCCTGTGCAATCGCCATCGCACGTGTCATGTCCGTCGGCGACGCTCGCAGCAGCCCACTCACACTGAGTGGTCGCCGCTATGGACGGCCTCGCGTCGGCCACCATGCTCGCCAGCGCGGCACGCCGGGCGACGTGGCGATGCCACGTCACCTAGCAACCGTGTGTAAGCGTGGTCATGGGCGCGTTGTCCGCAGCGGCAAGCGGTGGTGCCGGCGGCAAGCGCGGAGACCAGCCGTCCGCGCGACGTGTGGGAGGAGGTGATGACGGGAGGTGGGGGCAGGGCAAGCGGGCGACGAGGGCTCGGAAGGGATGACCTGCGTCACCTTCCGACCCTATCCGACGACGCGTCGTTGGACACGTGGGATGGCAGTGGTGGTGTCGGCAGTGGCTGAGAATTGACTGAGGACAGCGCGTGGCCTGGCGGCCAACGCGCGTCGAGCAGAGCGGGGACGTCGAGGTGGAGGGTGCTGGTTTAAGACAAAAACGCGTCGATCGGCTGCGGTCGGACTTATTCCGGCCCAGCACGTGACCTCGGATGCTCGGCTCGTGTTGCCGCTCTTTGCCTCGTCGGTGGCTGCGATGGCTCCCACAAGCGTCTGAAAGTCCTGAAAACATGGCAGGAATGTCCACCAATGTGTGTTTTATGTATGATTCTCTATAAGCTCCTGTTTTGGCATGAACTATGGGTCATATCTGAATAAAATAAGGTGTAAGCGCATTTGCCTGACTTCTGCATGTTTTCCCCACCACAGGACGCGTGAATAATTGTGTACAGGAGGAGTCATGAATGTGGAGGACCCTACACTTTCTTTCTAAATGCTCTGCACAATGCGAGCTGCTACACCATGCGGGTCAGCACATCACGTGCATCGGCCCAGCTTGAGCTGATTGTCGTCGATTCGACGTTTTCAGCATCAGCAATGCGTTACGCCGCCGAAATAACAGCAGGAACGTGTAGAGCGCCCCTAAAAATGGTGGGGAAAGGCTTTAAACCGTGCACTCTGTGCATAAAATAATTCATAATGACTCGACTCAGCACAATTTGGAGCAGGTTTGTTCAGCTGCTGCAGTAGTGCAGCAACGGTCTTGTCCATACATACCCTGCTCGTCATGTCCATGGGGTAGGTCACAGATCTAATTGAATTGGTACTCACCGTGCTTCTACGCATTTTTGGGCCCTCTTGAAGACTCGAAGCCCCTGTACTTGAGGAATAGATGCAGATGATGTCCTTCAGCTGATTGCCACTGGGTGAAGTTTAGATACTTAGCAGCTGTCCCCCTCCGATGCTCAATACAGAACATTGTAGATGTGTACTTATCCAGCACATCTGCAAGTTCTTGTGCGGGCTCCGCACAATAATAGTCTGCTATCGCGCTCACAGTGGTTCAGTGTAAGGTCTCAAAAAGCAGAAAGTTCGCATATATATGGTTTTATGCATTTTCTCCACAATTTCAAAGCGTCTCTCAAAGTACCTGTGGTGTTACAGAATCTTTCTACAGCTAACGCGCGCGTCAGAAGCTCGCGCAGTGCACAAAGACGGGCAAGGGATAGGACGCGCGGGGGAGAGGACGCGCCACCGGCATTTGCCGAGCACGTGCCGCGCGGAATTGAATTCCGTCCGCAGCCGGCACGAGCCCTTTGCCCTCGACCACCATCCCTCTCGCCCTGTCCGTCGCTCGCGGAGCCAACTCGCGTTGAGCTCAACGCGAGTCGGTCACTCCTCTGCGCTACCCTCCCTCCTTGACCGCCGCGAGCGCCACGACACCCGCCCTTCAATCGGGCACACGCGCTCAACAGCGCTATTCCCCTCCCCTCACCCCTCGACCCTCATCCCTTACCTCTCGCAACCTCAAGACGGCTGTCCACGCGCCGCTACCCCCCTCTCCCTCGACCATCACCCCCTCCTCGCCTCTGCCCACCCCTGCTGCGTGATTGACGTGGTTGCTATGGCAACCACGTCAGCGCGACGTGGCTGTCGTCGGGCACCCTTCCCCGCCGCGGCCTGCATTTTCATCTACGACGACAGTGTGCGCCGCTGGTGAAGCACGTACAGGCCGGCAGACGCGCGCTCGCGGGCGCGTGGTGTCGGGTGTCGATGCCTTGCCACGCGTTCGCGAAGCATGGCGATACCGGGCACGCATACCGCCCGCCATCGCGTGCGGGACGCGAGCTTCGCCTGCCGTCTTGTAGTAGCGTGCACTGGCGAGATGCGCGCTCGCGCGTGCCAGCGGCGACGGTCGGTCGCGCGCGGGACGGTTCGCGCGGACCGCCCGGCCCGATCCGGCATTTGCCGGCGACGCGCGCACGAGTGGCAGCGAGCGCGCAGGGATGCGATCGGCACATCGCCAAGCCCCCTGACGGCGCCGGCGCACCCGATGGGCGCGCGAACGTGCCCGGCATTTGCCGGGGACGCGTAGCTCGACGGCTAGCGCGGCAGCGACGTTCTCGATGCGTCTCGGCATTTGCCGAAGCGCGAGCGTTCGACCGCGCAAGTGCACGAGGCACGTCGAGCGGCGAGCGACGATACGGCGGATGGGCGTGGGAACGCGTTCGAGCGCGAGGCGGAGGTGGCGGGCCGGGCCGAGGTGTCGGAAGGCGCGCGCGATGCGTCGGGAGCGCAAGCGTCGGCGGCACGTGGCACAACGTCGGGAGCACGCGTCGCGGCGACGGCGGGCGGAGGGCGGGCGACGATGAGCGCGATCCGGCGTTTGCCGAGGCGACGACGACGAGCGGTAGTGGCCAGGCCCCTACGAAGGGCTCTGGCAGATGTAGTTATATTGTGTAGCTATATTCTACATACTTCGTAGTCCAACCTGACTATGGGATATGTAGGAACACGGAGCCCTTAGAGGCTGGGCTGTGTAGTTATATTCATACGTCCTGACCTCATGATGATCGAGGACGACGCAGACCGCAGAAGACACCTCTGGCAGGACCTATGTTGCAACATACCCTACAGTTATAGGGCACCTTGTTGCAACAAACCCCACTAATTACAAGGCTATGACTATAACGATTTGTTGCAACATCTGTTGCAACAAATCCCTACAGCTACAGGTACACTACTGGCCTGCCGGCCATTGCCGAGCAAGCTGTTGCCGTCGCTGAAACCCCGCCGCCGCCATCCACAACATGCTCGTCATTGTCGCGCCCCCGCCCGCTCCCGACGTGCACCCCACGTGCTGCCCACCGCACACTCCTGACCCTTCCCACGCGCCTCCCGCCGCGTCGCCCGGCCCCGACGCGCGCTTGTGTCCGAGGCAGAATCGAGCCAGTGATCACACTAGAGCGACAGCAAACGAGTCAGGTTCATAAGTAGCGAGATACAACGCATAACTACGCATCTAGAGCGACAGCAAACGAGTCAGGAAGAGAAAAGACTCGGATGCGCCGCTCTAGGCAGGAGGGCACGGCAAATGCCGAGGAAATATGTGGCGCTCGGCAATAAGGCGCGAGCGCAGAGATAGGACTGTAAGTAAGCGTACAGTACCGGGAAAAAGTCCGTAAAATCGCAGAAAAATACCATAGGCGCTAGAGAGCGCGTAGACACCGATTCCAACATGCGGACCAACACCAGGGTAGGGGGGGAAGCTGCCAAACTGGAAGGTAACAGGAGGAGCGGAGATAGGGGCAGGCACTTCTTTCTGCAGAGCCTGGCGACAAAGAACTAATGCCAACTGACCGGTACTGGTGTTGTCGTTCTCGAGGATTTTGCAAAAGTCCTCGTCATTTGGAGGCATCTCCGTCGTCGCGTGATAACTACCATCAGGGCCCCTCGCAAGCTGCAAGTCCATCAGTTGGCTGTAACAAGAATGCCACAGACACATCACACGTACCGTAGCAGCAGCCCACTTGTTGAAGAGGACATGGCTTAGAGCTATATGCATGTCACCCTTGACGTAGCAGAACTTGCTCTTGACGCCTGCTGCTGCGTGACAGTGTCTGCTATGACATCTCCACCGCTCACGCAGGGTGGTGATCGCCTGCGTCTTTGCGAGGTTCACGGCTGCGATGTCGGCATGTCTGGGTGCCTGCAAGCTTGTCAGCAAGCGAGACGAGGGGATGAAAGGGAAGAGTACCTTGCTCTTCTTCTTCTCATCCTTCTTCTTCTTCTTTGGGGGCTCGTCCCCATCACTGTTGCCACTGTTGCTGACAATGATAGTTGTGCTTGGTGTGTTTACCTTCTGCCAATCGCGCTTCTGTACAGTCCAATTCAGCCTCGTGTGTTTATGAATGATGCAGGGACTGCGGAGCCTGGTCCGTACGGGATCGCTACGAGCGGGCTAGGGCGTAGCTGAGTGGTCGCCTTGGCAAGAACGTCAAGGCAGCAGGTAGCTGTCTACCGAGCCTGCCTTGACTCGGAACCTGATCTGAATCAGGTCTCCTTTTACTCGCGCAAGCGCGTGCCTCAGCTATCGGTCGAGTGTGCAAACAATGATGAGGATTTGAAGTAAAAGTAGAAGTGTCTAAGCACGCGTTGCACGCGCCCCGAAGGGTGATCGCGAGCGGCGCGTGACGCGTCAATACGTACGTGATGTCATACAAGAATGGGTACAAGTAGGTCCATACCGCGTGCTCGGGCAGTTTTCCTGCCTTCGATCCGCGTTCAAGGAGTCAAAATAATACCTCTTCACTTACCATGTTCCCAGGACCCTACAGGGACATACCTTGGCCTTGGGCTTCAAGGTACGCTGAACAATGATCGTGGCAGTCTTCCCGCGTGTTCCCTTCCGCCCACGGGTGATGAACTCCGCGAAGTCATCCGCTTCGTCAAGGGAGAGGGGCTGGGATGATACGTAGGGGATAGTAAAGGTTACATTGTAGTTGCTGAGCTTGTCATTGTTGTCGCGCGAGTGCTTGGTAGCTGCCTTCAGTAGCACGACAGAGAGGTCATCGAAGGTCGTAGAGTTGTTGACGGTGAAGGGGATTGTGAGAGACTTGTTCGCGTCCTTCTTCGCCTTGGACTTGTCGCGCTCCGAGTACGCGTAGACCGTGATGTTGCAGCTGAGAGAGAAGTCGGGCAGAGGGGCTGTAAAAGAGTCAGGCATGGACGGTAGGCGGAGCAGGAGCACGCACGCTTGTCTTTTGTAGGCCAGCCCTGCTTCCTCTTCTCCTTCCTCTTCTTGAGCTCTTGTATTGCCTGGTTCATGTTGGGGATTGTGAGCAGCTCTTCGTCAGAGTCGGATGAAGGTGAGTGTGCGGATGGCAAAGCGGCTTGATATTCCTCCCCCATATGAAGTTCAAGGGTTGGGGTACGGTGATCCTCCAGCTTGTCGTACTCTTCTTCACTGAGGGAACTCATTCTGGATAGGGCTAAATAGTGCAAAACGATACCAAGTATGAAAGCTGGGATGACGGGAAGTCAGAAGAACAAGTGCGCAACACGGCGTGCGCCTTGCGGGGTAACGGGCCGGATTTTCGATTTAAGTTCAAGGATCAGCCATCATTTATGCAAACAGCTGTAATTAGTGACAGCAGTACTAATTAGTGATGGTGGTGCTAATTAGCGACAACAGCGGTAATTAGTGATGGTGGCAGTATTTATGCATGACACTTTGGCAATGACAGCAGCAGTATGTAGTGCTTATAGCACTGCTGAGTAAGTGTAGTAATATCAAGTGGTCCTACTGCTTGTGATCTATAGCAATATCTTAGAACAGTAGTGTCAAAGGCCTTTGCGAAGGATAATTTATATAGAAACACCAGATAGAGTATTGCCCAATGCTATTCCAACTTAAAACCGAGTTTTGGCAAACTTTATCTGTATGCATTAATTTCTAGCTGTTGTCATACCTTGTCATTTAATTCTATCCTGAGGAATGTCACAAGTTGGATTTATTACCTGTACAGCTCGACTCTAGCAGTTACTCGGTCACGTCATGCACTTACGCTTTATATACCAAGTAGTCACACCTATACACTCCCTAGTCTGTGCGTTGTTGCCTTCAGTTTGTGTCTGTGTTCGGCGTTGCCGCTGGGCGCGCCAGCCTGTCCAAGGCAGAATCGAGCCAGCGATCACACTAGAGCGACAGCAAACGAGTCAGATGTATATTCAGCGAGATAGAACGCATAACTACGCACCTAGAGCGACAGCAAACGAGTCAGGAAGAGAAAAGACTCGGATGCGCCGCTCTAGGCAGGAGGGACCGGCAAACGCCGAGGAAATATGTGGCGCTCGGCAATAAGGCGCGAGCGCAGAGATAGGACTGTAAGTAAGCGTACAGTACCGGGAAAAAGTCCGTAAAATCGCAGAAAAATACCATAGGCGCTAGACAGCGCGCAGACACCGATTCCAACACAGCCTCTCCAGCCTGCTGCTGAGTGGGGCCTCTGAGGCCCTGCCTGGGGCTTTGTACCGGGTCTGTCGCTTGTCTCTCCCCCTTGCTGCTGCCATCCGACCACTGGGTTGTATCCGATCATCCACCACCGGCGCTCCTGCTATCCGCAACCTCCCTACCTGTGGGTCACTCCTTGCATCCACTTCTGATACTTGCCACCCTTCACCGCACATATTTGACAAACCTGAAATTTGACCGGCTGGACAACAATGCTGTCATTATCAAGAGCCTCAAGAAGTGCTGGCGGGGCTCAAACGCAATCAAGACTACTACATCGTGGCCGTCTTCCTCAACCCTGGCATCCGTGCCCATTTTTTCAATGACTCAATAGTGCACTTGATTTCACATGTGGGACTCTATGCGGTCGTCAAGCATGTGTACTGGTGCGTGTTCCAGATCAAAAAGGACGAGCAGGTGCCTGGTGAGCTCTTCAACAGCTATTGCTAGTACTACGATAGTCAAGGATGCTTCACGTGTCAGGGCTTTGCCATGGATAAAGTACAATGTTAATTCAAAGGCCAGGTTTGTGGTCAGCCCAGTCATTAATCTCAAGCTTACACATCTAGCAGGACACCATTCTCTTCAAGCAGAATGTATGGAAGAATGTGACCAAGAAGGATCCCCTTCCCAGACTCGCACTCGTGGTTCTCAGCATTGTTGCCAACTCAGTGGGTGCGGAGCGCCACTTCAGCAAGCTTGGCCACATCTACCAGGACAAACATCAAAACCTCCTTCATCCTGAATGCGCACACAAGACTGCCATTGTCAGGAACTCCATGAGGAACAACTTACGCTCAAGATGTGCTCCAAGCGTGAGTTCATCCCAATGATGCCAGGCTGCACTTCAGGACAGGCTGCAAAGCCGGATGACCATAGTGAGTCAGATGATGACCAGGAGGCGGACGACAAGGGGGATATCCAGGCAGCGGTTGCTTGTGGTCTGGGGCCTGTGCTAGAGGATGGTGAAGAGCTACACCATGGCTTTGACAATGCCCCACCCACAATGTCCAAAGACATGAATCATTTTTCACGAGCTAAAGAAGCGCAGGATGCGCAAGACCTCAGTCTTTCTGCTAGTGGAATAGCGACTGAGGGAAAAATGATGTACACGGCCGCGCGGTCCGTGGCTAGAATTCAGGTGTTATTCAGGTGACCTAGTTTTCACCTACCCATGTCCGGACATGTGGGTGATTCAGCTACTCACAAAGATAGCTACATTTGAGTATCTACTATAGGGCGTGTATATATCTACGTTGCAGCTTATTTAAATCTGAAAATAAGGGATCATGCACCTGCGAAGTAGTGTCAGGCACGGCATTCCCCGGGCCCTGTTGGGATACAAAAGTGACCTGACCTGGGTTTGAACCAAGGACCTCCACCTCTCGGGGGTGACGCTCTACCCACTGAGCTATCGGGTTTTTAGTTACTGAGGTGCTGATCACAAGTCAACAGGCCCGAGGTCAAGCAGGTGCAGGCGGGGTTTCTGCGTGCTGTCCTGCACCTAATCATTGCAATCACGGTTCAAAAAGGTATGAATTGAATGTAGGAGAAACAATACACTACAAACAACTAAGAGCCAATCCGAAACACTACTGTCCAAAGCCAGGCTTGGTGAAGTTGTAGGCACCTGTTGGAATCGGTGTCTACGCGCTCTCTAGCGCCTATGGTATTTTTCTGCGATTTTACGGACTTTTTCCCGGTACTGTACGCTTACCTACAGTCCTACTTATGCGCTCGCGCCTTATTGCCGAGCGCCACATATTTCCTCGGCTTTTGCCGTGCCCTCCTGCCTAGAGCGGCGCATCCGAGTCTTTTCTCTTCCTGACTCGTTTGCTGTCGCTCTAGGTGCGTAGTTATGCGTTCTGTACTGCTGAATATATTCCTGACTCGTTTGCTGTCGCTCTAGTGTGATCACTGGCTCGATTCTGCCTCGGACAGGTTATGAGCCCCGCGCTCTAGCTGCCCCAATCAGCCAAATCAACACCCCGACTCAAACTCGCCGTTGTGCGCGCGTACCAGCTGCGATTCCCTCCGCTCGAGCGGCATTCGACGCGCAAGACCCTCCCCTACCTTGTGCCCGAGCCGCGCTCCGCGAAAATCGCCAGTACCGCCGCTATCGCCGTGCGAAGTCCAGCACCTCCGATCACCGCAAATTTTCGCCCTCCCTCATATTCGCCGTTGCGCACGCAGTTCGCGTCCGTTCCTCTCCAAACAACTTCTAGTCACTCCGCGCCCTTCTCCCCTACACGTCGACCCCACTCTCGTCCACTTTCGCCTGTTCGATCTTCCCCAACAACCGTCTCTTTGCGCCATGTCGAAGCGTGACTCAGACGGCCGCCCCATCCTCACCCGCTTCAACTGGAGCTGGTGGGACAGCGAGATCCAGCCCTGGCTGTCCAGCAAGGGCCTCTGGCGCTATGCCAAGGGCACTGTCACCAAGCCCAAGCCCAAGGACGCGAGCGCGGTCACTGATGCGGAGTACCGCACTCAGGAGGAGTATGAGCAGCGCTTGGAGAAGGCTGCTGGCGAGCTTTGGCTCGCCATGGAGGAGCCGCTTCGTCCGCAGTTCAAGGACAAGCGCAGCACGCCCAAGGACCTCTACGACGCGATGAAGACCGCCTTCAACATCCAGGAGGCCGGCACACGCTTTGCTGCGCTCTCAGACTTCTTCGACGTCGACCTGGGTGACGACGCCGAGGCCACCACCGCCCTCACCGACCTCCTCTCGCGCGTCGACGAGGCCATGACGCGCGTCCAGTCCCTGCGCCCCTCGACCGGCTACGACCTAGCCACGATGGACCTCGAGCTGAAGGCGATGGTCACCATGCGCGCGCTCGCCGCCTCCCCCAACCCGCAGCACGCCAACATGTACACGTCCCTCCTGCTCGACAAGGCGCTCACCTACGAGACGGTCAAGGACATGATTGCGCGCGAGTTCGCCTCGCACCGGATGACTGCTGACGGCACGCCCCTTGCTGCCAACCGCGCCGGGTACACGCCCGAGTGCTACAACTGCAAGGGCCCGCACCTCATCCGGGACTGCCCGAAGTTCAAGCCGGACTGGAAGAAGGAGGAGGAGGCCGCCGCCGCTGCTTCTACCTCGAAGCGCCAGCAGAAGAAGAAGAACAAGGGCGGCGCCAACGCGTCCGGCGCGTCCTCTGCGCCTTCTGCGCCCTCTGACGCGTCCTCTACCGCGTCAACCTCCGCCGCTGCTGCGCGCGTCGAGTCCGCAGGCCAGGCAAGCGCTTTCACTTCCTCCCCCGCTCTCAAGGAGTGGCTCCAGTCCAAGGCTGCGGCTAACTTCAACACCGACACAGGTGCGTCTCTACACATGACGCCGCGGCGAGATTGGTTCGTCACCTACTCGCCGCATCGCGTTCCTGTTCGCCTAGCGAACGGCGCGATCGTCTACTCGGCGGGCATCGGGTCGGTGGAGTACCAGCCGGTGGATGGGGAGAAAGCGCTTATGCCTATCGTGTTCTTTGATGTCCTTCATGTTCCGCTTCTTACCTCGAACCTCCTGTCAATCTATCACCTTACTGCGCACAAGGGGTACGAGGTCAGCATCAAGGACAAGCGCGTCGCCTTCTACCGCGCTGGGGCGCTCGTCTGCACCGCTACAGTGGACGACTCGAACACGGGCTACTTGGACGGCTACGTTGTCGTTCCTCCTGCGCACAGCGCGCAGCGCGCCACCTCCACCACGCTCCCGCTCGACGCTGCGCTCTGGCACCGCCGCTTTGCGCACGTCAACCATGGGGACATTGCGAAGCTGCGGCAGCGCAAGCTGGTGAGGGGCATGCGGTTTGACAGCAGGGAGGCGCCGGACCCGATCTGCGAGCCCTGCATCATGGGGAAGCAGACGCGCAAGGCGGTACCGCGCGGTCCGGGAGAGCGCGCTACGCGTCCCCTCGAGTTGGTTCACACCGACTTGAAGGGTCCTATGCCGGTCGCATCCAGAGAG